TCTCTCTCTCTCTCTCTCTCTCTCTCTCTCTCTCTCTCTCTCTCTCTCTCTCTCTGTGTGTGTGTGTGTGCTAGATTTGTTTTCCTTTGGGTACCCAAAGAAGAAGCCTCTGATATTGTGAGGATTCCTCTTGAAGGAAACTCATCAGCCACACCGCAGTGAAGATGCTTTTCGTATGGTTTGTGACCTAGTATTATATATATGTATATAAGTCACAAGAAGAACGGCTCCGTCCGTTTTGATGGTTCCCTCGTGCATATCTGTAAGCCTAGGAACGTCCAGGGCTGTGCAAAGAAATCCTTCAGACCACTATACGTGGTATACAGTTTCAGCTGTTTCATTCCAAGTCTTCTCCACCTCCATACAGAAAGGATCGTTGAATTCCGGAGTGCCTTTCCATAGCCGTGCGGTAGTGTCTCAATGGCCTTGTCTCCTTTGACGAAAAGGTCGATAGGCTCAGTGCCTATAGTCATTTCCACACAGGGGGAGAAAGGTCAATACAATGACAGTTTGAAAATGCAAAGAGGAAAAGATTCTCAAAAGCATTGTCTTAAACCGGCTTTTGACCTGATTGATTAGACCATTGCTATAAATACCTTTCATCCATATCCATAAGATGTGTGGTTGACACACCGCAGACAACTGCTGTAGCGTTCGAGGAAACCCCCTTAAAAAAAACTGTACATTTATTTGGGTCAACCCGTCGAACCTGTTCGTTGAGGACCCGAAAAGAAAGGATAAGCACCCCCTCTGTGATCCCAGGCCGTGCCTAGGCCCACAAGTAAACATTTTCACGCAAATACACCGGGATTCCAAGCGTTGTTTCTCTGCATGAACATTCCGGGCTCCGTTCCCATGCCGAATGAGTTGCTGCCGTCCCAGTCGTAAAAGTTCATGTCGCAAGTGGCGTCGACGACAAAGTTGTCTGCGCCCGGCATCTCAAATCCACCGTCGAACACCATGGGCGCTGGCGCGTTCATGTCTGCATCGCCAGTGGGACGATGGTGGGCGGAGAAAGAATGGCCGGTCGGGAACGTGGCGTCCATGACACGCTCGTACTGAGCCTGGGTTTCTTCAACGGTGGGGGCGGGCGCCGAGAAAAGCTCGTCCCCAAAGCCGGGTGAGTCCCAAGTCGAAGGCGTGTCGGAGCTTCCAGACTCAAAGACGCTAGAATAGAACTCCGAGTTCGACGGCGAGGCCAGCTGTGTAGCTTGGACGTTGTGCTGCGGTGATTTCCGGGTCTTGTCGATTGTTCCTGACTTGGAGGAGCAATCTGTCTGGATTGATGATACCTGACTCTGCGATCGACGTTTCGTCTTCGCGGCTTTTTGAGTGGTGGTGGTGGTGGTGGTAGTAGTAGACTTGGCTGGTTTCTTGACCACCGCCGGCGAGTTGGCGGTTTCTTGGATGGGTGAAAGTTGCGGCCGCTCGTTGTGGTCCGAGAAGTCGAGGTCTTCGTCAAATTCTTCTTCGGCTCCAATCACGCCAATTCGTTCCAGGATGCAGTGGACGCTGGGACTGCCATTCACTTCGTCCACCGGAGCACCTTCCCATGCCTTCCCATCAAGCAGCCTCGAGTACAGCTTGACGAGGCCAGCCGTGAGAGCTGAGTGATGCTGAAGTAAGAGGTTGGTGTATCTTTGAGATCTTCGTCAGTAAACGGAAAAATGTACGTTGTTTGCCCCGGAGCAAGAGGGCGTGGCCAGAGGGACATTGGGTGTCGATATCTTGAAAGGGAAGGGAATTCTCTCCTTACCTCTGAGTAGCACCGGCGGATTCTGGCTTCCGTCGGACCTTGTATGAGCAAACCGCACAGTCGAGATTGCATCTTCGGCATGGCCTTTCCCCGTCGCACTGCACGATGAGAGGTGATTAGCCTATATGAGCGACAAGACTTCAGAAATTCCCGGCAGCTCAAAGCCCAAAAAAGATCCCCCGACGATGGTCGAAAAGGCTGGATGGCGTCGTGGACCGATATTGCATAGGAGATCCTAGATAGTCGAGGATCACTTCTTGAGGTGATGGTAGTGATAAGAAGATGCCTGTCGTCGGTCCAATGTGAGTTGTTGAAACAAGATCCAGTTTTTGGCCTTTTGGCGAGTTCGTTCAGGAGTAACAGCACATCACAAGCACGTTTTTCCTAAATCCAAACTTGCTTACCTTTGCTTTCTTAATACGGCACCTCTCGCAAGCTCTCGCGACTCTCGGTCGCGTTCGACCATGTTCCCGTGTATCTTGCATGGCGACTATGGTGGTGAGGGTGTCAGTCGATGGTTGTACCCTGCTAAGATTTCCTCGAATGGATGTGAAGATGAGAAATCCAGTCGATTAATGGCGGCTCTGCTCGGCGACAATGTAGAATGACACAAGAGGCTGAAGTAAATACAAAGCTTGGGAAAGTGATATAAGTACGTTCCGGGGGGGGTACAGATGGCTCATATACGATTAGCAATGGGTGGGTTCCTTCTAGCGAGAAGATTGAACAAGTAATTGGGTCTTGGGCTTTGCTTATGCATATGTCATAAGAGCATCCGGTGTTAGCGGGCACTGGAGCCAAAAGCGGTTCTTGACGTTCGCCTTTGTAGGAGGTGAAGCTTGTCATGTGAAAGAGGGGGTGGTTGGTTCGGCGCCGCAAAAGAATTGCGTGCTCCTTGACCCAATAGTCTCTCGAAGAGCTGCTGTCTATTCGGGCAGTGGAGTATGGGCACAGGGATGATTGCTCCATAATCGAAAGAACCTATCCTGATAGTCGAACGTGTCCTCAATAACAATATCGCATCCTGTTCGAGTACGAGGGACGATACCGAACAGGGTCTGCACGACCCCGATTGACTGATTGGACTAGGGCGGGTAGATCATTCGAGAGTCACCCATACTGTGCCAGAAGGGCATAGTTCAAGTGCAATATATGGATTAGAAGGCCAGTGCTCGCCGCACTGACTGAGGAGGTTGCTTGATTGCGTAGAGGACTAACGATTCGGTTAAGGCGGGCGACAAGTCCGAGAGCAACATGTAATCAATGGAGATATCCAAGTGCTGGGCTTGAATTGGGTCGGCTTGTTATCCCAAGTGTGGTGCCACAATCATACGATCTGTTGAGCTAGTGTGGCTAGGGGAATTGAAGAGCCATGTCCCTCGGGTATCGAACTTGTTGATTGGTAGACGTTTGACAAGTTGTGCAGCAACACTCTGGGGAGGGACGAGGCCGACTCGACCAAGAAGGGAACGTGGTGACAACAACAACCGTCTGAAGCACCGTGCTTGCCGGTAGATCCAGGGGATATTGGCAGTACAAGCGAAAAGAGGTTCTAGATTGAGAATGGACGAAGGGAGCATGAGAGTGACAGGGCAGAGAGAGAAATGGTGGCGGCACAATCCGTTGTGACGTGGCTGGAAGGGAAAGTGGATACCATTCTTAGTGAACGTTTATTGGTCAGTGCCGTCCACCGGGAGGGAGTTACGTCCGGATGCATGTGTTATTATTGTTATTATTGTGCAAGGCTCCGAAGACCGAGGGGATTGACTGTCTGACGACACTATTTAGACTTCGAGCCAGCGCAGGAACTAGTGGGAAAACAAGCAGATCCGTCCCAGATAATTCCCCGTCTGACATAGCCACTATCGTGTCGACAAGGCTGTGGCAGTGTCAATTCAACTTCGTCACTGGCATACTTCTAATCTTATAACAATAACACCTAGCTCCTGGAATTTATTTGTACATGTGTCTGGAACCTGCCAATGTGGACGCAAGGGCCTTTGTAAAGAAACAATCAACACAAGTGTTTGTTCATTTTGAGAAAATAACGACAAGGCTCGTATCCAGCAAACTCTCGACCCACACGGACTGTTGGCCGTGGATTTTAATTCTCTCACTGTCATGGGTATCAATCAAAACTCCTTGCAAAAACCCAAAATTGCTTTGCGGCCATTGTGTGTTATGTTATGAGAACGACCCATTTCTTGGAATGGCTCTTTCATCATCCAGCAGAATCGCGAACCAACGAGCTCAAAGCTCGCCACAATCATGACAGCTCTTGGAACCATGAGCGAAAATGCTCCAACCAGACTTGCCTCAAACGCCTTCTGCTTTCATCTCTTTCGCGATAGCGTCTGCCCATTTGTCGATTGCATCCCAGTCGCGAAAATCACCGAACCTACCACCCATGCAGCGGTACATTCCCCGGACAGGACTCGACCAGGCTCTTCCGTCGTCCTTTCCGGCGAACAGGCGATGCTCTCTGACTTTTGGCACCTTTGATATGATCATGCGTTCGACCCTCCTCTGTTCCCTCTTCGCCACTTTCCCGCGTATCCAACCAGGTGTGCCGGCCGAGGCTGAGCCCAAGCTGAACGACCAGAGCGGTTTCGTCTGAAGTCCCATGCACTCGACATCGAGGAATCGCTCGGCATCCAGCAACCATCTGGCATGATGAATTGCGCTCCCTATGATGACGGCCTTGTAGTTGTCCACGCTGTAAACATGGTCGACGGGTCGGCAGTCGACGGCGAAACCGTCAGCGTGTAGTCTTGAAGCAATCCGCTCGGCGACTTCCTCTGTGGAGCCACGGGAGGTTGCATACGTTATCAGTACTGGCATGGGATCAGGCTCCGACATGTGAGATGTGACCGTGGATGGTGGATCTAGTAGATGAGTCGTAGTAGTGGTTGATAGTTTAGCACACAAGCTGTTGCTGTGGTTGTAGTAGATGTAGTAAATGTAATATGTAGTACGAGTATATGGTCTTCGTTCGTCGTGGGATAGGCGGGGTATTCGTATGCCGAAAGACGAGGTTGAAATATCACTCGTGTGCTACACTTGCAGCACAAGTTATGTCCTGGTCATCTTACGAGAACCTATCTAGGATTGTGCGTCCTGGGCTCTTACGTCAATCGCCACATCCTTTTTCGCTCTCTCATGCCAATCATAAGACGATCCAGACCAAGGACGAGCCTCGTATTTTTCTCCCAGCATCATTTGACCACGGGGCGACAAAGCTGACAATGGGAGGAGAGTAACGTCAAGTGGTGGTAGCTTCGAGAAGAGTAAGGTGTGGCCATTGGCTCGCCACTACTCGGAAGCCGTGTCATTCCCCGGAAACCCGCAGAGCCGGGCTCGCCCTTTCGGAGAGAATTGTTTTGAGCACACTTTCCCCTGGCCAGGCTCTCGCCTTCCGCATTTTGGATGAAGTTCGTACTTGAATTCCGGGCATTCGGGGGCACCAATTCGGCGAAGTCGAACAATAGCTGGCTCCAAAAAGGCACGAGTCAGGAAGTTGATATTCAGGAGTGGATGGCCCTATCCCGCGAGCATCCGCATGATGTCAATGTTTAGTTCTTACTCCATGGAACATGGCCGAGTGACAACAAAGTATTATTACTTCGCTTTCGTGTCGACGCAAACATCAGGGCTGACCAAGCCTGGCGCCTCATTATATCAGCTACACTTTGCCTCTGCTGTCCTGTCTCTCTGCCCGCGCCTTACAAGATTGCGGAGGAAGTGAAAGCCTAAGAGAAAAAAAAGGCCTCACGAAAACGGAGCCTTGTCACGTGCGGGCGTAGGCAACAAAGCCTACGGGCAGAGTTGTTGACTTGTCTCAATTCTTAGTCACGTCGGTCTTGCTGATTCAATCCTGTGTAATCTCTTTTGAAGAACAATCCCGCTCCCACTGTAAGCAATGTGGCTCAGCATGAACAATCTAGAGGGGCGGCAATCATATTTGGGCATCATGCCCTCTCTGGTCATCAAAAGGCACCTCATGAGTACGGAGAATTGCGAAACCGAAGGACCTGACGCCATAAGCCAAGCGGAAGCGTTCCTTGCAATGAGAAGTGGTAAGAGTGTACACGACACCCGTTTCAATTAACTATCCAGTCATATCATCTCTCCGCTCTCTGACGAGCGAAGCGAGCAAAGAGACACCCGAGCATAAGCTGCTTCAAGGGGTTTGATCGTGACTGTGGATTTTGTTCGGCATCCAAAGGTCATTCTTTCGTGTTCCCGAAACCCAAGATCCTGATATCAGATAACCCAATTGAACGCCTGAGAAAAAGAGAAAGAAACATAGGCACTGGGGTGGCCTTTCCCGCAGTGTGTGGTGGTACAAATCGTCATCTGGGTTTCATATAATCATCATCCATAGTCATGCCTCGTCGTCGCCTCAACCGAGCGCGTCCGGCGTGGCGAGAAGTTCCATCATGTCGGCGTCCTTGTCCTGTTTTTGACCAATCAGCCTTTCTCGTTCAAAAGTCACTTCTGTCGATCCATGCCACGGGTCGGTACTGATAGGGGAGCGAAGAGGAAGACGGGTACGAGGAGATATTGCTTACCGCGCAATAAATCAAGAACGCACCCGCCGAGGTCAACGCTCCCAAGGCGCTGTAACTGAGTCCGTCCCGAATGACCATGGGGAATGACGACGAGGCCGCCGAAATGTGGTGGTGAGGCTGGGCGGTCTTTGTGAGAATCCGAGCCGAAGGCCCATGTAAGCGATGTCCGACTAGCGTCGTTCTCCTTGCCGAGTGTGAGGCGAACGTTCTCACGGATTGACCGAGTGTGGTGGTGGATAAGAGCCGCATTGGAGGCATGGTTGATGAGAGTGTTTTCCTCTTAATATAAATTTGTTGGAGCGGCTGGGTTGTGTGTTGTGTGTATTCTTGTTTGAGGGATCTCTGGTGGTATTATTGTCCGTCCCGAGATCAAGTTAAGTTATCAACAATGGTTAACCTGGTAAAAAGTCCTTTGCTTGTGGTGGTGGTGGAAGGGGGCAGTGAGGTTCACGAGAAAATACTGGCATTCTTATTTCTTGGTCTGTTACAGTATAGCCAAACTTCACGTATGATATTTCTCCCGTGTTTTGTACACATGACACATGACCATTTAAAAAAGGTGGTCCGAAACGATAACGCAACTTTTTACGGATGAGTGGTGATACAGGAGAAGTCGCCCGGGCACAGACAAAACACCTCCAAAGGAAAAAGACTTTGTCCCGGATTCTGGCGACCACCACCACCTACCAGACAGGAATTACCCCAGAATATCCTCACAGAATCACCAGACACGAAGCGAGCAACAATATGTAATGATGATAATCCCGACCGGGCAACCTCGTAAGACTTTCCCGAACGGCGGGAAGGGGAGGTCGAGTAACGTGGTCTTGCAAAAAGAAACAAATGTGTCACCTTACACAACGGAGGAGGAGTCAAGTCATCACGCCACCAACCGGGCAGCACAAAACAAAAGTCCAGAACGACCTGGTCTCGTGTCGGGAAGTGGAGGAGGGAACAGGAACTGTTTTTCCCCTCTGCTAAAAAGGCCATGCGAAGCTAACGGAGCGGTCGGATATCGGCAAGCTGACAATGGTCCCTTACTAACGTTTTCACTGTTGTGTGTCAACATGTGAACCAGTAGGCAAACACGTGCGAGGTGGATGGATTGGAGGTGTGTGTGGCTTTTGTTACTCCCGACATTGGCACGAAATATTTCCATGAGGTCCATGAGCAATAATGATTTGGGGGGGAGGGTGCGGGAGCGGACAAACTCCACCAACCCAGCCCAAGGACTTCATGGTTATAGCATTATTGGGCATCGCGTCGGGTCTTGCTTGCGAGGTTGCCTCCTGATAATAATAAACCTCGCTTTGACCTTTTTCACACAGAAATGTTTTTGTTTCTGGCGGGCGGTTCGGTCCAGGCGGTAATCATTGTAACAATAATAATACCATACTGTACTGTTACATACAAACGGAAGTGCGGAAAACACTGTCAATCCATCTAAATAACAAGCTCGAGCCCTTGAAGTGATCTAGGGAGGGCCCTCGAATGGATCCAAGGTTAAACTGGATCTGGAAGTTCCGTGGCCTTTATCTATTGGATGCTTTGGCGAGGTGGTCCCTATTGTACTTGTACTGTATGTAGGTACGCTTATCTCTGTGTTGTACAGATTTAAACTTACAGATACACGCAGATGAAAGATGGGTCTCCTCTGTATGTACATTACCGCACGTACACTCCCTGACGAGTACAACACATACCTCCACTCCTTTACCTTGAGTACTATTGTACTCCCCTGGCTAACCGAATACGATGCCTGAACCCGCTGCACTCGTACAATAATACCGGTATTGTACTGTTACAACATACAGTAAGTCGGGGATCTGGGCTTTTGCTTCTTGTATGATCTGCACGGGAAGCAACTATTTCCGTTGTTCAGTCTGTTAAGGGTATTGATTGCCGGCTATCACTTCCCAAGGTACAATAGGTACCTAGGTATTATTCTTTTGACAACATACTACCCAAGACTGCTTTTTAAGGTTTCTCGATCCGTGATTGAGAGCCAAAGCAGCTTCATCGATGCCACTTGGCATCTCGTTGTGCCTTTGGCCCGAGACCAACGCTGCATCACGGCAGCTGGATCCATGTTCTCCTTGCTTCACTTTTCCTTCCTAGGAAGTTCCTTGTCTTCAAACTGATCCGCTTGACCACTGGACAAGATCTCGATGAACTGATGGTGCCAAACGCGTCTTTGTCCTCCTCGGACGATAATCTCCTCGGATGTGCTCACGAGTTTCCACAGGATTGTTGCGTCACTGTGGTGATGACGAGGCAGTGCCCGACCGAAAAGGTTCGGACAGGGTTCAATCTGGACGCTGGCACTCACGGCCCGACTACTTCCAGAGACCCGTTGGCACTGCCATGAGCACAAAGTGTCTGCACCCGAAAGGAGTGGATGGGTGCTTCCTGTGCACAGTTGGCGCCAGCAATGTCAATTGCTGCGACTACCTTCTGCGAGGAATTGTCACTTGCTTCGTCGTCCGGTCATTCGTGATCGACTTCGATGATCCATATTTCACCTTGCTACGGGTGATGATCGGATGTGTTGTCGAAAGTCGGAGTAAAATCCTGTTCGGAATTTTGAGTTTTGCAGGTGTCAATCTCGGGATCATTCAGCAATAATGTCGGTAGATAGTGAGGCTCGTCCCTTGTGTTGATCCGCGCGCTCGTATCTTTGTATTTGTTGATGCAAATCGAAGAGCAACTTTGGCTTGGTATCGATGGTGCTCGATAGTCGCAGCTTGTTGCGATATTGCGTTCGTATTCGTGGTGGACTCGAAGAGAATACTAAAAAGGAAAATAGTAGATGACGTTCTGCTGGTCTTCGAGACCTCAAAAAAACTGGTAAAGAAATTGGTATTGATTGTCGTCAATCATGTGGTGCTACTAAGCTGGATGATCATAGCTTTGCCGGGTTCAGATCGGAGGATGTTGCAGCAGTGCAATGTTGGATCCTCAAGCTTGTTGTGTTCTAGATCACAGCGTAGAAACAGTCTGAGGATCATGTAATGCTAGTAAGGCATTGCTTTGGTCAGTCATAAGAACCGTTGACCAATGCTCAAGCAGCCTTGTTGCGCTCGAGAGCTATACAACTCTCAAGGTGCGGCGCCTTGAATCGAAAAAAGGCTCAATGATTCCGGGGATCTTCTCTTTATGAATATCGTCACCTGAAGCCTCAAACTTGTTAAAATTTGCGAATCCCTTGTCAGATGTTGTGGTAAGACATCGGTGGTTGCCATATGGTCTGACCAAGACCTGTCGAGGTATCATGCCACTCATGGTCGGTAACCCCCATACCCATTTTTGCCTGGCCCGGTACCAAAGGTTGCCTGATATTTTCTCTGCACTTTGCGACGAACCACTCCTACTGGCTTATACTCTGTGACCCGTATTGAATAAACGAGAAATCCATGCAGGTACAGTACGGCATAGTTCATGCTGGGCTGGAGTGCTCCCTCCGCGTATACGTCGGTGTTGCGAAATAACTCCTAGAGGCAGGCTTCATCAGTAACAGCCATACTGGAGTCTCAGGTGCTGCACATTTGACGACTATGATCGTACGACGTTTGGCTTCACGTCTGTGCTGAAACAGGACACACGTTGACGGAATTAGCGAGCTCCTGAGGCTGTACGGTCTTGAAGACGCTGTAGTGAAGCCGCAAGGAGGGTTTGTTCAAAATTGAAAAATGGAAGCACTTCTGGAATCGTGTTTTGTATCATTATTACATAGAAACGGCTGTACTGTAGGCCGCCTAGCAGACTTGCAATTCGCAAACAAAACGGACTCAAGCACAGAAAGTGCGAGTCGAGAGTCATCATAACATTCGTAAAAACCAACGCCTCCAGACCAGAAACCCATACTCTTGTCTGGACCACGTTAAGTGGACAGCCCCATTCACTGTGGAAGCGATAGAAAAGCGATTGAAATCCTCCCAAGGCCGAAAAGCAATCCATCCCACCTGAGAGCATCGTGCTCAGTGACGCCGATTCGCCCCCATCCTTCCAGTCAAGCCTCGGGGCAACATCCCATCAACTTTTTGATACCACACACACAAGGTACATAAAGAGTCGGAGGAGTAGTGTGTCATTGAGAGATCAAATGAAACCATTAATCACCTGTCAGTGCCGGGTTTTCAATTCGGCTGTTGATGCTGAAGCTGTAGTCGCACCATCTGCTTGAGCAGTGTGCAGTCTTCGCATTTCACCAGCTTCTCGAGTGTCCGCACTCGCTCATTGAGGCGAGCCACTTCGTCCGTCATGTGCCGAATTTCGACTTCGGACTGGTGGATGTAGTTCATAGCATCGGTCATCACATCCGACTTGCGGACCTTGCCCCGATGTTCTCGTGATGAGTAGAAGTCTTGAGAGGGCATGCCGGTCAGTCTCGAGGTGGCTTCCGTTGCGACCAAGGCACGATGCAGCTGTGTGATCTTGCCGTTGAGGTTGTCGCGATATCGTCTCTCGACGACCGAATGTGCTTGTTTGGCCCGGAGTTGGGCCGACTCTTCGTCACTGGAAGAGCCCTTGTGCCCACGTTTCGACCTGGGTTTTCGTTCTCTCTCCTCTTTGGGTTTGGGATTGGACGAGTTGGAGTTTGAGCGTGAAGTCTTCTTCACAGGATTGGTTTCGAATGGATTGGTGCAATCCTCAATCTCGGCGAGACTGGCCAGCTGTAGGCACGAAGGCTCTGGTCCACATCTCTGTGGGCTGCATTCTCCGGACTGTCTAGTGAATGCACAGGAGAGAGGTTCGTTCAGAGAGGGACTGTCCTCGAGTTTGATGGGATAGTTGTTGGAGGCTAGCGGCACATTGAAGGTGTTGGGCGAGATGCTTTCGCTGGGTACCGAATAGGAGCCGACCTCTGAAGAGTCGAAGTTCAGGAACTGTGAGTAGTTTGGTGAAGGAGCATTCTGGGTATTGTTTGGGAGAGTGTTGAAGTCATAGAAGTTGGTATCATTCAACGACTTGAAGTTGTCGTTGGATGGTAATGAATTTGTGAAGTCGACCTCACCCCAAGACTGCTATAGAACCAACGTTAGAACGGATGGCGGGGGTTGGGTGTCGCCACAAGGCACCTACCTCGTTGTTGTCGTATGATGAGCCTTGGTATTGGTTAAAGGGCTGTGAGAAAGGCATTCTGGGCTGTTGATTGTGAGATAGTCGAATGTTGATTGTATTTGAAAAGGCGACAGAGTTTGATGTTTTGCAAAGACCCTTGGGAAATCCAGATCTAATGTATCACTCCACGTCTGGAAGAAGGGAGACGGGCAGGTACATTATTATGTTCGGCGACAATAATGCCCTCTGTCTGGGCCACCCCTGTCCTTCGCTTATTAGAGACCCTGGCAGCTCGGCATGAAGTGGGAGATCGATGATGGTCAGGCCACTATAATCCTCCATAAAATAACGGCAGTTACCGGGGGGTGCTTTGGTATCTCGTACGGGCCGTAATAGGTACAATACGACACCCTGGCCGGGCTTTGAATTAGTAGTAGCAAGACCCTCTTTCGGGGGGATGCACGAGTTATTGAGCTGGGACCAACGCTCTACTAGGCACAGCAACGTCAGCCCTGGTCAGAGACAACCCTTGCCGTTTTTGTGCATCCGTTCCCCGTGTACGGAGTAACGAGTAATACGTGTGACAGTACCTAGATTTTCCAGTGCGGCTTTTCTCGGTGAAGACATGTCCTGGACTCATGGCGGGCGGGCTATATGGCTGTAGAATACGACTTTGATGTGATAATACACACGCGCGGTTCTGCAGTAAGGTCAACCCACCTCCGGCATCCATGACCTGCCATTACGAGTATGTGACCCCCGCTCGCAAAATGCCTGTCCAGTGTTATCCCGATATTGTCGGCGACTGCACAAAAGTCATTTGGACATGTCCGCTCCAAGGCAAGCTGTGTGTAACATTATATGGCGCAATGCTGGGCAAAGGAGACGCCCATGGAGCATTTGCTTTGGCTAACCCATGCCCTGGGAAGAACTTCAATGTCGATCCTGGAGCCGTTGAAAACTCTCCGATATCACTGAATCCATAGATAGCAATGACAGCTCCCATGTGGGCAGCAAATTTCATACTGTCCAAGAAGCTATACCAAACGGGCAGGATCGAAAAGCAAAGCCACTGGCCCGCAGCGGTTGCATGTGTGAACCCTAGCACTGAACTCTGTAAATCTCTTAATGACGATGCTTTCGCCCGAAATTCGGTATGCTGGAGCCCAGGGTCCGAACGGTGGTGGCCCGTCATGACATTGGACGTTTAGCGAGTGTTCTAGCCCAATGCCTCGTATTGCCGTATTTCGGAACGCGAGCTTCGTCCCAGGATCACACAATTCTGATCCTTTAATAAGTCACGAGCGAAGACTCACCTTGGCCTTTTCGAAGAACTGTAACACAACAAGCAATACATGAAGTCATCCGCGAAAATGCCGCCTTTGGGTGCACGAGACCCAGCAAATATTTCGGCGCAAGTAAAGTGGTATCGGTTGGTCCAAACATATAGATTGCATGTGAATACTTGTACTGTAATGCTTCAAAGCACCTCACCAAAACTGATATACCCTACGTGAAAACACATACTACCACTACCAAACGAGACACCATGAAATTCAGAATCAGAACCAGAGAGCTCGAGCTCTCGAAAGCCCTCGATGAAGTCTTTTTGCGACTCTTCCTCATGGCCATGCGACTCTTCCAGGTCGTATGCAGCATTCCCATCATCGGGTTCGCAGCAGCTTTCATCAGCGCACTCTCCAGCGAAGACCAAAATGTGCCGTCAAAACTGTCCGCGGCTCTCGCGATCGCTTGCGTCTGCACCGTTTACACCGGGTTGACCCTCCTGCCCATCATCTTTGGAGGTCCTGTCTTCTTCACTGTGGCGGCTGTATTTGACGGCCTGTTTGTGGCTGCTTGGAGCAGCTTGATAGGAGTTTGGGACAATGATGGGACGGCAACATGCCACGCTTTCATCAACAAGTACTTTGACTCGAGACCTCAAAAGTCATACTTCTCCACAGACTGCAAGCTGGTCAAGGCAATGTTTGCCTTTTTGATTATCAATTTGTGAGTGAAAATGCAGCACATTTACTTAAAACCCTTGTATTTTCCCAGCTTGACTAATTCTCAATGTTTACCAGGGCTGCATTTACTGCATCGGCCGTCGTGGCATTTTGTCTCCGCCTGATCGAGCTGGAACATACCATGAGTTGGAGGAGTCTTCCATTATTCAACAAGCGGGACGAAAGGGAACGACATTGCGCTTGCTGTAATCACGACAAATACCATCCATCGCCGCCAGCCAGTATCAGTCACGAGCCCCTGACTAGTTCTGTATGAGTAAGAGGATACGGAATGTTTTGTTGTTTAATGATGGTCTGCCTATGAAGGTATTCGGAGAGTCTACAAAATTGCGTGAGGCGAGGGATTTATGATTGATTACCATTGAAAAAGGACGGCTGAAGTTGACACGGGATGTTTCACCATGGACAGGAGGTTCACTTTGTCTTCCGAATTGGATTGGAGAGAACAAATGTATCATTAATGCTCTATACAAGAGACGGCGAGATTTACGGCCATAATGTATCAATAATATAATCCTCACAAGTTGCACCTTTTATCCCCATACACTGCTCCAATCTCTCCATGCCCGGGATCCGACAAATAACACAAGACCCCAGGTATGATGTCTCAGAGTCAGTTCTGATGCAGGGATAGGTTACTTGAACACTGCTGATGTCTGGCTCGGCTTGGGGACGACGGGTGATGTTCGCGGGAGTAGAGCAGCGATGGGAAGGGCAATGGAACTACCTAGACGGTGAAGGAAATCAACCACAGGGATCAAGTTGTGATCACAAATTTCCCCGTGATTTCTGATCGCCTGACAATGGTGAGCTTGGGCGAACACAACTGGTGATGAGGGTTTTTGATTGTTGGATCATAAGACGGTGTCGGGTATCATAGCCGTGCACCGGAGTGTTTTCGTAGATGCAATTCCCCACACTTTTTAACTCCTCGACACAGCCAGCCTCGTAGATCAGGTTACTCTTCAACCAGTCGGCAACATTCCCCTGATGTGGTGTGACGGGGGGTTAATAAAGCCTGAATACTTTTTCGACACCGACAAATGTTCCGGGAACAGAAACCTTCATACGCTTTTGGACTTCCACCTGACCTTGGATGAGCAAGCCGAAGTCGGGTTTTGCACGTAACTCCTTTCGTAAGTTTGTGGAATGTTCGTATGTTGAGCAAGTCACTTTACACAACGGTACATATCCGGGTCTGACAACCCGTGACCATTGAATCTATATCGACATAAGTGGTGGTCGTCGTTCGTCTTATCGTGCACCAACACCCCGTTCAAACGTACACTATCCATCGATACAAAAGCTTCTGCAAATTGAACCATGGCAGAAACCAATGATCAATACGACCTTTACAATCGACCTCCGACTCCTCCAGACTCCCCTCTGAGATGGAAGTTCACTCCCAAAGAGCTAGCCAGTCTCCGACACGTACCAACTCCCCCTGGTGTCGAACAGGTCGAAGCCGAGCCAGAACAAATGGGTGCCGGTGACACAAAAACCAACAAACCACCCAAAGTCCCTTTCAAACCTCCAAACCTAGAGACGACGACCTTTCCTCCCGCGGCGGGAGGAGCAGAAAAGGTTGCGAGCAATCCGACATTTGTACCCGAAGCACAGAGGAAGAGTAACAGATCAGACATGGCCGGTGCATTTGCGTCTCAGCCACAATGTTTGAACTCCTTGCCTGAGAACGCCGAAAGGGCCATTTCGGCCACGGAACCCTACTTCCACAGACACGAAACCATCTACAAACGGGTATTCACAAACGGTGAACCGGTCGAGACCATTACTCAGACGTGCGAGATTTCTGGCCTCGACCCGTCGGAGAGAGTGGTGGAGAATGCAGAAGAGGAAGAGGAGGAGAGCATGGAACAGCCGACGACGGACGAGATGGAAGAAGAATCTCTGTGCAGGGCGAAGAAGAATGCAAGGTTGAACAGCAAATGTTGCACCTGCGAGGACGAGGAGGAGGATCTCGGCGGAATATTCGTCTAACACAAAGCGCAAGGACCAAATGTTTCGGGCCCAGCGTTGTTGTGTTTTTGCTGCCTTTTGCCTCTTGCATGGATGTATTATCTGGTATCAGGAATCTTTCTTTTAGGAGCACGCACGAACTGCACCTACCAGGGGGGAAGCGGGGGGGGAGGGGGGTTGGCATAAAAATGTAGTTAAGAAATCCTCCTCGGTGTGAATACCTTTGACATAATAAGACAATACCTCGCTGTGGGGGTATTCAGCGATGCCAGAACTGGCCGTGTTACTGTATTGAATATGCAAGAAATACCAAAGATCAAAGATGAAAACGCACGTGCGAGAAAATGGTATGAGTGTGAATGTTATCAATATTTTCATTGCGGATGACTAGACGCAAGGCATACACACATCTGGGTATCATTGACCAAAACTGAACCACCCGTAGAACCACTGAGACGGTAGCAACAAACAGAATTTCCGAAAGCATTCGTCATTCATGTCCCAAGTTGCGTTGCACACAAAGAGCCAGCCCGCCAGACAACGCCTTGCTTTGGAACGACAAAAGAAAAAAGAAAAGAGGCCAAGAGGACTTCTTCAGGCGAACGCTTCGATGAGTAGGCTGTTGGCCTGACTCGGCGTCATGACCTGAGGTTGCTGCGACCACAGCAAGAAGTCATCCTGCGTAGTGTACTTTGGCTGCGCGGTAGGGAGGATATCGATACCCTTGCGGTCAGAGTAGGAAGAAGAAGAGTCGACATGCGAATCGTCCTCTTCGCACGTCGAGTCGCTCCAGTTGTCCTCTTCGTCGTCGTCATCCTCTACTGTCGAATCGCTGTTGTATTCCCATTCGAGTTCGACGTCATCTTCGTCAATGCCGTCAAACAGAACCTCCTCGGCCTTGACAACCACGACGCCGTTGCGAGGAGTACTGTGAGAATGCGTCGAGGATTTGGAAGATCGGGACTTGGGCTGCGATTTTTGTACGTCTTCCACGTACTCGAATGAGACGTCATCCTTGTCGTCGTTGTCAAGAGACCACTCGTCTCCGGAATCGACCGTGGCTGCATCTGGTTCGCAGTCGTCATCGTCGTGGTTGATGGTGTCGATGATGTACTTTCGTGCATTGTCGAATAATGAACAATGGCCGACCAGTTTGTGGAGTCTGGGCTCGGATTTGCGGGCCTCCTTTTCGATCTTGAACTTGGAAATGGTGCCGAGTTTGTATGCGTAATATCGCATGTCTGAACCAAGAACTGGAGACGATGTGAAGGTTGTGGGAGAGTGGTGGTGGGATTTTGGTGCAACGGCAGCCTTGTTGGCGACCTGCCTGGAGTTGGAGCGAGATGACTTGTCCATTGCGGAGAGAATAGAGAGAATATCAAATATGCGAGGGCAAAGAGCCAATTTGTTGGAGAAGGCCCAAAAATGTGATTCTGATCAGATAGTTCTGGTATGTGTGTGCTTTTCCGAGCTGTTGTATCTTTTCTCACGAACCTGGGGGGGGATCTCGAGTGTTGAAGTATCCTTGTGCCAATGACACTAATCTCCCTTCCCGTAGCACAATTGTAGTATAAAGAATTGTTCACAATGTTCAAAATCGTATGACTTTCCCAGTTCGGAGCTTGCGAATAGGTTGTAGCACGATAGCGGGGCCAAAGTCAGGCCAGACCTCCCCCCGCTGGATCGGTTGCTAAGTCATCCAAGGGTGCGAGGTCTGAAGCCACAGTCGCAAGGACCCTTGCATCAGTCCACGTGTTCTCGAAAGGGAAAGGAAGGCTTTGGGGGTTGGAAGATGGAAGGGAAATCGAAAAAAGGTGGTGAGACCGAGTGGTGGTGTGATACCAGTCCAGACCTCCCGTATTGGCGGATACCGCCTAAAACGGTAGCGTACCGCGGCCAGACCGTACCATTTTTCCCCCAGAGGGTGATCAAGTGCGACAGGTGTAAAAGGCAGAATACGAGCGTATTCTACGCATCGGGTGCACTCGTTGCTCCGTACTCCGTAAGCATTTTCTCGTCTGTATCTCGGAGTCTTCGGTCTCTCGAGTCTCAATCAAAGCTTGGGTTCGGAAAGTCGCACCACAATCGCATTCGGAGAGTATGGCCTGAGTATGAGCCAGTGATACATGGCAAGCTTGAGTCTTTGGGACATTGCGAAGAGAGATTGTCTCCATGCTGGCCTCATAGCCGTCTGTAGGGAGCGAGGTACTCGGCGCATTTTGTATGGTGTTTTATGGTGTTCTCTGCAGTGATTCGCCTCGAACTTGGCGCTTGTGTGGTGAGTTGGGTCGAAGTAAGTATTTATGATATTTGAGATGTTGAGATAAACGAGTTCGTCGAGGGAGTCTTTGAATTTGACAAAGCTGTAATGGGCTGGAATGATAGAATCTGCTGTGTTGAATTTAAAGGTGAGGAATGGAATTCCATGTCCTTGATATACCGCAAGATTTCATGGCTAGATATCGGGACCCAGATGTCACACAAGAGGTCGGTCGAAAGGGCTCACAAGTCAGGGTCCCATTGTGGCCATAAGGAAATCCTCGCACAGCACACCACCTCAAAACAAACTCTCAACAAGCCGATGATTGCATCTCGAAGCATGTTCCCGTCGGTCTGGATGCTGGTCATCGAAGTTTAATATGGCGCATCTATGATGGGACTTTTGACTTCTCACTCACATACCCATTGTTACCCATCAGTCTGTGCTCTTGATGGGGTGCATCCATGGGTCAAGATTGCCGACCAATTCACCGCTGCTGGATACCACTCACTTTTGGGTCCAGATACAGCGCCACTGACCCACGGCTCTGCGTTTATCTGGCTTCACCTGCCGGCCTTGACTTGTGATAGCTGGAAAGCTTCTCGTCTCCCCGCTTCGTAGTCAGCCTCGACAGGGGAAGGGGGGGACAAAACTTTCGGCATGAGCCATGTGCTGTCGACTGTCGACGTGGCCTAGGTTCACCAGGCCAGAAACAGGTGACACTGATATCAGGCTACGGGCGCTCTCCTAGTCCTGTATCCTCAGTTGAGTTACAGGCTACCGTGGGCTAAACAGGGGCGTCTAAACTCAACTAGTGGCCATGGTCGTCGCCGTTGGGCACACAAAGGATAAGGTAAGGCCCCCTCTTTCTTCTGAATAGCAGGTTCAGATCAATGCTTGAGCCTTTAGTGGGCTTGATTACGCATACTAGGTGCATATGATTGTAGGTATTCTCCATGATCACCATCTCAGCAGACAGTGTCTCCAGAGAGCAGGTGACTTTGCTACAGTGACAACGTATTATTGGACAGGGCTACAGGGAGCCATGATGCTACGGTACTACCACGCAAGGCTGACCACCCAATGTGTTAGCTCGACTACCAGTACACTGCCAACACAAGAGGCTCCAAACTGCTGGTCATCCAGACAAGGCTGTCGATGTGTGAGCTTGGCCCCCGAGGCGAATATGGGCAGGTAAGGCTGTGTGTGGCACGGGAGTAGAACCAGGCTAGTACCCAAGACTCTGGCCGAGAACAAGCCGCCAGGACCCGGCCAGGGCAAGATTGTGCTGTTGATAGCATCCCTCGGTACGCACTGGTTTGGACTTGGCGCTCGTTGTACAGTATGTCAAGTTCTTTGGCTTGTCGTTGGTCCACAGGCGACAGGCGACAGGTATAGTCAGGTGCTTGTGGATTGTGCAGGATTCATCGCCGATATGCTGCAATCTTCGGACTTGGATTCGACCTGCATTATTGACGATCGCTCGGGACTGGGATCTCGATCTTTTGGTCTCCGTACTCCAAAAAGTCAAAAGTCAAGAGCCTGGGTGAACCGTGAGGTGCATCAGATGGTAAAGAGTGACAATGGCGTACGGAAAGACTGGCAATGAAACGGAGAGGGCAGACCACTGATGACGCCTATTGGCTTACGACGGCTGGCATACAGCCCCTCCCCCAGTGTTCACGAGAGGACGCCGTGACTTCCCACAGCGAGTGGCGTGGGTGTTGAATGAATCAAAACAGCTCAGGTGTGGATTTCGAAATTAGAGCTACCAGGACATCATATCCGGGGGTTGTTGGGCTCAAAGTGGATACCAAGAGGTACAGTGTGTCAGGCCACGAGGTGGTGCGACATGTCAAGTCATGACGCCTAGTCTCGCCGAACACGCTGGCTGACCATTCCCCCTTCATGCTATTGTTCCTTTTCCACAATGTACCCTGTTCATTATTGTTTCTTCCCTTTTTTGAATGATTGTTATATTGCGGAGGCAAATGAATCAAGTAAGGTGCTACCGAAACATGCGCTGAAATCTGGACCATCCAAGAGGCAAAAAGGCTCTACGTTGTTGTGCGTTCTTTCTATCTAAGGGGAGGCAACTCTTTGGTTTTCGGCTGACCCGGTTAATAAATAGTCTACACGGTGCCTCTCTCTCTTACCCACCCACACACATACATACATACACCTACACCGCTCCGATACACAAAAAAATCACCACGACTGCGACCACCATGGCACAGACCATGAGATTCACCAGCAGTCAGCCTGCCTCACTGGCAGAAGTGTGCAAGTTGGCATGGCATACATTTTATGGCATGCAGAAAGTATCAGAGGATTTTGAGAACCTCCGTTTCGAGGTCTGGACCATCGCAATCAGCCTGGACTCGTTACACAGCGTCGGCACCACATCGACTCTCATCGACCGTCAGCCAGATAGAGCCCGCTGGGCATTGACATTTACCAAGATCCTGACCTCTCTCGGGTCGGCCTTACGACCACTTCACAACCTCGTCAGACTCTACCTGTCCAGTTCGACCAAGGAACGGGCCATCGTGAAGAACTGGCTCACGCACCCGGAGTGCACGTACGAAGGCGCCACGATCCAAGACTTTCGGAGGAAGTTGTCCATGTTGGTCGAGAGCCTGAACGTGTTCCTCTCGTGCCTCACGCACGCCGAGCTGGCCAGGGCCAAGGACGTCTCCGAGACCGAAGAATGGCGAGTCTTGTCCGAGGTCACCAAGAACGTACTTCACAAATGGGATTCAGACGTCGCCACGGGCATTCGACGACCTACGGACAAGATGGTCCAGCCCATCGAACCGCCGGGGTACGTCAGCGAGGACGTCCGCAGCTACATCACGCCGCTGCTCAACAGCAGCGGATCTCCAGGGCTGGGCGTGCAGGTGATGGTCCCGGAACCCCCGCGGTCTCCCCTGCCACCGCGCCCGCAGAGGCTCGATCGAAACAACACCCAACACCCGAGCGGCGTGGTGAATCTGGACGACATTGAGCACGGGTTCCGAAGCCACATGCACGCCATGCGCCGGATCCGCGAGCAGCTCCGCCAGCAGAAGATGAACAACCACCACCTCACGGACCAGAGCTCCAAGCACTTTCCCGAACTCAACAGAGCAGGAGGGTTGGCCGTCCCCTTGACGCCGACCACGCCGACGCTGCAACGCAAGGCCACCGACTCTTCCCAGGCTGACAGTTCGGTGGACTACGCCGACGCGTCGAGCACCGCTTCGAGTTCCCTCCAGAGTTCAGAGACCGGCAGCGTCGTCTCCAACTACCGCGGCAACGCCGACGAGGACGTCAAGCCGGACCTCATCGGAGCCGCGATCGCACAACAACACCAGCAGCAGCAGCAGCAACGATCGCCCGAACGGCATGAACGAAAAAGGAGACGACAAGCCCAGTACCGATTCAAGACCGGCCTGGAGGATTCCCAGTCAGGAGGTTCGGGTGACGATTCGGCCTCCGAAGAGGTTCCTGGCGCGAGGTCGAGGTCCAAATCTGCCTTGGAACAATTGTTGACTACGGCATTGTTCTTTGACCAATAGACCGGGCAAATTTGGACAAGCCAAACCCTGCATTATTACTACGTCGATCGTATATCATGGTACCAGATGACGATTATGATGATTTTGTGATGACTTTGGAAACTGTCATGGGGGCACTTGCATCTTACACAACGGCGTTTATTTAATTTGGATCATGCATGCCTTACTTAACTGCCTATCTTAACGAATGAAAGGGGGTGTTTTATCACGATGCATTGGGACACTGGAGTTTTAAGGGAATGGTTTTGGATTTTGGGGGCATTTTTTTCAAAGAAACAAAAGTCCCCCACAAATACCCTCAGAACCATATACACGAACAATGGGGGAGGACAGGACATGGTTTTTGTGCGTATGTACGTGTGTGAGAGTGTGAGAGACTACTACGAGTCACAGTAACTCACTCGAAAAATTTATAAAGGAGATTAATTTTTCACCTGGGCGTAATCGATTCCGGTCTTCCTTTATCCAAGATATTGTCCCTTGTCAAACTACTTACCAATGTACTGGGAAGGTAGAGAAGGACAGGGAGGGAAAAGGGGGGGAGGGGGTTGAGGTTGATCAAAGCGAGACATGCTCACAATGTCATTCCTTGGATGTATACGCTACACAAGTTGTCCTCTCGGTAGGTACTTGTCTCGTTTGTGGCCTGATAGTTGAACCTCTCCTCATCTGGTCCCCCCTCCCTCTCCCATCTTCCAAGGACGGATGGACATTGGACGGAGTAGATAACTCCGTTACCAACTTATCTCTCTAAACCCCCTCTGTACTGTACAGCCTAGGGGTTCTCGCCTGTCAGGAGACCAAAAACGAAGAGTCATGACACGCAAAGAGATCCGAGGTTGGCACGACCGGGGTTACGTTCCAATCCAATCCGAGTAGCACGCGTAACCTCGTGTAGACAAACTGATCCTATCGTAGGTAGGTAAGGCACCGGCGTGAAACATGGATCATCATCTGTCAGTGGTCCAGAGTGGAAACCAAGGCTCTTGGAAATGCTGCGGTTTGGTGTTGCCATCTTTCTTGTACTACAAGGTACATATCATGATGAACAGCTGATTTCCAAAGGAGTAGGTGCTACTCCCTTCCCAGTGAGACGGCCCGGGGGAGGAGCTTCTGCATGCACTTACTTCCTACCTAGGTACGTACTGTTACACGGCCAAAGAAAAAAACACTGCCCCGTCCGTCGATGACGAAGAATTGGTTTAACCAGATGCTTCATCCTTTTTGCCATACGAATAGTCTTGTTGAGATGGAGACCTGTTTGAAATGATCACATCATTACAGAGTAAAGTGTGTGGGAGTGTGTATGCGCGGGTGTCTGGATTCTGTCGTGCCTTGCTCTGTGATCATATCAAATCAGACCACACCACATCGGTGAGGATCCATCGATGACAATTAGACAGACAAGACAACCAACCCAAATGAGGTAATTATTTTGCTTCTCCAGGTCTGTATATGTATTAATATCAATTCGTGTTTCCATCCCCAGTACCTCTTCTGATGATTAGACCCGTTGTGAAGCGTGAGTGCCGATTATGAAAAGGGGACAGGAGGAGGTCTGGGTCCAGGGTAGGGAATCATCTTTCATATCTTTTGATTCATCGAAAGGCAGGAAAACTCGCATTCACTCGCTTGCCGGAAGATTCATGAGAAAAATGTTCTCCCAAGATAATTAGAACCAGTTACGATACACCCTGATACGCCTCGAAACGCCTTTTCTTCCCCCGAAACCGCCCAAACCGTTACGCGGTCGTTGCCCAGCCTCTTGACAAGTTATCGTGTCAAGGTGTGGGACATGTTTGTGCGGACGGTCCCGTCCTCATATACCAAGCTCGCAACTTTCGTCGTCGCTGTCGATGTAGCAATGCTCGAGTTTCTGGATCGTATCGACATCTAGAAAGACGAAAGACAAGCAAAAAGTTTGGTCAACACACGAACATGCCCACACATGACACGATAGCTAGAGCGAGGCTGTGCTGGGTGCAATAGTTCCAACTCAAGAACTAAGCTTGGGCAGGCTCAGACTCACCCTTCCTCACGTGCTGCCAGTCCTCCCACATGGGTTCAAACTTGTCGAACCAACTGCTTCCGTAGTTGTGCATTTCAGGTCGCGATTGACGTTGTTCGGGTTGTTGTGGTTGGGTTTGTGGCGAAGAAGAAGAGTCGTGGAATTTCCGACTTTCAAACTCTTCTCGTTGAGAATTCAGGTTCTCGAACCATGAATCGCCGTAGCAGTGCATGATACTCTGTGCCACTGGCTTCTTTTCTACCCGGGATTCTCTGCGTTCGATGTACTCGACGGCCAGCTTGTTGAGATTCTCGAACCAGCTGTCGCCGTGGTTGTGCATTGTTGATTCAGACATGACGGTTGTGCGCTTTGTCGTTGGTGACGCCATTGGGTTTGGTGGGTAGGTGTGTGTGAGGTATAGTGAGATTGATTATTGGTGGATTGCTTGTGTGTACGGACAGATGAGATAGATTGTTGCTCTTGTTGCTTTGCTGATACTTGTTGTTGATGTTGAGGATGATGATGATGATGGGAGGGAAGAGGTCCAGATGAATGTTCCTCAAGGCGCTTCATATACTCTTTGGCAAGCCCCGTCCAAAAACGGAAATGGGCTTCGCCATACGGAGAGCACGATAAGGCTGACCAGTCATCTGCTCGGGCTGCTGCATGTCTCAATGTTGCAGTAAGAGGTAAATTGTGTACTCACAGGTGTAGCAGCCGGAAGTTCCCGGATGCCTCTTACTGTAACAACGACAACAAACCGAAAAGGTGAGGCAACGACGGTGGTATGGTAATGCAACTCAGCAAAAGGGATAGGCGCGTTGGGTTGTCGAATTACGAGGTCACACGAAGTTCGCCAAATGCTTGGGGCTTGGAGGGAAAAAAAGTCTGGGCCTAGATGACGGATTACTCTCACACCACTTGTTGGTTGATCGGTGAGCGTTAATTGTGCCCCGGAACACTGAGGCAAGGCTGAGGTGTCCACTGAATAAAAAGATACCTGGGTAGCCGTGGCCCACAAAAACCAACAAGTCACGCCATCTACAGAGTACTGTCAGTATAACGATCTCGGGCCTCGCCGACCTGGCCACAATTGGGTCATACAGTACAGCACCTGGGTCAGCTGGAGATCCTTGATCCGTTCTTCATGCAGAAGGGAGCCATAACCTAGTAATCCAGGGCATTAAGCTTAAGTGATAGGTGGATCATTCTTTTTTCACTCATCACGCATATTCTGGATTCAAGGGCTCAAGGCTCAGCCATCCTTCCCCGGGTTCTCGTTGGTGCGCAGACTATCTGAGGACCCTTTGGCTTTGAAACTTGTCACTTGATATTGAGACCACCATTACTTTCTTTTTTGCGGTGATGCGCGTGTGATCGTGTCTCATCTCATGTTTCCTGGGGCTTTGAGAACCCTGGGACGAGTTATACACCGACTGCTGCATGTAAACTGATAGCGACACGATTGGTGGTTTGCATATTCTTGGGTTTCACCGACAACTCCTCCCTCACCACATGATAGTCAGATACCATGCTAGGGAATGATCACGGATACCGCTGTGGCGTTCAGTATGTCATCTTCATTGGGTAAAACTCATGCCGCTTCATTATGATGCTTGATAGCAATAACCCGTTTGTACTGTACAGTGTATGTGGTTGGTTTTCCCTGACGACCTGATTCCCGAATGACCACCCACTACAAAAACGAAAACCCCGTACAGCCTTGGTGTACAGTTACTTTCTCTCTGCCCGATAACGATGACATAGCCCATGGTGATGGTGAGTGAAAATTCAACCTCTTAAGATACCACACACTGGTCTTATCACATAGCCTGAAAGAAGTAACCATTCAGCAAAGGCCTTCGCTCTGTCTTCGATGATGCAGTTGATCGTCCCTGTCTCCTTCTCTTCCGCTTTTATGTGTTGACTTGGCTCGTCGTCCGAGTTGTGGATGATACCGATCGCCTTTGGTCTTCGCTGCCTGATACGCCTCCGTATGGCGGTCAGATATTCGCTGCTGTAGAAGGGTTTCTCCGTGCTTGTGTACATGGTCCTTCACCGCCTGATCTTCACACCTGAGAATTCATTTTGTCTTCCTCGACGCATCGTGACCACCTTGGAGCATGATATGGACATGGAATGCGGTCTCGGGGGCTTTTGTTGACCTTCTGTCGGCCCACTCGACGTACTGAATGACGATATCGACGGCCTGCACACGTCTCTCGTCCTCATCCTCGGGCGTGTCAGATGCCGCAGGTGGCAACAACCACGCCCCTGACAAAGCGTCGATTTCCAGGTCGGTCTCCGCGTCGAACAAGAGACCCAGCCGACCTCTGTTACCCATTTGCGCTATCGCCCTGTAGGTATGTTTGGCTTGTTCGGGGTTTTTTCTGCCGATGTGCCTTGCGCAATCTGGTATTCCCCGGCGAGGTTGCTTTTATTCGATGCTTTCCTCTCCCCTTGACCCTTTTGGCTTCTGGAGCGACGCAGCAGAAGGAGAGGAGGGAAACAGACCGCCCTTTTAGAACCTTGGAAGTATCTTGAACAGGTATTGAATTCCAACCTTTCTCAGCCACAATTGATAAGTCACTGGGGAACCATCCAATGGTAAGATGTACCCATTATCTCTCCCGGGCCATCAGTAACCATTCCCGCCATTCAGATGGCACCATATTGAAACGCACTCGACTCGGCATCGTTAGTGAATCACGTGGGTCCTCGACTATGCCGGTTTCCTTTGGTATCAGACCACCCTTGCACCACCACCGCCCCGGAATCACAGCCACATAAAATTATGTACTCGTACGCTAGACTCTTCTGTAATGTTCGCGATCCGTCGTCCTGGCATCAAATCAAGTCGGTCTTTGATTCCGAGGATGACGTGCAGGCTTCGGTTTCGAATGGCCAACTACGTACCCGAGATCCGATGTTGATAAATTATTTCGGGCCGCTATGAGTTAACATTTATGCTCAATGTTTCATAGGTCAGTTGTGGTCTTGTGAGCGCAGTAAATCTTTGGCTTTGTGCCGAGAAAGCAGGTGTCGACAAGAAACGTCGAGGTCCTTTTGGATCGCAGGAAGTCCCCTCCGGTTCAATGCTGGCGAATTCGTTCGAGGCAGGTGATGAACGACGCTGAAGCTGTCAATCAGTCGACAGTATTAGTTTAGCAACACATCTCTCGACGGAGGCTCGTATGCTGGAATAGGAGATGATCAAATCTGTGGAAATTTTTCTTCATTGGATGTCTGTCTGTCTGTCTTCTGAATATGATGGAAGCAATGCTTGCTCGCATCAGTGAGATTTGTGTGAAGAGACACTCGTTCGCACTTAGCTGAGTCAATCCATTCTACGTGTATATCGTCCCGTCTTCCGCTCGGCTTCAGCTGTGCAAATCTTTTTGTCTGAGATTTTTTCCAATCCAACTCTTGCTATTTGTGCGTGATCCAAGAGGCTGAGTCGTGGCTGCCAGTGAAAGTAAAATAGATCCAGAAATGTAACCCAAGGCTGTATTGATGACCCATGTGGTCACGCCCCTACCAGCTGATCCAATATAACATGCTCTTCATATCACATAATAATGCACATACCATGATGTTCTTGCATACTCTAAATCCAAGTTCGTATCCGTACACATAGTGCATTTTCAACCAACGCCAGTCAAATGCAGGACCCAAAAGCCTTCACTTTTAGGTGTTGTGGATGAGGAAATTCTTAAAGGAGTCCCAGTAATCAGAGTTGACATAGCTGGTGCTGGGTTAGTATGGCCACTGATACATTCATAATCGTCAAAAACTTACATGTACTTCATGCTGCTTCTCAAACTGGGTTGAATGCTTTCGGGTTGCCATCTGAAGATGTACATTACAAAAGCCCAACTAAAACTCGCAAACACAGGCCAGGCGTTTCTCTGAACCATGGCCTTCGTCTCGGGTGACAGCCTCTGCGTCCACAGCGTCGGGGTGGGTGTTGTACTCGTCATGGTGGGCGGTTCGATGCTAAGTCGCGCCAGAGCGAGTATGACCCTGGCGAAAACGTAGATGACTATTTGCTGGTTCACACTGGAGACGGAAAATGTCAACCTTGGTGCCTCACATTTTTCCCGAGGGGCATAATCTTACCTGCCCTGCTTCGCGCGACCGAAGACGGTGTAACCCCCCAGTAAACCGGCAAAAAATGTATCGTATGGTCCTTCTTTTCCAGGGTTTGTCGGATTTAGAAGTCTTAATACCAACATGGCGGATTTGTAGACTGCCGCGAATGTCGCGAGGTTTTTCGCATGTTGTTTTGTAGCTTTGAAGACTAATCGTACTTTTTCTCGTATGGATCCCGAGCGAAACAAAAAGACCATAACAAGCGCATGCGGAAATCTGACCTTGGCCCCATATACGGCGCCATTACGAGCGGCTTTGATGATTGCTAGGAGGGGAGCGAGGTCCGGATTCAGGATGATTGATTCAGCGGTATCCTATCAGTGTCAGCGTCGTATACACAAAGCAATCTTGGGAGGGAGGTATACTCTGAGCACGTCCATGACTGCTTAATCAACACTTGACGTTGTTATACTAGCTGCTAGATATACTGTGCGATAAATGAAGAGGATTGCAGTCCAAAGCGGATCGATCTGGGGTAGGCGAGGTTGGACTGCGCTTGATGGAATGTTGTGACAGTGCTCACGTCATGAAGGTGTTGACAGACTGAAGATGAGACAAGCTGGCATGTGAGATGTTCTGATCGGGGGTCAATGCAGGGAAGTTTGTATTGTACGCAATGTCAATGGGCAGAATAACAGAGGAAGAGAGAGGCTCATTAGGCCTCGGCGGAGGAAACGAGAGCGCGACATCATCGGTGCATGTGAACGGCAAAGCTTGGGGTTTCTCTCCACATTATTTCGGGTTGGCTCGACGTACTTTTCCGTCTTGCCTCGGCTCGTATTTTGAAGTCCTACAATTCTTTGCCCTAACAAGCCGACGTCTTATGTCGCCGGCACCAGCAGAACTCCATCGTCTCATAAACTTGATCCAACTCCGACCTCCCCCAACAGCTTGGCCATGACCACAACGTACTCTCTACATGTTTGATCTTTCCAACCACACGGAGGCGTTCTGAACCGACAGACTTGGGTTCGTTAGCGGTCCTGAGGCCATGCTGCAGTCATGCGTCGTCACTGCTCTTCTCAACTAGGCTGTGTGACTGCAGATGAAGGGCGCATTGCTTTTACCGTGTGGCGAGGGATGAGATATCGTCCATGTCAGCCCCAAAGAAGAGGCAGTCTTGGGAGGTCCATTGCGCATTCGTAGGACAGACACCAAAGTCAAAATGGTCGGATTTTATGCCCGACAGTCCTGTCTCATGCCCGATCCAGCCCATCATGCCCTTTTTAGAACTTCTTGCCTATAGGGGTTTTGGAATTAGGAGGGATCAATCCCAAACGCTTTCATGATAACCGCTGTCGCTTCGGCTTTTCGTTCTGCTCGCTGTTGCCCATCGCTTCATCTTCGTCCTCACCGATACTGATCTCGTCACCAGACCCTCCCATGCTACTTCTACCATCTGAAAAATCTTCATCTATCTCCATGCCACCGTCGACCATGTCCTCGTCTTGGCTAACATCATCGTCCTGTGAGCCAGTTCCGTTCATGTCCTCAACGTCCAGGTCTCGTGATCGCTTCAGACCCTTCATTTTTCGTGTCTGCAATGTGCTGAGATCCTGCTTGCCAAGATGAACCCGACCAATCTTGTCACCGACCAGATCTGTCTCAATGTTTTTCTTTGTGCGAGCCTCGTTCGGTCGACGACCATGCTTCATAGCCTCTTTCATCACACCAGGATCGGCTTCACGAAGTCGACCGACTCGAAAATCGAAACTCGGCCCTATCTGATCGAGTTCCACGCGTGGGGTTTTGGCATTGTTTGACCTCACGGTCTTGATCCGATACCATCGAAGGTGGAGCACGGGCTTGTTGGAGGGATCGTTCAGGTCGGTCGAACCGGTTGAGGTCTCGCTAGCCGCAATCATGAGAAGGTACTGTAGGCCGGCCACATCTACCGAGGAGATCTCTTCGCCCTGAAACAGATCCAGCATCAGAGACTTCACTGTCCGATAAAGCGCAGCCTGCTCGGATGATGAGGAATCATCCCACTGCGATCCAGAGAAGAGTATCATCGGCTTCATCTCAACGCCAATCTGTAGCTTCTGCTCTTTCTCCGGCTGGTCTGGTGGCAGAGTGAGCAGCAGCTCCATCATGTCGAGAAGTTTTCCATCGTATGTACGGAGCACAGTGATGTTGTTAGGTCTCTTTTTTGAATGCGTCCCAAAGACCACCACACCGCATTCATTCTTGTGTGCCAAAAATTCTAGGGAAGCAGGGTCTTCGAAGGGGTAGATGTCGCTGTTCTTCTTGTTGAGGAGGACTGAATCGGGTTTCGTCAGAGTGTGGACGGTCTTGAGCACTGAAGCCACAGGCTGCGGGCACTTGCTGCCATGTAGAAGCAGGACTTTTTTGCGGGATTCAATTTGTTGTGGTTCTCGTGCTTTGACTATACGAGCCGTCCGGGCATTGCGAGGTTTACTACATTTTGTTAGCGAGCAGGAATCCTTCACTTGTGCGAAACCTTACATTTCTCTTAACATTTCGACACTTCTGTTCAGGCGCACTGTTCGGCCAGCAAATGTAGATGCCGTCCCTGCAATATCAAAAAAAATTGTACCGAGCGCTGTTATCGATAAGCTACTGCGGATCATACCATGCTGCTGTACACCAAATTTACTACTACAATGGAACCTTTGCTTTACAGTAGACTCCCAAAAATGATACCTAGGTAGATACAACTATCTTACATAATGTAGGGCACCTATCTCAGTTACTCACTAACATCCACTCTCCTTCACTCTCCTTCTCAAACCAAGCAGCCAAACCAACAAATAAAAACCCACCAAAAAAACAAAAAGTTTGGAGAGTCGAAGCCTGGAACTGGCTTCTTCTTTACTTATCCCGACTATGACCATTCGTACCTCTAGAAAGTCTTAACTGCTTGTAGAGATAGTACAGTAGTCATGGAAACCTGCTGACTCCCAGTTTATTCCACTAAGCGGGTTTCCAAGGATAAGCCCCCCTCCGAACCATTGGGCCAAAGCCGCGATTCGACGTGGTGAGTCTTTAATAGTGGCCATCAAGGCGGACTTTGTTGAAGGAAAATTCACTTGTTAAACATATCAAGGGTATGAATTACTCTGGTGGGTCACTTCGGTGAATGACAAGTCAGGTAGGTACTTGCTAACATGAGGCATGTTTTCGTGCGATGACTTTCACTTTAAATCTGATTTTGTGTTGCGGCGTCTGGAGGCAGGTCCTCAATAATCAACACTGGAACTGCTGAGCACGAAATCAGCCGAGATGAGCGAAACGAAACAGCTTCATGTAAAGTGATGTGCTCGTTCATCCTGGAATGCCATCGAGCAGAACCGTAAGTGTCTTCTGTTAATATGGCCATCCTCGTGTCACTAATAACACCGTGCTTCTGATGACGTCTACACGAGCTTAGCGTCAGGATCACTAGTAGATGATCTGCCACCAGAGTATGCCGTTCACAAAGTATAGAGAAAGTCTGGGCTAGAGTAGACATTGTGGTTAGCATCCATCTGGGTGTTTGAAGTTGGCAACAATCCCTACCTTTCATCGCCCATCAGTCGGATCTCATAGTCATTCTTCCCCTCAACTAAATAGTCTCTCTTCCCAGCTTTTCTCAGTGCGTTCTCGCGACGAAGGAAGATATAATGTAACACGGTACCACCGAAGAGGCAAAATCCGAGATACCAGAGTAGTACTGCGTGGCCAGGGATGAAACGAGGCTTGTCCGCGTCTCGGTAGGCATTACTAACAACAACGCCCTGCAGATTCGACCATCCCATCATCAGGCCAATTGTCACGCCTCGTTTGTACACGCCTTCCGTATTGTTCGCGACCCAGGCGATGCCGTTTGGCAGACACGGGTAGATGCCCATTGCCGCTAGAAAAGTGGCAGCATATGTCGCTCTAGCAGAGCAATCGCTAGCAAGGATGGCGAAGCCAATGACGGCGAGAGGGGAAACTATCATCGTATAGATACCTCGTCGCTTTGTTCGATCTGCTAGGAAGCCAACGGCCACAGTGAGCACCGCTGCCACAGCGTATGGCGGGATGGAAAGTAGCTGGGAGGTCGTCGCTTTCCACCCGAGCTCCGCGAGGACTGCAATATTGATTAGTGAACAGCAGTAACCTTTCCACAAGAGTTCTTACTGCTGGGTAGAAACAAACTAAAAGCATAGAGACCAGCACCCATACCCATACTGAACATAGAGGATGTGTACGTCTTCCAGTTGCGAAGGTTGGCCCAGAAGTACGTCCACTTGAATGTTTCGAGTCCGGCACTGGCTTGCTGGTCCTGCTTCAAGCGGTGATACATCCGAAATCGCTCCTCCGCGGTTAAGAATGTAGCCTCATCGGGAAAGTCTTGTACCATCCAGAATGAGATGATCCCAATGATAACTGTGGCGATCCCTTCGAGGATAAAGATCCAGGCCCATCCAGATTTACCACCAACACCCTGGAGTTTCGAGATACAATATGCGAGTAGGCCACCGAAAGAATCCGCATTGGCTGCAGCGCTGAAGATCAGAGCAGATCTCACACCAAACTCGGATCGACGATACCAGCAGGAGAGATAGAAATTACACCCTAGAAACAATCAGTAGTGAACTGCAGGAGCGCCAGGCTTTCGTAGAACTTACCTGGGAACAGTCCAGCCTCAAAAAGGCCTAGAAACCAGCGCGTTGCTGCAAGGCCGGCGAAGTTGCTAACAAATCCCTGACACACGGTCACAATCCCCCAGAGAATCATGCTGTGACATACAGTTAGTGGTTGACAGAATCCGCGCGATCGCAAGACCATAGGAGCAACTCACAGGCTCGGAATGTACAAGCTCGGTCGCAATTTCTTCAGCAGCGCATTGGATGCGGGCTCAAAAACCGAGTAGGAAACGAAGAAAATGGCCAAGCCGGCGTTCCATTGCCCATTTGTCATGTGCAAGTCCTTCTACAAGCCGGCGATTTTAGCGTTCCCAATATTCGTTCGATCCAAGAACGAAACCAAGTACAAGAGACACAGCCATGGGATGAGCCTGAGGTCGACCTTCCATAATAGTTGACGTTCCTTTGGCACCCTGGGTCAGCATCGGCTTGAGAGCAGTTGACGGTGAAAGCGATGGGAGGTTTCTGCTTTACCTTCAGCTTCACCTTCAGCTTCTTCTCCTCAAGGCTGAGACCGGCGTCGGGATCGTCGACGGTAAGAGAGTTGCTAGCTTTGCCGCCAGGGCCGGTTGCTTCGATTTGGACTTCTGAATCCTTCTCCATTCTGGGCTTTTGGGCGAGTTTACCAGTGCTAATGCTCGAATACTGCGGTGGTCGAGGTGCCGACCAGGAATCCAGTTCCACGTATACTTAGGCTTCTTTTTATTTCCCCCACAGGTGCGTATGCCACCCGTGGTCCTCCGACTGTCGTTGCACCCCGTGGGGTGGATGCTTCAGCATCTAGTGATCTCGAGCCTTCACGGCTGAGGCGATTAGAACGAAGGGCGGATTGGAGAGCGGCAAGCGGTCGACGCGCTAAAAGCAGACTTAGCCCGCGTGGATGTTCGCGCGAATCACAAGCCATAGGACCATCGCAAAGACAAGTCTTGCGGAGCACGGAGAATGCTCCGTTCTTCACAGAGGAGTCTCGCAAAAAATCCATCGTTCAGCGTTGTAGGCATGGCGGGAATCTGGATCCGTAGCGGAGGGCGGCGACGCTGCTCCGCACTCATAGGAAGAGAGACTGGTGCAGGGGCTGAAAATAAGATGTGGTAGTGACGGTATCTCAGGCCTTTGCTGGGTCTGGGCCTTTTGTCCAACCTTTTCCAGCGACGCCATGTAGCACAAGGCTCGAAACTGCCACGGTGCTCGATCTGTACATTTAGCTAGAGAAGCATATTGAAGACCTCCTTGGGAGCTGACTATCAACTCGTCGCTAGAATGGTCTGAAGAATTTTGCAATTTTGGTCAAGCGTCGAATGAGCTCATGCCCACTGGGCTTCTAGGTAATGCAATTGTACCTTAGTGAGAAATCTACTCGATTACTCGTATCCGTGGGCGGTGAGGGATTGTGAAGGCTCTTCGGGCTGCCTGAACAACGAGGTGATATTGGGAGACAGGCCCCGTAGGCCACCGTATTTCGGCTTAGAGAGGCTAACTGGGTGAGTCTCCTTTGAGTAGGGTGTTCTTTTTGGGTCTATAGCGACTATTCCTTCTCGCTCTATCAGGGTCGCTTCGTGGCTAGTGAAGGCTGATTCCCTCGAGCTTTCTATGCCAAAGCAGTCAATTCGCTCTTGAAGGCGTAGAGAACGGGGAGTCAAGTTATTTGAAGTAGGCACGAGTACGAAGGTCCGGTACCGAGTAAAGATCAAAGACGTTCCCAAAAGTCCGTATGAGTGCCTCCATCACATGCGATGGCTAAACAACGGAACGACGAGGCTGCCTACTACTCAAGCCTCGCCAGCCTCGCGACACCAGAAGACCCACGAGAAATATATCAAGTCACTACCAATCGGATCAGTGACTTTTTACTTCACAATCACCAAGGCCCGAGGTGAGGACTCAGGCCAAGACCTCGTGGCTATGTGGTGGGTGGTCGTTGGTCTGGCGAGCAAGGAACAATACAACACCAAAAAGACTCGGGTTCAATTGCCAGTCCCCCAACAATGGCCCCTTTTCTTCAGCCCCGCTTGCCTTAAACTTTAACCAATCACGCTTCATTTCCACTCCTTTTTTGTCTCTCTGCTTTGGGGAAAAGTAAAGGTAAAGAAAACAAAAAACGGAGATTCTTCTGATTGATGTACTATATGTTCTCTATGATGTTAAGATAGATCACTCTAGGTTTCTAAACGTCCTTATATGCCAGCGCCCTCCTGTACCGGAATAGAATAGTCATCTCGTTGCAGCAGAGCCGCGCCATCTGCTCCCTCTGTTGACCTTTACGTTATTCCACATCAAAATAAAGACCACCGTTAGCGAGAATATCGCCGTCGCTGCAATAAGGATTCTTCCTTGCGCAACGGCATATGCTGCATTGATGGCCTCACGCTCTGCCGATCCCCAGGGGTATGACAATTGTTTGCGGAGAGAACCATATATGCGGGATGCCTGTCTTTTGCTACTGTCTGGTAGATACTTTTCGAGGTATTCAGGGAGGGTATTTGTCCAAATGGCTCCGGAAATCGAAAGTCCAACGCTTGCACCGATTGATTCGAAGAGCGCCATCAGCGCCCAGATCATTGCGGCGTCGGCATGTTCGACCCGTGAAAGTATTGCCATCTCCGAACACAGGAGCAGACCTGCTTCACCAAACGAGATGAAGACTTGAGTCATCACTACGTATCCGATGTATTTTGTCTGGTTTCGGAAGTAGATCATCAGACCTGTCCCCAGCACTTTGATGGGAAGGAGGCCCAACGCTATCCACTTCACTCGTCCCCAGTATGAGATTCCACTTGCTAAAGGTTAGGAGACAAGCACAGATCAACACAGAAATGCGGATTCCGCACATACCAAGCGACTATAAGCCCGAAGACGGACGCCCCTAGACTGTAAATGTTGTTGATATAACCAGCGTTTTCAACACTCTGGTCGTAGACAACTTGTAGATAGGAGCTGAAGTAACTCTCGTAGCATCTGCAATCCACCTTGTCAGTGCCGTGGTTAGATGACGCGACTAGGTGACCTACCTTAGACCCATCCATTGTATAAATAGTACTGCGCACCCGCCTAGGACAGTCCTATCTTTCAGAACATGGTAGGACACAATCTTGAATGGCGCAACGCGTTCCCAAAATATAAACGCAACCAGGATAAACCCTCCCAGTACCATGAGGACAATGATGGCTGCAGACCTCCATTTATGGGCTTGATAGGTTGCGATGGCCAGAGGAAGCAGGATGAATGAGAATCCTGCCACCAATAGAGCCATACCAATCGCTACAACGTCAGTGTTTCGAAGTCCGATCGACTAGGCGGTCAACAACGTACCGTCCCATTCTATAAGTGTTTGCACAAGCTTTTGTGACCAGCTGCCGCTACGAGGCGTCTTTTGGGCAACTCTGCCTTCTGCCCTTGCCTTTCGCAGAGTGAAGAGGTAAACAACTAAGAGCGGAAGGGTCATGACGGGAATGAGTACGGCGAAAGTCCCAAAGCCCCAGCGCCAGGTGCTATGATGCAAGAATTGCTGCGCGAGAGCGGGTCCGGCGAATGTCGTCGCAATACGGGGCAATCCAAGTACAGCATAAACCAAACTCCGGTACTTCACGTTGGATATGTCGGCAGCGAACACGTTGATGACTAGCCCAACTCCCTCGATACCAACTGTTTGGAATACCTAGGCAAGATCAGCCTCGCGACTGTGGCCAAGGACAGATCTTTGCTTACTTGTGCAACGGAAAACCCTACTGTACCGGTGCAGGCTGCAGCAATGAGCAGACCTTTTCTGTCAGCGTGTTTCAAAATTCCGAACTGAATGTTTGTCCCGAGGGTCTTACCAAGAACATCGAAGACGGTAGTGACGGTCAGGCCAACACCGCGGCCCCATATGTCCGTAATCCTCGCGAATGGTAATTTGGCCACTCCCCCTACTATGTTCGAGACAATCGAAGTGGCAGCGGTCAAGCCGTGGGCGTCGAACGAACTCAAGGCGTAGGGGCGAAGCGGCCCCAGCGACTGTGACTCTAATGCGTTGAAAAATGTCAAAAGAAGCCCGCTACGCAGGTTAGTATGTTGGACGGGCGAATCCACAACCACAAGGATGGTAGTATACCTTAGACAAAACAGCACACACAACGGCGTGGTCCAGCTCGCAATCACTGCTTCCGCTTCCACAACACCTTTCAAGCGTACGTCTCTCGTTGTGTTCTCAACATCACCGCCCGAGTCTCCTGTCCGGGTCTCGAAGACTGCAGAAGGGTGGCTCGTGGGTTGCGTCGAGGTCGTCCCTTCGGCCTTTTCGTCGAACTTGAGCATATTGTTCAAAGGCTCTCCTCGGACACAAGAACCTAATATAGAACGGTTCACTGCCGAGTCACAAAGATCAAGGGTATATTGCTGTACTAAAGTCGTATCACCGTGATAGATAAGATCAATCTTAGATCTCTGGAAGTTGGCATATCATGTCTTATCTAGTCTCATCTAATTTAATCTCTTCACTATAGAACCATTAGAGAGTGGAGCCAAAGACCTAGTACTGTATACAACTCTACTGCCCGCCACCATCGTAGAGAGGATTATGAACCGCGATTGCCGCACCTGCCGCACTGCTGTGACTATGGGCTGCATATGTGGCAACAATTTGTTAAATCACACACGATAAATCGAGCCTAGAAAGGAAAACTGACTTCACACGATCTGAAAATGCCGGTATCTGAATCCTTGGACACAGAAACCGAGTCTTCTACAGTGTTCAGACACAGTGCTTGTCGCTTCTATCGATTCACACGAAGAATAGTAGTGTGAATTTGGCCTATCGTTCTTCTCCTCCTTACACTTACACTCTTATGAGATGACGAAGGCGAGATGCCGAAATCTTACGATCGCTTCAATTATCGACACTCTCAAAAGTTTCTTCTGAATAGTGTCTAGCTAGTAAAGAAATGTGAATTAACTTCTCATATCACGGTTTTTCCTAGATTAGATCTTCAGCCGGTGGTAGCAACGATAGTAGATCAAACAAACTCCTCGAACTCCTTGATTGGCCAGTAAATGTGTAATGATAGCTGTACCGAAGAGTGAGGTTGCACCTTTCGTGAGGCACGCATTCCGCTCAACTGCTTCCTGAATTATACAATTTGATTTAATGAGAGCTCCGTACCCAGGAAGACGACGCTTAGTATGAACAGCCTGGTGGATGTTCACAATACACGGTTCTCAGCCCACCGCAATATCCTGTCTAATGGCCGAACCGAGGGGTGGAGCGTCATCTTGATTTCGCATGTCAATGATCTGTTTTCCACGCATGAAACATTAAGCTGTGTTATCTCTACTCTCTTTGTAAACTGCAGGTGAGGAGTATTACTTGACCGTCTGCGAACATGATCTTCAGTTATCCGCAATATCCGATCATCTTTGTAGCTGCGCTCCACCAACGTATAGGTGGCTAGCTCGGTGTCGGTTATAACGCAGTATGGTCAAATTTTTGGGCCGGGATCACGGTGCACTGTGTTAGGGGACGAAAGCTACTGAGCAGCCTAAATAGCACACGCTACCGACCCTATGAGAATAGTCACTCGTTATGACGATGATGGGCACAGAGCTATTTGAAGTTGCATTAACATACGTAACACGATGACCAGCAAGGAAGTCAAGACTCTCCAAGTCATTCCACTGCGATGGTCGCCAGGCATCTTGTAGGAAACATCTAACGGTCGCGTGGGTTCTTCAGTCAATCGTTCCAATCCCATCCGCTGGGCCTAGGATGGTAGCTACGTGTGAGACTCGGGTGGTCAATAAAAGTCTTCCAACAGCATAGATTTTATTTAAAGGAGAGATCTTCCCAGAGCAGTATCCATCTATTCAGTAGTAGTAGCAGCTCATCCGAAGAAGAGTCGAGTTTTGGACTGACGAGATGCTATGTTTGACTCACCTTGCCCAACCACAAGGGTCACATCAGCCAGATCTCTCTGTCTGTCGCCCAGTGAGCCGTATCGTACTCTCAACGAATTCGCCGTAGGTCCGCTCCGTCAATGTCGCTCGCAACCTGCCTTGTGGTCTCCCGCCCCCTCAATATTCTGCCCTGTTCATCACGTTCTCCTATCAAAGGCACGTCCAGCTCGACGTTACTCCCATCCATTTTCGCGATCTTCACCACGTGGCGATCTGCGATCCTGTTCTCTTCCTGCACCAGGAGTTCGACATCGACGTCCATCAAGTGGGTAATGCTCCGTATCTTCTACACGTGCTCCTTGAACTCGCCGTACGTGGAGCTGTGGCGGTCGATGACCTGAATGTGATCTGGACTTAGCCGGGGGAAGAGCAAGGGCGGCATCACCCTGTTTCTTAATTGGGGTTGAGTCACGAGCAGGTAAACCACACCGTGGCACCTCTCATTGTCAGACCTGCACGAATCGGCTCAGAAAGCCATCAACCCATTCTTCTAGGATTCGAAAGGCCACGTTGTGAACGGCGACAGACGCTGGCGACGACGTCAAACCCGCTGGGACAAGGCTGTGGCAAGAAAGGGGCCTAAAGGCTAGCTGGGATCCGCGAAAGACAGGGCGCTGCCAAACGTGGGGCAATCTTAACAAAAATCCAAATATGACCACGTCCATTGTGCCGACATATCCTGCACACCTCTTAAGCCTTGTCGATAGCACGACTTTCGTGAACAAAGATGACAAAACCAGCCCTGCATCGCTAGGAGCCCGCGTTCGAGGGCCAGCCAGTGAAACACTGACAGCGGACTATTTGGATTGGGACATTGATGAAATTCCGTATGCCACGAAGGAAGCGCCAAACATGGGAAATGGGATGTGAAGATGCCTTTACTTCACTAGTGTGACTTGGTAGGGCCAAGCCATGTCAGACTTCGTCATGGCTGAGATTCATGCCCTTGTCGTCTTCCAAAACTCCCGCTCTGGCCAGGTTGTGGCGGTCAAGGAGCGCACCATTCTCAAGTAGCACTCTCCGGACTTCGCCAGGATCAGGATCGGCTCCGGTCGCTACCCGCAATGCTGCCGCTATGCCTGCTGCTTGTCCAGTTGCCAGTGCTGTACCCATGACACAGACAGCGCTGGAAGCTGCCTGGTCGCCATCAACACAGCGCCCGGCACAGAACAGATTTGGTGTGTTGATGCTATGCAAACAACGCAGTGGGATTTCGAAGGTTCCCTCGGGCGGCGTCGTGAACAGGATCGGCCAATCTTCCTTGGTACTGTCATGTCACTCCATATACCAGGCTCCAACGGCGACGGTGTCATCAAAATAGTTACCTTTGACAATGTCAGCCCTCGTCAGCCGATACCGTGAGTTGATGTGGCGAGATTCGCGCGCGCCAAAGTTGGGTCCGGTGGACACGAGATACATGTTCTCATGCCCGGGCAGCTTGCGAAGAATATTCAAGGTACACCTTGGCTTGGATTCTTCCCTGCCTCTCTGCAGCAGAGATGCTGACGCTGTCTCTGGCGTCGTACCGTGCCGAGGCCATATATGTGCAAATGTCCCCAGAACCAGGCAGCTTGATAAGGACACCGACATTTCGAGGTACAATCTTCTTCAACGCCGGATTTTGCTCTTTCGCGGCAATTATGGCATCGCGCCACAGACTAGAAGACGGGTTCGCCTGCGTCAGGCCACCAAATCGAGTCGCCAATGAGCCCATGTTGATATGCCCATGGTTGCCATATCTCGTTGAGGCGCCGGCGTGGGCCGCCAAATCGCCGTCTCCGGAGCAGTCAATGAATGCTTTTCCGAAAATCTTTCGCCGACCTTTGCGTTCCTGGATGTTGATGCTTGATAGATTACTGTCGCTTCTCTCGCCCCCAACGACCGTACAATGAAGGACAGTCTCGATCCCATAAGCAGCCATTACATCATCCAGCACGCGCTTCAACCCTTCTGGATCGACATTCTGAACCCCCACCGTTAGTTGTCTGGCGCTCAAAATTCAATTTTCTGGGTTTATCTGTACCTAGACATATGCAACTATCTTATCTGGAGTCGCAGCAGCCGAACCATCGGTTACCAATTTCGAATGGATTTCTGACCAGATGGCCCCAAACGCTCTTCTCGGCTTGTGCTCGACACCGTACAGCCCGCAATAAGACGTGACACCTCGATGGGTTGCAGCGCCGCCGAGGCAACCTTCCGATTCTATGATCAGGACACGAGCATGGGGCGCTGCTTGTTTCGCTCCTATTGCAGCACCAATCCCGGCAGCTCCGCCACCAACGACAATGACATCGTACGATGTATCAGACTCGTGATCAGGCCTCGTGGCATGGGGCGACATTGTGCGTGGTTTTGTTTGTTGTGTGCTGAACTTTTGGCGTCTTGAGGTCGGAAGAGTTGTACCTATACGTCGCTCAGCGCGGCTATAGTAGCTATCGGAGAAGCAGGGAGTCTCTATGGAAGGCCGTCAGAACCGATCCAATCTATATTGGAACGTCACCTTAGTATTCGTCTCACATATATACAGGGAATTTGTTGTATTGTAAGTGTTTCGATGTCGCGGAGGCAAATGCCGCAGTTCCGCCGCACTCATGGTGACACACGATATCCATTCCCGACCCTTGACTTCAGTGATCCATAACGGAGAACAGTCTCGTCCGGGCGCTCATGTTGACACTCCGGCCATGCTGAGATCGGGATTTGGTCCTGATACCCGCAGCAGAGGCCAAACAGGCACCTCTCATCCTCCAGCTTTTCCTCTGGGCCATTACCTACAGCGACGGATAGCTGGTTCATGCCGCTGCACATCATGCCCGAAGAGGCTCGGTGAAGGTTCCCTTACATTTGGATCATGCGCAGAACGAGGAGCTGAGCAAGCACGCCGCGGCGAATTTGCCATTCGGGTCCATCATGATTGACACGAGCCGTTACGAGATGGACGAAAATCTCAAATCACCCGCCAGCTAGTCGCCTTCTGCAGCGAACACAAGACCACGACCGAGGCAGAGCCTAGGCGGATCGAGAGAGAAGAAGATGCGTCGCGGACACGGCAGGCCTCAATTGTATACTGACTTCAGCCGACCAAGTCGAGAACTTCATTGCCACTAGAATCGACTTTCTAGTTCCCGCCTCTGGAAACGTCCACGGTGACTATGAACCGCGAGGACCGATACTGGATTATGGATTGTCTCGCCATGATAGGAGAAAAGGTCGCCGACAGAATACGCCTTATAGTCCACGGCACCAACAACTGGCCTGAGCATATCACGAAACTAGGTGTCGATAGGGAATGCGTCAAGACCAACGTGAATGAATTGGGTTTGCTTGCTTGCCTGAACTATCTCAAGTCCTGCGCACCAGGTAAATCTTTGACCACCACGATGGACGGGGGCAATGGAGATTCAGAGACTTACCGAATGGGATATTCATGTATGTGGGAGTGCCCGCAGGGCATAAAGATTTTCCAGTCATCCTGCTAGATTAATCTCCACCAAATTCTCTCAAATTACGCATGGAAGGCGCTCTGTTGAGATCTAGATTGACGAGAGCTGATTTCACGAACAGGACAGGTCAATTTTGATGGGCCCTTATCTATCACGAGAGAACAAGCACGAGCTTTTAGGAGGCCTTTCAAGGGAAGTGACAGTTAGAAGAAGCACGACAGCTGTTAACGATTGTAGAGTCTTGGATTTAGGAAATTTCACTGACCTTGCTATCAGCACAAACTCGAAACAGTATCGAGTTCATCGTGGTATTGTCTGTTGTCAGTCTGACGTTCCGTCTCGGATTCTCATACATAGCAAACATGTGCTAGTCTCATTCTCTTTCCTAGATCCCCTTCATCATAGGTCTGCCATACTCATACCACTAGTACCTCTGCAGCATATCGAACACTCAAGAGACTGCTCAATCACGTTTGTTATGCGTCAAAGGTCTCGGCGGGCACCCAGGATGATTTTGGCAAGGCATGGCAGGGGATGGCATGGTTAGCGGCCAGCAGAAGGATTTGCCATCCCAATCCCAACCAAAGGACAAGGACTCCGGTCATTTCCCGCCTTATCGTCCATCGCCTACTGTACGGGGCGCACTGTGCATGAGTGTGTCGTCAACCACACTGCGAAGCTTCCCACTCATAAAACCACCTCCGACTCCTTGCGATAATTCCAACCTGGTCCCACATGCGCCCTGTCAGCTACGGAGTCCTTGGGCACTCGAAGATTCCCATTTAATTCCCCTGGCACTACGGCTACAGCCACGATACGGAGTATTGGAGGGTACGACGCCGAGATCGACTACTGTCCCAGGCACTGCTTGCGAAATCTCTCTCCTTTACGCGTACGAGTACCTCTGACGGTCCCCTCCCTGGGTACGAGTACTCGTATAGAACTCTGTACATACAAGTGGCCGAATATCGCTGCGGCTGAACAGTGCCGCACTAGGCCCGCCCACTCCATCCACAGTCCCATTGACGCGAGATCCACCAAACTTGGCGTGCCCGGGGGTTTCGTCCACAGACACACAGACCCTCCGGAATAATGGTCTGCCAGCTTGCAACGAGGCGTCAGTGGCTGCGCACGGCGGGCTTGGCGCCTACGTAGAGGCACGAGCATGTGGATTCTGATTGGGATCCAGCATCATTCCCACTCAGCTAGCACGGGTGGCCATGGGCCATCAAAGCGCTTCTGATGGCACATCAGGCTTGCGAAACGGGTCGCGATTTTCGCTTGGATAAAGACAGGTCTCTTGAAATCCGACTGAAATGACAATCAGGTATTGTACTTGAATCAGGCTCTTTACCTCACCAGTATCCATACCTATTCTCAAGCTGTACGAGCTGATCTCCGCCCTGACCAAGTTATTTCGAACTCCTGTCCATGTCAATCCATCACCATTTTTGTTGAAACTCTTGGGATCTTTGCCGGGTCTAATTGACTTCGCCCCCCCTTCAGCTTGGATGCAACGGCTTGCATAAGAAGAGCCTCCAACGACCTTCCTTCTGGTGCAATTACTTTACGTCCCAACCCTCCTTGCGAAATCCCCACGTTACAACTGCACGTTTGGTCTTCCCCGGGCCCAACGCCCGTCCTTATCTTTTGGCAGATCAGCGCGAGAGTTCGAGACTATTACGTTCGTTACCCAGCCTTTTGTTCTTCCCACGCGGAATTAACCTCATCGACCATATCCTCGGTGCCAACTGCTCAAAGCACATTCCCAGGCAAAACGAAAACTTGGTACGAAAGTCGCCCACACGCTCGTTACATCTCTCACAATGGCTTCCGGTATCCCATACACCCCCAAGCCTGCGACCGACATCTTTACCCCATATCAGACCGATATCAATCGACGAGAATGCAAGAGAATAGTGCCCATGCGAGTTCTCGCACTCGGTCTTGGCCGAACGGGCACTGCGTCGCTGCGAGCCGCCCTCAAAGAGTTGGGCTACACGGACACATACCACATGATGTCTGCGAGCGTTGAGAACCCGCCGGACTGCCTCTGCTGGATGGATGCCTTTGCGGCCAAGTACGAGGGCAAGGGCAAGTTCGGTCGTGAAGAGTGGGACGCCCTGTTCGGTCACTGCCAGGCCGTATGCGACTGGCCTGCGGTCGCCTTCGCCAAAGAATTGATCGAGGCCTACCCCGAGGCCAAGATCATCATCACAACTCGAGACGTCGACTCGTGGCACGCTTCCGTCATGAAGACGGTCAACTGGCGCGCGAACGACCCCGAGCTCAAGGCCGTCGCCAACTTCGACTGGGCCGCTGGACTATACCACCCCATGCTACGCAAATTCTGGAAGTACTTCTTCAACGACGACTTCGAACAGTCAGGCAAAGAACGGTTCCACGACTACTACAAGGAGATCCGCGAACTAGTGCCTCCTGGAAAGTTGCTCGAGTACCGCGTCAGCTCTGGCTGGAGGCCTCTGTGCGAGTATCTCGGCGAGCCGATCCCCGACAAGCCATTCCCCCGGTCCAACGACGCAGACGGCTTCGTCCAACGATGTCGAACTCAGAACCGCAAGCAGATGATGAATGTCATCTTCCGCGCTTTGGTCGTTGGAGTACCAGTGGTCGCAACGGCGCTGTCTGCTACGTTTGCCTACACCCACCACCTCCCCAAAGTGGCCCAGAACACTTCCCTGTTCACTGCAGCCTCCTGATGAGAAGTCAAAGGAGGTGCAGCCGAGACAATTTTTCTTTATACTATCTTTACTAGGGATGATCTGTATATAGCTAGGCGTTTGGATTGATTATGATTTTTGGTGTATACGGAGGTGGACTCCATCCATCAAAGTTGTCACGACACGAGTGATGTACAGATTGCACACACCTCTCATTGTCAATCGCATTAATATTGGCGGGGACGGGATCTTCTCGAACAAAAAGGGTGAAGGGTTGGGAGTCGCTTCTGGGTCATGGTACTCGGTACAGTTCTTTGAACATACGCCATACAAGATAATGCGATAAGGCAGAAGTATGGGTAGTGAGTACATAGGTAGCCGCAGTATAAAGAAGTCAGGCTTCTTGACCCAAACACAGGAATCGGACAGAGTCTCACATCTTATCGAATTATGATCACTTGTTGATGCGTTTCGGGACCCGGGGAGAGGGAGTTTGGCATGCAAAAACGCAATCTTGACCTTGGGGCTCGGCTGTTGGACTCGTCGGTAACCCCCATCCAATGCTGGACAATTCGGCCGGGATGTGGCCATGGCATTTTGTATTGTATTCTTGTTATCTCGCTTAAGACCCCGACGGGGGATGAGTCGGCAGCAGGGAACAGAGATTTGATACGCGGACATTCTGACGGTTCAATCCATAGGAACATGCTCATTCGGCCATGTGCCCTACATAGGAGTCAAAGGGGAAGAAGTTTCAAGAGGCTCGACACAAAATCTGCACTGTAATCAGTCACGGTGAATTCTTGCACTCCATACCCCATGTGATTGCGTGTAGTCTTACGAGTCCTATGGGAATCTTTTTCCCTTTCCCACTCTCGTGCCTGGGAAGAGGTGACGAAGATCAAACTAGGGCACCTTAGGTACAAGTACGTAAAATAAAGCGGGCTCCGCTTTTCGGCAAGCCGAATGGCCATGGTTGATAAGCTTCTCTCCCCTACGGAGGCTACTGCGTACAGCTTTGACAGATCCATGATGGCGGGTTCGAACTGAGAGATGGAGCGAGGAGAAGAACTCAAAATGCTCCGATACCGAGTACTACTCACAGCCACCTCGATTTTCTAGGTGAGATCTCCAAGGGTACTTCGTGGCACGGTATGTAGATTGTACTGCTGACTCGTCCCCGTACAGAACCACCTCATCGGTCCAGATTACGAAACACCCAGCCTTGTTACAGATTGAACATGTCATACTCCTTACTGTAGGGACAATGAAGGTGCTCGTACTGTACAGATCTCTCTTATCTGTTCAAACATCTACTCGTGCAATAAGGTTCATTAGTCTCTGGAAGTCTGTGTGTCGCTAGTTGTCGATGACTTCAGCTTCTCCTTCGCAGTCCGGACGACGAGCACGAGAGCATCCGTGCACTTCTCCCAACACAATATTCAGCCAGATATTGAGTTTTCCTTTTTTTTTGGTTGCGACCTTTCAGGGTTGAATTTTACATGTTCCTCCTGGCCTCATATTGTTATCAACATTAAATAGGTGCTGACAACTCGTCACTACGGAGTACTCCCCACCGCATATCCGGCACCCACGGCCTGATCCTTCTCCGGCGCCAACTTTCGGAGGGCTGTTCTAAGTAACTTGGCATCGCTTTCCAAGTGCTGAGTACCGAGAGAACTGGATCCAGCTCCATCCACTTTGAAGTGATTGCCCAGCCCGCCTTTTCACTCGTGACAAACGGGGTTTTTTTGGTGTCTACAGCAAGCTACTCCCGTAATCAGCATCAGCAACTACTATTCAGACCTTCCGCGTTTGGCGTTTGATTTGACTGCCCATCAGACTGGCTTGGTTTGATTCTGTTTGACAGTTCACGACCATCCTCTACTAGTTGTCTGTCCTCTAGCGACGAGAGGTCGAATTGGCTTCCATGCTGCACCCGTACCCGGCACACGAGCTGTCATGAGGCTCTCGGCGCCTTGTCACGCGATCGGATGGTGGTGGTTGTTTTTGTCTTTCTTGTTCGCTGGGAGGACGGGGGCCGATGATAACAGCTCACAACCCATCTCAATCTTCCGTTCGGTGAGTCGCCAACCGCTGTCACACCCTCGTGATCCATTGACGGGCACTGACTCTATGTTGTGGTGATACAGAGGCCGGACCTAGTATCGCCTATTCTTACAGTCTTCACGAGGATTCCTGAGAAGCAGTCTCCAGGGTATTACTTCGTATCGCCGTATCAGCAAATCCAGGAATCCGTGCACATTTACGATAATGACGCAGTAGGTACTCTCCATAGATATCCTTTTGCTTGAACAGAATCATTGATCGTGCTGACTTTGGACGTTTTTACAGAACCTGGTGTACAGTGGATTTGGAAGCGCCGGACCTGGCATCTCTCACGCACCTCAAACATGCATGTACAAAGGGGAGGTCCACCTGTGCTTCTACCAAGGCACCCAGATGCTCGGCTGGGGCCACGGCCATGGCATCATCATGGACAAACATTACCGGATCGTACAATCCGTCGAACCTGGAAGCTATCAGGCATCCTCGGACATGCACGAATTCAAGTTGATCGAAGACGGCAAGTCGGCGCTGTTGACCCAGTATCTCCGCAGTGTCTATGATCTATGTCCCTGGAATCTTTGCGACGGTCTCGGCTACATCCAAGAAGGAGCGTTCCAGGAAGTCGACGTCGACTCGGGCAAAGTCGTGTTCGAATGGAGGAGTCTGGACCACGTTGATCCTTCCGAGAGCTATGTCGACCCATCCACCACCGAAATCAGCGGCACTGGCGAAGCACCCGGGAGTCCTTGGGATTACTTCCACATCAACTCGATCGACAAGAACGAGGATGGCGACTACTTGATTTCGGCGCGTCACGTCTCGGCGGTCTACAAAATTTCCGGCGTCGACGGTCATGTCATCTGGCGGCTGAATGGCGCCAAGTCAGACTACCATCTCGATGGCTTTTCGTTCTCGTCCCAGCACGACGCGCGATTCATCTCCGAAAACAAGACACACACCGTCCTCTCGCTGTTTGACAACGGATCGAACGGCTTCAACCAGACTCAGCCACATTCGACCGGTCAGATCATCAGTCTCGATCACCAAACCAAGGTCGCCACCTTTCTGTTGAACCTGGACCCTCCGTTCATCGATGGCCACGCCCACATCTCCAAGTCGCAGGGCAATTTTCAGCAGTTGCCGGATGGCAACATCATTATGGGATGGGGCAACGATGCCTTTTGGACCGAATACACGTCCGACGGGGAGATTGTCTTCTACGGCGCCCTCGGCTGGAGGAACGTGATGAATTACCGGGTGCACAAGTTCGACAACTGGGTCGGACTGCCGTTGACCAAGCCGGCACTGTGGACCTACTCCAAGGCCGGAGACGAGATGATGATGTACGTTTCGTGGAACGGCGCGACCGAGGTCAAGTCGTGGCGCCTGTACGGCGCGGATTCCAGAGACGGGCCGTGGAAAGAGATTGTTGAGAATGGGCCAAAGACCGGGTTTGAAACCATCCTCCGACACGAGTCGACGTACACGTTCGTCTACGCGGAGGCCCTGGACAAGAACGGCCTGGTTCTGGGTGCGTCGGCCGCCGAAAGGGTCTTCACTCCGCCCGTGCAGATGCTCGAATATTGTGACGACCTCGCGTGTCGTTTCATGCCCAGCGACGAAGAGCGTGAGCAGGAGCGCCAACGAGAGGCCGAGGAGCAGAGGCAACGCGAGGAGGAAGAACGTCTCGCGACACAACGGGCCACCGAAAACCGGGAGCGAGCGAAGAAGCGAGCTGAAATGTACGGTGGCGCTTTTGGCGGTCTGGCCGCACTGATCATCCTGATCATGGTCCTCGCCACGAGGAATTTTGTCTCTCGCCCGGTTCATGCCCTGGTCCACCGAGCCTACGGCACCATTCGGACCAAGATGGGCAAGGCCGATGCGAGAGCCGTGGGCGTGGGTGTTGGCTACAAGGCACTTCCTCTGGAAGAACAAGACGGTGTCAGAGTTCCCATCATCTCGGACCCTTCATGACATCTGGAATGGAATGTTGTTGATAACGGGCATGTACAAAGTATACACAGTATACAATGTATATGGAAACGGCCCTCTCCAAGGGGCAAATCAAGCTGGACTCGACTCATCTCGGCGATTTGTTTTTCACGGAGTATGAATGCGGACGGGGTGAGAGGTTAACGTACCCATATGCAGATGGACACGGAGTGTGGCCCAGACTTATTTTATTATTACTGGATATATAATGAACGACGTGACGACACTTATCATCATGTGCAGTATCTACTTTCTTTTCCTGCCTGTTCACTCCGTACGTTGACTGTCTTTCACCGTGGGAGGGATTTGTCTCGGATTCGCCCACTTGTCGCGTCTCAATAGTCAACCATAAAGGAGTCGACGATATGTGCACGTGGTGTCTCTACACGGGTGTGAAGCCATGTCCATGTCCGGAAATCGTTGCGAAAAAAATACAAGCTCCAAACTAACACGAACAAGCAACTCGAAATACGGAGTACCTGTTACTCCATAGTGGCCAGTTGCAGGATACAGAGATCCGCATTGTCATTACAGTTGAATTACACCCTGTCTCGTATTATTCTCCTCTCACCCCGATCGATGCACGGATAACTCAACAAGTAGATCATAAGGGGTCCTCTTCGCGACGTTTGCTCTTCCCGTTTTTTTTTTTGTTTTGATGCGGCTCTTCGGCTGTGCTACTTGGTTATGCCGAGTTTCCCGGCTTGACGTTTCCCTTCCTCCTCCCCCTCCTCCTCCTTTCTGCCACTCGTAGTCGCTTTGTCCCTGTCACTGTCACTTGTCACCAAGAAGAAGGAGAAGAAGAAGAAGGGGGAAAAATGCCACATGGTCTTTTTATCCGTGCTCCACACAGAAACTAGTACACTGTACGGTAGATGGGAAGTGGCACTGTGCTCGTACCAAAAATTTAGTATGTAGGGAGTACAAAAGACAAGACGAACTACTACCGAGAGTCTCTCTCGGCCAGAGTTGTAGCGAAAAGGAGTGAGAGGGGGGAAAGGATGGTTGTGACCACGCATTTCACAGCCGAGGGATCCACACACAGTCAGTACATCGTCGTGGATGTGTAATTAATGAGCACGCAGTACAACCTGTAACGTGCCACGGCCACGAGGCTTTTCTGTACAAGTTGCTGTTGTTGTGGTGTAATTGTGTAACGACGAGATCCAGCCACTTGCGAAGGACTGCAGTGTACGAGTACAGTACAGATGTCTACGTGGGATGAGGACGACATCTGGCAGATGAATTGCGTACACCTGGCCACGCCCATTGTTTTTTAACTTTTTGAAAAGAGTGTCGAGTATGAGGTGATTCGTAATTGTACTCGTACTGTAGAGGCAGTTGTGGAATCTTATTTGCCCAATGTTGACTAGGTACCTAGACACACTTGTCAGTTGCGAGACGACACAGAAAAGACTTTTGATTGTTGTTGAGACGACACGACAGGCTTGGCCCTTTTTCCAATATACAGAATGGAGTACCTGCAGCACGGAGTCTCTGGCCAAACGCCTCCACGAGTACGACGGTAGGGGTATGGAGATGGGTTCTCCTGAGTGGACGAAATGTCTTGACAAGTTGGCAAATTTGATCGTATGGAGAACTCATAGGTACCCTGCTCGAGTCGATGATTCTAATATATATACTCCGGTATATAGTTTACCTACAGTAGATCCCATTTTGGTTATCGATAAAGAAAAAGAAAGAGGATGACTTAGGTACTTTTATACGGAAGTGTTCGAACAATTGTGCCCGTAGCGAGGTTTGTGTTCGTCAGAGTACTCCGTATGGGCTACGGGGAGTACAACATTTCTAGCGTCTTCCAAGCCCTCTAAACCAGCTACGGAGTACGGAGTACTCCCGTATGAAGAGCCGCAATCTCTGGGGGCCGAAATGGCTCTCAACGATCGCCCCAAGGATCAGTTTCGTGTGTGGGACCTTTCAAAAAAAAAGTGTCGTGGGTGGGAAGCCCCAAGAAACTTGACAGGTTGTTACAGGTACCTAGTAATAATAATGGACAGGGAACTGGAGTGTCTACCCTCATTTCCAAAAGGCTCGTCAATCATCATGGGATCCATCCGTGCGACTAATCGTACTCCGTATGAGCCCCAAAGAGAAGACCGTGCGAGACGAAACCCTTTCCACGGTTGATATGTAAAATACCTTGTAGGGGCACCTAGGAGGACCGAGTACAGCCACCCCTCCTACGCGCGGTCCATTAGGTACCTTTAGGTACTCGTAGGCTGTAGCGTGGCGCCAGGGTATTGAACCTACTGTCCCTAGAATACGTACCCCGAAGGCGTGTTGACGTATGTCCTTCCCACACCCAGCGCTCGAATCTCAAACCTTACAGCACTCCATTCGTACCCAGGTAAACCTGATTCTCCATCCATCTGTCACTCCAAGAAGTTACTGCCGACCTTCGGCTTCGTCCATGTCGATTGTCTTTCCAACACTCTATCGGTACTTTCTTGCCACATTGACACCGCGCTGTCTCTTCAGTGCTAGAGTTGTACTTTTCACACGTCCCTTCAAGGACGAAGCCATACAAGCACTGGACTGCTGCTCGTGTGGATTAAAAAAGAGAGATCACCCTCTAAACGCATCACAATCGGGAAACCGCAACGAGGCACACGACGATCACGAACGAGACGACTGACCACACCTCCTCTCCCCATCCTTACCCCGATCTGCGAACCGATCCCACCTCTTGACAGATGATGCTTCACTATTATATAAAACAATAATACTGTACCCAAATTCTTAGGAGAGGCGTTACCGGCCCCGAAAAAGAATATGGCACGAGACACAGAAAGGCAGGCCCCAAGGCCCGCTGGTCCGCCATCCTGGTCCTCGATACCGAACAAGTTCCAAATCTTTCTGCTGTTCTCCGTCCGATTCGTCGACTTCTTTCAACAGGCGGCCCTGCAAGCGTACATGTTTTACCAACTCAAGTCCTTCACGCCCGATGCACCAGACAGCGAAATCTCCTTCGAGGCCGGCGTGCTGCAGGGTGTCTTTACCGCCGCCCAGGTCTTCACTGGCATATTATGGGGAAGAGTGGCGGACTCTCCGGCCTTTGGTCGCAAAACCGTGCTTCTGTTCGGGCTGGTTGGACAAGGAATCAGCTGCATCGGCGTGGCCTTCTCCAGAAGTTTCGGCGCGGCGGCCGTCTGGCGGTGCTTGGGCGGTGCAGTCAACGCGACCGTGGGCGGCGCAAGAACATCTCTCGCCGAGAGTACAGAGAAGAAGTACCACTCGAGGACATTCTTGATCCTGCCTTTGGCGTGGAATGTGGCAAACATATTTGGCCCGCTGTTCGGCGGCCTCATGTCGGACCCTGTGTACAATTATCCAGGTCTTTTTGGGCAGGATTCGACGTTTGGTGGCGCCGACGGGGTTTCGTGGCTCAACAAGTTCCCCTATGCGGCGCCAAACCTGTGCTGCGCATTCGTGCTGTTCGCAGATGCCGTGCTGATCTATCTCGGCCTGCGCGAGACTCTTGCAGCGAAGCGCTTCTCCCGTGACCGCGGCATCGAACTGGCGGAGAACCTGCGTTATCGCTTGAACAGGATCATCTTTCAGCGCTTCGGATATAGTCAGATCGGCCAACAGGTCCAAGGCCCGGACACACTGGACGACGAGAACATGCCGTCGAGTACGCCGCTCACGCCCCTCCCGCCCAAGGAAGTCGACAACAGCAATCCGTCTAGTTCGAAAGAACCGCCTCGGCCGTCGGAGGCGTACAGACCAGCACCGCCCTTCTACCACGCCCTCACCCCGAACGTGCTCATGGTTCTTTCCACCGTCGCCATCATGGATTTCCAAATGGGTGGCTTTGCTCAACTGTGGACGGTTTTTCTGTCCTCGGCTCGACGAACAGACGAGGAACTTGCGACTATTCGACTGCCGTTCTATTTCACCGGTGGTCTGCAATTCTCACTCCCGACGATCGGTCTGGCCATGTCCATTCTCGGCTTTGTGGGAATAATTCTCCAACTCACCCTGTATCCCACGATCAACGCGAGGTTTGGTCTTCTTCGGTCGTTCCGATGGTCGCTCCTGGTGTTTCCGATGGCCTATGCCCTCGCGCCGTACCTTTCCCTGCTGATAAACCACACCCTCTTGCTCTGGATCGCCATCGTGGTCGTGGTGGTGCTGCAGGTCGCGGCTCGCACTTTTGCCATTCCAGGTTCAGTGTTGCTCATCAACAACTCAAGTCCCGGGCCACAGCTCCTAGGCACGATTCATGGCATGGGCGCCGCGACCTCGAGTGCGTTTAGGACGATCGGTCCCATCGCCGCGGGCCATTGGTACGGTCGCGGGTTGGAAAAGGGTGTCGTTGGTTGGGCGTGGTGGTGGTTGGCATTTGTTAGTTTGTTGGGAGTGATACCAAGTTTATGGGCCAGAGATGGGACATGATCTGTAATTTTTTTTTCCGCCGCAATCTCTTGCTTCGTCTCACTTACCTTAGGTATGTGTGACATGTTAGATGGGCAGATGTAGGTACTAATGAATCTATACTATAAAACATGAGTCTTGCCGCGGAAGCGCGAGAGATTGATGAGTGAATGGGGACATGAATAGATGAGATGGGTAGTACTCGTACCCAACCTACTTTTTCTGAAAAATAGGTAAGATTTTTGCAAAGAGCCGTAGAATTTCACTTCTCAAGGGAACCTTTGGGGGCTACTGTAATATCATTCAACTAGGTCAGTAAGTACGAGTATAGGAGTGGCATGTTACCCCGTACACCCTACCTGGATTCGATACGGAAACGGAGTAAGGCCACCATCCATTCGTATTGCTCGGTAGGAACGAATGGCAGTCCTATCATCTTACCAGGATCGATCGTTCCAACGGCCCGGCAGATCTTTATTGAAAGCTTTTCTCTGGCATAATAAGGCCCTCCATCGTACCTGAGGTAGGTAGGTGGTGACAATACTGACTACATGACTAGGGGACTAGAGGACTACAAGACTGTTTGCCTCCCTAGGTATAGGACTGGGTTGCGTCTTTCTTCGTCCCTTGCGATCAGGCCAGCATCTCATCATCATCAAACTCTTGACAGTATTTCAAACTTGAGCGATCCACATAGGAGGATAATACCGGACAAAGTCCACCTCTCTACCCGAGTGAAAGATAAACCGTATGCGAGATCACTCAGTTGCTGCCACCTCTAAAAGTTACATCAACGGGACAAACAAGAGAATAGTTCTTTTCTTTTTTACTTCGAGTCGCCATGAATACCGAGCACAAAGTCAAGACGACAAAGGTGGCCGTGGTGGGTGTAAGTCATCTACAATTTCATCAATCCCCCGTTTTTGAATACCCGAATAACTCGATGTGCTCCCGTACGTCCGTCCGTCCTTGCCCATCATGTATAAGTCAAAAACGTCCTTTTTAGCGGTTTGAGCCAAGAAGAGAAAAAGAAAAGACCCAGCTACTAATTCTCAGTTGACGAAAATCAAAAATTAGCCCAACGGCAATCTCGGAAAATATGTCGTCCCGGCCCTCGTGGCAGCAGGGTTCGAGATCACCCTCGTGACTAGAACGGCGTCCAAGGCTGAAGAACTCAAACGATCCATCATCGTCCAGGGAGGAGGAGGAGGAGGAGGAGGAGGAGGAGACACCGCCGACACCGCCGACACCGCCAACTCTGACGACGCCAAAGACGGTGCCGTCGTCGTCATCCACGTCGTACAAGGAGACTACACGTCCGCCGCGAGTCTCGCGAAAAGCCTCAAGGGCCACGACTCGGTCGTGAGCTTGCTGAACCGCGACCAGACGGCGGCTCAGATCCAGCTCGTCGACGCCGTCCTCGCGGCCGGGGTCCCGCACATTGTCCCGGCGGCGTTTGGGGTCGACACGAGCCGGCCGGAGGTTCGAGCCCTGCCTCACCTGGCCGTCGCCTACGTCAAGTCGGAAGACCACCTTCGCGACGCGATCGAGAGGGCCGACGGCGCCACGACCTTCACGGGCATCCACAACGGGGCGTTTCTCGAATGGATCTTCAAGTTCAACTACGTCATCAACCTCGTCGGTAAAGGGGATGAAGACGAACCGTCGACCATCTTCGACCAAGGCGACGTGCGCATGAGCGCCAGTTCGATGTGGGACATCGGCAAGGCCGTCGCGGTGGCGGTGGCGAGACGAAACGAAGTGGCCTTCAGGAACAAATTCCTCCTCATGCACAACGTCACATTTTCGCAAAACGAGTTGTTGGGATACGCCAAAGACACTCTCCCGGACAAACCGTGGCCGATTGTGAGGGTTGATACGTTGGAGGCGGAGAGGAAGAGTCAGGAAGAGTTTGATTCCGGGAACAGAGCCCCAGTGGCCATGCACGGTTTTTTTCAGAGAGCCTTCTTTGGCAAAGGGTTGGGATTCTTCCCGGAGACTGACAATGCATTGTTGGGGGTGGAAGAGCACGACGGGGAGTGGTTGAAGGATATGGTCCGAACACAGCTTGTTTGATTGAGGATTTATATCATGATAAGTTGAGTCTTTGCTAGTTGCTGGATCATCGTTCGTCCAAGGGCGCCTTTCGTGGACGAACGACGACATGCTCGTTGGGAGGCGGTCGTACCCCTGGTACGTTATCGTAGATGTGACGAAATTGTCGTCCTGCCTCAATACTGATCTCATTGATCCACCCAACCGTTGCGGCGATCTGCCGTGAAGACTTTGGATTATTTGGTGTTTGTCCTGCAGCTTCGAGAAACAACCTAGTTTTCTGCCTTCTGAGTAAGTGAATCAGACAGTCGCATTGGTCCAGTAAGTCTTCGCAGCAGTGTATGAAGTCGTGAAACATCTTCAACGTAGATTCAACCAGATACGGCCTGCCGAGCTTCCACAGATAATTTGCGAGAAAGCAAACCCAATCATAACACTGGGCGCAATGATTTTGGATGGAGGGTGATGGTCCTTGACGGTCCTTGCGACCGTAGGCGGCGGTGCCATGCTGCCGAGAAAATCGAGCGAATTCTTCGGCGAAGTTGGACAGATTCGCACTTACGTCCCCGAAACGACACGCGAGCCGAGCTACTTGGCAGAGGAGCATCGTGAGCAAGGAATGAGGCCTTTTGAGCGACGAAAACACGGTCTCGGATCGCGAAAATAGAATGCTCACAAGGAGATCTTGGTAGCTTGTCACAGAAGATCTGAATGTCTTCCAAGGATAGGATGAGGTGTGAAGGACGTTCTGGGTGAGGCTGATGCTTTGTTGGCCAGGCTAAAAGGACGACTAAATTCTTGCAGTCCATCTTTCTGGTGGGTTTGTTGGCGGGGAAGCTGGTGAGACTGGTGAGTCTGGTGAACCAATCTGAGAAGTATCTCACCGTGCATGCACATATTAGCCTGGCCGATCTGCAATCTGATCGAAATGGAAGTTGCTCGCGTCGACCTCAAGACCCAAACCGACAAAAGCCCGTCCACCAACCTCAGAATGCTCTTCATCAAAAACATCAGTAAAATCGTCTCTCAGCCTTGCCGTCGTTTTGAAGCGAGTGCCTTGCGCCGCCAAAACTGCCATATTGGGCTAGCCTTGTCCCCAACGACGCTCTTAACTTTAGGCTCAAACGTCCGTAGAAACAATCGCTGTCTCAAACCACCAGGCCAAATGCCACCATTTCGGCACGATCGCACGTGGTGAACACCATGGTGAGACTTCCTCAACATGACCTGAATCTCATGGCTGTTACCGAACAAGCGAACCCCAAGATGGGGACGTAAATTCCATGTCCCCGAGCTGTAAAATGGTCAATTGTTCCAAACATATCAGTCGTCTCTCTTCGTCCGCCGTTGTTCACTTCTCTGGTATCTACCTGAGCACAGCTGGTCTGTTTCAATTCTCCCCTTTGCGTTTTCCAGACCTCACACTTTCTCCTCCTTGCTTGCCATCGATCCTTCTCATTCAAACGGCAAGCACCATGCGTTTCTCAACAGCAGTTTTCCTCGGCCTCCTTGCTCTTTCCTCAGCAGCGCCGGTCGCTCTGAAAAACAAGAGAGCTTCAGTCCTTACCACTCAGTCGTACGCAGACTTCCAAGTCAGTGATGGCGTTGCTGGAAATGCCCTAGCAGAAGTCAACGCCAAATTCCCAGTAAGTGTATTTTATGAGACCGAGATGTTACTACGCCGCTGATGGTCAGAAGATCAATCAGTCCGACCTTGCCAATGTCTCTTCCGATGATTTGAAAATCATCAAAGCCGCCCGAGTCACTGCCGAAGATGCAGAGACTGGCACAGGAGGTTTCAACGATGAGATTGCTGCGGCTGGGAGCGGGGACACGACAGCCTTGCAAAACGGAAAAATAAAAAACAAGGTCCTGAAGTTGCAGCTTGAGGTGCTAGCCCTACAGATCGAAGCTGCTCAAGGGGATGCTGATCAGGCCAAGATCAATGAGGAGACTACAAAGTTGAACAAGAATGTGTCTCTCGACAAGGCTGCAGCTGGACAGAAAAGTGTCGGGGTGACTGATACATTCTCCGGGTAGATCAAAATCACCAACGCACGCGGCCGAAAAATGTTTATGTTTCCCAAAGAGTCAGGATTAACCAGACCAGAGTCCTCAATTGCAAATTATTCAACGACGAAAATTGCAGCAGTGTCTCGAAGGTGAAGTTGACAGTCAGCGATATTCCAACATCAGCGTTCTCCTTTGCCGTCGCCACAAACATTCCAGGTACTCAAAAGATCTTCGCCATTATTTTGTCCTTGAGAGAGTTGGGTGCGGTTTCTCGCATGTGTTGGTGATGTTCCGTTAGGGCACGCTTGTAGTAACATCTACTTCCTTGCCTGGGTAAAACGGGGTTCGCTTGTATCATGGAGCGGTTCCTCAAGTCTGTAACACTTTAGGGCACCCTGACTTAGGTTTACCCTCCTGATCCGTGTAAGTGAGGACGTTAAAAGCACAACCAAATTGACGAATGCTTGAAATCAACTGGTGTTTAGTGATGAGTTTGCTTCATAAAAGAGGTCGACACTCGTGCCTCAGAAGAGTAGTTATAGCCTGGCATCCATGGTCGCACTGAGATTGAGCCAAACCGCAACCTCTGCACAGGGATGTTTAATTGCAGGGTCAAAATGTACCTTTAGGAATGGCGTAAGAGTTCACTTACCCTTTTACCTGGTACCTACCGCAACTATTGAGAAACAAGTTTTGCTCACGCAGAAGGTGTATTGCGGATTACAATACAGGCTACCGCTGTCATTCCTTGAAGTCATCTCTGGGACGCCGACCGAGCTCCGAAAATCGGGGGATGTACCAACTCTGAGATGGAGCCTGGCCCTGCACTTTTCACGCCTGGGTGCATATCTTACAACTTCAATGGACAGAGAAGAAACAGCCACGGGAGAATTCTTTTGAAGACGGGGATGGTAATGCTTGTCGTTTCTTCTCTCTGGCCAACAACAGATCACGGTGCAAGTGCCAACAAAAGCGACAAGTCGGATCCTGATGCGTTGAGGACCTTGTTTGCTGTGTTTGGGTGAGCTTTGCAGAACATTCCCCCTTCATACGACGTCACCGAAGAGTTGCCATGGCTGAGTGGTTTGTTTCCGGGCTGTAGTCGGCGAGACTACTTCCGTCAAGCTCAGGACGAGGCACTTTCCACTCCGGCAGCGGTGGCTCGAAGGTTGCCTGATGATGTTCTGAGATTGGCAGGATACTGTAAGGTATATTTTTCCTCATTCTCTCAATTCGAGAACTTTTTGTGTTCAGGGAAAACCCAGCCCATATTGATGCCTTTCTTTCCCCCCTTAGACAAAGCTGCTAGCGGTGTTGAATACATGCAAGACCACCAGGATCCAGTAGAATTCTTACCCAAGGATGATAATGGGATTGGGAGGTCTGGTGCTGCTGCTACTGGAGTGGCGGTTTCAGTGAGATGTCACACACTTGAACTTGTCATCTCATACAGAGTGTGAAGGTGTACGAAGTAATAAGTAACAAGTTAAGATGGAGTCTCGCGAGGCTGCAAAAGCTTCGTCATTTGTAAATTGCGTGCGGGGAAGTTGTTGTAACTTCATCCTCAATCTTCATGGCACGAGATAACAGTCTAGTTCTTTATAACTACTTAGTCACTATCCGCCTCTTCCTTGTTTACTCACGCGATGACTTTGTAGGACAGATTCTGAGATACAGTGCAGATCTACCGTTCATGGGAGTACCTCAATCTCCTCCCCTGCAAAGTCTCCTACCAAACGAAACCACACCTCTCCAATGGCCACCCAACTACCGGCTGCGCTCAAGGCGGCAGACATCTCTCGCTTCGCACACCGAGCGGCACAGCTTGAGAAGCCCAAGCCTATCATAGCCTACTGGTGTATGGAAAAGATCAAGCAGAGTTTCTGCGTGGTGGTGGACGTTTCATGTTGACGCATCGCACAGGTGAATACTGGATCATCAATCAGATCCTCGCCAAAGGTCTACACAACACCGACCAAGAATGTCTGGCTTATACTACCACATTGATGGACAAGCTTGAACAAGTGAGCCAGCGAGACTTCTTCCACAAACCTGCCTGCCTGCGCTATGGGACAGCCCTTTAGAATGACACTCACTCCTCGCCTTGCCTAGTTCAAAGCCGAACACGCCGAAGAAGCCGCCGTCACGGACGATGTCGCCGGGAAAGCCTACGTGGAACAATTTGGCCTGGAAACATTCGAAAGAGCCGACAACGCGATACGGGCCAACAAAGCCTCGAGGCAGACTGCAGATACGTTTCAAGCGTCGGCCACTTTCCTCGATCTGCTCCAGATATGGGGTCCTTTAGACACAGAGATTGCCGCCAAGGTCAAATACGCAAAATACCACGCGTTGAGGATAGCCAAAGCACTGAAAGCGGGCGAGGACCCCAACCTTTCCAACCCTAAACCGGAAGAGACTCCGGCCGCAGAAGAAGCTCTTCCCGAGCTGGATCCAGACGACGCGGACGTGCGAGCGCTCGAGGGAAAAACACCAACTAAAAAGTCACGGCAGCCATCGGTGGTCGAGGTGCCGGATGAGGCTGATCGGATCCAAAAGATGCTGGCCCAGAGATCTCTTCAAGATGAGTCACTGCACCCTTCGAGAGAAACGTCTATGCCACCACCGCCGATAAAGAAAGGTCGCCAACCTTCTGTCGTTGAAGTACCTGATGAGGCAGACCGTATACAACACAGACTCGCCCACCAGTCGGTAATGGACGAGTCTCTCCATCCCTCGCGTGCCCCGTCACTACCGCAATCTCCAGGAAACGACGTATCCCCAATCGCCGCACAAGACGCGGCAGCCTTCTACACAAACCAGGCCGAACCGAGCGACATCTCACCCCTAGACCCTCCCACGGAACGAAAGCAATCTGTTGGGGGCAACTACTTTCCTCGCATCCCTTCTCCGCCATCGGCGCCGGCGCCTGGCCTACCTTCATCTCGCACAGAAGTTGGCGGTCTACCTCCTGAATTACTGCCTTCGGCACCAACAGACGTGGATATGGACCTCGGAGGAGGAGGAGACAGCGGTGCAGGCGCCGCATCTTCTGACCTGCCATCGGCAGCCCCTCCTCCCGACTCGACCTTGACCACAGGCCGAGGCGAACTCGCCGCGCTCAACAACCGATTCCGACAATCGCCTCCACCGCCACCACATAGGCACGGCCAATTCCTTCCTCAGGTCGACCCGGGCCAGACGACTCAGATTCCACCCAACTTCCTACCTCAAGCTCCACCGCCGCAAGTGCCTCAGAACCCTCCTCAACTTCGCGAGCTCAAGGGACCAGTACCTCCCGTACCACAGTCCCAACAACCTCCTCCGCTTGCGGCTGCAGCCCAGTCAGTGTCTACTCCCGCGCCAGCACCGGTTGTCAACACTGGCGACGTCGACGATCAAGCCATGATGAAGGCGCAGAAACATGCCCGATGGGCCATTTCTGCGCTGAACTTTGAGGACGTCCCCACCGCGGTTCGAGAACTACGAGAAGCATTGGCCACTTTAGGGCAGAGGTAAAGAGTCAACCTAAGCCTTTGGAAAACGTGGGTTGGAAAGTTGTCGCGTATGATTTGGGGAGCCATGGAAGTGTGAGCCACACTACGAGTACTCTGGACAAGGTCCGCAGCGAGGGAAAGAGTCATCTTCTCCTCACTCGTATGAGTTCGTATCCTTGCGGCTGCTGTTTGCTCTCTCTCACGGTCGGATCACCCAAACGAAGGGGCAACACGAGACGGAAAAAGGGCAAAACCTTCATACTCCAATTTTTTTCCGTACGTACCTGTATCTTTTGATCCTGGGATGACGATCGAAGCCGGCCCTTTTTACACCCGTAATGTCCAGGTACACCAAGGCTCATCATGTATTTCGTTGTACGGGGAACGGCAAGGCCCCGGGCTCCGGCTCACAAGGCGAATTCGTTTGGATCCGGACAGACTTGCAAGGGAACCAATGCAACACAAATCAACAACAAAGTACCTAATCACGACATGTACATGCATGTAAAATGGAGGAGATCCGACCCTTTTTTTTTAATTCTGTTCATCTCCATATCCAACCATGGAATGTCGCAAATGCCAGCGTTGACCGTCGTTAGCTACTGTATGATACTTACGTAAGGTTCCTAGGTATTCATGGCAAATCTGGAGCGACATCGACCTTTCGTCCGTAGACCTGCCTACGTCCATGTTTTGTTCTCTTTTCTCTTGCTTGCATCGTCTGCAATATCGTCAGGACCCTTTGCATTACATGGCAAACGCCTCCCTCTCTCTCTCTCTCGGTCCTTAGGGACACCAGTCCAAAAGATCCGACGTCAACAAGTCACGGTCATCTCAATCAAATAAATCACCAGCCCGTCGCCTTATCCTCTTCTCCCGTACAGGCTGGTCGAATAGCTCCTTTCCTTCGTTCCGTCCCGACTCGCGCTGGTATTGGTTGGGGAATAGCTCCTTGGCCTCTGCTCGTCCTTTGATGCTCAGTCCGCCAGAACCCTTGATGCTGAACCCGCCGCCGCCGCCGTCCCCACCGGCGGAGCCCTTGATGCTCATACCACCACCGTTACCATTCGACGGGAACAGTTCGACGCCGGTGTTGGCGAGGCCACCACCGTTTTTGAACGACTTTGTACTATCGATCGAGATTGATTTTCGGGCAAATCGTTGTGCCAAATCCTCCTCGTTCTTGGCGTCCATGGCGTGACTCCTCCGATGATTCGACCGTGGACTGGTTTGTGCCGCACTCAGCAAGTCTGCCTTGAGACGTTTGGCGGCCGCAGCGTTCGCTCGCGAATTCGCCGGGTCGTTTGCTGGTCTCGAGGAGGACGACGCTGAGTTTGGCTCGATGGACATTGCCGCGTCGGAATCAGAAGCTTTGTTCGGGTAGACATCGATACGGTCAGAATGTAAGCCGCCGCCTTTTCGCTCTGAGGCCGATCCAAAGAGCTCTTTCCCGGCGTTCGACCGTGGGTTTCGGTCGTTGCGGTCACGATAGCCTCTCCGTCGGTTGCGGCCATCGTCTTCTGAGTCGGAGATATCAATCTCATCACTATTTCTCGTTCGCCTGCTTGGGCTGGCGCTCCGCCGCCGACCTTTTGCTACTCTGGAGAACAGATCTCGGCCTCTCGCGGCTGTTTCGGTGTCTGTAGCAGGCGCATCGTCGTACATGTTTGCCGAAAACTCTTCTCTTCCATCGTCACCGTTGTTGCCTCTTCTCCTTCGGTGCATTTCTCTGTCGTCAAATCTTCTTCGCCTGTAGTCGCCAGCCTCGACCCTCGAATCGGCGAACTCACGGCGCATTCGTTCGGTGGGGTCTTGGTCAGGATGGAGGAGGTAGTATCTGCTTGCTTCCCTTGCGTTTTTCTTCTTCCGATCGCCCTGCTGCGCTACCCTCACCACCAGCATGCTTGCAGGCCTACTTGCCAAGGGCTTTGCGGCTCGGAGTTCGAAGGGGGCATTGATCAACTGTTCTTCGGTGATTGGCGTCGCGACAAAGGCCAGCTGTGCAAGTTTGGCTGTATCGTTATCCTTGAAGCAGAGATTGGCGGACGTGTCGTCGACCCATTGAACGTGCACATTGTCTCCCACTTCGCTAAAGTGGTCGTGTACGAATCCCAGAATATCGTTGGTGTGCATTTCGTCGACGCCACGGATGTGCACTTTGTTCCATTGTGGTTCGAGAGCAGGGTCTTCGGTGTAGATGGCGGGAATGACGGCCGAGGTATCTTGGACTTGTGCGCCAGAGGGCACAAACGATGGTTCCTCGCCTTCCTATTGTGAAAATGTGAGTGTATCGAGATATGCAGGAAACAAAGGTTCATACTTCGAGATCGAATTCTTCATCGAGAGGTGGGCCATGGTCGTCCAGATCCATGTCAATGTCAATGTCCATGAGGTCGGCGTCCTGCGCCGAGGACATTGTAGACTGCATTGCAACAGCCATGTATATGAGACGAGTGAGGGTTAGAGGAGGGGCTGTACGAGGTGTCGCCGGTTGCGCGCAAAGATAGGGGTGTCGAGGAGTTCGCCCGGTCAGGGTGTAGTAAAATGAGCTTGATCAACGATCACTGTACATGGCTGATGGATGTAGGAATGACTTCTGGACGTGTGCCGCGGGACATCAAAACGTGAAGCCGGAAGTGAACGCCTATGAGTGTCAGAGGTAGAGTTTGGTGAGGAGATAATGATTAGGGTATAATGTCACAAGCAAGCCAGCTTGAAATGTGTGCAGTGATATGAAATATGGCATCTAAATGGAATCGACTGTTTGCAACCAAATCAATGCTCATTATTGTCTCCAAAGTCGCCGGCGCGCAGCTTTCCTGAGATTCGCTGCGATATCGACGGTATCAACGCTATTCCACATTTGGTGAGGATATTGCGCCACTTTAAAAACACGATCTTCCTCTCCAATCGACAACCGATAAATACGATCCCCGCCTCGTCTTCCTCCTCACTTACTGTATCGTCTAATATTTCGCTTGTCCATGGTGTACGACTTACCCGAAGTTCAGACTGAGGGCGGAGATGCAGTGCGGAGGTACATGGCTCGTCCATCTTGAGGCCATTTAGTTGATATAGTATTCATATCCTCAATCACTACCGCTGACAAACTGCTGTGCATTCAGATATCATTGTCCTTCGTACATTTGGCTGAAGGGGAATTTCCCATGCACCTCGGCTACAGAGACTTTCATTACATACACTAATACCTCTCACTCTCCCCCGGACCACTCTTCGGTTAAAATGTGATATGAACTGTTTCGGTTCACGTCCTTTCACACGGCTGTGTGGCCGCGGCTGCTTCTTGACTCCCTCCACCAAACCTTCCTCTCACGTTCGTTTTCGTTTTCGTTTTCCCCCTTCAGGCAGAAGAAATCTATCCGTCCATCCCGTCGCCGGCAGCATCGGGGCGGAGATTCGAGACGTCGACCTGGCCCTCCTGCCCGAGAACCCGGGATGGGTACGGCAGCTCCGCGAGGCGTTTCTCCAACACCAAGTCATCTTCTTCCGAAACCAAAACCTCGAGCCCCAGGCGTTTCTGACCTTCGCCTCCCACTTTGGCGAGCCGGTCGAGTACCCCTTCGTCAAGGGCATCGAGGGCTTTCCCGAGATCATCCGTGTCCTCAAACAGGAGCACGAGACCGTCAACTTCGGCGGCATCTGGCACTCGGACACGTCCTACCAACAGACCCCACCGCTTGGGTCGGTACTCCTGGGGAAGGAAACCCCGCCGTACGGCGGTGACACTCTCTTTGCGAACCAGTACGCCGCCTACGACTCTCTCTCCGACGGTCTAAAGGAGACCCTCGCGGGGCTCAGGGGCGTCAGCACGTCCGCAAAGGCCGACGCGAGCAAGACGAGGGAGGACCGCATCCGAGACAGTGGCAATCCCACCGCGCCGGCAGAGTCGTTCGAGGCCGTGCACCCCGTCGTCAGGACACACCCGGAAACTGGGAAGAAGGCACTGTACGTCAACGTCGCGCATACGGCCCGGTTCGAAGGCTGGACGGAAGGGGAATCTGCCCCGTTGCTGAGTTTCCTGTTCCACCATCAGGTCAAGCCAGAATTCACCTGTCGATTTTCTTGGGAGGTCGGAAGTATTGCCTTCTGGGACAATCGGTGTGTCCAACACAACCCAATCAACGACTATCATGGTTTTAGACGGAGCATGCTGAGGATTACACTTGCAGGAGATACACCCAGATAGAAGTTGTCTTGTGTCATGGTCTATCTTTATGATTTTGAGGAGATGTTACATACTGCGACGAGCTATTTGCAACCCGAAATGCCACTTTTGAAACCGAAATTCTTTTCAATCGTCATCATAAACTCATTATCGTTTTGTCGGACCGGCCGGTTTAGGGATCCGCACCCAACTTTTCATTGCCCCAGCTGCCCAGCACGTATCCAAGTCATGTTTCCACTCCCAAGTCCAACCAGGTATTGCCAATAGTGTTGGCGTTATTGTTGTTGATCCCAAATGTCGAGGTGGCCTCCAAGTTCAATACTTGGGGGTGGTCAAGTCTGTTCAGGCCGCTCCACTACATGGACGATCTCAGACCGCGATTGCATTAAAAGCATTCTGATCCGGTTGCCACTCATCGTCGCTGTCGTCATCTCGGTTTCTCTTCTTGAGAGGTGGGTTGCATTCCTCTTTGGGGTCAAATGGAGTATCGTCTTCTGAGTCGCTCTCGTACTTGCGTTTGGTCTTCGTGGCCTTGGATACATTCTTTCGTTTGCGAGGGGTTGCGCTTGACACTGAAGAAGATGCTCGTGCTGTTTTGCCTTGCTGGGAAGTCGCCAAAGGTGCCTTTTGGTTTTTCCGCTCATCAAATCCCGAGCGAGCACGTCCCACGCGATTCCAGAAATTCTTGACGGCATATTTGGCATCTTTCTGAATACCATCGACGTGTGCCATGCGTCTTTGTGCTTCTCGGAACCGATCTTCTCCATGCAATATGCCCTCATCTCGTATACTTAGCATATGGCGAATGCACGACTCCTCTTCGAAGAGCCGCCATTTCTTGCCCTTGGGCTCGGATCTGGAGGCAGCAACGAGCCGTTCAGGAGCCGGATACGGCAAGGAAGTGGTGTTCTGAGGAACAGAAGGTTGGGGTTCGGTAGGAATCGGCATCGGCATCGGCATCGGTGTTGAGGCGGTCGACGGGAAGCCAGATTGTGATGGAGAAGAGGAGTGTTGATTAGAGGCAGTGCCTTCCTGGGAGGAATCAGGTTGACTGGCTTGGAGGTCGTATTGGGATTCACCAGCCTCCAAGGTCTCGATGTCACCGAGGCTTCCCTCGCTAGCATGACTTGAGTTGGTATCAGGACTAGCCCAATGATCAAGCTCGTCAGACCCCTCACCACCAAACAGATTGTCGTCGTCGTCAATATCATAATCAGCCTCCCACAGACCGTCGTCAATATCGTTGGTTTCTTCTTCCATGTTGATGGAGGTCTGTTCGTCACCGAATTCAAACAATGGGAACAAGTCCGACACCGAGTCGACAGAGACATGTCTTCCTAAAAGAGAAGCACTGTTGTCCTCCACGACAACATCGTTGTTCTCTTGGAAAGTGCTTGCCACGTTGTTATTATCTGGTGGTGGTGGTGGTGCATGCGCTCTCAACAACGATTCGGCAAGACCAGCTCGCTCTGTCAAGTACCGATGCAAGATGTCTGGGTGAGCGTCGAGATACTGAATTACCTCATCGTCATTCAGAGGCATGACTTGGACGACAAGTGGAATTGAACTAGAAGTCATGGCGTTTAGAAAGAAAGATTTTGCGCTATCAGAGAAAGACATGATGCGTTATGATGTGTTTTAGCACGCAAATAATATTGGAAATCGCTGGAAGTCGAGGAAAGTATCACATAGGGAGAAACGAGACGAAGAAAAGATCGAGGACATCGCGACAGCCATAGCTGCCGCACCTACCTACCTATTGTCCATTGATGGAAGAATCAAAAGCATTCAGAGAGATGCAAAATGTATTGTGCGCATTCCGCTTCGCTATTGTGACAATCATAGTTGATTGAATGTGCTGGACGGAGTGAGTATGCAGTGATATGTCTGCATGACAAGGCTGAGATGAATAGGGATCGAGTATGACTCTGGCAAACGAGGTGCCAGTGGTGAATTTGCACTTGTATTGTGCATTGATGGTGCTGAGGTGCTCCATTGAAGGTAAGATGGACTTGTTGATTCTGCCTGACCTCAGACCTCATCTCATAGAGGCTTTCGTAACGAGGTTGTAAGACAAATCATATATCCTGAGGTCATCAGCAGATCTTCTCTATAGCAACATTATCGCAACCTGCCAGCTGGCGAATGCTCATCCCACGATCATCTCGCTCCATATTGCTGGTAATCAAAGATTATAGGTGATGTGCAAGTGACAGCGAAATGAGTCGGAACTTTGCTATTGTGACAAACCTGGTCTCTCTCATTTGAAATACAACTTGTTCTCGGGCAAAAAGGGTTCTGCTGTCAATCGCGAGCATTGTGAACATTATTGCATCGTCACATCTCGCCGTTGATGTTTTCGTGAACAACGGAGAACGAAGAGTGAGTGAGTGAGTGAGATGGATTTCTTGAACTCCATCAATGATCCGCCGAGGTTTATCCGCAATGCGGGCTGTATGTTGATCACAGTATTTGAACAACACACCATTCAGCATTCGTTAAGTGAGTTGATATCCTCGTCATGCAATGGCCGAAGTGGTGGTCCTCGTCAACAAAGGATGAGGCCGACTTGAAGGAATCGGCTACAATTCAAGCCACCAAGGCGTGGGATGCGATTGGCGAGAAAGTGACTGAAGCTCGTGAATCAGTCGAGCAAAACGCTGCGACCACGCTACCCACACAGATCAAAGCCTTTGCCGAACCTCAGACGATCGTAGCAACGGCAGTGCTGACCGTATCTTGCCTTGGGCTCTTTAAGTTCTACAGATCCTACCTACGACGAATTCCTCAAGCAACGAACATCACACCGGGCTTTCTGCGCCGTAGGAGTCTGGTGGGCAGAATCACAAGTGTAGGAGATGGAGATAACTTTCGGTTCTATCACACGCCAGGAGGTAGATTAGCTGGATGGGGCTGGTTTCCGGGGAGGCGAGTGCCTACGGAGAAGAAAGAGCTCAAAGACAAAACGGTACATGCGACAGAACTTACACCTACGAGGCCCGAGGACTGACGTTATTTGTTCCCTCTAGATTCATCTACGTCTCGCCGGAGTCGACGCACCAGAACTCGCTCATTTTGGCAGGCCTTCACAACCATATGCGCAAGAGGCTCTCGATTGGCTCACTGCGTATGTTCTCGGTCGGCGTGTTCGCGCCTACGTTTACAAGATCGACCAGTACAATAGAGTGGTTGGAACTGCATACGTGTGGAAAGGTCTCATGAGACGTGACGTCGGTCTTCAGATGCTTCGAGCGGGAATGGCTACCGTCTATGAGGCGAAAACAGGCGCCGAGTTTGGTGAGGGCCTTGAAAAGAAGTATAGGAATGCAGAGTGGTGGGCAAAGACTAGACGAAAAGGTATGTGGGCGGGCAGGAAGAAGGACTTTGAGAGCCCGCGAGAGTACAAGACGCGGTACGGTATGGGATCTCCACAGGACGAGACCAAGTGATGACGGCCGGGAGGAATACTTTTGTGTGGGGTTAGCGAAGGCGTTCTTGAAAGCTATTTTGAGCATCACCATCATGTGTACTGCCAATTATGGTTCAATTTGTTTCTGAACAGGTCTACAGTACTTTACTCCGTATCTTGCTCAGCTAAGCCTTGCGCCGACGAGGCTGAATATGGCACGTGATCAAAATGTCGACATCAACGCATCAATTCATTCTATCTTCATCGCTGGCACACCACGAGTATTCCCTATTCTAGAAATGCCTGCTACGGACTCGGCAGCAATAGTCGTAGCTCGGTTCCTCAGAGCCAACCATTACAATGAGGTCAGCATAGTCCCACTGGCATTGCATAGTTGGGTGTTGACAGATGACATGACAGACTCTCAAAGCGTTCCTGGCAGAATCAGGTTTGCCCGAGGAGGCGGCAATCACCAAAAAGGGCGACTGGACGATAGAAAAGATCCTCGAAGAGAAGCGGCAGTATGATTCCAGTCTCGAATACGAGAAGAAAGGCGACGAACAGATGACCGGCTGGCCACTCCCAGCGCCATCAAAGGCAACCGAGCCAGGCTTCCTGATGACTTCAAATGTACTATGTGTGAGCGGCGACGGCAACGGTGAGTTCGAAGACGACATCATCTGGGCGACTGGCGCGGACCGGTCCTGGTCGTCCATGGTATCCTCGCCTCCATTCTCGTTGGCGCAGTCCATCTCAAATGCGCACGGGAGTCCAATCTTGTCCATACGCTCCATGACCAAGGGTTTTATATTGTCGACCTCCATGTCGGGACAGCTCATGATGCACGACCGGAGAGGGCGGCTGCTCGACAAATGCCGCGACCACCTGAAGTATGCGGTCCAGGTGGTTTCAGGACGTGCGCGGAACGGCAAATGGATCGTGGCGACCGCCGGTTGGGATCAAAAGGTCCACATCTACGCGCCAGAGCAGGAGCTGGCAGAGAACTTCGACGTGAATGAAGTCGACGCCATTGACGATGAACCGTACATTGATGGACTCCTGCGCGATCCTATACACACCCTCTCCATGCCATCCAATCCCGAGTCAATGGTCCTTGTCCGGCATCCTGACACCGGTGACCTTTATCTGATCGTCTCCCGCCGAGACTCGACGTTCTTATACTACTATTGTATAACACCTACCTCGGATGAGGCTTCTTCATCGAGGACAAGTCAAGCGACGTACTCTGTCCAGGAGACTGGTAAGCAGAATCTGGCACCACACGCAAACGCATGGGTAAGTTCCCACATCCTAGCACCCACTGTATATAGCTGTGCCGATGAGAATGGTTCTAAGTGAAAGTACAGATTGCCTTCTCCCCAGCATGCCTAGCAGTCTGCCCGACAGACCCTACCTTGTTAGCCGTGGCCACATCTCATCTTCCACACATGAAAGTCATCATCGTCCGTCTCCTCTTTCCGTCGAGTTCACACAGTCTGGGTTCCAATTTCGCGGCTGTTTCTGCTTCGTCCGAATTAGTAACTCCCGCGGCTCAGGCTCGAGCCGATCTCGCGTTGCAAGACCGCGAAGATGCTGCGATCAAGCTACATGTGACGACAATGGCCCCTCAGACTCCATACTCGACTCCACAAGTGGTTTGGCGCCCTGGTGGTCACGGCGTCTTTGTGAATGCTGACGACGGGGTCGTTCGCGGTATCGATACACAGAGTGGCAAAGTCGTTGCCATGCTCAAGGCGCACGAGGTCGGAAGTAAAGTGCGAACACTGTATGCCGGTTGGGAGAAGGGTGGGAAAGATGAGATACTGGTCAGCGGCGGGTTCGACAAAAAGATCTTTATCTGGAGAGTAAAAGATTAAATCTAGATGAGCAGAGGTCATGATGCCCCAGTAAACGAAGCATCCTGGAGAGTCCGTAGATTATGCATAGGTCGTTACAGTCCATCCATTCTTGACACATAATGGATGGACGAAGATCTGTTCTCTCACCTCTTAAGCCAGCCCTCGGCTGGGAGTCATCAATCTCAACTTCAGTCTACCTAGGTGATGATAGATGGACTACTGAGTGAACACTCTCACCTCTCGCGAGGGTCGTTTTTTCCTTTTCTGGTGCTCAATTTTCCAAAAGGGGAATGTTGTTGGATTTTCGTCGACCGACGAGCGTCAGGCAGTGATTGCCTACGGAGTACCTTGGGGTGTAGTTGTTCACCATGTCTTCGCGATAATTGTTCTCCGCGAAGCTGAATTCGCAACTCTACTCAACTCACTTTTTTTAATGGGTATTACGACAGTTGTTCTCCGCGAAGGCGAATCACCAAGTCTACTTACCTCACTTTTCTTTTCCTTGTTTCCGCTGCAAATGCCACACTTCTGCCAACTTGGAATACGAACACGAGCCTTGGCAATATCTATCGATACCTGAGGCATCTACCAATTTCAATCAACAGCCACCATTTGATCTGGCATTCCATACACGATCAGGGTCCTTATGATCCACTGTTCGCGCCTCACCGTTCTTTCTTGAAACCAGCAACCATCAATCTGTTCTTCCACTTTCTTTTTCTTTCACATACATCTTCCATTCTAGCTATCCAAAACTCAACATATCTCTTGTGCAGCGTTCGAGCCCAAGTTGCCTCCATCGACAATGACAATCACATTTGAGGCTGAATTCACCACGAAGGACGGTACCAAATTGTACACAAAGTCCTGGAAGGTCAGTTATAGATCCCTACTACTGTCACACCCTTCCAACTTGGCTTTACTATCGACTATTAACCATTTTCTTCACTATGGTCGATTGGGGCAACATACACTCACTTCTGCGGGATCGTGGGAGACCTTTTTCGTTACTTTACTGACTTGTTACCTGGCCCTTGTGCTTTGTGTGCGCGTGTAGCCTGATTCTGGAACCATCTCTGCCGTCCTGATCTTCCTTCATGGCTTTTCTGACCACATCAACGGTACTGCTACTCTTGTTCCTGCTTTCTGACCCCCTCGCTTTTCCGCCTTCTTTCCCCGGCTCCCCCTACCCCTCCCCTCCTCCAAACAGCCACAGCTGACAAGTGTTGGCAACCCCCAACCAGCGTACTACGATCTCTTCCCGACCTTGAGCTCTGCCCCGTTCAACATTGCAGTCTATGGCTTCGACCAACGAGGCTGGGGACGATCGGTTCACAAGACGAGCGACCACGGTCTCACGGGTCCGACCTCGCTCGTCCTGTCCGACATTCACGATTTCATCCTCTACGTCGCCGCAATCTTCGGAAAAGAAGAAAAGGAACCTGTCTCCCAACAAAAGCCCTTTTTCCTCATGGGCCACAGCATGGGCGGCAACGAGCTGCTCAGCTACCTGCTCTCCACCTCCCAGGCCTACTCGAACGACAACCGTCCTCCCATCGCGGGCTGCTTGTTGGAGGCCCCTTACATCGAGCTCGACCCCCTGGAGCAGCCCAGTGCCATGACGGTGGTGGCGGGGAAGATGGCGGCCTCGGTGATGCCCCACAAGCAGCTCAAACGGCCCCTCAACGCGGCCTTTTTGTCGCGGTCGACCAAGGTCCAACAGGACTGGATCGACGACCCGCTGTGCCACGACACGGGCACCCTCGAGGGCCTCAAAGGCCTGCTGCAACGGGCCGGCGACCTGTCGGCCCTCTCGCACGGCCGCAAGGTCGGCGGCTTGACCAACAAGCTCCCCTGCCCCGTCTGGATGTCTCACGGGACCGCCGACAAGGTCACCTCGTTCCCCGCGGCCGAACGTCTCTTCAACGTCCTCGAGGCACCCCGCAGTGACAAGGTGTTCAGGTCCTACGGAGGTGGCTACCACAAACTTCACGCCGAGCCCGACGGTCTCGCAGAGCGGTTTGCAAACGACGCCGGAAGCTGGATCTTGGGTCAAGCTAGGCGCTTTTCTCCAGACACAAAGGTCAGTGTTGCTTTTGATTTTACGAGTCTTATTGCTGTGCACGTGGCTCATCAAAATTCGCAGAACCCTAAATTGTAGAAGAAGAACCAGTCGTTCATCCATTGAGAACTCCAGGTTGATCCCGTGAAACACACACTCGGATTCATCTTTGCATCTATATACTATTGCTGCATCAACAGCCGTAGATGTATAACTCTGTCTTGGTGATTGGATGCGCATCATAAATACTTGTCCAACCCATACCACACAGTTCGACCTCAGTCAGCAGCTAATCCTTGGTGTTGCGATCCGCATCGGCCACAACAACATCGACCACGTCCTTATTGAGGCCTCTCCAGTGCTTCTTTGCCCAGAAAACCCACAGTCCAAGCGCGATCAATTGAACAAAAGCGTTGATTGGCAAGGCATAATTCATTCCTGATGCAGTGACCGGGAGGAAGGATGGGAAACAGAGAAAGACCATGATGTATGCAGAGTAGATAACTGCAAATATGTTGATGTAAACTCCGTACCTTCCCAGAGACCAGCCCGATGGTTCAAGCCTCCCACTGAATCGAGCCCATAGCATACATGCGATCGCCATGAGGTAAGATTGGTACAGGCCGAGAGTCGAAAGAGCAACGATGACGTTGAAGGCGATGCTGCTCCCGATGTTGAGGAGCGCCAGTAGCATGACGATGAACACGGGCAACCAAACGCTGCGGACAGGCACTCGGCTTTTTGGATCGATGTTTGCAAAGTAGGCGGGTAGTGCTCCATCTCGAGACCACGCCCAGGTCAGTCGAGATGCGGAAGTAATGCTGCCCAGACTGCAGGCCAGTGTGACTATCATGGACAACCCGACCATTGCTGAGCCCGTCGAGGCAGATTGTGTTGCGTTGATACAAATGAGGAGCAGTGGATATCCCGAGGAGAGTAGTTCGTCAACATCACCTGCACAGAATAGGATGACGAGGATCATTCCATACGCCAGGGCACCGTTCATGACAATGCTCCAGAACATGGCTCTTGGGACGGCATGACGGGCCTTACGAACTTCTTCCGACATGTGGACAGCGCCGTCAAACCCTGTTCGCCATTTCGTGAGCACATGCTTGCTATTACTCTAACCAAATGAAAAACTCACCCACAAAACCCCAGGTTGCAGTGAGCATGCCTAGATTGAATGAAATGTACTCGTTTGTCCAGCCCGAAAATGCCGACTTCTCCAGGAAGACAAAATGTGCTGAATGGCGTGGTGCAAGAGAGCTCAAGACTGCAACGAAGACAATCCACATTGCTACATGGAGCAGACCTGACAGTAACTCGATCCAAGGCACGGCCCAAAATACGTACTGGTTCATGAGACCTTGCACGATGAGGAGGGCGTATATGATCAACGTCACATGCCATCCGTGTGGCACGTAGCTGGGATAGCTAGCAATCACAAGCGCTTGAATCATCAAAGCGGCGATGTTGGCGACGCCGGCAAGCAGTGAAATCCATGAAAACCAGGTGATCCAGCCTTGCATCCATGTGATGAGTCGTCGATGTTTAGGAGGTGCAAGATAGTGTGTCCAGTGGTACTGAGCTCCTGCGATGGGCTGTACTGCTGCCATTTCAGCCATTGAAGCTACCTGGCACAGTACGCCAGTGATGATAACAAAGTAGCCGAAAGAAAGCGCGCGTGGGCCACCATTCCAGAAGAAGAATGCGATATTCCTGGAGGAGTTAGCAAAGTGTGTCGGCCCTCCGATTGTGATGGTTCAATCTATACGAAGCAACAGCCTCCCATGACGACATGTAACTGAGCGAAAAGAAGAAGATCTGAGCGAAACTAAATATTCTCTGCAAAAACAATGAGGCAAGGTCAACAAGCGATGGTGATGAGTTCGGGACTTACGCGAACTCTTGTTGACTGGTCTCTGGTGCTCTCTGTACGTTGACCAGCATATGGCTGTTCATATACATTCTTTGGCCCGTTGACATTGATATGAGTAGTCTTGAGATGCTGCATTTCCTGAGAGGCCATGGTGAGTTCTTGCTACTTCACCTCTGGTTGAGTTGGGACCTGCAAATCAAAGTAGTAAAGGTTGTTAGGACGACAAGAAAAGAGATGGGGCGAGAAGCGCCGGCCTATCTGCAAATCATGGCATGCCACAGTACACAAAAGGCAACATGGACGAAACTGCCGAGACCGAGACATTGGGACAGGGGGTAAGCCAACAAGCATGTGTGAAGCGACTCGTGCATGGTCAAACCCCAGGATGATTTGATGACTTGGTTGCAGGATTGATAAGAATTAAGGCAAAAGGTATGCCGGGATCACTCTTCTCTTGCCAGATTGGCATGGTCCTAGGGTACGGATGGCTTGTTTTGGCGCCAAGCCATCAATGAAGACCTATTGTACCAACCTGCTGGCCATTTGGTATTCGACATAGTGGTGCCCTTTTGCACTTTTTGCCTGCATCAGCCTGGTATTTCTTCAAGGGTGGACGGCAAGGTACAGCGTGTGGTGAACACTGCAACAGCGGAGCAAGTCCCGATTGAGGATTGACGCGGGCGAGTAGCTGCATGAAACACTTGTCGCTCACCGTAGGTGGTACTGGGGTATGTCGAGAGAAGGCGAATGATGGGCCCTGTTCCCTCGGAGGCCTAGCCAGTTTCCGTGAGGGAAGCTACTGGTGCCGTTTCTGGCCTTTGTCGATACTACTCGAATTTTTCCAGGGAAGAGAGCTTGCAAGGGGCGTTGAGATTAGCTGCATTCGTAGCGCATAACGATCGAAATGCTCGATGTGGTTCGCTCGTGTGGGTGAAGTCACTTCTCCTTGGGGAGGGCTCCTTATCGATATGTACCAGGAGTCTTGAGGCTCCGGGGAACGACTAATCTACGTCTGGTACGAGTGGAAGGTGTTCATCTCAAGCTGCGGTGGCTGATTTGGTATGATGATCATCATCATCACTGAAAGGTGGCATAGGGTGTTTTCATTGTGATGATAAGTCGTACTCCCTTCTCGTTTGTATCTGGTCAGGGCACCGAGTAACGACATGAGATATGGTATGGGTAAGGTCAGCACATATGTGGCCTTGCATCACCGTAGCGCCAAGGCCGGTGATGAAACACATGATGAGCCTAGCCGCTACGCTACGGTGCATCACATAATCCTTTCTCACAGCCAAACTCCATAAAGAACTGCGTTTGCTCGACAACAATCACTACTTTCTAGATCCTGATCTGCCATCAACTTCGTCGCAGTCTCGTTGTCGATGCGGATCCTCATCTGTGAGACCTGACTCGCTTGCTGAGATGTGCTTTTGATTTATTCTTTGCGCACCATGGTTGACAAGGCTACCTGGCCTGTTTGCCATTCAAAGCCTCTACAGACCCACCCGCATGACCAGACAATGTCGGCTGAGACAATCCTTCCCATGTGTCTTGCGATCAGCAACAAAGCAGTCGACCACACGGTAATATCATCAGCATACCATCTATCATGACATATGCTGTTGGTGCATGACATTTATCGATGGCAGGCAAACAGTCATTCACTGTTTTGAAAATCATCCATGCGCTCTTCCGCCCATCTTTGTACTGTTTCTTTTCACGTTTGGCAACAATGTTCTACTCAGGCCAGGTGCTCCATATTTTACAAACAAGGTGGCAGAATGATAAGTATTCTTTTCGATTTTACATTTATGTCTCTGTCCCTGCCATCTAGGACAATTTGGGCAGCATTGCTTCTGACCTTCCCTCAAGCATTGTTATTTGCAGATTTTACAAAGATCACATCACACATCCTTTGGTCTGTCAAGGCTGTAGCAGATATGTTTCTCAGACTCACCAACATTGCTTTGATGCGAGCACCCCCATACGAGGAGGGTTACACATATGTGCAGCGGCTCGCAACGGGCAAATTGTGTTTCGTGCGCAAACGTACACGTTCCAATAAGCCGAAGCCAAAAAAATGCATCGAAGTCTGCGAGGAAAGACCGCAATACGGCTCCTCTGCCACAAGCCATCATGCCCACAGACACGACTCTACACATGGGCACATTATCTGTCACGATCGCGGACCTAGTGACGAGAGCTGTGCAACTGTCAATGTCTACACCGAAGGCCCAATACATATTTACGGGCATACAGGGGAAACGACCAAGACTTGTCAACCACAAGGTCCAATATGGGAGACACGAGAACCAAAGGTGAAGAATGGCTTTTGGTTCGAGCGCAAAGGTGTACCTGTGCGAGTGGTTCGAGTGGGCAAGTCGCAAGAGGAAAGGATATGTGTTTCTCCCAGTCAACCAAAGGCGCGATGCGAAACATCAGGATCAGACCGTGTATGGTGTTCAAAACAAGGCGACTATTCCAATGGTGTGGAAGAAGACAAAGCAGTATGGGATCCTGTCTTACGGGCTTGGGTCGTGAAACGAGCACCACGAGTTCAGTTTTCTGGCTCTGAAGCAGGATGCCCCTGAGACCTTGGAAAGGTGGATGGGAAGATCTTATACAACAACTCTGGAGGGGAAAAAACACGACTCCCTGCATCATTTGTCGTGTTTCTAGCAGACATGTTTCATTTTCAAAGCATCGGTCCCCTCCACCTTTCACAATCGTCATGATGTCTCAGCCTCTCAGAAACCCATCAACGATGTCCCAGAACTTGTTCTCTTGCTCAACCCAAGGGAAATGCCCACAATCCTCCAAAACGATCAAGTTGCTCCCCTTGACACCGTGGGCTACTGTTTCTGCAACCTCTACACCACAAGTCCGATCCTGTCTACCAACCACGACCAAAGTCTTAGCCGTCACTCTTCCCAACTCGGCAAGCTGATCCCACTTGCCACCCTCGGTCTGATCTGCGGCATAATACGCCCCGTACGTCGACAGCTTCGGCAAGGCCGTCCATGCCTTTTCAAACGCCTCTGGACCTCCATTCTGCGGATGCGCAAAGTACAAGTGCATCATTTTGAGGACGAACGTGCGGAATTCAGCGTCGTTGGTCACGCTCATGGACGAGAAGATCTTTCCGACTTTGGCGAAGAAAGATTGGTCCTTGCGCGTGTATCCCAGCAGGTCCGTCTCGATGAGCACCAACCGATCCACGTGCTGGGGATACGCGATTGCGTACCCGAGCACCACGACTCCACCGGCGGAGTGGCCTGCCAAACTCACCTTCTCGAGGCCGAGGTGGACGCGAAGAGCCTCGAGATCTTGCACGATGTGTCTGGTAGACATGGCGGAAGGGTCTGTAGGCGTGTCCGAAGAGTCATTTCCGCGTGGTGAAGGGACGATCAATGTGAAGCGTGAAGATAGTCTGCCAAAGGTCGAGACGTACATGTCTGCACCAACGCCCCAGGGAGGGGGGTGGACGATTAGGGGTGGGAGAGATGATGGAGAGTCGCTCTGGACATTGTAGTGGATTTTCAAATCGTTGATGATGACAGTGTGGGCGCCTGGTGACAAGAGGGAAGAGGACGATGACATTTTGGCTTCTCTTTTCTGGCTTGTCTATTCTAGCTTTCTTACTTGTTGTCTATCCTTGAATGTTATTTGTTTTTGGATCCGGTAGGCTTCTTGGTGAGCGAGCGAGTGAGTGAGTGAGAGTGTGTGTATGTGACCTGTCTGTGCCACAACTTGGAATGACATCGGACCATCATATATATACCTCTCCCCCAAGTACATCAACCACACACTCTCCTACCTAGATAGAACCCACACCGCTCCAGCTCGTCTTACCAATTGCCAATATGTACTCGTACCTGCTCGTAACACACCTCCCTCCTACCGAGGCCACAGGCTTGATTTACTTGCTCTGCTTGGCGCAAGGCTGCGCCATCGTCTTCTGGCCACTCTCACTCCTAATTAGCCTCGTTTGATTCCTAATCCTGCAGGCACGCGTGTGGGCTTGTGTTGCAACTATTAGTCAAGTAACCCCTTCACTTCAACTTGAGATCGTCTATCATCTTAATGCCGGCGGGAGAGTTAAGCCAAGCCCGCCTGGTCTGAAATCCTCCGGGTGCACTGGAATGACCGAGATGGCAAAAATCCACTCCCTATCGTCATCTGGCCCCATCACAACTCCCAGAAGAGGACTATGCGCGGCACTTCTGAGTGGTTGATAAACCGGTGGGGGTACTCTCAGTACGAGTACCAATAAGTGAAATGGGACACAAGTCCCTTTGTGTATGTGTGTGTGTGTGTGAGAGAGGGAGAGATATAGGACGAGGCACACGAATATACCAAACCCCGAGAGAAGCATGGGATGGTCGCTGTAAGTGTACTCGAATCGGTCACGAGGTGAAAGAAAGCATCATATGCGCAACCATGACCGTCGACCTATCGTGGAAAATCCCAAGTCCCAAAGACTCTAGCTGGAAGGTACGATAATCCAGTAAAACCCGCAAGTGGCTTATACGAGAGTGCTCGTATTGAAAGAAAAACTTGAGATATCAAAGTCGTTGTTCATACATGTCATCAGTCGGACTGCCATGACTATTCTTGAAAGCAGAACGGTTTTTAAATCCTTTTGCAAGCAACAGCTGAATCAGTGCAAGCATTCCAGGAGCCAGGCTCGCCCATCACTTCTACCCATTGCTAGTCCCATCCGCCCTCTTGAATGAGGCCAAGCTGGGAGAGCTGTTGTATCCAAACTTGCCCCTGTACATATGGTGCGGATGGCCTCTGAAAATCATTCAAGATTCTGGGCCTGGCCACCACGTCATGCAATTACTGTCCGAGGGAGACCACAAGGGTGTGCGTCCAGCTCCATTCCAATATCCGTGCCTTCTTTGTGAGCCTGATTCAGCCGTTGAACGGGTCGAGCTGACATTGGGGGCAGTGTGGCAATATAGACTTGTGGCTTGAAAGTCATGTTGGGCTTAGATGGCCTCTAGCTTATCGGCGTCGTACAGTCGGGGGTATTCGAAGAGTGTGTAGGAGGGCACAAAATTCACCACGGGCGCATTATGCTCATAGAAGCTCTTCACACGTCCAGTCTTCGTACCTTTGAGATGTCAGCAGAGATCGTAGCAGTCTCAGGTCGCAAAAGCTTACCATCCGTCTGGTAGGTAACGGCGCACCACGAGTGGGATCTTCTTTTGGTTTAATTCCTTGATCGCAATCTGTAGAGGATCTGTCTCTCCTTCGAGATCAACCAAGACAGGCGCATTGTTACTGCACGTTGTTAGGTCTGTCGCCCTCCAGCAACGTCCATCACCATGAGCACATACCTGATCTGTAGCGCTCTAGTGCCCAATACTCTAGCTCTCTCATACTTTGTCATGTAACGTGTGGTGCTCCTCTTCTCTGGGGGGATTTTCTTGTCGGCGTCACTCGAGGGTTTCGCAGGCTGGTTTGGGTCGGCTGAGACCACTGTCTTCTCCTCGCCGTCTTCTGCTGCAGTAGCCCGGGCTTCGATTGCTGCCTCGTCAATCTCAACGTCTGGTGCAAAATCTTCGATCTGCTCTTCTGGCTCGTAGAATTCGGTCTCTGGCTCATCTTGGCCGTACCTGAATGTATGTTAGTGGCAGGATAACCATGAGGCACAACACAGAAGTCCGCTCCCACACTTACCCTCCCTCGTTGTCACCGTAATCAGACATATTGGCGTGGTTTCGGCGGCAAACGCAGCGTGTTTGTATGACAGGAAGATAGCGGCGTGTCAAACAGCAGCTGGCGACAGAGAGAGTGATCGTGAGTGTAAACGTGAGGATGAAGACAAGTGCATTCCAGAGTGAAGACTAGGATATGCCTGTCGCGGTGTCGTGAATGAGAAAAAAGGCGCCTCCGCGAGTCCAGCACTTGGTCTTGGCTAATTTTTTTCAAATGACGAATCAGTGACGAGGTGAAGCCGACATACTTGCACTAAACTCACCCCTCGGCATTGGCTTCGTTGGCCACCGAAAGTTCCTTAAATTTTCGTCGCGACGCTGACCTACCAACACCACATTACAGAGTGCCCTTGCAAGCTTCCAGTTAGTCAAGATGCGGGTCGATTCAGACGACGACTTCGATCCGGTCGACGACTATGACATGCTCGACTCCGCGGACGAGCTGGTCGCTGAGAACGGTGACACCCCGGCCACATCTCCTCCCGCATCCACTACTCTTCCTCGCTGCCGACAAAAGAACCTACAGTGCCCATACGAAGGTTGCGAAAAGGCTTTCAATCGACAAGCACGCCTCCAGGAGCATATCCGCTCACACACCAATGAACGTCCTTTCAAATGTCCCTATTCTCCATGCACCAAAGACTTCCTACGTGACAGTCATCTAAAACACCACATCAAGAGTGTCCACCAGGATATTCGTGACTACAAGTGTACTTGGGAAGGGTGTGATGCAAGTTTCGCAACCGGCACAAGGTTGCGACGACATGTCCAGACCCACGAGGCCAAGGAGAAATTCAGATGTCGTGGCTATGAAGGCTGCTCTCAAACTTTTCGCAAGCAAGATACTCTGGACAGACACATCAAGACTGACCATCTAGGAATCAAGCCTTTTCCATGTCAGGAATCTGATTCAGTCACTGGTTTGCCCTGCACAAAAGCATACGATACTGCAGAAAAGTTGCGCGCCCATCAAAGAGCTAGACACGACCCGACAAGATTCTCCTGCGATGAATGTATGCGACAAAACGCCGAGACTCTTGCCAACTCTGCAGACACTGATCCAGATACATTGCCTGTCGCGTCATTTGCGACATACGGAGAATTTCAGGCTCACCTCACCATCGTCCATCCGCCAACATGTGGTTTATGTCCAACTTCTTTCACGACTAAAAAGGAGTTAACCAGACATCTTGAAATTCAGCATGGTATACTCACTGAAACACAGAATAAGCCTAGCCAGTCCTTTCCTTGCACTTATGATGGATGCGACAAACAATTCACCAAGAAGGGCAATCTCAACGTCCACATCAAGACTGTCCACGAAAACAAACGTGACTTTGTATGCGGCCAGACTGAGATTACTTTGCCGAAGGAACTTGTCGACAACGGCAACATTGTGGTTTACGGTTGCAACCGGAGCTTTACCAGCAAGGCAACATTGGAAGAGCATGTTCGATCTGCACACCTTGGATTGGAAGCAAAGAGAGTAGCGCAAAACAAGAAGCGCAAGGCAGAGCGACAGAAAGAGCTTGTTGCCACTGGTGGTCGAGTGCTTAAGAAGCGCAAACCTCGTTCAGACAAGGGTGTCAAGAAGACTTCTCTCATGGCCGATCTCATTGGCCAAGCACATTCGGAGAGCATTGCAATTCCTGGCGCTACGTCAACCGGCAACGATGGTGACTCTACTCATCAGGCGGACATGGATGCCGAGGAGCAGTTCCTGACAGGCTCAATGGTTATGTGTGGCGACGAGATCTATCACTATGGCAGCTCGTACCACTATCCATCTGGCGAATACCCGACTATTGGTGGCAACACTGGTGCAAGTGGGCATGCCAACGAACACAATTCCAACAACGATTCCAACGACACTGACATCCCATTTGGCCAGTACCTACCAGACAGTGCTATGGATTATGAAGTTGACGACCTCTTTGGCTTCGAACAAGAGAATCGAATTGACTTCACCTACCCGGCACCATTTTCTTACTAATTGACGACCGATTGTCTATCACGATCGATAATGAAATGGACCAGCTCTTCAGCTTCGAGCTTCCAAAAGCAAGAGTTTACGTTCACCCACCCGTTACTATTTCCCTCTCGACAACCGACTGGCTTTTATGACCAAGGAAACGGAATGATTTTTCTTGCCCTCTTTCAGTTCGAGCAAACGTTATGATACCCCCGATACAGCGCTGTGATTACGGTTCCTCATTCACTTTATTATGGTCCCCTGCATAGATGAGCGAGTTTGTTGCGATTTCAATAATGTCACGATTACGAAGACGAAACGTCAGATTTTTATTTCCATGCAGAGCAAGGCGTTACCTGGCAAGGAAAATAAGCAGACACTATGCATTGGTGTAGTGGCGGCTCTACTAAAAGTGTGGAATTGGTTGTCGGCTGCTGCATAGCATGCAACAGGACAGCCTGAACAGACGCGGCGTTTGTTTTCACTGGAACACCAAAAATTGGTTGGTCATGGAAAAGTGAAACTTCTTTAGCAGATATCGAAGGTTGCCTCAAAAGAGGCCAAAGGGGGATAATTCCTTCTAATGAGAAATCCATATTGAAAATCATCCTTCCATGCCCGTGACTGTGCTTTTTCTGACTCTGCTGGGAATGCCGAATGCGTGCTGACCTCTCTATCATGCTCTCTAGCGGCCTAAATTTCATCTGATGGCGTTCATCTGAGCAGCTGAAATGGCGTCCCCGGAGGTATTGTCCAATCCGGCCAATTTGAGGTATACGGTATGATCGAACAAGGAAGGCGTTCTGATGAAGTTGCAGCTGGCGATAGGTGCCTAGAAAGTCGCAGTCTTACCACCCCTTGGTTCCTGCAATGGCTGGCTGACGTTATACTAAGGAGACTGCTGCTTCACATCACTCAGATTCGAGTAGCACAAAACCTATGTACGCGTGCTCTATCCTATAAACCTGACAGTCACGCTCAACGCGCAGTTGGCCACACTATGGACACTCCTCCCCGTCCAAGATATTCCTCCTTCGCCGTCACTGACCACCACCTATGAACTCAACATCAAGAGCAATAATCATTTCACCATGATAACTCCCGAGGGAACTGAACTGGGCGGACGACTCTGGCACCCCATGAGGACAGGCAGCGCCAGTACAACAATCCCAGCGGCAGCAACCTCGTCCATCTCGACCGGTCAGCCTAACAACACTCCCAGCGCAGCGATGACGTCTCTATCTACCACAGCCACAGATTCAGCTTCAAGTATCTCTTCATCATCGCCACCCAGTTTATCTCTGACCCAACATTCTTCGCCATCATCTTCGAGTCTATCAGAAAGCGCTAAAGTCGGCATCATCGTCGCCTCATGCTCTGCGGCAGCCTTATTGATCCTCTTTGGAATTGTCGAACTATTCTTGAGGAGAAAACGGAGGAATTTGATGCGTCTGAGAAGAAAAGAGCAAAGCGAGAAAAGAGAACAAGAAGATGATGGTCTGGATGGATGGCAATGCCTGGGATGAAGGAAGGTGGGTGGAATAAGTCAATTCAAGTCACATACCTAATGATGAACATCTACTATGTCTCATTCATGACTTGAAGCTTGAGTGCTGGGAGATGCTTGTACCCTGCATTTTATGTTGTTGTGATCTCCACGGCCTCTAACCATTCATTAAGCGAGATGATCCGGGGGATTGTCAGGGGTCCATTCCGCTTATTCATGGGCCTCTCTCGGGCTTTTCTTCTTCTTATTACTCATGCTGAGAACAGCCACTGACAAAATTTACATCATAACACGTGCACTCAATGTCGCCCTTATCCGTCTCAAAGTCTGTCGTGATCTCTACCACTTTTTTTTCTCCCGACCTTGGAATAACAAAAAGTTAGGACACAACCGTACACGACCAACACTCCTTTTAAATGCAAGTCCACGCCATGACCCTGGTATAAGAGCCTTGCTATTTCATTTCCATGCATTCCTTTCAACTCCCGACCTTTCCAACTTGCAGAACCTCCTTGAGACTACGCGGAGAAGAAGCGCGATGACCACCGCTGGCCCCATCCGCCATCCGGCCCTTCTCACTCGTTCTTTAGCCTTTACTCCTTCTCATATCAATCACCGTGCGGGCGAATCCTCTCGTCGAGACCTTACTCTTACTTACCGTTTCTTCTCAGACTTCCTACCTCCCATGAAGCGGAGCGTCGATCCCTACAAACCACCCGCGAGGAGTCTACATTCGACACCACGAGGTGCCGCTGCTGCAGCAGCCACGGCTCAGAACAACTCAGCTCCCCCCACGACTGCTGCTGAATCTGCCATCCCTCACATTTCCCTCCACATTGCCGCCTCGTCCAGCGGCAAAGGCCGCAAGTTTCGACCCGAGCTGAGTACGTTTGACTTTATCCCCAACAGCGGCACCGATGCCGCTTTGGGCCTCCAGCAAGGGTCGACGATGCAAGAGAAGAGATCGCGACGTCCCGACAGCGGGCAAGACGCGTATTTCGTGAGCCGCGTCGGAGGACGAGACTCCGAGGTGACGGCCTTTGCCGTGGCGGACGGGGTGGGAGGATGGACCGAGCACGGCATCGACCCGGCCGACTTTTCCCACGGTCTCTGCAGCCACATGGTCGAGACGGCACTGTCGTGGGACCGACGAGAAGAGAGGTTGGGTCCCAAACAGCTGCTCCGGCTGGGGTACGAACGGGTCACGAACGACCCGGCGATCAAGGCGGGAGGGACGACGGCGTGCGTGGCCGTCACCGAGCCCGACGGGCGCATGCGGGTCGCAAACCTGGGGGACTCGGGTTTCCTGCAGCTGAGGCTGGGGACGGTGCACCACTGTTCCAACCCGCAGACGCACGCCTTCAACACGCCGTACCAGATGAGCATGACGCCGCCCGAGATCCTCGCCCAGGCCATGATCTTTGGCGGCATGCCGTTGAACGACGAGCCCGAGAAGGCCGACCTGGCGGACCACATGCTGCGGCACGGCGACGTCCTCGTCCTGGCGACCGACGGCGTCTGGGACAACCTCAACTCCCAGGACATCCTGTCGATCGTGTCCAAGCACATGCGCCTGTTCGGCGGGTGGTTGAGGTCGGAGGGTCAAGGGTACGCGACCTCCCCGGTCCTGCCCGAACTGGTCGACCGCTCGCTCGGGCCGCAGAAGCACAAACTGCCGGGCACGCTCCAGAGCGTGATCGCGGCGGCCATAGTCGGCGAGGCGAAGACGGCCAGTCTCAGCGCGAAGCGAGACGGGCCGTTCGCGAAAGAAATGAAGAAGCATTTTCCCTTCGACCCTTGGCACGGTGGGAAGGTGGACGACATCACCGTTTTGGTGGTCATTCCTGTCGACCAGGCCAAGGTGAGCTTGAAGCCCAAGTTGTAATTTATCACCACCCATAGGTATGGTCGGAACTGGCGGGGGGGCCGGGAACCACATTCCCCTTTCCCCGAGGTGAACGGAAGGGGGATAAGAAGGAAGAAAAGAAGCGGACCCCAATCCCCCTGATCAAGGGGCGAGAACTTGGAAACACCGACAGAGGGTTTCAAATGTATATACAACTGTATATTGTACTCTCTTACATCCCGAACGGAACATCTTTGGTGGTGCTGATGATGGTCAACAGTACAGGACAGAGTATGGCATATAGCATGATATCAAAATGGCCTGAGCGGTCCTTTTTGGAAATTTTAGGTTCTTGTCTTGCAAAATCTTGCTTGGGGCAGCATATGAGATTGTAGAGAGTACACAGTATCTGTACTCGATAGTACTAACTGGAAATATTCCACATCATCAAATGTCAACACAGAGAGGCACTTTTTCTGTCGAGTGAAGTGGGAAAAACAAACCCAGTGCAACTATAGAACTCCGTACAAACTACCTAGGTAGGTGGCATTTCTCAACATGACACATTGCAAGATAAACACACATTAGAAACCGACGTGTTAGACATTTGTTTCCCCATGCCCAAAGAAAAAAAGACCCACTCTCAGGCAGGGCCTTGGTGTGTGTGTGTGTGTGTGTGTGTGTGTGTGTGTGTGTGTGTGTGTGTGTGTGTATCGTTACGTACTCTTCTTTTTTTCCCCCTTTTACACTCTTCTTCTCCTCAAACCGACGTTGAACCCCAAAGGTTTCCTCAAAAACCCTTCCCTCGTCTCCATGGGTCCAGGGTGTTCGTCGCGGAACTCAAAGTTCTTGAAGACGGTCGCCACCATGCACTTGAGTTCCATCTCGGCGACGTTGCGGCCCACGCAGGCTCGGGGTCCGGTGCTGAAGGGGATGAAGGCGTCCTTTTGCCGGGGGGTCAGCCTCTTCTCCGACCACCGCCCGGGCACGAAGTCGTCGGCGTCGGGGCCCCAGATCTCCTTGCTGTGGTGGATGGTGTAGCTGGGGACGCTCAGGGCGGTGCCGGGGGGGAAGTGGTAGCCCAGGATGTCGACCCCGGTCGGGTTGGGGTTCTCGGGCGTGGCCCCCGGCACCAGGCGGGGCAGCCCCAGGGAGGAGGTGCTGTGGATGCGCATGGTCTCGTTGATGACCCACTGGACGTACTCCAGGTCCTTGACGGAGTCGTAGCTGGGGACCCCGGGGGGGATGGCCGCGTCGAGTTCCTCCCGGAGGGCCTCGAGCACCCCGGGGGTGCGGACGACGTAGTACAGGAGCGCGCAGGCCGTGTTGCTGGTCGTGTCCGAGCCGGCGATGAGTTGGGTGAGGGCTTCCGCCGTGAGCTCCTCCCGGCCCAGCCTCTCTCCCTTCGCGTCCTTGCCCTCCATCAACCGCGCCAAGAGGTCGACTCGGTCCGTGGTCGGGTTGTCCAACCGCTGCTTGACCCGGGCGATGGCGATGCCGGCCAGGTTTTCCACCGCCTCGACACCTTTGCTGAAGAACGGGTCCGGCATGTACTTGGCCCAGGGCTTCAGCTGGGGCAGACAACCGAGGGTCCCGGACACCTCCCCTCGGCGGTTGAGCACCTCGATGGCCGGGGCCGACGTGGGAGGGGCGTCGGGGGACTTTCTGATCTCGGCGTAGTCCTTCTCCCGCTCGAGCATGCCGAACGGCTGCCCGAACGCCAGGTCGCCGATGATGTCGAAGGCGAGGTAGTTGAACCAGTGCAGGGCATCGATCGACGCGTACCCCGTGCTCGGGTTGGCGCGCGTGTCGGAGAGCTTGTTCCACTTCTGGACAAACAGTTCCAGGTTGGCGTGGATGTACTGTTCGAACTGGCCGATGGACTTGGCCGAGAAGGTGTGGCTGACGACCTTGCGTTTGCGAGTGTGTTCGGCCCGGTCTCGTGTGTTGAAGAGGCCGCGACGAATCGAAACAAATGCGTCGTAGTACTCACTGTTTGTAACCGCCAAGGTGTCAGTCAAGGAGTGTTCTTCTTCAAAAAGGAAGCCGGCCAAGGAAGGAAGAGCAGAGGCGACCGGCAGAAATGGGGAAAACGGAACAAAAAACTTGCCTCTTCAGAAATCCATTGCCGTGACCATAGATGGTGTTGATGACCGAGTCGTCTGCAATCGACACATGGTTGGGCTGTATCCGGACGACTTTGCCGTATGTCTTGTGGAGGTCGTCCACAGCCTGGTACCGTCGCCCTCGGCGGCACTGGTACATGAGCCATAGGTTGGACAGCGCGGCTGGTAATGGTCCGGGAACCTTTAAGAGAGCCCAGTTTCGTAGGTATGGAAGGATGTAGTAGATTATGGGTAGAAGTAGAAGCGCCCATGGGGACACCAACGACGACACGAACATCGTGACGATCCAGTACTCAGAGTATGTGTCCTATACTACTCCGCAGATCGTATTCGTATACTTCGTCAGATGGAGGGGGTAATGACCAACAGGAAAGGAAATTCACAAAAAAAAGCTCGACCTATTCTCTTTTGTGCGTCTGTGTGTTACGGGGGAAAAAGGGTGGCCGCAGTTGTTGTTTTATATATCTTTTGTGTTTCGTAGTTTGAAGCCGAGTCGAGTGAGGTCAGAACGAAGCCGAGGATGCCAAACTCGTGAAATGACGGCCAACGGGGAACTGGAGTAATTGGTGCCCACAGGAACGGTGATGATGGTAGAGACGGCGATGCAGCACGGGTCAAGTCGTTCACAGTCGGTAACAGAGATCGGGAATGGAAAAAGGGAAATGGCAGCCCTTTGATTGGAGAAGAGCATGACTTGTATCGGATGAAGGTGGATTGGGAGGTCACGACGGGTCCTGATGCTGAGGACGGACATGGGCCACGGTAAGCACAAGCAAACTCACTCCCCTCCCCCCCGCCACAATATGTAGGTGCCTACCAGGGTATATGGGGGGCGATCCATAGGCCGAATCTCACCTAACAGACACTCCGTACGGAGTAGGGATGGAGCCACTCCCGTCCTTATCCCATTTCCCTCTGACAGTACGGAGTATATCACGAAGAATGGATATCAGTACCTACTCCATACAGTAAAAAGAATGCGTGGTTGGGCACTTTTTCAATGGATACCTCGTGCTGTCTGTCTATCCATCTGTTTCTTACAACCTCGCTCATCTCGTTCGCCTCACTCGCCCTCGCTCTCGCCCTCTCATACACCGAGATTCCATAATCGGATTACTGGATGTGTCTCTCCATCCCCGTTTCATGGCAGCCTCGACAGGAAGAGCACACCAAGCACCTCTTCTTTCGGATAGTCTAGTGGGTACGAGTTGCTTTGAATGCCCAATCTCGTACACGCGGCCTTGTCCTATCCAGGCCATTCGTCGTGCAGCTCTTTCCGGAAGGATCCTATCCTTGTCAAATGGTAACTTGACGACCTATGTGGCTGTCACAGCAATGTCGCTTGTTTGGCAGCAAAGTAGGGGGTCGTCAACAGTGTCATGGGTAACGTTACCCTCGGAATGTCACCCGAAGATCAGGCTTGTTTGTTCGTTGCTAACTCAGTGAGCGCATATCGAAATATCCTCTCAGTGGACCATTTGTTCTGCTGTTAGTTCCTGAATATAGGGTCAGCTCTTATCCCGTTAACGCGTCACCATCATCTGAGGCTCACCGTAAAGGTCTCACTGAGTCCTGCAGCACAACGTTCCACATCTTCGACCAATCCCTGAATATTATGGTCCCATTGGCGTAGATATCGGGTTGGCCCATGGAGCTCAACACCAGGCACGGCCTCAAACACGATGACTCCAGCGATCTGATCGATTTCGCCTTTGAGTCTTCCCTGTTCAAACATGCGGGCTGCATAATCTTCGGCTTTTTCTGCCGCAGTGTCATCTTTGCCATCTTTCAAACCGAGAATCTCTGCGAGCGTCGCCGTCGTGATATTTTCGTAGAGACGACTAGTTGCAAGCAGGTTGTGTTCAATCACCGCCTTGCTCAGTACGGTACTACCGTCGGCAGTCAAGGCAAGTTGGTGCGGAGCCAATGTTGAAGCAAAGGCTTCTACATCTGCTGGTGATAACAAGCGCTCCAGGAACATGTTTTCCAAGATGCCATATTCATCCGTCTCTGCTGATCTCTCGTCCTTGTAGAGATTTGCCAACGTACGGCTCCGTTGCGGACCGGCAGGAGCAAGTATAGCCGTCTTGATGGCGGCAGAGAGTGCCCGTTTCCGGTCTTCCTCGTCGGCCATGGTATTGAAAGAAACAGTGAGATATTCTGCCGAGGCATTCAAGAAATCTCGACGAGAGTCCTGGATTCGTGCTTGCGATAGTTGGTACAAGATACGCAGCTCCGGGGCGTCCTTCATCTCCTGTGCTGCGGCCGCCGAGTTCTTGATCTTGTTCAGGGCGGACTCTGCAGACACAGTATCATCATCCTCGAGAAAGTATCTTACGACCCTAATCCATGTCTCCACTTTCGACCGGTCGGACACTTGACGTTGGGTTGAGTCGAGGTTTATGCCTTGTAAGGCTTTAGCAGCCTCGCTGTAGTCCTCTTCTGCCTCGTATCCTTGTGCAAGTATCTCCCTGGCCGCCGCATCCTGCTCTTCGTACGATGCCAGTTGTGAATCTAGAGCATCTACTACATGTTTTCCCACTTTGACTTTGACTTCGGGGGGGACAGAGGACAGTGACTTGATGACAGTTGCGAGGATGTTTCGGATGACAATGATTCCCAGAGACGAGGAGAGAACGGCATCAATGTAGGCGATCAGGTTTTCTGCATGTTGCTCGGCCGACACAGGTGGCGTAGTAGTCAATTTCTCGAGGAGATGATTGTAGGCATTGGCCTTGTCCGCGGACGTTGCGTCTGCAACCGATTCCAACATTGCTGTGAGTTCTGGCGACGCCATCTTTGGAGGCTTGCTTGAACGTTCCGGAATGAACCAAGGTTGAAGTTGTGAAAACGACCAACACCGTCTGAAGAAGTAGCTCCCCCAAGATCTTCCTCTAATGAATCTGTGGTAACAGGGTCAGTCAAGGTGAAAGTGAAGGGCACAAGCGCAGGCCCAAACATGTGCACCACGTGACTGACGTCAGTCTTAGATGTAAAGTTACTTACTCCGCCATATGGAGTACTCGCAAATAAACAGTCCACCGTATAAAGGATTTCCCTCCCAGAACTTTGTCTTCAATCCATGCACAAGCCACCACTACACGTCGCCTCCAAGACGACCATTTTACATTGTAATCAATGGGGCAAAACTGGAAACGATATAAATACGTCCTTTTGGGGAATCGAAAAGTCATCAAGTTGCTTGTTGGTTGGCATTGATACATCACGAATACACATTACACATTACACATTACATTCGATTTGTGTCATGAAAGCATCATGCCGTCTTCTAGCCTGCAACCTGACAGGATTCAAATTCTTCCGAGATCGCTATAATTCATCTGCGGCGGCGGACTGGGCACCACTCGCTCTGTAGCCTGCAATTGTGCATCGTAGGCAGGAAGAGGTGCTACGTCCGCAACGTAATGAGGATATCGAAAATTGTAATAATCCCGCTGCATGCTCTGGACTTGACGCTCCTGCTCAGTCCTGAGTGTCTTTCGGGATCGCCTTCGCTGCCAGGTGAAGATCAATACAAACAAAATGATCAGAAATACGCCTCCGGCCGTGGCACCGCCTATAATGGCTCCATTGTGGGTAAAGGACGAGGATGCTGAAGCTCCAGAAACAGATGAGGAGGATGAGGATGAGGATGAGGACGGCCATGATGAAGATGGTCGAGTGGTGTTTCGTGACGATGGTTTGGAGCTGTGGCTCTCGTGTCCAGAATGGAAGTTGGACTCGGTCGACACCGATACCATCGTGGCTGTATCGAAGGGTGTAGACGACCATGAGCTTGTCCTAGACCGAGACTGAGATTTCGAAAGAGATGGGCTGGTGGCTGGCGGAGCATGAGAAGTCTTTGTCGTGGTCTTCATCGAGCTTGAGCTCGACTTGAGAGTCTTCTGTGGCTGCATACTTGTACTTGATGCAATAATGACTTGGCTCGCGGGCCAGGCAAACATTGTAGCAGCTTCTTGACCGCAAGAAAACGCCGTCCAGCTACCCGTGCTCGTAACGTCGTCGTATATGTACTCTGAACAGTAAGGGGCTGAACTCGGACTGTTTCACAAACACGTCGTAAGTTATCGTGTGCATTACAGTATAGAATGGCAAAACAACACATCCCCCTTGCAAAATCACAAAGGCAAAACTTACCAAGCCAGACAAGATTCCCCAGAGCATTGACCTGACTCGGTGTGCGCATAACACCTTGTGTAAAACCTGCAATCACCAGAGTCGTCACAACAGCCTTGCTTGTTTGCAGCGAAGGTGCAAATAGATTTCGGCCCAGAACAGACGGGTACGGCGCCATTTGGATAATACGGTTGGAGTTTGCCGCATGTCTGGACGTCTCGAGGATACAGTCTGAGCCGGAAAGTCGTTATGGCTTGCCCGACCTCGGTCAGGCTAGGCGACAGGTTCGATGAGGGAGGAGCTGACATACTGGTTGCCGATGTCTAGCTATCCCTCACGAGGCTCAAGTACAGTCTCAGATTTGCTGTTCCTTCTTTAGAACATGCCCGTGTCAACTCGACCATCTCTTTCAGGTCTGTGGGCACAGAGATTGAAGAACGATCAGAGTAGTGATTTTTGTACAAGGCCCTTCTCACGCCCGAGTGTTGGCAAAAGGCAAACTATAGTAGAGCCTTCGACACATATACTCCCTACGAGCAGATGCCATTGAGGATCTGCAAACTTCTGGTGCATGATAGGCCACATTTAGCAACCGAAGCGGGAATAGGGCAAGGCGTGTTTGCCTTGCCGCCTCAACTCCACGGGATTCTCTGACTGGGCGGTACAACCCGCTCTTCAGCCTGACCTCAGTACCTTCGGTCCAAGTTGGACAAAAGCCCTTGGTAATCTTCTGCAATTGCGCAATGCTACCTCATTTCGAGTCCGCCGAGGTGCAGAAAGGCCCAACAAGATTCCAAGATCAAGAATAGGGATCTGTTGATGGCCCACCGAGGGTTGCGGCACCGCTACCGAGGTACTGACCGAAGAAGGTGGAAATATCGCCAGAGTCGCCGCCATCTGTTCTCAGATGCCATCCTTCAAGAATGTCGTCCCAGTCTTGCTGGAAAAGTGGTAGCTCCGACAGAGTCGCATCCAGTGACGAGATGCTAGTCTGAGCCGGAGCCTGAGCATGGTGAGGGACGGTTTGCCTCGAAGGTGTTGACGAATCAAAGAAATCCCTTACTTGGGTTCCATTGTTGTCTGCCCTAGCCTGTGCGAGATATATGCTTGCAATCTGATAAAAGGTTTGACAGGCACGGTGCAACTTTCCCACCCCAGGGCTCATATCCGCGACACTTTCTAACCCGTCAACCACTTCCTTCAGAAGCTGCAAGTCTTCCACGTTCCTGTCGGCGATGGCATTTCCGAAAAGGACAATGTAGGGGACGAATGGACTCCATTGTACGGTCCAGAGGACGAAGAGGTGCCACTCCTGCCTTTGGCGATGTCTTAGCATGTTCCAAGCGTCGTTGTGCATGATTACGGCTTCACGAGCCGATTCAATTGCAAGATCGTGGAATTTTAGAGGATGATGCTGCCGACCAGATGGGAGTGGATCAGGTGGAATCATCCGGTAGATCAGGGTGAGGAGCGCGGCTAGGACTATTCGGGTGGAATGAAGATTCTCAGAACCTGATTCTGCAAATGGATGTCCCTGGAACTCGATCTTGAAAAGGGCTTCCATTTCGGAGAGCCGCCTGGCCAAAGCCCGTGCGCGATTACCCTTGACTTCAGGCGGTTGTTTTTGGGCCCGGGCACAGTACAGTTGCTCATAAATCTGACCTTGAAGTTCTCCCAAATGAATCCAGCCTACATATAAAAGGCCAAATGGTCCATTGAGTTCCTCGGGGACTCTAGGTGGTTCGACAGTGATATCGCAGTCTTGGATGTTGGTGGACCTGCCCAAATTAAGCGCCATACTTCGGTCAAAGGAATATATGAGCCAGAATAAGATTCGTTTTTTGGTGGCCTCCGGGGCGACAGAATAAGATGGCAGGCGATGATAGCCTGCATCCTGAAGCATTCGAGACGCTGTCGTGACTAATGTCCAGGCCAACGACAAGCGAGATTGCCCCAATGCCATCATTGCCTGGGGTAAAACATGCGGTCAGCTGAACAGGCACAATGACCAATGAGTTGTGGGAGAGCTATGTTTTGAGCTACAGGGGTTTCTTTTGGAATAATCGTGAAGAAGATAGGCAGTTTTCCACGATGGATCAAGAGGCAATCACGTACCGCAAGAAGGAGGGCTTCAATTGTTTCATAAGAAGCCTCCATGAACAATCTCATGCTCCGCATCGCGGTCTCAGCATTGTTGGCACAGGTGTTCGCCATCTGTTGGAGCTCATCAGTAGAGAGATTGAGGGCGTTCACGGTGTCTTCCGGCATCTGGTCGCAGAGGAAGTACAGTGATACATGGACAGTAATGAAGGTCGCGATGGTATAGTCATCGGTAGGGAAATAAATTCTTTGACATAATTCCGAGAGACGATCAGCTTCCAACAAAGGGTATTCGTAGAAGATTCGATACGGATGTGCTGTAAGTAGGTCAACACGGCAGAGCTTAGACTTAGAACCACGCTGAACTTGTAAAGGGGCCCCCGGCTTTACCTACTTTTGGCATGTCGTAACAATCGCAGGACGACCTGCATTGACGGAAGCTCCAACTTGGCCAGTTCTGGGTAGAGCACGGCTTCTTGAAGAGGCTTCTGGACAAAAGTTGCACCGGAGCCATCAGCACCGGATGTCCCGTCATTGTTGAGGAAAGTTCTCAGCGTGGCAACCGCAGCAGCAACATCTCCGCCTACGTTGAGATTGAGGCTTCGCTCAAATGCTTGCGTCGCATCCTTGGAATGAGCAACGAAGGATGAATCCCCAGCAAAATCTGGTTCTCTTTCGATGGCCGGATGATCACGAGGGGTTGACAAGGTTTCTGTGTATGACTGGGGCGATGGTTGAAGCCTGGTTTGCCTGCTGTTAGAGGCTTGCAAAAGCCTCTCCAATCGAGCGAGTCTATCGTTAACGTTTTCGATTTCGCGTTCACTGAACAAGATCAAGGCAGGTCAGAACCGATTGCGCTCGTCTGTCGCTACCTTCATCTACAGAGGAATGACTTACTATCTTCCAGAAATTAGGACGCGCTGTCTTTTTTCAGGCTTGCGCTTTGATGTCCGACACGAAGTCCCGGAGCTCTGACAGCTTGAACATGGTGTTTTTCGATCGCATCGGATCTACATTAATGGCAGGTCAGTAAGCTTGTGTTATCTGAGTAGTCCGATGTGTCTAGAATCTACCTTTCGAGCCCGACAAGTGTCACACTAATGAATAAGAGTATTAATGAACAGAAGGCATCAAAACGTTGGACTCGTATTCGTACCGCAGGCACTATCTTGAATGTGTTACCGTCACCATCTGACTGACTTGCATCGGCCATGGTTGTGGCGCTTCAACAGCGCGGCAGAGCCATCGGCATGGACTTGTCGCGGACAATCCAAAGGGTTGGACTTTTTTCCTAGCCCAAGAGGTACCTTTCTGGGTCGTGGTGTTTGATGCTGTTGACTGGTCGGCGACGGCGACGCGAGGGCGGCGTCCGAGGAATCCGAAAGATGCCATGACACGTACCACTTATTTCTCTCCTCCCACTGGCCTAGATGAGTAAAAAGATCATGGACTAGACCCGTGAAGATTGCGGCCAAGTCCAGAGTCCACAGTCTTGACGTCGACGAATGACTCCAACCATCGCCCACTTCACCTATCGCGTCTCATGATTTTCGACTATTTTATTCATCCCCAGTCGCTATGACAAGATGGCAATCACCTTCAACGCCCCGGAAGGTTTGTCTGCGTCTCCCGAGAAATGGCAGCCTGGACTCTTGTCTCGTATCCGGAAAGAATTCATCTGTGCGCTACAAATATGAGACCCGGCGCTGATATGTCTTTATCTGAATAGTTCGTCGTCGAAAGTTTTGTCGTTGATCATCCCTTCGAATGGCGGATGAAACAGAAAAAAAGCGACCAAGTCAGGATGGCAGTCACTCATCCTCACACGCTCCTACTCCTGAAGAGAAGGAGGCCGAAGGCAGTATCACAGACTATCTTCGAATCTTCAGATATGCCGACAAATACGACTGGACTCTCAATGTCATCGCCTTCATCTGCGCCATCGCATCAGGCGCGTCTTTACCGTTGATGTCGATTATCTTCGGTAGCTTCACCAACAAGTTCAACAATTACAATGCTGGCGACGAGAGTCCCGAGGCATTCAAGGCCGACGTGGATCATTTCGTACTGTGGTTCATCTACCTCTTCATTGGGAAATTCGTCCTCACGTATATTTCCACAGCTGCCGTCACCATTTCAGCTATACGAACCACCCGGACCCTTCGACGAGTGTTCCTTGAATGTACATTGCGACAAGAGGTCTGGCATTTCGATAAGCAGAGCAATGGAGCAATCGCCACTCAGGTCACTACCAATGGAAATCGCATACAAACAGGCATTGCTGAGAAACTGGTCTTTACCATCCAGTCACTTTCCATGTTCTTTTCTGCATTTGTGGTTGCGTTGGCATCTCAGTGGAAACTAGCGTTGATCACCATGTCTGTCATTCCTGCTATCTTCCTCGTCACCGGCATCTGCATAGCAATCGATGCCACCCAGGAGGCCAGGATAACACGAATATACTCACGCGCCGCTGTCCTCGCAGAAGAAGTCTTATCGTCCATCCGGACAGTCCATGCCTTCTACGCCCGGAAGAAAATGGCGGAAAAGTACGATGTCTTTTTGCAGCAAGCACACCAAGAAGGCAACAAGAAGTCGCCAAACTATGGGGTTCTCTTCTCAACCGAATACTTCTGTGTCTACTCGGCTATCGCACTCGCATTCTGGAAAGGATTTCGGATGTACGAGAGTGGCGAGGTTGCCGACGTAGGCAAAGTCTTTACTGTTGTCCTTTCAGTCACCATAGCAGCCACTTCCATCTCCATGCTTGCACCGCAGATTCAGTCATTCACAAACGCCGCGTCTTCGGCTTCGGAGTTATTTAGCATCATCGACAAACCTACACAGCTTGACCCTCTCGATCCTTCCGGAAAGCAGCCCGAGAGTTGCCAAGGGCAGATTGAGATCCTCGATTTATCATTTGCCTACCCTTCCCGCCCATCAGCCGAAGTACTACGAGATTTCAGCTTGACGATTCCAGCCGGTAAGACGACGGCCCTTGTCGGTGCATCCGGTAGTGGCAAAAGCACCATGGTTGGCTTACTGGAACGGTGGTACCTGCCTAGCTCAGGGAGGATAATCCTTGATGGCCTGGACCTGGAACAATATAATGTGAAATGGCTGAGGAGCCGCATCCGCCTTGTCCAGCAAGAACCTGTTTTGTTCCGGGGTACCATCTTTCAGAACGTTGCCAACGGTTTCGTGGATGAGCAACGAGATTTGCCTCGAGAAAGACAAATGGAGCTTGTGCAAGAAGCTTGCAAAGCCAGCAATGCCGATGTATTCATAAACGAGCTTCCGAATGGCTACGACACTGAAGTTGGCGAGCGAGCCGGAGCTTTGAGTGGAGGTCAACGACAACGAATTGCAATCGCACGAAGTATCGTATCGGACCCTAAGATCCTGTTGCTCGATGAAGCTACCAGTGCCCTGGACCCGAAGGCAGAGAAAGTGGTTCAGGATGCCTTAAATCGAGTGTCGAAAGATCGGACTACTTTGGTCATTGCCCACAAACTGGCCACTGTGAAAAGTGCTGACAACATCGCGGTCATCTCGCAGGGGAAAATTGTCGAGCAAGGCACACATCACGAATTGATCGAAAGCAACGGTCATTACGCTGCGCTAGTTCGTGCGCAAGATTTGGGGGCTGACGAGCAAGAAGAGAACGACAAGATTCTCCAGGAAAAGAAAGCTCTTGGAGCTGCTGGTGAACGAGTGACACTTGAGCGTACTCATACCACAGCCACATCCCAAGCTGGCGATCTGGAGAAACAAAAGGCGCCCGTGGGAACTCTGGGTTATTCGCTCATAAAATGCATCTTAATCATGTTCTATGAACAGAAGAACCTCTACTGGTGCTTCTTGTTGTCAACCATAGCAGTATTGATATGCGGCGCAACATTCCCCGGACAGGCCCTCTTGTTTTCGAGACTGCTCACCGTTTTCGAATTGACCGGCCACGAGGCACAAGAGCGTGCGGATTTCTATGCTCTGATGTTCTTCGTCGTGGCTCTAGGAAATTTGGTGGGATATTTCACGATTGGCTGGACGTGCAACGTTGTTTCACAAGTTGTCACCCACCGCTATCGGGCTGAAATGTTCCAGCGAGTATTGGATCAAGACATCGAGTTCTTCGACATTCCAGAGAACACGTCTGGTGCTCTCACGTCGAAATTATCGGTTCTACCCACCCAGCTGCAGGAGTTGATATCAGCAAACATCCTTCTCATCTTTATCGTTATCGTCAATATCGTCTCGAGCAGTGCTCTTGCGCTCGCCTATGGATGGAAACTGGGCCTGGTCGTCGTGTTCGGTGCCCTTCCACCCCTTCTCATGGCCGGATATCTCAGAATCCGTCTCGAGACGAAGCTGCAAGCGGGGAATTCGGAGAACTTTGCAGAAAGTGCGGGTTTGGCAAGCGAAGCGGTCACCTCGATCCGGACCGTGGCATCTTTGACTCTCGAAGGCCATGTTCTCCGACAGTACTCGGGTATGTTGGGCAAAGTCGTGCTGAGATCGACAAAGGCATTGGTCTGGACCATGTTCTGGTTTTCACTGTCACAGTCGATCGAGTTCCTTGCCATGGCTCTGGGATTCTGGTATGGCAGTCGATTACTGGCCTCGGGCGAGTACACTACCGCCCAATTCTACATCATCTTCGTGGGTGTATTGTTCGCCGGTCAAGCGGCCGGTCAATTCTTCGGATACTCCACGAGTCTGACGGCCGCTCGCGGAGCGGCCAACTATATCCTGTGGCTGCGGACACTGAAGCCGACCATCCGTGAAACCGACGAGAACAAGAAAACCGGTCCGGAAGGTGAAGGTCCTGTCGACCTCGAGGATATAGAGTTCAGGTATCGTCAACGCGACACGGCTCGAGTCCTTCGTGGCATTTCCATGACCATCGAACCTGGCCAGTTTGTGGCCTACGTTGGCGCTTCAGGTTGCGGCAAGTCAACATTGATCGCCTTGTTGGAACGATTTTACGACCCAAGCTCTGGCCGGATCTGTCTGGCACACAAGGATATCGCGGAGATGTCTCCACGCTTGTACCGCGGGCACATGTCTCTGGTCCAGCAGGAGCCCACACTATACCAAGGCTCCGTCCGCGAGAATGTGTCCTTGGGACTGGACTTTGAACCGTCGGAGGAGCAAGTCAAGGAGGCTTGTCGCAAGGCCAACGCGCTGGACTTTGTCATCTCCCTGCCAGAAGGCTTCGACACGCCCTGCGGATCCCGGGGGATGCAGTTCTCTGGTGGGCAACGACAGCGGATCGCCATCGCCCGAGCGTTGATCCGAAATCCAAAGCTGCTGTTGCTGGATGAGGCGACGTCGGCCCTCGACACGCAGTCGGAACGTCTGGTTCAAGCCGCCCTCGACGAAGCTTCCATGACCCGAACCACAATAGCCGTGGCGCACCGGCTTTCGACCATTCGAGATGCGGACGTCATTTTTGTGTTTGCCAATGGAAGAATCGCCGAGATGGGAACTCACGCGGAACTACAACGACTCAAGGGAAGATATTATGAAATGTGTCTGGCACAGTCTTTAGATCAAGCATAACAAGCATAAGCATTTGATGAAGGAGCATAAAAAAAGGCGTTACCATCTGATACCGTTAGCCTCGCTTGGGAACGGGGCGGTGTTTGGGCTCAGATACGGAGTACCTAGGTACATAGGTAGTCCTGTTGTACTGTAAATAATGTACCATCTCATCTCCATCATGGAATTCAGTTAGGTACCTCAGAGGGATACTCCCTACCTACCGAGGTAAATGTTTACCGGTAGGTAGGTTCTTTTGACTCAATCCCTGCCTGTATGTGGCCAGCTGTTGAACAGGTTTAGGCGACCAGCAACGTCCGACACCAACATCGGCAAATACTGTACGGAGTACGTTGTTTATTTATTGATTGGACGAAAGTCACCGGGTTTCCGAATAATTTAATCATGTCGCCTATTCTCATGTTGTCTTCTCAAGAGAGAATCATGGGGCCGAACTTTCGTCCGTTGCGATCCGTCCATTTGCCAAAACAATCACATCTTGTTCTTGTCGTTGCTTGTAGATGGAATAAAAGATACGGGGGTATTGAGTACAACCTCGTCCGATTGATTACGCGTCCTTGTACCTAGGTACTGAACCCGCAATCACTTTTAAATGCCAAAAAACAACCTCATCACTCCGTATATTTTTCGATGTTTTTAATCGTGGGAGAAAAGCAGCAAACAACAACTTGATATTTTTGATTTCTTAAAAAGAAACAAATATGTCGTGGGTCGCGAGAGTAAGTCCAAGTTCCATATACCGTTCGACCTGCCAATCTTGAAAAAATACTGTCTACTACGATTTTCGAGTATACACCTCATGACACGGGTCGGCTGAAGAGGATTTTGTTGTACGGCAAACAAAAGCAGTGTCGATCCCTTCAATGACTTACCCTGTAGTACCTTAACATACCCAACGTCTCTACTTGCTTGTGACACTGACACGTTGTCTGTACCTTTTGATCCAGTGGCTTCTTTACTTCCACGATTGGAACAACAATGTCAACACAATCATCAAAACCACCACGACCCAAAAACTAAAGTCTCTCAACACCGACACCGACAATGAATCGCCACCCTTCAAACCGTTGCGCATTGGAATCCTCGGGGCGGCCGAGATCAACTACGTTTCCATCATCGAACCGGTGTCGACTCACCCGGCCGCCCTCATCACGGCCATCGCGGCAAGATCAAAACCCCGGGCCGAGGCCCAGATCGCCCACCACAAGGAAAGTCTCCCCGGTGAGGTGAAGGCGTACGGGTCGTACGAAGAGGTCATCCACGACCCAGACATCGACGCGGTTTACATCCCGCTCCCCAACGGGCTGCACTACCGGTGGACGTTGGCGGCTCTCGAGGCAGGCAAACACGTTCTGGTCGAGAAACCCATCACTTCCAACGCTCGAGAGGCCCGGGAGGTCGCCGCCGCCGCCAGGCGCAACGGGAAAGTCGCCCTCGAGGCCTTCCACTGGCTCTTCCACCCGGCCGCCCACACGGTCAAGGCCATGCTGACCGGGGGGGAGTACGGCCGAGTCGTGTCCGTAAAGCCCTCGATGATCCTACCCGCCGGGGTGCTCGGCCAAGACGACATCCGGTTCAAGTACCCTCTCGGAGGTGGGAGTTCGATGGATTTGACGTACGTTTATAGTGCTTCTTGTTACTTTGCGGATCAAAAGACACCGCCATTTCGGTCTGTTGCGGAGAGTAGTACAACAGGCACGGACATTGAACATGGGCGTGGAAGTACAGTACCTGGACGCACATTACCTGGTGACGATGATGATGATGATGATGATGATGATCAGGGTTTCCGGGTCCTAGAAGCAAGACCGAGAATCAATTCTACCGACCCTTTGATCGACGACGCAATGACGGCGGTAATCTCATTCGAAGGTCCTGACCATTCCGAAGCAAAAGCAATCACAGATTGTGACCTATACTTGCCCAAACTTTTTGGGCTTGTGCCTCGAGTGTGGGTTCCTCCTCCAAGCGTTCAGATCGAATGTGAGAGAGCAGAGATCCAATTCGGCAATTTCGCGGGCCCTTGGTTGAAGCACGAAATCGTCGTGACCCCTTTGACGAGAGACGCCTCCACGGGAAAAGTTGTGAAGCGTGGAAAAAAAGGTAAACCTAAAACTTGTTACGTCGGGGGACCCGAGTGGGAAAGAGAAGAAAGGGATGAAAAGACGGGTAAAGTGGTGGGCGAGGAATGGTGGACTTCGTATCGATATCAACTTGAAGGGTTTATTAGAAAGATACGAGAGGTCGAAGGGAAACAAACCGGTGGGAAGAGGTCAAGTTATACTTACAAAGGACCTTGGGTTAGTATGGAACAAAGTATTAGGATCATGGACGTCATCGATGCGGTCTACAAAAAGGCAGGGTTACCTGTTCGTGGAGAGTGATACCTAGATTGCCTGTATATATATATATATATTATCTATATACCAGGTAGGTAACATGGGTACATACATCCCAAAAAGTAACTCGATATTATTTTATTCCCAACCCAAGAGGTGTGGTTCAAAGTCATTCTATCAGTACGTACAGAATACACAAGTCACGCAGGTCATGGCAAATATTCCAAAAGGCCCTAGAAAAACAAAGACAAGGACGTGTCGGCTCAGAAAATTGGACATGCTTCTTCAGGGAACAACGAGTCAAGGTTCATTCGATTTGCCTCGACGATGTTGATAATTATACTTAACAGTATAAACGAAAAATAGCAAGAAGCGCTCAAACGCAGCAGAAAACAAACAATCAACAAACCAAGGGCGCCGAAGTGTCGCGATGAGCAATTTGCTCCAAACAACCTACGCATGCTGTTCGAGCTTCAACACATCGATGATATCCAAAAAGCGAATCCCCAAGACAAAGAGACACACCAAGCCCAAAAACCCGCCAAAAATACTCGTAGACGTTCAATCACATCATCTCTCTCTCTGTCTCTTTCTCGCTCTCTCTTCCAACCTACATCTCTCTCACTCTCACCAAGCAGTTCCCTCCTCTTGTGCCTGTCTCAATTTCTCATAAAACGCCAATGGCCATCCCTTCATCTCCTCATCCTTGGGTAGACAACTAACCCCTTCTGGCGCGTTGATCTCGCCTCTCGCCCTCATCGATTCCTCTCGTCTTCGGCAATAGCCTACCACGTTTCCAATCACACGACCAAGCATATCCGGGCTAATGGCCACAGGGTTGAGGAATGGGTCACCATCACTGAGTAGTTCTTCCACCGTCGGCCGCAGACTCTGCTCCCTCGTCAGACATCGTTTCAATGTCTTGATAAGTCCAAACGGTACCACGGCCCCCCCAATGCCTGTCCCGGGGAAGGAAATCTCGACCTTGGGATTTGGGATGCTCATTATTCGTTCGAACTGTTTCGTAATGTGCGCAAATGGTGGCTGGCCATATGTCATCTGGTAAAGAATGCATCCCAAACTCCACACGTCGCTTGGTTTGCCCAGCTTGAGTATTTTGCCTGTAGCAGAGTACCCGGCGGGAGCGTGTTGTGCGACTAGACTTTCCGGACTCATATAGTTCGGCGTGCCAATTTGGTTTTCACGGTGGACATTGACCGTGTCGTCCGCGATTGCGTTTGCGATGCCAAAATCGATCAATTTCAACTGGCCTTTCACGAGCAGGAAATTCGCGGGCTTCAAATCAGAATGAACGATATCGTACTTGTGTACTGCCGCCACACATTCAAGCATTTCTTTCCAGTAGTGGCGTGTGAAGGTGATGTCCATTCGTGCATTTTCGGACTTGAGCTGTTCGTTAAGCATCTTGTTGAAATCGCTCTCGCCTAATTCCATCATGACGTTGAGAACGCCCTTTTCTTCGTTGATTTCGTAATCGTACAGGCGGATCACACGATCGACATGTTCGAGTCGCTTAAGGAGGTCAATTTCACCTTTGTAGCCCGCTATAGCGGCCATGTCGGCGTCTTCCAGGTTGACCCTCTTCAGCGCGAAGATCTTGTAGTTCTCGGCCATGATGCGGAATACACGAGAGGAGCCACCGCGTCCGATACAATCAAGGCGCCTGTACGTCTTGCCATTGAGCACATAATGTACTGATCGTTTGTTGCGAGAACCAGCATTCGATGTTGCAGCGTCGAGGATGGACATTTTCGGGGGAGGCGCAGGTGCTGGGCGATGTGGTGTATTATGAGACTTTGTAGCAAGGGGGGGACGCGAAGGGGAGACATGGTTCGATGGTTTTCCCTCAGACTTTGGCTGGTCTTCGTGGATCTCTAGGATAGCTGGGGAAGGCTTGGTGCGACGAAAGGTTGGTGGAGGTTCATTCTCCTGGCCAGGCCCCGACGCTGCAGAAGGTATTGGCGGTATCTTGAAAATAGGATCTCGTCGGGAGCTGGAGGACTTTGATGATGACCGCGCGACATCTTGAGATCGTGGTGTTGGTGCAAGCTGACGTCCGGAACCTGGCCTCGCTGATGATACCTTTGGTGATGGTGGTTTCATCGGCTGAGGAGATGCGATTCTTGGTGACAGTTCCGCTTTGACCGGCTGTGGACTACCTTGCAGAGCGAGTATGTCATCCGGTAGATCTGCCAATAGAGGCTCTCTTACTCGCCTTCCAACCTCCATTTCGGGCGTACCTGGTTGTTCATGGTCTTGATTATCAAGAGGAATTTCATCTTCCTCGCTCGATCGGCGAACCATGCCTCTTCTGACAGGTCTGTTCAGCAAAGCGCCCCCAATGCGTCGAACACGCATCGTGCTTTGAGCTCCATTGTCTTCGCCCCTGCGAGGGCGTGCCACTGTGGAGGGTGGTATGGCGCTCTCCTCGTCTGGACTGCTGTGTAGATCCTGAATGCTTGGACTATTCGACCTGCTGACACTCCGAGGTTCGGTGCCAGCAGGATTAGGCTGAGACTCTTCGGGATCTGTTCTTGTGGGAGGCGATCTTGACAAGCGCTTCCCTCCACTGACGCGAACTTGTCGTATCCTCGGTGCAGGGGTCTCCGAGTCGTTGGCTTCCGATTGCGTACGAGCAGTGGATCGCTCATGAATCTTGTACATGAAAGATCCGTCTCTTCCTAGGATTGCAGCCGGTGGAGGTCTTGCATTAGACGTCACTCGAACGACTCGTGGAGCAGGGCTGCCATCTCTCTGTTGCGGCGGACTAGATGCCTTTAGTATCTCAAGTGGTGAAATTTTGCACCTCCGTCTTGATGTACTTGTTGTCCTTATAATTCGAGGTTCCAGCTCCAGATTCTCCTTTTCTGCTTCAAATTGAGGTTCATCCTCCCCTAGTATGGCCTGCGCTTCTGCACTTAGTTTTATGGGTGCAAGATCTTCGTCGTCTGAACTATCGCCAGTCATATTTCGAGCATCTCTTGAATTCGTCTCTGAAGCCATCGAGAAGGGCAACGGTAGAGCACGATTGACAGCAGGTCGTGTTGTCGGACGATATTGTGACCGACGCGGATTACTTGAGGTGACGGCTAAGGCTGCTGGTACAGGGGACATATACGTCGCCATCGCGAGAGTTACAGTCGCGTAGCAATATTCGAGGGTCAGCTCATCGTTGTGCAGTAATTGCTGTTGAACAGTGTGGTTGTATGTTCTGCCCCGGACGCGATGTTCAGAATAATGAATCCATGGAATTGGTTGGTGGATGATCACAAGGAGACATCGGATTATCTAAAAATCCGATTACAATCTGTTTTGAGCTGTTGTCACGGCAACCAGAAACTCAAATGCTCTCGTAACAGAATATTCCATTTACTGATAGATCACGATTATTATTACGACATTTCGAGTAGGTGATGTGCTTAGACACCTTCATGCTGTGATGACTGAAACCCGCTTCCCAAATCCTTCGCCAATGCCAAAGGAAAGCGTCACATACTTTTCGCTCAAAAAAACCAAAGACGATATGGCATCGCATAACAAACTGACAGACATCAGGAAATTGTCGCTGAGTCCGTCGCTTACAGCATCAGAGCAAATCCAGCAAAAACGCTTGCAACCAGGACTCCCAGCCCATACAGCTGACCCATGTTGACAATGATCCTTGCGGCACCTGAGCTTCCCGAGCCACCAGCAGCTGTGGTCGCAGCAGCAGATCCACCCCCGAATCCCGTGTAAACGACACCATCCGAAGCTGTCGAGGCAGCTGCTCCATTGGTGGTTGACGTAGCAGGCATTGTAGAAATGGTGCTTGTGTTTACCCTTGTGGGATCCGTAGCACCACATGGGTGATCTTGAATGCATGCAGCAGCGCAGGTGTTGTCATTCCCACAGTTTGCTTGACAATCGGTGTTGTATTGCGTGCAGATATAGTAAGGCAGGGTCTGAGAATATTCGGAAGCGTTGGGAGAGAGGCCATTGGAACATATGCAACTGTAGCCAAGGTTTGTAGGATCACAGTTGTTGGCATTGGTACCGGCTGAATTGGTTTGGTCGACACAGATCAAGGGACATTGTGCTATTTGGGAATTGCACCAGGCCTCTGCAAACACTTGTTAGTGACGGTTCTTGTGCTGGTAATGGTAAAGGGAAACTGACGTCGGGTGGACAGCGGTACGGAGTTTGGATCGATGGTCTGCGTGATTGCTAGCTGTGCAAATGCAGCTACAGCTGCGGCGAGGGCAAAGAACTGCATCGTTGCAAGTGTAACCAAAGGTGTGTGAGATTACGAGGTGTCTGTTGCACAGAAAGCTCGGAGACTGCCGCAGCTGATAAAAGTGTATGGTGTACGAAGAGAAGAATAACTGTAGGCTCGATTACAAAAAAAGTATCTCTGTAAGGTCAATATGTTGCGAAACAAGAGGAAAGATCAGTGTTTTTGGGAAGTGAAAGCACGAGAAGGGCAACAGAAGCCTTCAAATAGGAAATATCATAGGACCAGGGTTCGCGAAAAGGGTCACCACAGGAGAGCAGGGGGGACAAAGACAATCTGATGGCATGCCAGCCTCGGATGGCGTCGAGAGACGCTCAGGCGAGATTCGTCCCCGCCACGCGCGGTGGTCCAGACTAGTCTGTGTTGTTGAGGGATAGGAAGTCATCATGGCATGACTGGTGGCAGACTTTGCAGCGGAAGAGGTTGAATTGTCTCAGACGTGCATCTCTTCGGTGGCTTTTTTGAGGTGTCGTAGATATGTCAAGCTCGTCCGTGGGCGCAGTTTGCCCTTGGAGCGGAAGCTGAGCATCCAATCGCGAAGCCGCCGGACTTTGGATGCGCCACTAATTCAAGACCCCAGGAAGGCGATTTGACTGACTTGCAGGTGGACGGGGCGAAACACCTCCACGCACACCGTGAAATATTTTGTTGAGGCGTGAGCTGGCTTCCAATAATCATGCTTTATCTTATGTGTTAAAGACTTTGCAGAGGTGAGGTGGAGGATCTGCCACACGCCAGTTTCAGTGAGGGTGTAGATACAGTCTGCGTACTCCATATTGCATCTCACAAGCACCGGCAGTCTTCAGCAGCAATCTAGGCCACTAGAGCAAACGGAGTTCTTGCTGGTGCCACGCCAATTCAATTCAAAGGCAGCATTATCCAGGCGCAGGACTCTGTAGAGTACGCATATTGTGGCGGGGAGACACGGGCCCACGAGTTGCTACTTGTTCCCACATTACATACGCCCGTTCCCGATCTTGAATCGAACACAGCAGACCAACAGACAGCCTGAGCATTTCGATTGATATCTCATGTAAGCAGATGATGGATGGCGTCTCCTTGTTTGAGAAGAGAGGTGGTGAATCTCCGTACTCCATGGCTCTAAGAAAAAGACCACAGAGTGCTTATACGGAACAGGACTAGCGCATTGAGCTGATTGCCGTGCCTTGGCTTCTTCCGAAAGATGTTACAACTCTTCTGGAACACGCATGGCGAACTTTCATCCCCAGTCTGTCGTCCAACCTCGATGATCAAGCCACATGCATTAGACACATGTATGGAGAACTCCAACTCCACCGACACACGGTCTGATATCAGCGAAACCCGTATAAATGAGGTGGCAGACACTCACCCGGCCTTTTCGCCCCCACCATATTGGCATCACAACAGGAATGCTTCATATTCAAGCGAGTTTTCGGAGCGTCCGCTTCCCATCATCCTCGAAGATCACACACTATCTCGAGAAGCCAGTAGAGCGGCGTTATGGGCCAAGTCCATTAGCATCGACGACTATGTTATTGTACAGGGCACCACAGGCATCGGGTCGTATGTTGTTTGGAATTGTAAAGTCCAGACACTGGACGGCGGGCCCATGGTTATTCGGAAACGATATTCAGAGTTTGACGAGCTCAGATCTAGGCTGATCAAAGCATTTCCTCATTCTACAAAGTCTTCTCTACCTCCACTACCACCAAAAAGCGCAATCTATAAATTTCGCCCCAAGTTCCTGGAAAAACGACGTCAGGGACTGGCTTATTTCCTGAATTGTGTCATGCTGAACCCGGAATACGCTGGTTCTGTAATAGTCAAGGACTTTATCTTTCCACCCGAGACATAGGACATGACCTTGCAGTTCTACACGGAGAGTTGAAAAATCAATGTCCACCCGGGCCGCGCACGATCAACAATGGCACCATGAACTGACAGCATGATCTTCTTCAACTCTTCTGGGCATCATGTCCCCAATTCTTCAACGATCGATAAGAGTTGCTATTGGTGTCTTGTTTGGCCTTCTCCTCTTGCGCCAGATGACGCTTGTTGTATGCAGCGACTCGGCGCATGTGCTGGAGGTCATCCTTGTCATACTTGGATGGGTCCTTCTTAGGATTCTTTTTCAGTATCTCAATGATTTTCCTGCCACTTTGCGGAAATCAGCAATCCAGGAAATTACTAGGCCGTCATTGGGCCAAGATCGAAGCACAAGTACGGGAGGAATGTTTCGCCGATTTAGACAGATCAGGTCTGTCTTACCTTTCGTGGCCAACGCTTTCGCCTGAGCCATCATCCTTCGACCAGCCGGATTTTTGGGAATGACTACCTTGCAACCACTTTTCGAGCTCTTCCGCAGACATATTCACCGTATTATTGAAATCTCTGTATTCCGTTAGGGTGGATGAATCCCGGTGCTCCAATCCTTACTTGATCACATCCTCATCGCTTTTGCCCATTTTGTCCTCAGCGGTGGTGAAGGTGTTGCAACAATTGAGCGTCGTGGTTCTTGATCGCACGATATAATGTCTCAATATCTAATGTAATGAATCGACGGTGCGAAGCTGATACTGACCTGCTGCACTTGGACTTGGTTGGTTACGTCATGACCTTTGAGGATTGACATGGATGCCTTTCAGATGTTCACGTCAGAGCCACACATTGTTACGGACCGACTTTCGATTTTGACTTGCTGTCACTTCGGATGTGCCATGTTACAAGGCTGAGATAGTGCATACCTAGGTCACAGATTGATGGGAAGGACATGTTTTGGTCTTGACTGAGCGACCAATGAGATCTGACCGAGTAAATTACCTTGCATACTTCACATTCTTAGGGATCACTCCTTCGCCAATGCAAGGCAGACGCCGGACTCATGCAGAAACCCGTTCAAAATCCCGTATGAATAAATGTGTGATAACCTCCTCTTTCTCCCTTCCGATCTGTACACTGTCATGTTTCGATCAAGACTGGTCGGGATATCATGATGGTGCGAACCAATCTGCGGTTCGGAAGGACAAGTCAATCTTAGGAGCCACGCAAGGTCCCACAAGCATGATTTGCGGGAGAAAGTCAGCGCGCTGAGAGAGCATCCTGTTCAGCCGTCCGTGATATTCGGAGCTGGCATGATATGCGGTCTGGGCGGACATCCCGTTTTATACCTGCGAAGGGTCGATCATGCTGGAAACCAGTGTGTCGCTAAACATCAACAGGTGTTTCGACGCTCGCTTCGAGCGAGACAAGGAGATGGATGTCCGTTATGGACAAGACCCAGGCCGATGGCGGCATCAACGCCAGGCCATTCCGATTCGAGCTTCTCATCATCAAGGCGCTGGAGTAACAATCCGACGGGCTAACCAGAAGTATCCATTAGCCAGGCATGTGGGCATTGGGGCATTTGCGGCATGCAGTGTTGATCACAGTGGCTGAAGAAGAGTGTATCATTCGTGTGCGAGGATGAAAATGAAAGGATGAACTCCCCACCCATGCCCGACGGGAGCGCCCATTGGGAGCTGGTGTCGCTGGTTTAAGGGTGGAGAGATCCAAAAACCAAGGCCTAAACGGCCTAAGACTCCCCAGCGGATTGCCCTTTAGCCCGCCTGCTAATCCCCGGCAAGTACGCTAAAACTGCTGAACCCTTTTCGTGACTTGACACGAACGTCTGTCGCGACTCCAGGGCCTTTTTTTGTCACTGCCAACACTTCGACGTGCCAACAGGATTTCTTCATCCCTCCTACGCAAGCATTTGTTGTCAGCGCCTCATTTTGCAGCCTGCTGCGCTGTACAACTCGAGGTTTTCTTTTCTCGACACTCGTTCATCCTCATCTACTTTCAAGAACCCATTTTATTTCCCAGAACTCTGTTTGTATCCGCTTTTCGCCCCGTACCGAACGACCCCCCTGAGTGACAGCGTCCTGCATATGCAACCTGCCCGGGTGCAAGCATCAACCTATCTCCTGTTTATTGTGCAAAGCCTCTCGCCGGAGTCCTGTTGCCAATTCGCAAAAGCCACTTTTAGCAACCCTATTCCCTCACGTTACCCTGCATGCTGCCAAACAGATGAAAAGGGCCTACGACACCATCTTGGCCTGAACTCGACACCTTCATCCGTTTGAACCATGCCGTTCTTTTCCAAAGTGTTCAAAGGCAAGGATGGGGCTGTCAAAAAGTCGACTGCGCCAGTCGCAAATGGCCATACCGACAAGAAACCTCAGTGGTCCGACGCGTGGATAAGGACGAGGGTTGATCCAGAGGAGGTCTCAGAACTACTACACCTCTGTACTGCGGAACTCAAGTCAAGAGGTATGTTGCGGCTCAGACATACACATTTGGGGGCACTATCTGACTAGATTGTAGCACTCGATGTTCCTTTCCTTCTACTCCCTTTCCGACCCTCATCGGATCCTTCTGCAGCCAGGACGTTCGTGCGCAACTTCTTCCTTCCGCCTCAAGATCGAGAGCAGCTCAGAGGACCGATGTTGGAGAATGAGTTACGCATGACTGAGGTCATGGTAAGAGTTGACAAATAACTCACACGTCACAATGACTGATGGGCTTTAGGTTTTGATTAGTGTGATGAAATGGTGTTGGGCTCGTCTGCCTGGCGGTGTAGTCACTTGGGAGGTTTACGAAGGATTCCGTGTGGGAGAGAAAGGTTAGTAAATTTGTTTTGAGAAGTGTGTAACAGTCACTAACACTACTAGATTCTGGTTACACACGAGATGCCTTTACTACATTCATTCCGCTGGGCGCAGATTCCTCTGCAAGGGGACAGATTATCCAGGATTATTTCGACTTACTTGCTGCGACTGCTGCGCATGGCAAGGCAAACGGCTTGGGAGGCCACAAGCTATCTAGGTATGCTGGATGGTGGGCCTTTGAGCACTACGACAGTGGGAAAGGCTTTGAAACTGGGTACAAGTCGTGGGCCAGGTAGAATATTCCCGGGACCAATATCTCTGTCCAAGGCTAACTCTGTGCAGTGCTGCTGATGCAACCGCTCATCTATTTTTCGCTTTTTTGCGCTCAATGTCTCCCGACGGTGGAGGATCCAGTGGCATTTTGAACCTGCCGAGGTCATTACAACAACTCCTCGACTCGACAACCTATCCTCCAAAAAATGCATTGCTGTCGAATAGTACTACGAAAGTAGTCATGATTGTTGACGTGGTTTCACCTACGCCTTACGCATTGCTGCGACGAGCAAAGAACTTTGAATACAGGGACGATGATCGTGGGCTACAACAATTTGCGAACTACGATGACCCAGTGGAAGCATTGACAGATGAGTGTCGTCGGGTCCTCAAAGCAATCTCTTCCGCAAACCAATCCAGCGTTTCGAATGCCAAGACATCAACGAGTTTGGTTGATCCGTCCTGGTCCAGATTTGAGGATATTGGCTTCGGAAGTTCTCTAGACGAAGAGGAAGACGATGATGGCGGTCTTCTGGGGCCCAGGCCAGCAAACCCAAGGCCTCTGCGTACTGCTCCTCGCGCAGGCGGATATCAGGATCTTGCTAGGCCGACAACACCATCGTGGGCAGACTTCCTTTCCTCTGGCTTTGCTGATGAGAATGGCAACACCGCCCATGCACCAATTCTGCTCCCTCCAGACAAGATCCTCCCACCCATTAATTCCACTATGGCCAGGGGTCAAAGTTCACAGTCGCATCGCAGACATCTTGATTTACAACCCAACTTGGAACCTGGTGAGCTGGCGAGCATAACCAGGATGGCGGTAGATGATTCATTTTGGTGGGTATGGATCAGCAGTCTTGCGCCTGAAGAACCAACTTCCCGAAAAGCCGTTTTCGGCCGCTGCGCTCTTATAGAGACTATTCTGTCAGATGGTCATTGGATGGTGATGGAAGAACAAGTCAAGGGAGCTGCCCCAGAGCCAGCAGTCGGCGCTTACATCGCCGAGACGAAGAAGTCGTTCCTTGGTTTCACAACAAAGCGTGGACGCTTAACTCGGCGCCGCTCGCAAACGAAGAAGAGTCCTCTCTCACCAGGGCCTCAATTTGAAGGTGGCAATAGAGCTACCCTGGCACCAGACCAGCAAGCTAAAATCCAACAAGCTGCAGCCGAGCTCTCGAAGAAGAAGGAAGCCGAAGAACGGGAGAAAGCCGTCTCTGCTCGGAGAGGACGAACCCCGGATACGGTCATACCTTCGAAGACCAACAGCATCTTCACTATCGGGCCACTCATTAAGGATGAGGCTTCGCCAGCACTTCAATGGGCAAGTCAGTACGACAAGAAAGCTATCCGGGCTAAGTACCTGGGCGACTCTATGGCTGGCAAAGGATCGCGTGAATTGTTGACTCTTCCGTCGAGCGGCCTCAGTAGATCTACGTCGACTCTTTCGGTGGTGAGCAAGAATAAAGATCTGCCAGCTCCACCTGGAAGCGACTCCCGACCTGCTTTGTCCGCAAGGAGTCATTCAGAAGAGCCATCCGAGAGAGCACAACCACAGTCTACGCATCCTGTTAGTGATACGCCCCCCATCGTGGTTGAATCTGCACCAATCCCAATCGAAACTCAGATCCCCGTCGAGATCACACCTGCACCTGAGGCGGCAGAGATACCTCTGCCTCCCGCGACACCTGACATCAGCCAGGAAGCACCCGCGAAGACAGCTCAGCCGCCCAAACAGCATGCCAAGTTACGCAAATCAAGTGACCAGCAGAGAAAATTGCCAGAGCAGAGAAAAGGAAGGGGAAAGACTCCAACCGGACCACCACCAGTGCAGCATAAGAGCGGTATTCGTCGGTTGTTCGGCACCAAGCGATCCAAGTCGAAGGAATCCAAAGGGCGAGACAATATCCAGTCAGAACAACGTCCTGCTTCCCCGGTCGAAGAAGATCCTGCAGTTGCTGCCGCGAGACGCGCATTGGAAGGCCAGCCTGCGCAACCAGGCGACGGACCAACATCGCCACCTCTTAGTCCGGGTCATTTTATGGGATTGGCTACGGCTAGGCCTCCAAACGCTGTTCAGAACGAGGCACCACCCACTGTGTCGATGAGCGCGCCTGTGGAGATGGGCTCGACATCGCATCTCCCCAGTCCGGCAGAGCCTCCTTCCGAAGCGCTGGCTGCGCCACCCAGGACACGACGAGACGAAGAGTATGATCAGTTGTCTCGCGTCGACACGAATGAGCGAGAGCATGCTGACAAGGAATTTTCGACCTTTGACCAAGGACCATTACTTGACCAGCCAGCATTTGTTCCAGTCGAAACGCCTACTCGAAGCGAGTTTGCCACGCCAGCGGAAGAACCACCGGCGCCAACAATGAACATATACTCTGCAGTCACAGTAGGGCGAGAAGAAAGCTCTGCAGATGAAGAAGGGCCGTCTGAATCGGCCGACCAGGTCAACCCCACAGATCGCTGGGCTCAAATTCGCAAGAACGCAGCAGAGAGAGCAGCAAGACAGTCAGAAGAGCAGACGACACGAAGTCGGACAGAAACCCGCACTGATGATGGAGATACCAGTGGAGAAGAGAGTAAGTGACAACATAACGGCCACTGTGCGAGCTTCATACTGATTGTGTACAGCAATCGAATCACGCGTGGCACGAATCAAGGCTCGCGTGGCCGAACTCACGGGCAACATGGATAATAGCAGGCGCTAGATGTCCAAACTACCAACCATTCTATTTTACACCAACACACTTACAATACATTGTGATGACAAACAATTTTCCCTTTTCGTTTGTGATGAGATGTTTTACGGGAACTTATCTTGGGCGCTGGAGTTTGAGCGTTGTCATGGAGATACCACTTTGAGCCTAAAAATGCGATGAGTTCCGCGATTCATCTCAGCGATTCTATTCTTGAGTGAGCGTTATAGCAACCGTCACGCTTGCTGCAGGCCAGCACACCTAATACCCCCTTCTCTTCGAGTTTTTGTTAGTTGCGCAGTTTGTGGATACATCAGAAGGCCTCGTCACGGAGTATGGATCAACCGCCATGAAAATAGATGGCCTGGGGTAGTGGGAAGGAAATCGAGGGCGGGCAGACTGGGAACACAAAGCTGTCCCAGTGCGGCAAGCGAGGGCGAGAGGTGTGGAGAGATTGCGAGGCAGATGCATAACCGATGGATGAGAAGGCTAGGTGCTTCGCCGCCGAGGCGGCCATGTACCTCTCTATATTCCAGCCCAAGGGCGAGTAATTGTCAGATAGATATCGGTGGCAGTGTGGTGGTAGCGCCGATGGATTGAAAATCTCTGCAACGAGTTTCCCTCTTCGAACCAAAGGAGCGCTATAGCCTGCGCGAGCTGATGCCCAGTAGGGTAAGATGGGAGGGGCTAGAACTGAATTGCTCTATCAAAGAGGAATCGACCGGGCTCTAACACGTAGGCGAGCGATTGTGCAGGAACGAGTGTGGAATCTGACTAACTGGAAGGCCGCATGATGCGAGGGCCGATACGGATATGGTTCTGCAAGGCTGCGCAACGTCGGAGTCGGCGTCAGAATAGGCGTACATCAGGTCTTGGTCTGTGGGCATTGAAGGATTTGACTGACAGTGCATGTCAAGATCCATGATCGTGGTCAAGTCCGGATGCTGAATACAATATGTATGGCGCACGGAACAGTCAGAACAGGTCGGAAATGTAAGGCCGGCATGCAGTCATCCATCCTGAATCTGTGAGGCTCTGCAGCACATTGCCCGCTGCTTTGTCAGCGATGAGGCTGAGGCGAAGGCAAGACAGAGTGCATTGTCATGTGGCACAATCATCAGTACAATACGAGTATGGACTAACCAAAGCTTCCTTGGATGTCAAAGCAATTGTGGTCGACAGGCACATTTATTACTGGCCACACTCGGTGGTGTGGTGATTGTTGCAGTACGAGTAGGTCAGGCAACGCAGTAGGCATGGTTGGTGGAGGTCACATCCAGACATCTCCCATCTCCACCAGAGCTCGAGTCGACAGGCATCTAAAATTAGCAATCAGCTTGGTCAGCGAATCAGCATCGTCAGACGGCCGGGTCGAGAAAAGATGAAACATAGCGCCATCCTGCATGAGGCAGAAAGCATTGCGATGGCGAGCTCGGACAACTCACCCACCACGGTGGGGGCAGAGATTGGAAAGAGAATAGGTGCGCATATGAGTGACTTAATATTGCATGTACTGTATATGTCTCATTGACAAGATGGTAAATGGCATTGCGAATATACAAGTCGATGGCTTTTAATTCAGATAAGATACTGCACCAGTACTCTAGACGGGCATGATCTTGAGATGGACCAAAGAGGTGGAATGGGAATGATGATGTCTACAAGGTAACTATCCGTAAGGCTTGTCGGGCTATTGTAGGTGCCGATAAAGGTAACCGTACGGGCGCGCCAGGCGTAAATTTGGCCATGGTTGATACCTGGCTAGGTGCGCATAGGGCATCTCATCGGGGTCTTCTCCTCGGCCCATGTAGGCTGGTCCAGGCTCCTCGTGCCTGCCTAGCTGAACTTCAAAGAGGGCCCTTGAGCGTACCTAAATATTTAGTGGGCAGCTCCATGGAGCATGTGCAATGCACCCACGAGGGCCGCTAAGCGCCCAAAAAAAACTGGCCTCGGCCTTTGGCAGAACTTCTCGCCGCCGTCTGTCGCTGCGACCCTAAAGCTCTCTCTTCCTCCTCTCTCTCCTCTCTGCAGTACCCTCTCTCTTTCTATCTTTAGAATCATCAACGCCATACCGCCAATCCACCATCCTAGGGCCTCGTTATACTGTAGCAGCAGACCCTTACCATCGTCCACGCGTGCTCGTTTGCGTCGCGTATCTCTTTGTGCTTGAAGACAAACATACCCTACCTATATCCACTCTCACAATCCCCATTGAGTGCTTTCCGTGACAAAGAAATCATACCCAGAGGCAGTCCACCTTCAAAACACCAACATCCGTCCTTGGCCCAGCATTGCGCCAACTCAAAAAACTACCCTCCTACACCTCGGCCATATCCCTCGTCCACCCGTCAATCTCTTTCCGAGTCTGGGCGACCTCCTCCTCGACCGCTTGTGACCTTTGACCGACGTCGAGTTGCAGTCTGTGTCGAGTGTCGAGTACATTCCACGACATTACATCGCCAGTGCTTGTCCAGAGATCGTGGGTTACGTTGTCACATGCGCAAGACATAACCAGTCATGGGTCGGAGGAAGATTGAAATCAGAGCCATCAAAGATGACCGCAACCGTTCCGTGTAAGTAGTCGTGGTGAATCCATCGCCGTTGCAATCGGCCACGGAGGCTGACCATCATCTAGCACATTTCTCAAGCGAAAAGGCGGTCTCTTCAAAAAGGCCTACGAATTGTCGGTTCTATGTTCCGTCGACGTCGCAGTCATCATTTTTGGTCATAACAAAAAGTTGTACGAATTTTCTTCGGGAGATATCAATGAGACACTGCGGCGGTACCAATATGTGAGTCGGTATGAATTCTCGCCATGGGGACAGGCGCTAATTATGGGCTTTAGTATGGACAACCGCATGAACACAAAGGCCCGATCGACTTCAAGAACAAGGGTGGTGATGATGACGACGAGGAAGATGAAGAGGAGGAACAACCGGGCCCGGCCAGAGAAGAATCTCTCCCGCCTCAACATGCGATGCCACAGCACATGCAACATCCCAACTCTTTCACTCACATCCAACAACCCATGAACTCTGTCTCACCCCCGATGCCCAACGGCATGTTTCAACCACGACATGGCACTCCTCAGCCTCCTCATTTGATTTCGAGACCGCCTTCACAAAACATGATCCGGCGGACCAGCTCCAACCTGGTCCCCATGCAACACCCTCATCCGACACCTCCTCCGCCGCAGAATGGATTTGCCTACGTCCCTAACCCGCCCATCTACAACCCTAACGCTCCCTCCAACATGCAACCTCACCATTCACCGGAGCCTCAATATCAATATCCTCAACAGCAACAACAGCAACAGCAACAGCAACAGCAACAGCAACAGCAACAACAAGCACAACCGACCCCTCCTCCTCCACAATCGCATCAGCAAATGCAGCAAGCACATCATCAGTATTTACAGGAACAACGAAGGCAGTCACAAACACCACAACCCAACCTCCAGCCTCCACCACAACCTCAAACTCGTACGTCGCCGCAACCTGAAACACTGAATCTCCGGCCTCCGGAACAAGGAACACCTCCACAGCCAAAACACCTATCGTCGAAATCAAGGAGTATATTTACTCCCATTGACGAAGGTGGCTCTGTACTGGCTCAGCACTTTTTCGGGGCTCCGGACCCCAAGCCGATAAAGGACGATGAGGCGCGGAATGTTAAGATGCCTCCACGAAGTATAACTGCTCCTGCTGTGAGCAAGGGCCCGGCGCAGCCGCCCAGATCACAGACGGTGGTTCCAGAATTCGCTCCACCAAAAAGAACAGACACGTCAGGGTCCAGGTCCGGTGCTAGACCGAAATTAAATTTACAGATCCCATCCGAGGCCGAAGACAATGATTCCCCGAGTGGTTCGACTGGACAATCTACAGATCCGTCAGGAAATACTGCTCGGGGAAGTGATCACATTGTTCTTCCGCCCCCTTCGCCCAGTGCTTCAGCGGTAATGTCTGCTGGGGCGAGCGGGCCACCCAATCCCTTTGCTCGACCACATCCACCACCGACGTCAAATCAAAACCGCGAAGCGTATAATGATAATCGAAATAATATCGAGACACCCATATCAGCATTACCGAGTCGTTACATGAATAACGATTTGTTACCCAGTCCCAGCAATTTCTTCAGCGAATGGTTCGATGGCGGCAGGAATGGTGGGGTTAACTCGGCGGTACTGCCAAGTCCTCTGGTCTTTCCGACTCCGTCTGAAGGAAGGAATCTAGGATTTGGAAGTCGTGATGCAGCTCACGAAGCCAACGCCAACGGGGAGAAGAGGAAGGGAAGTGTGGACATGGCGGATAAGGAGGACGTGAAGAAGATCAAGACATGAATATTCTATTCGACCATATGGGAAAGAGTGGAGGAAACGATCATTGCAATTTCCAGTCTCGAAATCAACATATTTTATCTTTGTTATTGTTTGCTTGTTTATCATACCCTAACGACCCGTCATGATCAAGAATTTGTTCTGTTGGTTTTCATTTTCTCTGTCTGGCTCCAAGCAGATATCAAAATACGTTATGCAGAGGTAGTCGATGTGTCCAAGATTGTGTTCAATCCTGAAAGCAAGGGAAGGGAAGGGAAGGAACCTTTAGTTTTTTTGTTGTTGGTATTGTCTATCAGAGTCCATCGTCTGTTATACTCACACTCCGTACTTATGGACTGTCTCTTAGGGTGAGACTTGACTTACGAGTTCCATGATGGTTTGCATAGCGTGGGGCAAGGGAATGGGACCTGTTTTGAATCTTTGAATTTTTGTAAGTTTGGGCTTTGATATTTGGGAACTTATCGTACAGAGAATTTGAAAGTGATGATCCTACCTTGTACCTCTCTCTCTCTTCTCACAGGCAGCCAAACGCACATTTTCTCGACGACGGATGTTTTTGCATAGTCGTGGGCCGACATGATGGTGTTGAGAACAGCCAACGACACAAGCGGGACAGGACGTTGTGGGTTAGTCAGCATCTTCAAGTGCCGGGCGTCCGGCACCCACAGCACCAAGACCGGCTCAGTTTATCTCAGTTCCTTCTTTCCAATGTTACTATCAAGTTTAAGGACAGAGTCTCGACTGTCATACATCGCCTGCGACGCAGATTCGTAACTCGGTTACAGCAGCCTCTTAAGGCTGTAGCACCATCAATGTCCAGCAGATCCAGTTCTCCCAGTCCCGCTATCGGCGGACCTTCATTGACAACCGCGTCTGGTCGAGCAAGCAAGGCCTGCACACGGTGCCGGAGGCATAGGACACGCTGCACTAAGGCAACCTCCCACGATGTAACTTTCAAAGACAAGCCGCCCCCCTGTGATCGGTGTATTGCTGCTGGTCTGCAACACGAATGGTAAGCATATCTTGGTCACATCTGGTGGCAATTGACCGACAGCCGGATCACTACAGCAGATATACCGAACGTGGACTCAGTCGTGTTGATAGACAGGTATGTCCCGTTCGAGACTCTTCGTCAGCGTCAACGTCGCCGACCAGACTGTGACAGTTTCGGGCAGCGCAACGCAAAACATCACGTGAACTCAGGTTTCCACTCTGGTAAGCAGGTTGTGAACTCTTGGGATAGAACCAGCACATGCTCACTTCCTCGTTAGGACACAGCCAGACATCCAAGTCCAGGGCAGCTTCTCGTACGCTGTGTGCTCTTGAAGATATCCCCCTAGCTGACTACCAGAGTCAGGATGCCCGAACCAGCCGAAGTGGCAGACGGTTGCCGGTCTTTCGTCTCTAGCTACTTTTCATGTGGTAAGGCCGAGATTATCATCGCGGATAACAAGTTTTCCTGATTCTTGAGGAAGCTACCCACCGCGATGTTCTCCTGCTCCTTCAGACCGTGGATGCGGTCAGTGCTGAAATGCGGGTTGTGGAACAGAGACTAGAAGAGAAGGGTCAGCCTCCATTTTTTTCCCACGGAGTGACAAGCGGCTCATACTCTCTGCCCAGTGGTAGGGTGCACACGGACGGCTGGATGGGCGACGGGGACAGGTGCACGTCGAACTGGACCACCTATCTTGGCCGACGAGTCCGAAATGAGTTTCGAAGAATTTTCCGACCAAAGGGTGCATACGAAAGTCTGCATGGCAGGGGACAAGGTATCGTATGCCCGAGTAGCAGAGCAGAACAATGTGTCGCCGCCGCCTGCGGCCGGGACTTCCAGTGCAACGAGCATGGATACAGCGGGTGGCTGTGGCTCGTGGCACTGATCGGTGTGCCACTGGACGTATCTGCACACCAGTGAGTCATCTTTGTTTCTTGCATAGCTTTGTGACCGATTGTGGCCTACGTGTTCTTGGAGCCATGACCAAGCTCCTTGCGCAGCTTGTCTGCTCCTGGTTCTGGGCCTTCGTATATGATGGTAAGGTCGCTACAGCGAAAAGTCAGCTATGGATCCGGGTTGTAAGAGCTAGACTTTTCGGCATACTTGTGACCTTTGATCTGATGTTATGTCAATCGACGACTTCATTCACCAGGGGTTCTCAGCGCTCACACAAGACTGTGTGGGATGGCGATGTAAAGGGCCAAAGTGGTTGCCAAACTCTTTGAACTTTTCAATGCCCTGATCTTTCAAGTCTTGGTCATGGAACGCAAGCACACCACGCTAGGGCGTGAGGAGAGCAAGTTCGTCGAGTCCAGCAGGAGTGAGTTTGCTGAGCTGTACACTGTGTGGCATCAACATAGTCCGCAACGCCAAAGAAAAAAATGGACGAGATAGTCAATGCCTACCCTGTGATGATGCTACCCAGACGAGGAGTAATGTATCTGAAACAGAGTTTCGTCAGATGGCTGCTTCGCGCAGTGATGGAGCGAGTCGAGGGTGCACACACTCTTCAGTATACCCCGGAAGCCCTTTCAAGTTGGGCATGGCGGGATCGGCACGGGTACCTGGTTCACCATTTTCGAACTCGCCATGGTAGCCAGGATTGCTGCCATGCTCGGTTGATGGAAGGTACTCGGGATACTTCGCCTGGGGATAGGCGGTTGCTATATTTCTGGCAGTGAGGGCCTTGTGCACCTCGTACACATCGTACTTGGCTGCCAGTGTAGCCACCTCCGGGACAGTGATCTCAGCTGGCGTTTCTGCGATCATGGCTTGTTCTTTGTTTTCCGGTTCTGATACCGAGTACACCTTTTCCACACGCCAAATGCCAAATCGAGGTTCTTGGGGATCAGGGTATCGATGATATGCTCTCGAACTTCTATCTATTTTCAAGTGCCAGAGTGCCGGACAAGTGCCGTGTCTAGGAAAAATTGATAACAAGGTACCGCCTCAAGTTCCCACAATGGATATCTCTCCATTTGCCTACCCAGTTTTCCCCGGCTTGGATTACGAGACAACAGCCGCAGAATGAAGACCGCATCAGAGTCTATCAACGGGTCGTTGAGATCCGTCTCGGTATGGCCTGTGCCGGTGCATGCCTATCGCAATTTTGACTTTCGAGATGTTCTGGACTCTATCGACTTCGAGGCGTTGACAAGCGATAAGAATGAAGCATAACATGTTTTGTATCCCCCTTCGCTGTCCTTTGTTCACGCCTTTAGGTCACAATTTTCTACCATCCAGCAAGTCCAGTCTGGTCAATACCGGCTCAGCTGGCCCATCATGGATCTCCTCAAGAAAATCGACCACAAGATCGCCATCACGCCCAGACCTGGGTCATACAACAAGGACACCCGCTGGTCGAACCCAGGTGAAAAGCGGCCCAAATGACGACCAAGGCATCTTCTGACTCGTGTTCTCTTTCTACAGATTTGGACCCCGTGCCGAAAGAACAGAGGACCTGGAGGATGAGAGACCTAACGTTAGTAGCCTTTCTACCAGCCTTGACAATGTGAAACCTGACTTCCTTCCCACGGACAGGTTTTACTGGATGTCGGATGCACTCGCTGGAGGCAGCTGGAGCACTGGAGCCTCCCTTATGTGAGTATCTCAGCTCCAAGTATGTCCATTTCTGACATCGTTCTCAGCACTCTCGGCTTCACCGCGCTTCACCGCACGTACCGCCATTCCGATCGCATTCTGCTCCTACTTCTTGGTATCCCTTCCCTCAGCGCTCACTGGCCGCATCGGGACCTTCACGCACACCCCTTTCCCTGTCAACATCCGTGCATCCTTCGGTCCCTGGGGAAGCGTCGTCCCTATTCTTGCCCGCATGATCATCGGCCTTGTGAGTTCCAATAAGTATCTTGGTGTCTTCATCAAAGAGCATTCTCCTGACTGATTATGGTTGCACCTTTAGATTTGGATGTTCGTCCAGACGTACCTGGGTGGTACTTATGTTACAATTCTACTCTCGGGCATCTGGCCTAGCTGTAAGTGACGTTTGTGTGCAGCCAAAACTCTTCAATTCACAGTGCCACAGACAACAAAATCCCCAATACACTTCCTGCGAGCGCTGGAATCGAGTCGAAAGAACTCCTTTCGGTCTTCATCTTTTGGTGCATCCAGGTACGACAAGAGGAGTCCAAAAAGCTTGACCAAACGTCTGACCAAAGTATTGCAGAGCCCACTTGTCATCATGCCCGTCCGTGAGTGCTTAACCTGGATCCAAACTCCGACTGCTCTCTGACGTTTTATATTTGCTCAAGGTAAACTTAGATATTTGTTTTTGGTGAAAGGAATCATCGTACCGATCTGCTACTTTGGTGTCTTTATCTGGGCAATGTGGGTTGCCTGTTCTTGTGCCGATGGGAGTCTTTTTTCCCCCAGCTGATCGATGTACTTCCGTCCAGGATCGCCACGAAAGGAGGTGACACGCCATACATTCGTGGCCGGTCAACCGGGTCGGGATGGGCAGTTCTTCAAGCGATCAATGCTCTTGCCGGAGGTGCCTCCGCCGTCGAGACGAACGCCGCCGACTTTAGCAGGTATATGAAGCACGGTAGCGGCGACTTGTAAGATGGCCAACCCAGTTCCCTCACCGAGTCCGAGCCTAGCTGCTGACGAATCCTCACCTAGCTGGCAAATCTTGTGGATTCCCATCACAAACACCCTCCCCATCGTGGTGGCCACCCTTGCGACCGGCGCGGCTCAAGCCAAGTACGGCGTGTACGAATGGAATGCAGCGGATCTCTTTTTACTCTGGGACAATCGTGCGGCCCAGGTCTTTTGTTCTGCGGCATTCATTCTCTCCAACATCGGCATCAATATCAGTGCCAACGCCGTGTAGGTTGCAAACAGTACCCGGTATTCGCTCCAAGCAGCTGGTCAGTCAGTTGATATTTGATTGACAGGGCTTTCTCGAACGACATGACCTCCCTATGCCCGCGGTACTTTAACAATTTTAGATCTTCGGCACTCTGCGCGATTCTGTTCTTTGCCGCGTGTCCGTGGTTGATCGTTCAAAGTGCGTCTCCGTCTCCTTTGAAATTCGTGCCGCTAGAGACGCACTGTACTGTTACCCGTTACTGACTGATGAGCCTTTTCCTTTCTTCACGTATACAGACGCTCCGGCATTGCTCAACTTCCTCGGCTCTTATGCATGTTTTCTTTCCGGTGTCGCAGCGATCATGATCACCGACTTCTACCTCGTCCGACGAGGCCGCATTGACATGCGCGAATACTACAATTTCCCCGGCGGCATCTATTGGTACTGGTTCGGTTTCAACTGGAGGGCCATTGCAGCCTGGGTCATTTCTTTTGCCCCCAATCTCCCAGGGCTAATTGTAAGTTTTTGACTTGAAATACTGCAGTATTTGTTCCTTGCTTTCTTGCCGAAAGGAGAGAAAGAGAATGGAGGAGTTTGCTAACCCGGAAATTTCCAAACAGCACGGGGTCAACGCCGACATTCCCAACGTCCAACCTTATACGTACTACTTTAGCTGGCTGTTTGGAACGTGAGTACTTGGTTCAAAATCTCCTCCAGGGGGGACGCCGACGAGAAACAAAGAAACTGACTTTGAACAAACAGCGTCGTCTCTGTCGCCGTGTACTTGCTCATCAACCATTTCTTCCCTCCAAAGGCGTCACTCATCGATTACACATTATACGAAGATGATTGTAAGATGAATTCCGATTTTGTTTTTCGGCTTGCTTTTGCTGGAGTCATGCGAAACAAAACAACTAATCAAGTTGCGACGCAGTGGTTGTCAGCGAAAATCACGATGTGGAAGCCTTGGAGGAAATTTCTACCACCGAGAAACATGGAGAGGAGACGATTATTCCGGTCATTGTCAGTAAATAAAGACTGAGAAGAAGGGGGAAATGGAATGATTTTGCCAATGAGTGTGACTCTGAGAACCCGAGGAAAATATCTCAGAGGGTGTCATAGTATCAAAGCTTTGAATGAGCTTGGTATGTTTCTCCTCCAAGGAAAACTACTTCTTGTATTGAATCCTCATATTGATAAGTTTGTTCTTCGTGCTGATAAATATCATCTTCCTGCGTAATTGGGGGTTCGGTCATCAATCACCGTATCTCGGTGAAACCCCTGTCATTATCATGGTGACGACGACGGCGCCGCCGCCTCCTCGTCGGTCAATCTTTTCATCATCTCAACACCTTCGTGTATGGCCCTGACCAATTCCGCACCGTCTCTCCATATCTGACTATGTTGACCATGTATTTCGAGTAATTTCACTTCGACTTGGTTCGTAGTTCCTTGTCGCCCGTTGTCGACCTCGTCTTTGTCGTCTGAAACGGTAGTAGTGTCGGTGTCGGTGTGTGTGAGAACACGATTCATAATCTCGACTTGTCCCCAATCCACCAGACCGTCATCTTTCGAATGGGCCAGGACCACACCGACCTTGCGACCCGGGACTTTGGAAGCCCATTCCTTTCGGTATCGTCCCAGGTCGTACCTGGCCGGACTTGCCCTTTCGTCGTCTTCCGCCGACGAAATCCCTGCGTTCCTCGTCAGGGCCACGTAACCGGGGAATTTGGAGTGAAGGGCGGGAAAGTCGTAAATTCCACTCACGCCCAAAACCACCGTGGGAGGCGGGGGGGAAGGGTTGGGTCCTGACGCCGTGGACCCGGTCCCGGGCGAAAAAGGCGAAAGGGTGGCCAACAATGCCATCGTGGCCCCGACACTGTGTCCGACCAACAAATAACGATCCCCGAAACCGTACTTGGTCTGCAAGTGTGAGATGGCGGCCGACACGTCGTTCATATGGTCCGGCCATTTGGCGTCCCTCATTTCATACCTCGAGACGACGTCTGGGTCCTGAGGTTCGTTCGGGTGTGGACTCAACCTGTAATTGATGGAGGCGTACCCTCGGATCGACCGTGACCGTTTCGGGGTCGACGTGGATGTCGACGTCGGTGTCATGATTTTCGAAAGTGCCGGAAGGAAGGAAGTAGATGTGACGTTTGTGTCTCTGAAATAACCACCGTGGATGAACAACACCCAATATCTTCCCGGCTGTTCTTCTTCTCGGTCATCATCTGGAATAAAAACATCGTACGATTGTAAAATGTTGTCCTGACCGTACTGGTGACGAGTAATGTTTCGATTGATCCGGGCCTGTGTTTCTTCACCTGCACCGCCGGAATCCAAACCAGCAACGGTCGTGGTGGCGGCCGATAAACCTCTTTCGGCTGTCGTCGTCGTCGTCGCCTCCGCCTCGGGCTGGTCGTGTATCATCATGGCCGCCGTCCCGTGTGCGTACGAGTGTGAATGTGAATTCGAATGTCGTCGGGCGTCCCTGTATTCTGTCGGACTATGATGTCGAATCCTTTGCTGTGGTTCTTTTGTGGACGGTGAGAGGTAAGACGACCCCGAATATTTCTGTTCCGAGGCCTTGACGGCTATTTTGTTTATTATTAATAAGTCAACAAGTCCATCTCTAAGCGAGGTAACCCCCGTCGGATACTGTAAATCTCCAAAGGGCAAATGGAAACGGGCAAAGAAAGAGAAAACATCCGATACACACACACACACACACACACACACACACACACACACAACATAAAGCATAACGGTGAAAGAAAAGAAAAAAGTAATGGGCATCCTTACCCTGATCTTGTAAATATCGAATAATCTTCTTCATCGTGACTTGTTGAGAAACTTGTTTTCGAAACACCCTTGACTCAAGGTGAATAAATCAAGGAGTTTTCCTCCTTTACAATACAAGCCTCTCCCCTCCTACTCACAACATCCAAACCCTACGGTGGGTAGATCGACAACTCGTATACACATACCACAGGACGCAACTCGTCGTCAAAAGGTCACAAAACAATTAATTGTCGTTGTCTTGCATTGGCAATGTGTTTGTCTGGCCATGAAGATGCTACAAAAGATCTTACATCTACCCCGTAACTCTTTATATGCTCGTCTCTCAGCTTACAGTAATCATAACTTTTTTCGAGTGAACAATCTCCCCCAGCTGATCATCGACCCCTGTATGAAAGAGTCCAAGCTTCCAATGACAACTACTCGCCCCCCCTCCACATTATTCAATCCAAACACTCGCACCATGATTACTTTTTCAGCCTCGGGCTTCACACCTTCTGCAACCAACCCTCGGCCTGTCCGGGAGTGCGGAAGTGAAGATCTCGCCGTCACCACGAGCAAATCCTAAAAGCGACAATGCATCTCCGTCAATAATAAAACCCAGTCTAGGATCGGACAGTCGATTACTATTGGAGGTACAGGCGATCACATAAGTATTGGTCCTAGATCGAATCACTGAGCCTTTATTGCTCGTACCTGGGCTGTCCGTTTCCAGGTCAGCTGAACACAAGGAACAGCGGAAGCATCGAAAAATATCCCTCAACAACTACCAAACCCTTGTAAAGAAGGATACGGCCGAGAAAATCCCTTGAAAGGGCTTTCTTTCTGTGGCAAATGTGGAAGTGTACTACAACTCGCATAGTAACCCGATTGCGTTGTCCAAGAGCTGTCCCTTGCTGAAGGCTGATGTATCTTGGTCGATGAATGGTCCCAGTGCCATCTAAGCTTCGTTTGATTTTCCTCATCCCCATCGACCACCCAAACCGGAGGCTCCGTCATCAACGTTGTGGTCACAGCGAATGGAGTTACTGCTCGGTTGTCTTCCTCTTCTCGTTGCCAACCTCCCTGGTGCTGGAAATAAATTACGCCTGTTCTTTCCGAGGGAGGAAAATTGACAGGATCCGTCTGCATTAGTTCAAGGTCAAAATCATCGAGGCCGTCCGACAAAGCTTGACTATGTCGATCTAAGATATCCGCGGCCGGCGTCACTTTCTCCGGCTCTACCGAATCCACGTACGCATGCGAGTCGTAGGTGTCGACAGATGTCAGGCAAAAGGGATCTTCACCCGGCCACCGTGCTACCTCGTTCCTATCAAGGTCTTGATATTGTCGATGCCAGCCACGTTCGGTATCCATAGGTACTCTCACAGTCTCCTTTGGCTGAAGAGATGGCCAATAACTGGAGTACTGAGGCCCTGTTCTAATGTGTGATGGTGTAGGCTGGCTAACTTCGCAAGTTGCATTTGCTGTTGGTTGCGCGGAGTGTGTTTGTGGTTCCCGTTGCGGCACCTGAAAATCGTCTTGGGAAACCTTCTGGGTGCTCAGCTCTGGGTTTCCATGCAATATTGTGTACGGGGCTGCTTGAATGTGGTGTTGTTCGGGAACTTGCTCTTGGCTCCGAGGCTCTGTATCATGACCAATGCTATCAAAACCCCAGTGAGCAGGCCAGGCTTGGCTCCGTTGCTCGTCTCTGGGATCAAGCGAAGCACTGGAAAGTGTTCGGACTCGTGCTAAAGCTTTGAGATCGTCTAATGAGTAGCACTGCTTGGTATTCTGAGAAAATGAGTCGGCACCTTGCAATAATGCATTTGTAGTCCAATCCTGGAGGAAGTGATTTGTGGCAGAACTTTCAGGAGATATTGATGGGGTCTTCCGGCTCTCCTGGAATGCCGGACGGGGAAGGATGGGAGAGGTCGTCCAAAATAGTGGTGATGAAGGCCTTGTAAGGGATCGTATCCACGGAAACGTTGCCCTTCGGTAAGGGGATGTCGAGCAAGATATATCAGACGTCGGACTCTGCGTTTGTAGCAGTATTCGCTTCTTATGTAATGGCTTTGCCATTACTGGCAATTCGAGCTCAGATGTCCCGCATTCGGGCGTCTGCTCGTGAGGTCTGTTCTTAAGGTATCTCATCTCGGAAAAAGATAAATCCGGTAAGTCTTGCTTCTGCCTGTGGGCAGATATCTTCAAATGATCAAAAACACCAGGTCCACGGCCTGATGTCAAAGATAGTCGATTCGATCTGACGTTGGGGGCTTTAAACTCTTCATTCAAAGTCCGACCGGACTTTCTGTATTCAATACCCTTGGGCTTTCTTTTCGGTTTCGAACTCCGTAAATCGTCCCTAGTCTTGCGTCGCTTTCTTCGTGCGTGTTTGTCGCTTGGAATGATAGGATTTTCTTGGTATGCTGCAGCTTGAGCCCGAACAGGATCTTCATCTTCGGACGCTGGAAGAGAACGACCTGGTCTCTCACGGCGTCTCTTCCTCGTTTCTTCTCCCGCTTGTGTCCTCCGCTTATGCATGCAATCTTTGTCCTTGTGGTGCCTCTGTGTAAGTGTCACTGGATTTTCTGCGGAAAGAATGTAAAGTCCAGGCTGGCTATCACCTGTGTAAGCATAGCATTAGTATGTGTATATTGAAGCCTGGTCTAGCAACTTGCCCTTGATGGTGGCTGTTCCAGGAGATTGGAGGTGGTCAGTACTGTACTGGTATCTCAACGATAGGTGCTCCCTCTGGACAAGGGTTGCCTCAGAGGTCAAGGTGCGTAGAGGAACATCAGACTGCGTTTCGAAATCCGTCTGCGTAATTCCTTCGTAGTAAGGAGTCTCTTGTCGAAGTCCGTCCAGCCACTTGTGGATCAACTCAAGAGTTTCAAAGGGTGTGAACTGGGAAGTAGACATCGCCTCAGAATGGCTTCACATAGGCGCTGGAGTCCAACAGTCAAGTACCCTGGGCGAGCATGAGACGATGGCAAGTGCAATAGTGAGCAGGGTGCAGATGCAAGACCGACCAGCGGAGTGAAGTGAGTAGGAGGAGGAAATGGTGGCATGTTTGCAAAGGGAAGGAACGACCAAGGCTGCAATTTTCATGGAGCGGACATCCTCTCCCTACTCACGCATGTACACTGCGCATGCATCTCTTCGCCTCTTCATTCACCTTCCAACACTCTACGAGATATTCCTTTTTACCTTTTGGCCTCCACAAGGCTGATGTTGAAAAGGAGACCGACATGTGGAACCGGATTCGAGTGACAAAAGCGAGCTGCAAGTCATTCCTGCAGCATGTCGGTCAAAGCTTACATGGGATAGCCTTGACATCTGGAGAACTTTGATGCGCGTCACTCGCCGTCCAAGAAGAGGAAGGACTCTGATCGACTCTAGGCACTGCTTTGCCATGGGAGGCAAACGCCAGGCCAAAATTCAGCGAATACAATCATTGAACAGGGCGAAGGTCATCGAGTTACTAATAGCAACGTTGACCAACCCCATTTGTGTCAAGAAGAGGAGGGCAGAAAAACTGTTTCCATTTGACGTGGGTGGCTTTACGGCTTTCCTGGATACGAAGGAAGGACGATCTCGATTCTCAGATTCATGGGGGCAAACCCGTGAAAATGGGTGAACGAAAAATCGTGGATGGCTCTCGTTCGAGCGATATTCTCCGGTCAGTTCGTCGATCGCTCACTGAAAGAGGCACGGAGAGAACCAAATAAGCGAAGTCGGTGTAGCCTGAGCATTAGCTATTTCCGGACAAGACCGCCATATCTTTGGAGGACTGGACCTCGCCGACAGCAACCCAAAGTCAGGGTCTGCCGGGGGCTAGAGATGCACGCCAGCTTGTGATAGTGATGAGCAACAGCAACAGCGACACTCTAGAGAGGCCGCGTGACTAACAAACGGCACAAATAAGACCGAGCGTGATGAGTTACATACAGGACGAGAACGGGGTGGTGCGAGTGAACGAGTATCGTGAAAGGAAGGGAGCAGCGTAGCTCTTTTTGAATCGAGTCAAACGGCAGAAGCCAAGCTGTTTGGTTGTAGGCGCTTCACCTCATGCTCTCTAGACCCGGTGGCGTCTGCTCTATTAGTGTCGCTGCAGTGTCCTTCATGGAACGAACCACCTGGAGCCAACCATCCAAATGAGCACGCTCCTTCACCACCCTTCAGATTGCCCAGCAGCCACTCATGGGCACAATCGCTGCTCCGTATCATCTTCACCTTGACTCAAGCCTCGGGTGCTTTGCAAGCATGTCCATCCCCGACCCAACAGAAATCCTCCCATTGATCAGAATGAGATGACACGCTCCTCCACCACATTCCCATCCACGCCCACAACGTGCCATTCCTTTCTTCTGAGAGGCCGCTCAAACTTTGTCTGATCGTACTTCTTTTGACCCTTGGAAACACTTTTGCGTAACCCCTCGTTCCGACCATCGGGTCCTTCGGCTTCGAGGTTGCTCCTGTCAGCGGGGTGCGCTTCACTTGACAGCGCCAGTCGAGAATTCGTATGATAAGATCATCCATTTCCAAGTCTCTAGGGCCCGTGTTAAAGGGGAATGCGGTTCGTTGACCGCGTCGGGTCATTCGACAATCACTTCAGTGTCGCAGTCGTCTAGCACCTAAAAAAACCCACTGTTAGTCTACGGCGGCTCGAATCGTATACCGCCAGTCATTGTCCTCTGTCCGTCCTGACTTGGGACTCCTCATGACTGGGAGATGGAAGTGTAATAATGGACATCGCTTAGGGCGTTCGGTGATGGGCACGAGAGAGGGGGGACCCAATGCCTCATATTCGTATTGAAAGGTCCCCACGATGAGCCGTGCCGTCACCTCAGTCCCCTCCATATTGATTTTCAGACTTCATTTCGAAGCCCTGCAGAGTGCAAAAGCATGAAGGGCGTTGGGATGCACGTCTGCTTCACATAGGGCTGATGTGCCATTTCTCGCCCCGGCATAAAGGAATGAGATCGTATTTCAAGGAACAGGGGTCGTGCACAACGCTTTGCCGACGACGGTGACTTGCTGCCGGCTCTTGTTTAGGCTTCTCTTTTGGTTAGGTTCGAACCCTGACCCGCCTTCTCATGGGCTTGATCTTCATCGTATTGGCACCTCTCTTGACACCAACTGTCAACTGAATTCGAGCCTTCTTACATCACCGCATCACGAGGAGTCCCCCCAGCGGTCAGCGCATGGCGAAGCAATGAGACTCCACACACTCTCAAGGTTTATGCATTCGGGAATTTTGTCTTCAGCATGCTGCCGCAATTCGTTGTCTCTTTGAGGGGGGGACGGGGTTATCTGTATCAACCATAATCGTCATCTAGACCTCTTTCCTGGGACTATTTCTCCGGCAAATCTTGAGTCAACAGCCTATCGCTGCAGCACTCGAGGTCTTTGTTGTATTTCTCATTTCGAGACAGTTCATATCTCTGTCCTAACCTGACCCCGTTGTCCCACTCGTTGCCCACCTCTTGGTATCCAAAGGGTTGCTTCTGCTGTTTCCTTCGCCGTCGACGCACGAAGCTCGAGAAATTTCGGTATTGACGCAAGATCCTGGATTGGGGCCCGGCATGCATACGATCTAAGGGATGGATTGCATGAGCCCGTTGTAATTTTTCAACCAATTAGATCCCCAAAGGAGGCAGGCGATTGACTATTGTTCATCTCGCACCACTCTGACCTCGTGCGGTGTACGCTGCGAGCATCACAGACCGCCGCCGTGAAACCTCATTTCTCAAGGCCTTTATCATAAGCCATCAAGAAGTATCTGCCTGCGCCTGTCCATTGCATCATGGCGAAGCTTTTTATCGGGTCCGCGGCCACAAGCTACCCTTTTCCATTTGAATACTTGCATTGACACTTTCTCCGCAGGGGCCTTGCCTGGCATACAACCGATGAAACTCTCAACGAAGGCTTTCAGCGATTCGGAAAGGTCGAAGAAGCTGTACAGTACTTGCGATCACCTCTCATATTCTGCTGCTGATAGTTTGCAGGTTGTTGTAAAAGATCGTGATACCAACCGAAGCCGCGGGTTTGGATTTGTCAGGTTCGCCACCAAAGAAGAGGCCGACCAGGCGCTAGAAAACATGAACAACACAGAGTGAGACAGCTTAACGGGCGCCGATAACAAGGCAATGCTGACCAATGTGACAGATTCGATGGTCGCTTGATTCGAGTAGACCATGCGCAAGACAACAGATCGGGCGGGCAAGGTCGAGGTGGCGGCTTCTCTGGAAGAGCAGGATACACATCTTCCCAAGGCATGGCCGGAGGTTATGGTCAGATGGGCGGCCAAACACGAAATTCAAACTCGACGTCCTACGGACGCGGCGCTGCGTTCAATCCTCAGTATCAACAGTACGATCCACGATACCAAAATCCGGGCGGACCTTACGGTGGAGGGCAATCGCAAGGTCCCAACGACCCTTACGGGTCAGGGGGGTCCTACCGTCAATAGATGAAGTACTTCTCACAGTTGGGATTGATTGCATGAAGATACCCCCTGCGTCCGTCAGGTGAATAAAGAATGTTTCGAGCCGCGGGTTATGATTCTTGAATTTGTATTAAGAGCCTTGCCGGCCAATCGTACAAATGTTGGACGATATTCTGGTGATCAGCACACAATCATAACACTTTCTCAATCTCTTCTTGCTCCTCGGTGCTACTGACCCTTTTCAAGGCATGTGTCGACATGTGGAGTGGTATGGTACGGTCTGGTGGTAGCAGTGCACGAACCCGCCGGGCCAAGTCAGTGATATGCTCGTCATGGCTGTCGTTGCTCAGGCTCTCCAAAGCCTTTTCCAGGTGGAGGAGATATTCTCGATTCTCACCACTAGGGCCGATGCTGGAGTTGATAGTTTCGGCAACATCTTGAGGATGAAGAGCGCCTAGGAACTGAGGATTATCAGGCATGCCAATGTATACTAAACAACGAATATCTGCAAGGTTTGTGTCGGCCGGATGGAATGGAGTATACTGAATGCTGTATCCGTTGCTGTCCGCGGGTTAGCGGCCAGTCCAAAAATCGAGCTTGAAGCGCAAATACATTTCGCGAATGTCAAGATATTGTTGGACTTCTTTGGCTTTGGAAGGTATGATATGGTACGCGACACCCCAGACATAATCTTTTTCAGTGTGGCGTTGCTAATGTGGATACGTTAGCGGAGAGCATGCGGTGAGACACACTGACGGAGCAAGATCATACAGGATCATCGAGCGTCGCCCAGAAAGACTTCTCAATCAATGTCACCACTCTGCCTGGGGCCTCAGGAGTACCTCGATGGTCCTCGCTAAGCAAAATCTTCAGTACAAGCTAATGGTCTTGCTCAATAATACGCACCTAGCCTGGACGACGGGAACTGTCAGTACTTCTCTGGAAACTCTTCAAGACCATGCACAATGTCCCCTACCTGCCAAAATCGCCGGACATAGCCTTGGATATAACCCGGGATTCGTTGGTCTATTACTGATGAGCCTCACACAACCAATAGACAATAGGATTCCACGGAGGGCCTTACCGAAATGCGGAGGTGGCTTCCAGATAAGACTCCTAGGCAACGTTAACCATGAAAAAAGCCTTCCCAAGGAAAGTAGACACGATGTCATGTTGAACATACCCATAGCCAAACAGCCAAAAATCTTCAGGGCTATCAGAGCCCATGTTGACGGTCTGAGACTGATGACAATATTCGTCGATTCGCTATGGTGGGACAAAAAGCCAAGATACTGGAGAGGCAGAAACAGCACAGGACGTGGATATATGCGAGTCGAAGTACTTTGGCACCAAGAAGTCGATCAGAGTGTATGTAAGCGTGGCAGGAGATTTGCTTGCGCATATGAGGATATTTTCGGAAAGGTCGAGGATGGTTCGAGTCTGTTGGACACGCGCGTATCTGCGGATGCTCGTTGTGCGTTTCTGAAGAGTCTAACGAAGACTCCTGAGTGGTAGAGGTAGAGTAGCTGCAGAGCTCGCACCGAGCCAACGAGACCAGTGGCTAAGGGCTAGTTGACAAGGTACTTCCGTAGCAAAAGAGCGTGCTCTAGCCCTATGCAAAAGACAGGAGACTTTTTCCTGGTCCGGCCGGTACTTTGATCAGGGTTGCTCGATGTTGCTTAGGTCAATCACGACTGGACCAACAACTCCTGCAAATCGGATGGGAGCCGTGACAAGGGATCTGAGCTTGGATTGGGCTCGATGTTGCGGGGGCATAAAGTGACCGCAATAAATGAACAAAATAGAGGCGGCCACTTGTTCGAAGAACATACGGTAAAGAATGGCCTTCTCGCTGACAAACAACTGCAGTCACCAAAGATCAGGAGCAAGACGGAGATAGTGGCAATCTCTTGTATTTGTACGGTGCACTGGTCCCTCGTGGGTAAGCTGTTAAAGGGTGAGTTCGAATTGATTGTTAGAACCGGCTCCTTGCAGCCCTGGGGGAATCGGCCTCACTAGCCCAACTTCTCCGGGCACGTTATTCTTATCCCACACCTCGTCAGCTGCGCCCAGCCTTGAAAGTCACATATTGGTTAGGCGACGAGGCCATTCACTCTTCTTCGTGAAACAGCATGACTAGGACAATTCTTGAAGTGTTGGGAGCCTTCTCTCACGGTTCAACTTTGAAACCCATGACATCATCCTGGCTTCATTGACTTGCACAACAACACACGCAAAATGGCATACCACAAAGCCTTCAACCCTGACGCACTACCTGCGTAAGTATGGAGCACCTGCTCGTTCGACTTTAGACTAGACGTTTCGGGCATTGACCCTTCTGTTATTTGCAGACATGCAGAGCCAGAGCAGGCTGCACAAGCTCTGAGCCAACTGCAGATAAACCGCAAACCTTCACCAAATACTCGATACCCGAATCAAACACAACCTCAGCAGAATGATTCACGCCCTCCTCCCATCGATCGTCATTCGTCTCCCGCAGGCCAGAGTTCTCATTATCGGCCGCAACCGACACAGAGCTACTCACAGCAACGCCCTTCTAATGACCAGTCCTACGTGGACAATCAATACAGCCGCCTACAGTCTCCTCCACCACAAAGCTATGGTTACGGTCGCGGCCAAAATCCACATCGCTACGAAGATACTCAATATTCTTTGAACGGAGCAGAACAATATCATGGATACAGTGGAGGGGCCCCCGGCCCGGGCTCTCGAAGTCTATACGATTTCTTTCGTGATGCGAATGAATCGCAGACGGGCAATATGACAAGCGTTGAACTGGGGAAGGCTCTGGTCAACTCCGACCGCACTCGCTTTGACAGCGCAACGATCTCGTCGCTAATGCGCATGTTCACCACGTCTTCGTCCCATAACCCTGACGACTTGACTCTTACATTCGATGAATTTAAGAGTATGTGGGAGTTCCTGGCTGCTTGGAGGCGGCTATTCGAACAATTTGATGTCGACCGAAGTGGTCGAATATCGCGGGATGAATTCTCTCGCGCCATGACAGCGTTTGGCTATCGCCTGTCCCCGCCATTCGTCACTGTGCTTTACAATACATTCAATGATCGGAGTCCTGTGAAGGGCCAGGGAATGAGTTTTGATCTGTTTGTCCAGGCCTGCATTAGCCTAAAGAGGATGACGGATGTGTTTAAGAAATACGATGACGACCGGGACGGCTATGTGACCCTCAGTTTCGAAGAGTTCTTGACCGAAGTCCTGCGGCTCCGGGATTGAGCCGTCTGCCCTTGGACTTGGTCAAATTTGTGGGAAGTTACGAGTACTTGAACGGGCATCTCAGAGCTCATATTTTGGGTCTGCCAGAAGTGATGCCGAACTAACCGGAGTATCATGGCCGCATGTCGCAGTCTTTTCCTGGAAATCCTTGTTGGCTGCATTACTTGCACAGCGTACAGTATTGACTATGAGATGGCTGTAAGTGCTACCCCGCAAATGTCACGTCAGGTATCAGAGGTGGTATACGAGTATGGGCTATAGCGTCGGGCATCGAGGATGCCGGCACTCGGTAGTTTGGCCACCAAGAAATGTCTGCAGGAATAGCGCGCCACGGATTACTTCCAATGACCGAACAACACCCGAAGTCTTCTTAGGCAGGGGAAAGCTGATGTGTCGAGTGTGATGAAGTGTAGTGAAAGCAACCCGTTCAGGCACTTTGAAAGAGTGTAAGCATCGAACAACCACAGGACATCAGAGATCGTCATTTTGCGTTGATATCATCGTTCCAGATGAAGGGGGCGGTGCATCGCCGGCCAGAGCCTAAAATCCACGTGGAAGTCAACTGTAGGGATTCCTTTACTGTACGGAGTACATGACCCTAAATAGCATTGCAACAAGTCCCTCTCATCATCTCAATTCCCCCAGGCAATCTTTACAGGACGTATTTTGGCCGACTCCAGAGTGTTGTCTATACTCCGTACTTCGTATTACCGGCATGATGGTCATTGCAATGCCATGCCTCCTCTTTTAGGCAGAATTATAGACCACTCGAGAAGGAGGAAAAGGAGGGGAACGAGAAGCGCAGACACGGGAGGACGGTGGTGTCGGTAAGAGACGCCGCTGCCACAGAAGGGTTCGCCTATCATCAGGTGCCCGGTGGGCAGGTTTTGACCCAAAGGCCTTTAGTGGCATGATGGCGCTCGTGGTCCGTGGGAAGGGCCCCTTGACGGGTTCTTTCGTAGGTTCTTCAATTGGTTACCAGGAGTGGCCGACAAGTGCCTAAACTAGCGAGCCCTCCCAGGCGTACTGTCATTTGCTCATAGCCCGTCAGCTGCGTGTCGACGGGGCCTCCACGTCCACGCGAAGGAGAGGTAGGGAACATCTATCGAACTCTGGCTGCTGCAGGCACATCATGCCGCACATGGCGGCGCTTTCTCGCAGCCAGCCTATCTAAGGAATGGCGCACTGTGACCCTCTCCCACCCTTGCTGGACTTTCCCGCCCTGGATGCGGAACCAGAGAGATAGGGAGAGAGAAGAGGAACTTGGCTTGTTCAAGCTTCGCCATGAAAATGGTCAGCGTTCACAGAAATAGTTACGGAGTACCAAACAAGACACTTGACGATCCAGGGTTCAGATGATGGACATTCAAGGGACACAGGGTGTTGGAAAGATCGGCTTTGGGGGAAGGAATACGAAGCACTCGCAAAGTGTGGTACGGGTTGAGATAGGCTGGTCCATTTGCTGGTTCGGTGAACCCACCATCCCCCAGAACGCCAGGCGAGGCGCTCGTGGGTTCTGTGCTGCCCCCGCCGCCATTCACCTGTTGGCTACTAGCCGTATGTACGTCGTCAGGGCCGAGCTGCTGTCTTCAACTGCGCTACTACTACTCGTACTCCGTCAAACTACCACCTTGATTCTGCTGCACATTTGTAAAGCTGATGAGCATTCTACCGTTGCACTGACGCCTACCTCACGCCTCACCTCTCCTTCTCTTCCATCTCGCCCTTTGCCTTCGATTTGTCCATACTTTCGACACCCAGATGCGCTCCCCTTCATTTTGATAGCTGCCCCTGTACTCGGGTCGCTGCAGATGAGGCGCGTCAATCATGTCATCCTTCTTCGGGAAACTAAAGAGCCAGGTGCGTAGGAGACCTCTCCGCCTACCTTGTTTGCTCAAACGGAGCATGAACGCCTCTATTCATTGGCCTACTCTTTGCATATATCCAGCTACTGACTGCCTTTTCTCCCAGAATGCTCCCAGTCCAGCGGTAGGCACCACCCCGATCAAAAGGGATCCAAATGCGCCCATCCCGACCCCTCTAGAGCGCATGCTCAAGCATGCTGGTCCGCTTCGTAGTGATGGAAGTGATAAATTCTTTGGCATGGAAAATGTATGTGTCCACCCCTGTTGCGATGGCTGCCTTGACTGACGAGGAATTGTCTGTCCGTTCTACAGTTTGGAAATACCTGGTCAGTGCTGAAACTCCCCGGTCCTACTTCTTGATCTGACCTCCGCAGTTATTGCAATTCCATCCTACAATGTTTATATTATTCTGTCCCTTTCCGAGAAAATGTTCTCTCATACCCCCGTCACTCGACCCCTGAGTCTATCGCCGAAGCACAGGCGAATGCGCCACCCCGAGTAACGCCCACCCAAGCCAATGGAGCAGCGAAGAAGCCGCAGGGGCCGAGCTCTTCACGAAATGCGGGTGCTCCGCCCCAGCAGCAAAAGCCCGAGGACAAGGACTCGCCTGAATACAAGAAGAAACAAGCCCTCGCGGCAGGTCCTATCCTTAACATGAGCTACGGAAACGCACAGAGTTACGACATGCCCGAGACGCTTTTCACCACCCTCAAGGACCTGTTTGAAGCCGTGGTCGTGGACAGAAACCGCATGGGTGTGATCAGTCCTACAAAGTTTTTGAACACATTGCGCAAAGAAAACGAAATGTTCAGATCGGCCATGCATCAAGATGCCCACGAGTTTCTCAATCTTCTTCTTAATACGGTGGTGGAAAATATTGAAGAACACGATAGGACCCTGAATGCACAGAAGATGATCGAGCAGGCTCAACGACCCGTGGAGGAATCCGAAGCCATGACCAAGACCGAATCCGCAACAGTTTCTTTCCCTTCTGTATTACCAACCCCGTCCGCACACTCAAACACACGCTGGCTGCATGAGTTATTTGAAGGCACTTTAACATCCGAGACCCGGTGCCTAACTTGTGAAAATGTTTCACACCGTGACGAGCCTTTTCTCGATCTGTCGGTGGATCTGGAACAGCATTCATCAGTTACCGCTTGTCTTCGCAGATTTTCCGAAGAAGAGATGCTTTGTGAGCGAAACAAGTTCCATTGTGATAATTGCGGTGGCCTACAAGAGGCCGAGAAGCGCATGAAGATCAAGAGATTACCAAGGATATTGGCTCTGCACCTGAAAAGATTCAAGTATACAGAAGACCTCCAGCGATTACAGAAGCTATTCCACAAAGTTGTTTACCCATACCACCTCCGACTCTTCAACACCACCGATGACGCCGAGGACCCGGACCGAATATATGAGTTATACGCTGTCGTTGTCCACATTGGTGGAGGACCATATCACGGCCATTACGTCGCAGTTATCAAGACACAGGATCGAGGCTGGTTATTGTTTGATGACGAGATGGTGGAACCGGTCGACAAGAATTTTGTTCGCAACTTCTTCGGGGACAAGCCTGGACTTGCCTGCGCTTATGTTCTGTTCTACCAAGAAACAACCATCGAAGCGATTCGAAAGGAACAGCAGATGGAAGGCAAGCGACGTGCTTCACAGGATCTCCCCAATGGTCTGGCCACAGACGCCAGACACTCAGCCGAACTGCATCGGGTCCAGACGGTCAGTCCCATGATGTCACCGGGGAGTGTAGGAAACGATAGTAATCACCACTACGCGACTCTGGACCACGCCATGACTGCACCAGAATTCATGACGAACGGTCATGTCGAGCCACCAAAATCTCCCACCTTGACTTCGGATAGGCCAGTCAGTCCAATCCTACAAAGCAAGAAGGAAAGGGCCAAAGAAGAAAAGATACGCAAGGCGGCGGAAAAGCAGGCTGAGAAGGAGAGACAAGAGGCAGAAAAACAACGTCGGAAAGACTTGGCTACAAAGTTGTCAGAAGCACACAAGAAGCAGGAGGCCGAATTAAAAGCTGCCTTGGAAGCCAGCAAAGCGAGCAAAGCCGAGGAAGACAGGCGGCATGCTCTTGAACGAACGGTAACATCCCCTAACGGCAGCAATCACTCTGGTGGTCTCGAGCGTTTCAAGCGCACCAAGAGTCTACGGTTCGGATCATTGACGAAGCGAGATAAGCCGCATCCGAAGCCATCGGATGAGAATCTGGCAACATCATCGGCATCAGCGGAGACGGACGCGCCTGAGCCTGAGAAGGACAAGGACAACCACAAGGATAGCTCACCCAAGGAAAAGAAAAATCGATTCAGTATTCGGAAAAAGTCATTCGGCATGTTGTCTTCATCTTGATCATATCTGGAAGCAAAGGAGCCCATATTTTGAACTTTCATTCATGTCTATAATGGTTAGTGGAATCGCAAAGGACAAACTTGGAAAGCCACGACAACTCTTCATTTGGTGGGGCAAAACTTGGATCCTCGACCCAGTTTGCCTGGCTCCCATGCAAATCTGGGCTTTTGCTTGGTTTTGACACAAAGGGGATGTTTTTGGGTGGTTCCCACAACGATTTCAGATGCACATTTATGAAAGGACATACAAAGTGACATCTGTGGTCATGGTTATGATCACGATGATGAGGTGTTTTTGTATATCTTGTGTTGTCGATCTTTTTTGTCATACATGATCCATGAGTATAATGAGATGATCTTTTGTGAGGGTTGGGATTGTCCTTTTTTTTGGTTGTGAGTTTACAAGCAATTTTTCTGAGAAAAAGAAAGAAAAAGGAGTCTGGATCTATCTCTGCCTTGAGGAGCATGAGGAGCTTGGGCTTTGTATTGGGGTTGGTCGGGGGAGTATCTTTTTGCTCTCCAGGGGTTTTGGTTCCTTTTTTCTTCTTTTCTCTTTTTTTTCAAAGAGCACATATATATCAGATCAGGGACCCTAGGTATTTCTTAAAGAAATATATATGTGGGTATCATACCTACCAACATTCGACGCGAAAAGGGTACGAGATCAAAAAGACAAACATATGGATGGCCTCAGGTACCTTAGCTAAGACCTAGGGGTAGGGTTTACGCGGATAGAGATTGTCCAGGTTTTGGTCGCCCCCCCAGGAGGGGGGAACTGCCTCCCTCCTCCCTTTGTCGTAGGTATATATAGAAAACTCTGGACCTGCTTCTAATCTCTGGACATTGAAACCTTTCCGTGAGGTATCAGTCGCTCTGTACAGTGTCACTTGCCTCCTAAAACATACGGCAAATTGTGGTTACTTGCCGAGTAGTTAGTGCGTACATCTGCGGTGTCTCTCGTACAGAAGAACGATGACAATTAAGAAAAGGTGTGAAGCAGTGAGATGTACTTGAGTGGGCAAGGGTCCGTTGATGCAATTTCCCAGTCATCCGGATTCATGTTTGTTTCCTGGTTTGATTCTACTGGGTTATGTATGTATGACCTGCCATTTTGGTCTCCTTGTTTCGTCCACGCCGAAAAGGACTCTGGCCATCCCCTGACGGGGCCGAGGAGAGCAAGTCCCAGTGAGAGAGGACTTGCGCCGAGACTGACTCGCAAACGAACCAAGGGTTTCACATACGTGCATCTCCTCCGCCTGCCTCTATCTTACCATAACCTAGCTCGAAAGTGGGTGGCTGCTAAAAACGAGTTGAGTTACCGACAAATAGGTGACGGGGGGTGATGTGCCATGAGCTGCTTCGGTGCAGTTGTTTGGCAGCTTGATGGTGTGATCTTGCAAGAGGACAACAACTCAAGGTTTTGATACAGAGAGTCTGTTGGTCGATTGGGTCGAGTTCGATTTGTTGTCGTGGGCTGTATAAGTCTTCCGTTGATGGAGCCCGTCAGGCCGCGGCGGTCAAGGATGTTTGGGAAACCATAAAGCATAGACCTTCTAGTGGACAAAAGGCTGAAGCAAATCCCTTGTCGCCGTAAATGCTCTCGAAGAAAACCGCTCTAGTTAAACCGCAAGGCTGAATACGTATAATACGGTTCGTCCATGTGCTGAGCAAGATTGGGCCAAAGTTCATAACGATCATGGTTCACAAACGTATACTCCGCTAGTCGAAGTCGAAGTCTCGTCCAAAAACCCAGGTGGCACCATGGAAAATTTCATCGATCCAGAAAGTCGGAGCAGGGCGCTTTGCTGGTTTGGTCGACTAGAGATAGATCAATGTGATTTTATGCTCCTTCTGGCCCGACAAGATCCCTTGAGTTTTCGAATGCATGATTTGCGGCGTTTGACGGCCTATACCAAGACGGATCTAGTGTAGTCTCGTTCGAATCTCATCATCCTAACAAGAGCTCATATATAACGATTATCGTATTGATGAATATCAAAGGTACTGTGTCACCAACCCCAAATGTTAGTCGTCAATAGCTCTCCTTCTGCGTGCTTCGAGGGTCCGGATGACGAACCTCGACATAATGTCCTTATACTAGAGATCAAGTTGATGCCTTTGCTGCGAAAACTCTCTGGATCTTGCGCTGGAGCACCAAAGGCTACGCCGCCCGCCGAAGGATCGTTGAGTTGCGACTTTCCCCAGCCGACTATGAGTAGGTGTTAGTTGTGTTGCGATGGGATCTTTCAGCCTTCCTGAACGGAACGACAAGCGGAAAACGCAGAGAGGATAAACGTACTTCGAGCGAGGAATCGGTCTTCAGAGAGGATTGCGACGGCGTTGAGCAGGAGGCAGGTCGCTGTGTTGAAGGAAATCACATGTCAGTGATAGTGCACGACATGTGGTGGCATGCTTTGCAGCAAACTTACCATAGATGATGGGGCCGAAGCCAAAGAGACTGAGCATCTTGGGATGTTGGAAAGATGTATGCTGTGTACACAGAGTCTATGTCTCCTCGAAGTGTCAAGATGGTGCAGGCTGAGAAGAGGTGTCCATAGTCTCCGGAGATATTAGTGTTCGAACGGATTGAGACAGTGTTTCACAGTACAAGATTTCGTCGAAGTATTAGTGTCCCAAATGCAAGTATATCGACACATTTTCCCCTCTTCCTCTTCCAACTGGCCTTTTGAATTTCAAATCATAGTCGGCCTAACCAGATTTCATGCAAGGGCTATACGCTTCTTTCGGATACCGTCATGTAGGTGATCGTCTTTGTCGGGTCTGTGCAACATCGCGGCATTCGCTGCTTAGGTCAGCAGGGATGGTCCATCTCACTCTCAACCGACACTAATATGGGCGTCTACCCGAGGTTTTGTCCTATATAAAGACCGAGACCCCTCAGCGAGAGACCACCATATATTTGCTTTGGTGTGATTCAACCTTCTCTCAAGCCCATCATTCTGGTCATTACTTGCCCACCGAGATCATTCCCACCATGGCCGACAGAGTCCAGCAGGTCGTCGATCTGCCTCCTTGCAACCGGCACATCGCAACGCATGATGCAAATGGTAAGAGTGTCTACGCTCAATCACCACCCCAACAATACATACCCGTTGAAAATTTCGGGGGAATGGCTCGATCATATTCGGTGGCCTCAGTTCCCGCAAAGATGGCCAACGATGAAGATCTAAAGGCATACAAAAGCAACGACGCCGTCACTAGCTGGGCACAGCCATCCATCGTCACCCCGAACGGCGCCAACCTTTTGGTGGTGGACCTGGCTCCTGGTGGTGTGAGCAGCATGCACCAGACGGTCTCCATCGACTACTCCATCTGCGTTATTGGTGAGATTGAGCATGAGCTCGATAGTGGAGAGGTTGTACTCTTGAAACCAGGAGTAAGTCCGATGCCACCTCCGTCATGACCTTTTGCTCATGCAAGTCAGGATCATATTGTACAACGAGGTACAAATCATCGATGGCGTAATGCTTCCAAGACGAAGCCAGCTCGTTTCGTTGCCGTTACAGTTGCTTGTGAACCCTTTGAAATCGCGGGCAAGATGCTGGAGGAGGTCCATGTCTCTTGAGCAGAAGTAATTTTGGAACGGTTGAAGTGGCGAGATGTAGCCAAATGTCTACTCACTCTTTCGTACATATATACGAGCAGAATGGGCCTGTTCTTCTTATCCAATGCTATCCTCATTCTCTGCCTGGAATGCTCGACACATATCACGTGATGATGCGGTGGTCTTGACAAACTGTCCCCCTTTTCCCGCGAATCTCGTCCTTCTAGAGTACCGACCTGTCGCGACCACCACCGAATTGATTGAGCCATACGTACACATGACACTTTGGCGCATATGGCTGGAATTGAATCCCGGCACATCGGATGCCTGGTCATCGTAGTGCTGATACAGATTCACCTGTACGTGTCGCCCTTTACCAAGGTCGAAGAATCGTTCAACATACAAGCCACACACGACATATTGAAATATGGAATCCCGACACAAAACGTCCATCTCAGATTGAAAGCCCAATACGATCATATGACATTTTCTGGTGCTGTTCCAAGGACGTTCATCGGTCCTCTCATCCTCGCGGCGATCGCGAAACCCTTTGTCTGGTATGGTCAACTCAATGGACCACAACAGCAAATGCTCGGTATTTACGCCGACCCTCTGCCCCTCTCCACCAAATCGTCCCAAACATGCTGACAAAAAGTCGTTCGTCATCAGTGCGAGCTGTCCTAGGACTGTTCAACGGTGCCTCGCTCATCGGCTACGCGTCGGCAGTGAGGCGTGCGTACGGCTCATCGGCGAGTACGTGGTACACCTTTTTTCAGGGAGCTCAGTTTCACGTCCTCTACTACTCTTCGAGGACACTACCCAACATGTTTGCTTTTGGGATCAGTAGGTGACTCCGTGCTGTCCATGTGAGGAAACCGTCCTCCGAGAGCCCAGTGCTAACCCGACATGACCACCAGCCACGATCGGTCTACGATTCCTCCTACCGGACCCGACATCACCACAATTCAGAGTCCGAAGAACAAGACTGGGCCTGTACCTCCTCACGCTCGCGACCGTCGTGTTCCGCTCAGAGATCGCCTTGCTGCTGGCATCTCACTGCCTCTATCTCGTCCTCAGGTCGGGGTCCATTTCCAACGCCGCCTCCCTAATTCGCGTGGTATTCATCCCGGCCGTGTTCTCCGCGACCGTCGCCGGTCTCGTGCTCACGGTCGGCATCGACACCTTCTTCTGGCAATCCCGCACGCTCCTGTGGCCTGAACTGGCCGCCTTCCTGTCCAACGTGTTCCCTTCCAGCGACGGCCTCGGCGCCTCGGCGTGGGGCACGTCCCCGTGGCACTGGTACTTGACGTCGGCGATCCCACGACTGGTCCTCAACCCCTTTCTCCTCGTCCTCCCGGTCTGGGGCCTCACGAGGTCCATACGCCCTCAACTCCTTGACCTCCTCGTCCCCTCGCTGAGCTACGTTTCGCTCTATTCGATCCTTCCACACAAAGAAACTCGCTTCCTTTTCCCCGTGGTCCCACCCATCACGGCCTCGGTGGCCCTGTGCGCGTCGTACATCAGCACCCGCCGCCACCGGCACCGTCTGTACAAACTCACGACGTGCGCCCTCCTTTTGTCCGGCGGACTCACAGCCGCGATATCGACGGGCGTCCTCCTGCCCCTCTCGTCGCTGACGTATCCGGGCGGCACGGCGCTGACGTCCCTGCACGCGATCTCGCTCAACTACGGGCCCCGGCCGCGGATCCGGGTCCACCTGGGCAACCTCGCGCTCCAGACGGGGGTGACGCATTTTCTGGACGAGCCGGCCTCGACGCTGCACGATCGGCCCGTCTTCACGCTCCCCGGGTCGGCGGACGGGCGCATACCGACGATCCGCTCCGCGCGGCCCACGCAGTGGATCTACGACAAGTCCGACAACGAGACCGACCTGCTCACGCCGGCGTTCTGGGCCCAGTTCGACTACGTCGTCGTCGAGGACCCCGCGCGCGCCATCGGGGCCTGGGACGTCGTCGACAAGATCCCCGGCCTGGGGAGGCCGCGCGTCGTCGGGCCCGACGTCGGCCGTGGACTGTTGGTCCTCGGCCCCAAAGGCGCCAGGAGGCAAGAGGACGGCTTGTCGAGGATCGCGGACGAAATCTACGGCGGGACAATGGCCAAGTGGGTCTACGGAGTCGCCCACGACGTGCTCAGAGAGGGGTACGGACTCGACGTGCTGCTGAACACCTCAAACTGGAGCTGGACAAAGGGATGGTGGATCCACTGGGGCCTAGAGACAAAGTTGTATATTTTGAAAAGCGGCGAGAGTGGGATATTGCCTTGAACCTGCCTGGCCGGACATGACTGACCATCCTACGCTGGGACGGGTACTATGATTCGAATCCCCAATGATGGTCACTTTTGCAACCGACTCATTCTACCCTCGATGCCCGAAACCATATCCCCGACCACCTTGACGTTTCCTTTCATGGTATCTTCAAGCTCGGCCATGCGCGTTTCGACATCCTCGACGGCTTGTCTCCACTGACCAATCTCCTCCCTGGTCTCGGCCTGTCTCTTCTCTACGGCGTCGAGGTTGTTCTTGGCTTCGGCCGCGCCCGCGTGGACGATGCTGAGCGCCCTCAGCCGCTCCAACACCACGGGGAGCAATGGCTGCAGATTTTGAATGGACGGGAGAAGTTGGTACAGCGCCGTGATTTTGGACGATTGCTCGTCCAGAAACAGCTGCGACTGTATTTGAAGTGATTCGTCGGGCTGCTGCTGCTGCTCGGGTGCCACGGTGTGCTGTTGTTGTTGCTGCGTCGACGAGGCGTTGGAATAGCCACGGCGCGACCTCGTGTTGGTGTGGGACATGAGATTACGCATCCGGGCTTCGTGAAGCTCCGACAGAGCCTGTAGGGCTTGTTTACGCGAAGCAGTGAGCCTGTCGGATTCGGCGATGAGGGTTCGTAGTTTCGAAGACACCGTGTCGAGAAGGGGCGTGGGCTGTGTGACAGCGGTAGCTGTTGTCGTTGTCGACGACGAGGACCTTGGCGCCAGAGTATTGCTCAGAACCGTGATTTGCGTCGAGAGGCTGTCCAGCGTCGGGAGGATAGACGCTTGGGACTGGGCGTTTGTAGACGAGATTCCCAGACTGGCTTCCAGAGCCGTCAGTCTGTCCGAGAATGCTGTCACGGCTGAAAGTGCCGATGTTGTTGTTGGTGCTGGTGGTGCGGACGCTTGCTGCTGTGTGCCTGTAGTAGTTGAGGTTTCTTTCGTATCTTGTGCACCGCCTCTTCTTCTCAACTTGTCCACTTTTGACAAGAATTCATTCTCGAGTGTAGCTCCGCCAGCCTGAAACCCAGTCTTTGCGCTCAATTGATCCAAAACTCTGGTGAGTTGGTCAACTCCGTCGGTGTCGACGTGGTCGGCCTCCGCCGCGGCGGCATGTTGCTGCTCGACGCTGTCTTTGAATTCACCATCGCCGCCGTCGTCCTTTTCTTGCTCCCGTCTCTCCAGTTCCAGTCTGACTTCTTCGGCCTCCCTCTTCAGGCGAGCGAGTTTTCTGCCCAAGGTCTCTTCCTCGCCGTCGTCTTCATCACTCAGGTCGCCCAGCTCTTCAATGCCACCATTGTCTTGCCTCTTCCTCCGCCGTCTGGATCGGGTGCGGTACGACCTTCGAGAACCCCCGACGCTGTCTGAGAAGTCGACCCCTCGAGCGTCAACGAGAGCGGGCTCAAACCTGCGCCTCGCCTCGTCTCTGTCCAGAGGCTGTCTGTCTAGACCGGGGAGTGCTTCGTCGTCCGATGGCGATTCGGATATCGTACGCAAAGTGCCTGTCTGGAAAGGCGGTATGTCAGATGAGGTGGGTTTCTGGCTTGTTTTGTAGAGAATTGTTTTGATTTACCTGAGCGGTGGAAACATCGTCAGCGAGTTCTGGCGTCTCATATACTTCAGGTGCAGCATCCTAAGGAAACCGTTGGTGTCAGTTTGAAAGGACATGAGAGATGTCACAATATAAAAACACCCCAAAATTAGAGAGACTCACGATATCAGGGAGCACTGCCCATTTGTTGCTGACGGCCATACTATCTTAGAAAAATGATGTCGAGGTCTGCATGCATGACACAGGAACTTGAAGGTGTACACTATGTAAACACACTTTCAACGTTTTGACACGCGGAGCGCGCATGAGGTGTCAGGGATGTAATTTAAGGCTAGAGAGGTCCGCTATTACAAGGAACGCTGCTTGCAAATTCAGGGGGCAATGGAATGGCCCGCGCCGCTTTACTTGCCCAGGGATTTACTGAGCTGTATGGGCAATTTAGGGGCTTCCAGCCTAAGCATCCATTTACTGTGCTGTATCACTCCCGATATAGAGTACATGTATGAATATAGACATTAACTCGTACAGGGGACATGCAACTCATTCTTCAAAAGGCACCGGGTACGGAGTACAGTTACTAACAAGAACCTAGTTGTTGCGACTGTACGAATAAATTCTCAAAAGAAAAAAAAAACAATAACCATCATTTCACATCTCAAACTACCGCGGTAGTAGCCTGCCCTCTCTCTGCCTCGAGCGTCTTGTTGTCTTCTTGTTTCTTCGACGACGACGATTCAAACGCGGCACCATAAATGCCTTGCATGATCATGCGGTTCAACTCTCCGACCGTGATCCCTGGCACCAGTTCGAAGCCGTTGGAATAGTAAGTGTCCATCTTCTTCTTCTTCTCGCCACAGGCCACGATGGGCTGGAGGACCGTGTCCGGGTTCGCGGCTCCGAAGTACGCCATGCTCTGCCTCTCCTTGTCGGGAGGCAGACCCTCGAAAGTGACCCGGTGGCGGGTGGCCTTGAGCTGGCCGCCGGACCAGAACCCCAGCGCGTCACCCACGTTGATCAAGATGCAACCGGGGACGTGTGGCGCCCTGGCCCAGGTTTCCCCGTCGGGTGACAAGACCTCGAGGCCGGGTGCTCGCTGGAACAACAGCGTGACCGACCCCGAATCGGTGTGGGCCTGCATCCGTGACCCCTCCTCGTCCGTGTCCTTTCGGTGGTCGTTTGGCCGTTCGTCGTGGCGCGCGCGAGCAGGGTACATGAGCATGCGCAGACTGTTGCCGTTGCCGGCGTCCTCTCTGTGGGCGTCGGCGAAGAATTTCGGGTCCGGCAGGCCCAGAGCCAAGGCGAAACACTCGAGCAACCCGACCACCAAATCGTGGCACCGGTGCTTGAAAGCCTCGACTTTGGCGACGTGTTGGTGCCAAAACTCGGGGACACTGTCGTGGCTTTCGGACGAGGACAACGCCCCAGGAACACCCCCAAACCACATGGACATTTTGTCGTCCTTACCTCGATCCTTGAAACTTCCCACGTACCCTATGGACCTTTTCGTGATCGGGTACCTCTCCTTGACCTCCTCGGGCAACTGGAAAAACTCCCTGGACAGGACAAACATCTCTTCAATGTCCTCCGCGGGGATCGGATGGTTCTTGACCAACAGAAACCCCCATTCCCTGCACGCCCGAGTGACCTCGTCCGCGACCCGTCGTTGGGACGACGACCGACCAGAAGAAAGGTCCAGATCGGAAATGTCGATGATTGGAAACTCGTCGTTGGAGGTCGCCATTATGCTTCAAAAGATGCGGTGACTCTAAGGGCAAGCATAAAGCCTGTTCAATCTCGATTATAAGAATGGAGTTGAAGGAGAGAGAAAACAAGGGAAAAGAGAAACGACAAACGAGAAATACGAAGCAAAGATTTCGCTATCGGATAACATCTATCGTAGGTACAGGACATGCTTCTCTTAGTTGATATCAAACATATAACTGGCAGAACGAGATCATCATCTTGCATCGAAGGCGGCAATCTCCGCCAAACGAGAAAACAATGTCTAGGTAGCCATGGGTAGAGATTCCAGCATTGCTTTCTTCCTCTACTTATCGATACTAGACTACCTAGGTAAGTAGATTGAGTTGCGCGACGTGCATACATACAGTATTGCTCCGGAGTTCCACGGGGTTCTTTGTGTCATTAAGATACTGCGTACCAATCAATCACTCCATGAATCATCGCTATCCGCTCTAACAAGCAAGCAAAGAGCTCAGCATCAGCAGCTTAGCTCATGGTGCTGCAAGAAAATATAAAAACATTACACGGCCTCCATGTCAGCTCGATGTTGGTCTTCCCCCCCGCGCCCATTCACTCACGTCGCCCGGCCCTTGTCTTTACTGTCCGCGTCCATATCGACCAGGAAGCGTTCCCACGTCGAGATCACGTTCTGGTAGAACTCCATGTGCTGTGAAGCCAACGCCCCGAGACTGTCCCGGAATTCGATCCCCTTTATCCTCTCAAAATCGGCCACCTCTCGGACGACCTGCTCGTCAAACATTTCGCTCGTCCCCTTTGCACTGTCGACCTCGCGATTCAGCTCGGCGATCTTGAGCTCCAACTTCCGAGCTCGTTCTCTCCGTGCCGACTCGTGGTCGACGCCCCTCATGTCTTCCACCTTGTTGCGGATGAACGTGGCCGGGTTCAAATTCGAGCCGTGGGAGTACGGATTACTCGAGGCCAGCGAATCTCTTTCCGAGGTGGCTTTCTGGAGGTAGTCCGTCAACCCTTCAAAGTCGAGCTGTTTCTGCTCCCTCGTCTTCAGTAGAGATTTCACCGAGTTGATGTAGGCTTCCATGTCTCGGAGACTCCCCAGATAGTTTTGGTCGGTGTGATCCTTCAGGCCCTTCCAACCCCTGGACGTTTCTTCCACGCAGCCGGCGAAGGTCTGCAACTGGGCCTCGATGGCCGGTTCCAAGGGGGTCAATTTGCGCATGTTGGTCGCCAGGTCCGCATAGTCGACCTCGAGGTCATTTTCCCTACGCGCCACCCTCGCAATGATCTTTTCCACGTGGGTCAGATCCTCGTCAAGCTTGTTCGCCCTCTCCGTGACCTCGATGAATCTCTTGTCGGGCTTGTGCACTTTTGAAAACGCGTTGAGCATGGTATCCGCGACGTTATCGAAGAATCCTGTCGGCGCCGCCGCATTCCCACTCTCAATCGTATTACTCCTCGACGGTCTCATGCGCATCTGCGCGTTCCAGTCCGCCGTTTCGAGGAAGAGGATCAGTATTGGTGCGCGCCGGAGAACCGGGTGGAGGGTACATCGCTTCAGAAAGCGATGAAGTGACCACGCTCTTCTCTGCGTGAACTCGTTACTGAACCGGTCACCTCTCACGTAGGCCATGTTGTTCTTCTCCGGCAGAGGAGGGACTGCGCAGGCGGGGAAGTCTCGGTGGAGGGTCTGTCGGAGGAAGACAAAGTCTGTGAACCGTCGCCGGACAGAAAAGTCGGACCTCTGGAAGGACTTGAAGTCCGTCTATAGCCAAAAGGGGTGGTCAGTAAGGGTTGGAATGATGATGACGATGATGGTCCAGACGGGCCTCGGAGACAATAAACTCACATGTGTGGTCACCAGGTATGATACGTAGGCATCTTTGGTCCCGTCATTCTCTTTCAAAGGACTGTCCACCGTGACCTCTAGGATGCCATCACGACCTATCCCTGCCAGGTCGACATCGTCCGCCTGTTCGCCGGCCTGGGGTTCGCTCGACATGCTCTCACTTCTGCGGCCGCCATTCGCAGGCCTCGCGGGTAGGGTGGCTTCGAAGGGAGCGGAACCTTCGGCTTGTGATGTATCCTCTCGCTGCCACGAGATGCTGTCAAAATCACCGTGATCGTCCATCTCTTTGGGAGGTGGGGAGGCCCGCAGGCAGCGCTATTACAGTGTGTCTTGCTTTCAGGACTGGAAGAGGGACTACCTGTCAAGAACAAGGTTGTGCGACCACCACCTCAGAGGATACCAAGGGTCCGCGTAGAGAGAGAGAGGATCTGGGCTTCAACGAATGTCAATGAGCTCGTGGTGCATGTTCGGTGGTTAGTGAATTGTTGTTGGTAGCTTGAGACGGGGGAGACTTGACCCCAACACCGCATTCGGGCGTATGACAGTATGACGGAGGATGCTTGGCAAGGCTATCGATCGACAAGGCCGAGCTTTACTCTTTTTGGATGAACTGCCTCGCTACTCAAGTACGGAAATGTCTTCCTAGTTCATTATGACACTCTTCAAGACTTGCACACGAAGACTTCCAGCATAGAACTCGCTAGAGGATGGAAGATTATTGCATTCTCTCTCATGACCAAGAATATTCTACGGTCGATCCCACAAGCTAAGGCCTCCAGGGTCATTTCCCTCCCACATGAACAACTCAGGGCCTGCAAGTTGGTGCCAAAGGACACTCTCATCAACTGTTTCACCCAGGTCAACACCCATAAAGTCTGTAAAAGTCCTCTTGTGGCCTTGGCCCACGCGTGACTGCTGTAGTAAGTCACCCTCCTGATAGCCCTCGGTTGACGTGCGGTGACGATAATTCTCCAAAAGGCGCTCTATGATAGATCTGCTTCTGGATGCCCCAGACCAGCGGGCCTCCAAACCTTTGAGAAAGCTGACACATTTCTCCACATCCTCAATAATCTCATGCCTGGGTTGAGATGATGGAATCCGGATACTTCAGGAGTACGTCAGTTATTGGCCCCAGGTGGTAAGACGGCAAACATACAGCATAATGCCCGAAAGTGTCAAGTAGTGTAGGCAGATGGCAAGATAATGAGACGGCGGAACAGAGTCCCTGACCAATTCAGCTGCATTGATGCAACTCCTTGCTGCGCTGATACATTGCGCAACAGCATCCACAGCCTCCATTGAAGCGTTGAGATGTGACGCCTGCTGCGAATCTCCCACGAAACTCCTAAATACGAGCATAGTAAGTTTCTCACACACAATTTCTACTTGTTGAGGCTTCGTAACTCACCGATACAAATTCAACAAGGACCCAGAGTGGACAATGAAGATGATCATGCACATTGTCAAATGGTAATTGCGATCGTGGTCCCACTGGGACACGTTGGCAGAGAAGCAGATCTCGTCTGGCAAACTCTCAAGGTAAGAGCGTAGCAACCGATCACGACTCGCCACCTTTGCAGAAAACTTGCGCATCTTGTCAGGATCGGCCGATGCTAGCTCTCCAATGCGCCGAGGAGAATTGAGCTGCTGGATCTTCCCGGCAATACGACAAAGTTTGGCAAAGGCAAGGAAGCCCATGGCCGGAGACGATGCTTTGGGATCATAGTGGCTGTCTATCGAATTCGGCTGGTGAGCGAACAACTCCAAGTCCTCGTCGCTCACATTGAGTGGCATTTCACAGTTGCAATCCTCGTCGAGGATCGCTGCAGGCCGGCCAAGACAAATTGAGGTGACCCTGTGATAAGACCCAGTGTGTTAGCGAGGTCGTTCTGAGCCAGAGATACACAGACACTGGCATACCTCTCGAGGCTGTAGATGCACCACCATACGCGTCGTGAAATTTGGCGATGAAGGAAGTCCGAGGGTGCCGGAATGTTTACATTCGAAGAGGGAGGCATCATCTCATCGTCATGAGTACTTTAACTCGCACATAATCGGTGGCACTCACCAGAGCACTGCTCAAGTGTAGACCCAAGTCTTGAGCAGCTCTTACTGCTTGTCCTGTGATGATCCAGCTCTGTGATAGAGTATTCCACCCTGCACAGCACATGGCTAACAGCGCCAGACATTGTACCTTGTCCAGAGAGACTTCCCCCGTGGATGCGTAGTAGAGCAGTAAGGCTTTCTCATAGTACTCTAAGCCTGGAAAGCGGGATTCCGGAGAGGTTGGTAAAAGACTCGATGCACAAGCGCACACTGCAAAGAAGACCATCGTAAATTTCGAATCGGTCAAGGCAGTTCCTCTCGATCCAGTTCGGTAGAGCTGCCGATAGCGCTCGAGGAAGTGAGGTTTGAACACGACTGGGAACGTGTAGTGCAGTTGATCAAAGTAAAGCTTTACCAGTAGATCAGCAATATACTGTGGTGGACGAGGTAATTGGTCTGGTTTGGGAAGAAATGGGAGTTCAGGCCAGACTCTTCCACGCACGAAGAGGGGTAATTCGACGTCCTTTGAGGCTGAGGCACTCTGATTGCTTTGCGCGGTCGTGGTAACAGCTGGTTCGATGGGGTGATCATGCTGGGCTGCTTCAATGAGCATAATGTTTGACGCACCTCCGACAAATCTAAAGCCCTTCAGGATAAAGTATATGAGGGGAGGGTTGTAACATCGAAGTCCTACCTTAGATGTCCATATGAATCTCCCACCAACGCTCCCACACGATTGGCCGCAGCACTTGACTGAGATTCGACCATGTCAGAGACATCATTCTGTGCGGTATTCTCGTAGGCATCATTGTCATTATCATCCGCGTCATTGTCATCAGAAGAGTCTAAGACGTCGCCAGGAGGATAAACTGCATCAGCCGAGGATTGTCTTCCAGGAGGCAGGTCCCATCGCGAGCTTCGTGCGAGCACTGTATTTGAAGAGCTGTCTCCTGTACGAGCGGCCAAATGCAGCGACTGCGATGCATGCTCGTCTGCCCTTGCGGTTGATATTTGCGTCCCTTCGCCGAACAAATGCGGCTGCGACCTATTCAGAGTGTCCACAAACTTACTCAATTGTTGACACAGGGCCTCCATCCGTTGTACCTTGGATTCGAGGGTCGCGGCATACCTAGTGCCGACTCGTCAGCCTTACTGGGCAACGGGCACGGAGGGTTCAGCATCAGCACATGACTGGGTGACTTACTGCCGACTGACTGAAGCATTATCGCGGTTTTCGGGATAATCACAGTGCTGACCACGAATGCTACAGTTATTGCAGGGTGAAGCGCCATTGCATTTGACCTAAACGGCAAGGTGATCAGTTACCTTCACCATTAATGTGGACTTGAGAGTTAGGCATTCCACAAGTACCTTCCGGCGACGACATGGCTGACAAGCTTGAGAGACTCTTCGATCTGCTAGTTCCTTGAGAGTACCGTGATCTGCACTTCTTTGTTGGTCGTGCTCGTCTTCTCCGTTCATGGCTGGTGAGAATGCGAGATGCAGTCACCCACACTTATTTGGCCATACGCACACGTTCGAAATGTATTACCGAGCCTTATGCTTCTCTTCAGAATAGAAATCTGGGCCCAGATTGATACTCTGAAGTACGTATTCCGTACGGAGTGCTTGCCGACTATTTAGATCCAGCTGCGGAAGAGGGTGCTTGGCACGTCAGGCCCTGTACCGGCTAGATGGTTCCTGAGCCACGGGCTGAGATTTGTACTTGTACAGTACATTTACAGTCTACTAGTGGTCGGCTAAGACACTTAGATCATGGCTACAGCGACCATACTAGATTCCATACATGAACCGATATCTGACTGCGGAGATCACCAAACATTCTAGTGCCGAGATGCCGGCTTTGCAGTCTGTTAAAGGTCGAAGTAGTGGACGGGCGAGACCCTTCGTTGATATCCTAGCGTGTAGTAAAGGCCCCTTGCCCGCAGATAATGGGCCGAGTTCCGAGCCGAAGTCCAGAAACGCCATACAATTGCGTTCTAGGTGCTTAACGACCATGGATGCAGACTTCATATGACATTGTGGTCACTGGAGGTTGAAAGTCAGGGCCTATCGTTTCCTTGTCGCCTGAAATTGTTAACATTCGGAACTTCTGCTTGTCAGGGCACCTCCTCACAAAAACATCCGACCCACCGCCATTCAGCCCGACAAGCAGCCATTTCCGGCCTGATCTTGCCCCTTTCGAGAGATGGCAAACCAAATCGCCTCTCCAGTCGTGAATGCCTCTGGAAAGACTCGCCTTCGTGAATCCCTTGAACGGTCCAGACGAGGCGAAGGACCCAGCATTGGGCAATGGCTCGAGTTTCCCGGCTACTCGCTTGCTCGAACCGTGGCCCCCCTTGGTGAAGATGTATGGCAAAGACGAACCTCCCCCATTCAAGTTTCTATCCAACTCATGGCTTTAAAACAACTAGTGGGTTCTCGTCGACACTGAGCATGGCAACATCGACGACAACGAGATGTACCTCCAGGTGGGAGCCATCTCCACCTCGGGGGCATCCCCCATGGTCCGAATACCTGGGTCGGAACACTGGATGATGAAACGAGCCCTAGACTGCGGTGCTCATGCCATCATGGTGCCAATGTGTGAAACCAAGGTATGATGTGGCCTAGAGAAAGTTGCGGTGGTGGAGGACTTTTTCCATTGTCTGACAAACCGAAATCTAGGAGCAAGCAGAAGCAATCGTGAGGGCTTGTAAATATCCCTCTGCCCGCTGGCCTCAGGGCACTCGCGGAGCTGGAGCCATGTACGCACCTGCGGCCTTCAATCAGACGGGAAGAGACTATCTCTTGAACGCCAACGACAACGTCATGGTCTGCGTCCAGATAGAGAGCCGGAAGGCGGTCGAGAATGTCGAGGAGATCGCCGCCGTCGACGGAATCGACATGCTCTTCATCGGCCCCAACGATCTGGCTTCCTCAATGGGCTACGTGGCTTTTGATCACGCTTCGATCCCGGAGGTCCAGGACGCGAGTGCGCGCGTGCTCCAAGCTGGCAGGGCCGCCGGAAAGTACGTCGGCCATTTCGCGTTGAGCGCCGAGATCGCTGCCCAGAAACACAAACAGGGCTTTGACTTTGTCAACTGCGGAGCAGACATCGTGGCAGTCACCGCTTGGATGGGAGCTGAGATGGCCAAGCTAAAGACTCTGGTCGCCAGTTCCAGCAATGGAAGCCTCGTCGAGCAGGATATCAAGGGTGTGAAGGAATCAACTGAAAAATCAAATATCAGCTACAGCTAGAAAAGTCAGATGGGTTTTCAAAATCATAGAAGCAAACGGATCGTTGTAGTGACCGATTCGGAAACGAGGATGATCATTCATTCATATCAGCCACCAGTATATACTACCTAGACAGCGACTAGGCTTGAACACTGCAATCTCACATTGTCAATCATAGAAGAGTCATGACCGATTCCTCCTACTTCATCCCACCTGCAAAAATATTGGTTCCCACGACTTTCCACAAACAGGAAGCTGCTTCGAACGATATGACCAACCATGCTTAATAGAGATACCTGAAGCCTTTCTGTTGTACTGTAACCCGAGAGACTTCGTCTTTTCCGTCGATCGAGCCAGCCATGGCGACACCTTCCTCTCTGTCGAGCTTCTTGTTCTGTGCCAGCAGGTAGCAGCGAAGCACCAAGGCACAGATCAAGCCAAAGCCGAGAATGGCAATTTCGGCGCCGAAGGACTTGACGTAGAGCGGCCCGTAGTTGGCGGGCCAGATGTATGAGCCTGGGATACTGCCGATGTTGCCCATAGCATTGACTATGGCGATGGCGGCGGCCTTCTTAGCAGCAGGGCGCGGGATGGTGTTTGAGATCCAAGCGAGCATTACGAACCCAGAAGCATAGCCAGCTGTTTCGATTGGTTAGCATTCAGCGGGCAAAGGGATTTTGTGTAGAAAAGATCTCTTACTGGTCATCATGAACATGGAGACATAGCGAGGCGCAGTGGTTTTGGTGGTTATCGAGATAATGTAACCAATGATACAAGTGACTGCCGGGCCTGCGTAGTGGAAGAATCGTTCACCGGTTCTATCGGCGTGCCAGGCGTTCGGAAGAGAAACTAGAATGGCAAAGATCCATGGTGGTGCCGTCAAGAGTAGCGTGGTAGTGGTGTTGTAGCCCAACGCTTGAGTGATGGTCGGGAAGAAAAAGACAAACTGCCAACGATTAGCCCTGCGACATCGCTAGCAAGTGCACAAATTGGCGAACGTACACTAAGTCCCATGATCGTGGCATGATAAGTGATGCCCAGAAGCCAGACCTTGATATCCTTCACAGCCAGCAGAAGTCCTTGCACGGAGGTCAGTTCTTCTCCTCCAGTCTCTTGAGCCGAGAGACCGGCGTCAATGGCGAGTCTTCCCTCGGCGATTCGCTTCTCCTCTGTTGACAGCCACCTCGTCGTGGAAGGGTAGTCAGGCAATACAAAGACAGCGATGCCAGCGATGGCGATGGTGAGAACACCCTCTATGATGAAGAGCCATCTCCATGCCGCCAACCCTGCATCTCCTTGCATGTTGCTCAAAATTCCAGCAGCGATCAAGCCACCAAAGGCCTGGGCAGCCAAATTTCCTGCATTCAGGAGCGTCACGCGCAATTGCATTTCCTTGCGGGTATACCACCTTGCTCGCCGTAAGTAGGAGCCATGTTTGCCGTGAGACATTCACATACCTCGATAAGAAATACAGGGAGCCAGGGAAAAAGGAAGCCTCCACGCATCCCAGGAAAAATCGACAGAGGATCGCACCAGTTGCGTTGTGGACGGCTGCCGTGGCAGCAGAGATGACACCCCAAGTCGCAACACAGCCACAGAGATACCAACTCGGTCGAGAAACCGCGTTGAGGATCATGTTTGAGGGTACCTGCATGGAAACGTAGCCGACGAGAAGAATCGAAATACAGGTCTGATACTGCACATCGGTGAGGTTGAGATCTTCCTCCAAACCATTCAGTCGTGCGTTGGCGAAGTTGTTACGGTCGATGAAGTTCAGGATGAAGAGGATAATCATGACTGGGAAGATGCGCAGATCCATCTTGCGCACGAGAGCCTTTTCTGTTGTCTCATCCCAGGAAGCCGTGGTCTCGAAATCATTTTCGCTGGTCACGGTGTCGACTTTGGCCTCCTGGACAGCCATCTTGACGTCTGTGAGGGAGTGGCGGTCTTGGGTCTCCATGTCTTCATACACAGAAAATCTTGAGGAGACTGAGAGAAGTGTGTCGAGACAACAAATGTGGACAACGAGAATAATGGGAATTGACTGGGGAGTGCGGGACAATATAATGCAACACCAACGCTAGCAATGGTCCACCTTCTCCGCAAAGGGGCCTGTCTCTGGGCCGGGCTCCGAGCCGTGGTTCCTGGCAGTATCAAAGGGAAGATTGATTTCAGATAGCGGTTGTGTTCTGCCCGCCCTTTCGATTTTCGATGAAGAGTTACTGGTCCATTGTCCGACGGCCACACGTTCAAAGAGCTCGACGGTTGTGAACTTGATCCTGAGGCCTCAGACGCTTGGTTTCCTCCAAAGTTCGCCCAGAGTCGACATCTCATCATTAGTGCTGCAAGAATATAACCTCTGTTGTTTGCAAGCATCATTAGCAGGCACTGCTGGCATCAAAATGGTTGGTGTGCTCCCAACGAGTAACCGCTCAGTGGTCTGGGTGGGTGCGAAGAAGCTGGAGATTCAACAACGACCAGTAACTTCACCAGGGGACCATGAAGTACTCGTCGAGATTGTCTCCACGGGAATATGCGGCTCTGATTGCCACAACTATGAGAGTGACAAGGTGTCTCGGCAGCTTGTCCTGGGACACGAGTCCTCTGGTATCATTGTCCATGTCGGGCAGAAAGTCAAGGACAGAAGTGTAGGCCAGAGAGTAGCGGTCGAGCCAGGATTTGCTTGCATGGAGTGAGTCTTGCTGAGCTCCTTCATTTTAACCAAGGACACGAAACTGACGGTGAATTGCAACGATAGATGCGAGTTTTGCGTACGTGGGAATACCAACACGTGTGCCAATCTTAAATACTGTGGTTTGGACCCGACTGATGGAACACTGTGCCAATACTTCACCTGCCGGGCATCAATGACTGTCCCGATTCCTGACAATGTGTCCTGGGGAGAAGCTGGTGCTATTCAACCTCTGGCGATTGCCGTCCAACTTGGACGACGGGCTGCATTGAATGCACATCAGACTTTGGCAATATTGTCAGTGCCTTGTCTCTGTGCACAGTTTTCCTTTGCTAACATCCGAAATTGTACAGTGGCTGCGGCCCTCTAGGTTTGCTCATCCTGGCGGTTGCCAAAGCCTATGGCGTCAAGAAGATCGTTATGTTCGATATCGAAGAATCACGCACCAAATTTGCCGAGTCGTATGGTGCCGACGTCGGTATTGTGACTCACAAGAACGACTCGGGCAAAGATAGCTTGACATTTGCCCAAGACTTCGCGACAGAGATCATCCAGAAGCACGACATCGGCAGTGGCTTCGACGTGGCAGTCGAGGCCAGCGGGGCCGAAGTATGTGCTCAGATGGCTGTGTGTATGCTGAAGGCTGGGGGAACGTGTAGGTGAAAGTCGGAATGTTCCTAGGATCTCTTCTGATTTGTAACAGGTATCCAGGCAGGTCTTGGAAAGCCGTTGACTGCAGTGCCGCTATTCCTGCTGACTGCGAAAGATCTGACGATCAAAGGTAAGCTGATTGTACTGAAAGGCTGCCGCTCGACTAAGCTTTGCCATCACAGGAACGGTTCGTTACACGCCAGGCTGTTTTGAAGAAGCCATCAGTCTGTTGTCACGAAAGATGGTTAATTTGAAACCGCTCATTACGTCGACATATCCTCTAACAGAAGCATCCAAGGCATTTGAGGCACAGCACGCAAGGAAAGACATCAAGATTGTCATCATGAATCAGCAGTAGGAGGCGAAGAAGGGTACGATTGTTGAAGCTTCGAGAAACAGTGGGAACCGATGAACGCGCCCCGCGTCTCAGCCTCGTGAAGGATCTACATGCCCTTGAAAGGCTGCTGTTCGAACAATGAGCTACCATGCGTTCTTAGACCACTACTGTGCTCGATTACGGAAATGTTTCATGAAATAAAAGTGAAAGGTCCCAAAGAGTCAGGTTGGATGGTTTTCATTGTATATATATTCCACCTTGTTTAGAAGTCGAACTCGCCTCTAAATTGATCGAGGTTCATCCCAGCCCCGACCTTTTCGGTCAAGTCCCTTCTTCCCATTCCTGTAAATGCTCGTCGAAGAGTATCGTAAAGATTCGTGCTTTCGTTTTGTTGCATCATGCGCTCCAGCTCGGCATCACCAATGTTACCGCCATTAGTGAGAATCTCTCTAGCTTCAGCCACTCCTTGTTCGCCAACAACCCGATGCAAATTCAACGCCCCAAGTAAATGTCCAGCTGCTTCAGGGTAGCAGCCGATGTTGATGCATGATACCCCGAGGTTATAACGTGCGCGGACAAAGTTTGGGTTAAATTCCAGCGCCTTGCAGTATGCCGAAATGGCATCTTCGGATCGGCCAGAGTTGGCGAGAGTAGCACCAAGCCTGTTCCATAGAAGATGGATCTGAGCACCATTATTGGCAAGCCCCTCTTCGGTTGACTCAAGGGCCGACCTAAAACAATCGACTGCCTTCTCAAAATCCTCATTACCGTAAAACAGTACTCCCAGGCCGACCTGCACGTCTGGATCCATTCTTGCGCCACTAGGTGAGAGCTGAGCCGCTTTTATAAACAGATCGGCCACTCGTTCATGTAGAATGGCACGATCAGTGAAACCAACCTCGGATGCATCTGAGAGGTTCTCAGGAGGATGAATTTGAGGATATTTGACGGTAAGCCAGCGTTCTAATGTCCGATACGCCGTACTGTCGTAACCTTCATTTGTATAGGAAATGGCCAATCCCATGAGCGCATCAAGGTTGTTCGGATCCAGTTGAAGTGCTTTCTCGAGGGCTCGAATGGCTGGAGCCTCTTTCTCATTCTGTGCTTGGGCGGCGCCGAGGAGGACCCATGCGTCGACATGACTCGGATCTTGCTGCACCGCAGCTTCAAACGCCAACGCTGCCAGAGAGAGATTGCCATGAGTATTGAGGATCTCTAGGCCTTGCTCAAATGCTGTCCTCGAGGCTGACTGGTTCTCCAGATATGGATTCTGTCCCTCGAACATGTAATCGCCCAGCATGGGTTCTCGCTCGAAAGGATTGTGTGTGCCCATACCCATTGTTGAGTCAAATTGGTCCCAAGCGGCATAGTCTTCGCTCGAAAAGTGGTTGTCGTAGTCGGCGGCATCTTCACTGATTTGTCTGGAAGAATGTTCAGCTTGGATTCCGTGCCAGACATTCTCAAAGTCCTCAAACGTGTCAATTGGGGCTGCGACTGACCTATCAAGCTCCTCGAGCTCCTGTTCAATTGCTTGATTGGCTTGTTCTGACAGACTATCCTGTTGAGTTTCAAGTTCTTTAAACTGCGCTTCCCAGTTCGCATCGTCAAGTTCCACCATTCGACCCTTTCCTTTATCGGTCGTCTGATCTGGCTGGTGTTGCATGTATTGAGCGCCATAGTTCATTCCCATGCCCATCCCGCCATTCATGTAACCCGTTCCCATTGGTCTGTAAAGCGAAGGAGCTTGTGTGACGGGACTTGCGGTACGATGTGGACTTGACTGTTGAAAGCGGCCAAATTCTTGAGGAGAGAAGGCCCCTGGCCGTTGCGGTGCTTGAGCCATCTTTGAATTGGCAAATGCAGCCTCCATCCTTGCTTGTTCACCCGGGTCGAATTCTGCTGCCCAACCGGGCGAAGGCGATCGTCTGGCCATATTCTGGAGGTTCGGGAGATCTTGCCGGAGCTGTTCCATTGCGAAGGGCTGTGGCAATGGACCGGCCTGATGCATGAAGTCGTTCATCATCTGTTCGATGTTAGTATGTATCCTCTGCCCCGAAACGAAACACTTACCTGATCCGATCCATTAGGAGTCATACGAGAACGCATGCCCTCTTCGAGACCACCAGGGCCTCGCCCGACGAGGCGGTCTCGCTGAAGGGAATTGTCACCTTGTACATGTTTGGTGAACTGTGTGAGCGGGTTGCCCGCAGTTGAACATTCTGCACCTCCCAAGAAAGACATGGTCACACGCAACGATAAAATATTAACCGAGCCGTAAAGAGACAATTGATACAGACACAAAAAAATCGTGAATCGTTGATGAAGGTAGACTCGGTACGGTGTATATGTCAGCCCAACGTGCAGGGCCGAGGTAAGTTGCGGAGAGGGTCGAAACGCCGCAATGCGTTTCCTTCCCGGGGTAGGTTTGCCGGTGGCAACACGTGATGCCTGCTTTCCTGCTCCCGGTGAATTACATAATGCGTACAGCGTAATTCGCCAACAACATGTGGTATTGATATCTCACTTTGAGGTAAACGAGTAGTTTGGGCCAGTGTTCACCTCCTTTCACACCCCGCGCCCATCAGCCTTTTCTGTCGATCTCACATCACCTCGGAATGACTCTATGTAAGCTGATTCGTGTCCCACTTCAGGCAATACATACAACCCAAATGGTCCAATAGACACGGGAGCGTCAGATGAGGTTATAAACGAGACCCTGAAATCTCTCGGACAGTGGGTGTACATTTCAGGCCCCCAAAGCTGTATACATATTGGTCCACCGTCAACCATTACGCTTGCCAAAGGTATAAAGCTACTGTGACGACCTCCTCTCCAGTTTCAAAATGTCTTCATACTACTCGGGTAGGTGATCAGGTCAGCATGGAAGCCATTCCTCGCAATAACCCAACTGTTCTCTTCTCCCTTTTCGTGTTCAGCGTGACTGCATTACTCTTCCTTTGGAGACTCTTCTTCCAGTCGCGGGACCTGAGGCACATTCCTGGTCCATTGGGAGCCCGACTTACGAATTTCTGGCTTGTCTCAAAATACAGGCGGGGTATACTCTTCAAAGACATCGCTCTCGACCTCAACAAGAGATATGGCCCAGTTGTTCGATACGGGCCTCGACGTGTCCTATTCAGCGATGCATCCGCCATCAACGTCATTTTCAACACCAGGAATACTCTTCCAAAGGTACATTGTTGCTGGGCAGTGTTCATTTCCCCTTGCCAATCCCTCGATTTGAGATCTGATCAAGTCCCCCCTACCCCCCTCAATAGGCCGAATCCTACGAAGTGATGAACCAGATCGTCAACGGCAAAGTCATCAGCAGCTGGGCCACGACGCGCGACGAAGCTCACATCTCGGCCATGAAGAAGCAGGTGATATCCGCCTTCACCACGACCGCCATTCTAGACTACGAACCGCACATAGACCACAACATCAACTTCCTCGTGGCCAAGCTCCAGAAGGACTCGATGGACTCGCCCGAGGTCAATATTGCGAAGTTCATCATCTTCTTCGCCTTTGATACCATCTGCCGCATCGCCTTCTCCGACGACCAGGGCTTCATGGCAAAACAGGCTGATCTGGGCAACACGCTCGAAGCCGCTCGCCTGCGCTTCCAACACTGGCACTTCTGGGGCCCCCTCCCGGCTCTCGAGCGACTCCTTTTCAAGAATCGTTTCGTTGCACGCACGAGCTCCACGTCCCTACTCGGCAAACTCGCCAGCGAGCGTCTGCAAAGCCGGATGGAAAAGGGAGGCCTGGGCACCGAATCCGACCTCCTGGACCGCTACCTACAAGCTGCCCAGCGCGACCCCGCCACCTTTACCCCCTCCACGCTGATCGGTATTCTCATCTCGACCATCCACGCCGGCGCCGAAACGACGGCCTCGACGGTGAACGCTTGCCTGTATAACCTACTCCGGAACCCCGACGCTCTAGCCAAACTCCGGGCCGAATTGGACGCGGCGAACCTCTCCTCTCCTCCATTGTAAGTTTCTTTTCTTCTTCTTCCATGTTTGTTCCCCCCAGCGATCTCGACGCCCACTGACACGCCGAACCCTCCCCGCAAAAAGATGGTCCGAGGTCTCTCGCCTCCGTTACCTGGAAGCCTGCTTCAGAGAGTCGATGCGCCTGGTCCCGCTGCTCATCAACCCCATCGAGCGCGACGTCCCTCCCTCGGGCGCCACCGTCGCGGGCACGTTCGTGCCCGGTGGCACCGTCGTGTCCCTCAACGTCCACGCCCTGAACCGCGACCCGGCCGTCTACGGCGAAGACGTTGACTCGTTCCGTCCCGAGCGCTGGCTGCTCGACGACGAGGGGGACGAGGGCGACGAGGCCCGGCGCGCGAGGATGCAGCGAGCCGACATGACCTTTTCCCAAGGCCGGAGGAGTTGCATAGGCCAGCACATTGCTTGGATCGAGATGAAGAAGGTCCTACCGGCCTTGTTGACCAAGTTCGATGTAAGTATTCTACCACCCCCAAATCAGGGCCCTCAGCCAGCCGTCGTACGCAAAACTTTCAGTGCTAACTGACGCATGGCGTGTAACCACCAGATCGAACTCGTACACCCTGATGAACCCTTGTCGATGCCCACCAAGCAATTGGTGGTTCTCATCGACAACCTACATGTCAGACTGAGCCCCAGAAAGGTCGAGAGCTGAAAAAAAAAGGCGAAAAACCAAAAATGTTGATCATGTTTCAACACAGCATCTACCTACATCAAGGAGAGAATGACAATCAACAATGACAATGACAATGACAATTTTTTACATGGCACACGGTGACGGTCAAATGTGTACATGTACATCTATATTCCTAAGTACGGGGTACTTCATACGGACACTAGGTGTTTTTGATACCAAATAAGAAAAAAAGAGGGGTTTGGAATGCCCGACGTTTATTTTGAATGGAGATGATGATGTACATATCGTCACTTAATATCCGTACAACTGGGACAAAAAATTCCGAGTTGAACCCGATTGCCTTTCCATTTCATTCCCGCGCTCGACCATTTTCCCCCAAAGAATCGGTGGCTGACCGACAAATCAGTCAATAAAATCCTGGTATCAGTCTATTCACACACGAAAGAAGCCGACGATGCTGTCTTCGGAATATCGTCTCGTTTGACACCCTTGTTCGAAACCGCGTGTCCGCCTTATCCACATTGTCCTGCCAATGTACACGGTGCCGCTGGCCCAAGTGGAGCCAGCCATTATGTTCGAGGCTCAATGGCTGGGTGATTCACTGCTGCAAATATTGAAAGGTAGGGTGCTCGTATTGTATATTGTCGACTTCTAAAAGGTCGACACGTTTACCCCTTTCGTCCTACCCACAAGGACGATTGCTCAACTAGGTGTGATGGCGCAAAGTCGTCCATCTGCCCGACCTCCGGTTACCGCTTCCGCACGAGTGCAGATGACCGCTTCCGCAAAGTGGATCGTCGAGTGAGACAGAGAGGGATTCTATTGTAGACCAGACTCAGGCGCGGGTGCCGAATCCTCGGGTTCGTTTCGTGGCGCTCTGCTTGCTGAGCTGTAGGAGTAATCAACCCTCAATCTTCGTCCGTATATCTCTTTTCCAGCCAAGGCCTTCATGGCATCCATGGCGCTCTTGACATCGATAAAATCAGCATGCGCAAAGCCTCTTGGCTGGCCGGTGCGTCGATCAATGGCAACGCGGACGTCGATGACGTTCTTGATGCCACGGAAAAGATTGCTGAGGTCTCGGTCCGTCATTTCAAAAGACATGTTGCCAATGAAGAGGGTTCGGGAAGGAGGGTTCTTTGCTACATTAGGGCGATTGCGGCTCTCGTTGTCCGCCGAGTTCGTAGGGCGGGCGGCATACTGGACAGTGATCCGACGGCCTTCAAACAGCTGCATGTTGAGGTTTTCGAGGGCGGCGTCTGCCGCTTCTTGAGTCGAGAAATCGACGTAGGCAAAGCTGAGCAGTAGCACGTCAGTATGTGGAAAACATAAAAGAGCATAAACAACTCACCCTTTGCTCAGGCCGCGCGCATCACGGACGACCTTGCACTTGGCAACAGGACCAAAACGCGCAAACTCCTTGACCAGATCGGCTTCAGTGACATCAAAGAACAGGTTTCCGATGTAAAGTGTCTTCTTTCGTTCAAACAGCCCATCTACACCGACCCCCGAAACGCCCGAATTCGCGGCTTCCCTGGACGGCTTCGCCCTCAGCGTCTCGTTCGTCTCCGCAGCTGGCAAGGCCTCTTCGGTAGCCTCCGTAGCATTCGCAGTCTCGGCAATTGGAGGAGCGGCGTGGCTAGAAGTAGCTTGGGTCGCCGATGTCGATTGTTCGTTGGTTTCAGCAGCAGGGAGTGCCTCTTCGGTAGCTTCCGTTGCATTCGCAGGCTCTGCAGCACGCTCCGGCTCCTTTGTCTTTTCTCCTTCGGTGGAAGCCCATCTTCTCTGAGACTGGAAGCTTGGGGTCTGTCTGCTTATTCTTAAAGGTGAAGCACCGAGAGATGAATATGTGCGAGAAGCAGAAACGAGAGTAGAAGGACGGGCGGAGAGGAGGCGCGAAGCGCTGCGCCGAAGAGCGAACCTGATCAAACCATTGTTAGCAGAGGGCTGGAGAGGAAAAGATGCAGAGGATTGCACTTACATGCTGCTGTACAGGAGGTATTACAACTGATAAACGATAGAGACAGGGGAGGCAATGAAGGAGGGAACAAAAGTAAAATGATGAAATGGCAGAGAATCTCAAATGGGCTTCCAATGGTAGACGGCGAAATACTTTGGAACTCGGGAAAAAAAGTTCGAGTAGAGATAATTGGGTCTATCGGCCACAGCCTCGTCATCACGTGGCATGCTCAGCCTCGCGAGGTTTTGGCCTCAGTACACGTATCTAAAGTGCAAATTCTCCATATCCGTCAGGTCATCGAAAGCGACCTTCTCTGCCTCTTTCTCTTCGAGATTCAGCCCATCTCTCCTTCTATTTTCCGCTCTTAGCATGACATAGAGCACGACGGCCAGCACGACAACCAGAACATAACAGCCAATGATGCCTTCCCAAAGCCTCGGATAATGCTGGCTGACAGTTTCGCTTCGGATGAAGAATGGTCCTGAGATGTTTCCCACGGTATAAAACACAAAGATTGCCGCAGCCATGAAGCTCTTCTTCGTGTTGCCGGCCACATTGGACATGCCCATTGACACTATCAGTGACGTGACCGGCGCGAAGAACCCGATGATGGTATACCCGGCGATCGGGGTTGCCGCATGTTCGTACCAGCTACTTTTCCAAATCATTGCGCACCCGGCAATAACAGGCAAGCAGCAAGCAATGAGCATGATCAGTCGAATATTGGGCACTTTGAGACTCAGGTATCCCACTAGCAGGATTCCGACAGTGCAGACTCCACCGAGAGGCATCTGCCACAGCAATGAGTCGTATGCCGACCAGCCAAACGTAGATACAATCAGTGGGCCAAAGCCTGATACAGCGCCGTTAACAGAGTAAGCCGCGCCCTATGGAGTAAAATATTCGTTAGGATATACGGGTGAAGAGAATTTGTGGTCACGTATCAATGCATTAGAATTGGAACACTTACCATCATGATTGCAATGATCCAAACTTTCGGGTCTAACAGTGCTTCCCGAAACTGTGACCACTTGATTTTTTGGCAGCGAACCCCCAATTGACTCATCCGCAGGCGCTCAATCGCGACAGGCTTTTCTTCCTCTGTGAACCACCATGCTTGGGCAGGTGAATTTGGAAAGAATAAGAACACGATACCGTATACGACTGTCAGGGCTCCGGCCATGAGGTATAGATACTGCCATTTCGCCAGTCTTCCTGAAGTGATATGCGCGAACCCATAATTGATGATCGCACCAAGGATAGTCCACCCACCGGTGGCCGAGTACCACAAACATTGGCGAAAGGTTTGCTCTGACTGCCAAAGACATCAACACTAGAACCTTCCTACAAGTATGAATGGTGACAAAAACTTGGGGCGAACCAGTCCAAGGCACGTTGACCCAGGATTCTGTACAAGAGTCTGGGATGGTGTTGACTTACTTGGGTGTAGTATCCACTGACAATGACCATGAATGCCGTTGGCATAATGCTCTCCGCAAAGCCCAGGAAGAATCTTTGCGCCCACAGTCCTTCATACGTTGTGACACCAGCGGTGGACATTGCTATTGCTCCCCAAGCTATCACGGCGAGACCGATAGTGCGGCCGAGATGGAATCGTTGAAACAAATAGGTCAACGGGCCTACACCGGCCAACATGCCAAAGTAGAACAGAGACGTGGCCCAACTCAAACGTGTCGTTGAGACCTTTGGCGGAGTCGTCGTGGAATCAGTGATGACTTTTAATTTCAGGTCGGTCGACATCCCAAAGACAGTGGCGCCTCCGAGGATGGCCTTTGTGGGAAGATGATTGTCAGCAAAGTGTTGTGAGCTGGGATTTCTTTTTAGGATCCTGAGCAGAGAGGTTGCTGACGTATAACGTGCTCAGGATGCTATATCGTCAAATGGCTTACTTTGTCGTAGTAGACGAGGCCATACCCAATCCACATAAGAGGTATAACGAACAGGTCGATCTTGCGCACCACACGTCTTTCCACCGTCTTGTCCCATGCCTGAGCATATTCCGGTACCACGGAAGCAGCGATGTCCTTTTCACCTAGGGAGGAAAGTGTCAATGAGGCGGACCGGAGCTGTTTTCTCTGCAAGACTTACCAGGCTTTCTCATGATTTGAATCCTCGACCGTGGATACAAGAGCTGTACCCTTTTTGATGTTGATCCAAGCAGCTCATACAACGTCCGATTTGATATGTAGCCCTGAAATACGAATGGTGGAGCACAAAGTCTATAGATCAGAAACGCCTTCGAGTCACGTAGGATCAAATACAATGCTCAAAGCGGAAGGACAACCAGGGAAAAAAAAGCACGCAAAAAGTCCGCTCAGCTCATATTCTAGCGTCAAAAGGCCAATGCTGAAACCCCGCAACCACAGCAACATTTACGGGTTCGATGTCTTTATGATTCAAAACAGAACTGATAAGACAATCAGCAACAAAATTCTGTTGTTGAAGTGGGGCAGAAGTCTTGGGAAACACGATGGTGTCATTTCCCGTGTCTCTAAGCGTCGCTCACCAGCGCGAATCACCTATAAAGCACAATTCTGATCGAAAAACAAGTTGGGTTGTCAGTAGGTATGTATACACTCGGTGTTGGTATCAGAAAGAGTCAAAATCCGTCGTCGCCATTAGCCCCAGCATGCGACCCTGGAACTTTCTGCCTACTTCCTGCCACTTGACTTGAATACCAGCCACAAGAACTGGCCACGGCATTGACATCCCTAAGCCCTCCTCTCCATGCACTTCGGGTATGGATCCCTGCTCACCGAGTGTGGCTGCCCAGGAGGAGAGCTCGGCTATCATTGAGCCAAAGTCTGTGACCAGCCGTTCTTCTGATGTTGCGCCGGCCTCGATGTTCAAGTCGAGGACCGTCAAAAGCAAGTGCAGTATAGCGGGAAGGACTATTGGGTCTCGTGTGAGGACTGAAATGGTGTGGATTGCCGTAAGTAGAAGAAGGCTTTCGCGTGTGACAGTTTCCAGCTGGACAGCATTCGGACCTAGTGTTGAAATGATCACGGTGAGAGTCTGGATGTTTAGTTTCACCATTGAAGGGTGCAAAAGCGTCGAATTAGCGAGGTAAGGCGCCTTTTCCAGTGAAGAGAAGAGGAGCGTCGACCTTGAGCAGAGCGGGAGGTACACAGACTCGGCCAGCAGCTTGTGCAAGTCCTTTGGTACGCGTTTGGAACGTGCTTCGGTTTTTGCGGCTTGTTTAGCTGCGACGGCCATCCGAGATGAAAAGGTTCTGACCTTGAGAATATCCGGTCCGGACAGCTTGTCAGCGGCGGTCAAAGCCATCGGCTGTAGAGTTCGACGCGACAGTGTTGTTGAAATAGTGTTGATAGGTGACTTTTCGGGAGCGAATATGGATTCGAGCTGAGGTGGGAGACGATTGGAAGGGAATGTTTTCTCGCCTAGTTCCATGGGTGCGATACCATTGTCTTGCTCGTCATCGATACCAGCTATTTGCCTGGCACCCAGCCCTAGGACCGTGAGGAGTACGCCTCGTTGAAAGAGAGAAAAGTCTCCGCCAAAATACATGTTGGCAATCCAAGGGCCCATTACGACCGGTTCACTGACAAAGCACTCTATCAATGCCTCTAGTCGGAATCGTTGCAGCTCTTGCTGTGACATTCCTTCTTGTAGATTGAGGAGAGCTGAAGCCAATGGTAATAAGTTAGAGGATAATTCGTCGCCGAAGCCTGCCTTTCTGCGGATGAGAGATGGCGCTGTCCTCAATGCTAGCTCAACGGTCGATACATCGTCCGTAGCATTGATTTGCTTGATTAGAGAGGTGAGGTAGACTGGGGCTGTAGGTTTGTTACGGTTCACAAGTGTAGGATCATCGTCAGAATCGGACAGATCATTGTTGGGGCGCGGATATGGACGCAATTCAGGATCTCCCTCATCGTCAGTCGAAAGCTCTTCGATGGCAGTAATCTTTGCTGTTGGCTGGGCTCGAGCTGCAAGTTTCACAGGTCTCTGACGAGATGACGGCTTCTGCACGGGTGGTGGTCGCTGTACGTTTTCTGGCGCCTTGAGTAGATCATCTACGGATCCTATAGTGTCATTAATACTGGGTAAGTGTAGCCAGTGCTGGGCTTCGTCTCCCTCCATCTCTTTTGTTCCGAAATCAATGCTTCGACCAGGCTGGTCAAGCAACCTCGAGATTGCTGTCGCTACTACCATGCCTAAGAAACGGGCACGGGGCACGGACGCTGAGAGACGGTTGGACACCATACGCAGAAAGGAACCCGAGAGTGATATTTGCTTCACCGAGTTGTGATCCAGCCTATACAGCCGACCGGTGACCAGGAGAACAGTTTGGGCAATTGCTATACCAAGCAACAAAAGTAAGCACAGGCTCTTCTGAACGGGGGAAAGGGACAATGTCCAATATTGATCGGTCATACTAACCCTCCTGTTGTAGGATAGGATCATGCTGCATCTGCAACTTGTTTCCAAAGGCTTCCAGGCTCTTTTCAAGAACAACCTCTAACTTGTCTAGATCGAAATCATCAATGCGTCCTTGAGCTAGGAGTAAGAGGGTGCATACCTTTATCAGTTGATAGACTTGCGGTGACGGCTCTACGGCTGTCAAGCCCAAGCCCAAGATACTGCCCGGTTGCACTCGTTAACCAATGGGTAAGATGAGTTTGCAACAGAATATTGTTCTCAACGAGACCCTTAATCATTGCAGCCACGCCACCAATAGCGGGGCTTTTCGAATCCAAACAAGCCTTTTCCCCGGCACTGAGATTACCGCCCAGGTGTTTTCGGGCAAGATCACAAAGAATCGTATCAAACAAGCTTTTCTGGTCATGAGATGGTAGACTTGAAACGAGCGTATGCATCACGGTCCAGAGTGCGTGATCGCGAAACAGCAACATCGTATACAGCTCAGTAGCCAGAGCGTCTGCATGAAGTCAATTTACGGGAGGCGTCGCAACCATCGTCGTACATACCGCGGTATCCAAGGCCCAATCCACGCTTTAGTAACTGACAGAGCATATTCATATAATGAATCCCTGAAAAGGACATCGATACACAGGCAGTGGCAGCAGTTGAGATATTCTTTCCAAGCCATCTCGAGTATTCTGCGCCGTCGCCAAGCCAGGAAGTCATCAGATTTCTCTCGTCAGACTGCTCAGTCTTGGCTAACGCTTGAGCGATTGTTGAAAGAACCTTACTTCCGGCCAACAACGAGGTAACTTCTTGCCAATAAACCCGGCGTTGTGTTTCACTTGGGAAGAATGTGGTTGCGTCGATCAAGAGCTCTTTTACTATCCCATTTCCCGAAAGGAGTATACCGACGACCGAGATAGCATCCTCGAGAACAGGGTTGGTCTTCTGGGAATTCGTGGTGGTAAGCTGTTTTATTTGCATCAGTAGAGCACCTATGCCTGCTACACTCTTCAAGCAGCTAAGCAGCAGTTTCTTGAGCAGAGCATCAGTCTTGGATAAATCGGAGCTCCTCAAATGGAGCCATTGATCTGGAACAGTGGTTGTGACCAGTACGTTGATGATCTGCGAGGCTTTGGGGCTAGGAATCCGGATGTTGAAGTCATGTCTTCCTTGGATGCCGTACTGGAGATACTGAAGCACGGCAATCAAATCCTCAGAATCAGGCTGACTTTTCAGAACTTCGCGCGCGTCGTCTGAAAGAGATGGTGGAGGTGAATTGTCCAAATAAGACTTTTGAAGGAATGCCGTGGAGTCATGACTCTTGTGCTTCTTCGGGTCTGACGAAGCCGATATCGAGGTATGAGAAGAATCGATCGAGGGGCGAATACTAAATTGGTCTCCGGCGCCGTCATTGCTTTCATTGTCCAGATCAAGGATTGAGACTTTCGATTTGGCACTGCCTGGTCTCGCCGAGGGCGTGTCTTTCAGGGACATACTCTCGAACTTGTCGATGTTGTTCTGGACCTTCCAGGAGGTTTTGATGGGTTTGAGGAGGTCATCCATGATGAACGACGCATATTGTTTCAGGTCTCTTTAATCTGTTGTCCTGGATCTTTGTGTCGCAGTTTGCGCGATTCATTATGCAGTGAAGGCAGGCTTGAACAAGAGCCTCGCTGTGATTCCTGCCAAGCCTGCCTGTTAGCACCTACCTGGTAAAGCAGCGTGATGTTGTTTGCATTATGACGTTCATTTAGAGCAGAGTCGTGATGCTGCTTTACGTTCATAGACGCAGGCACCTTACTCACAAAATGTACAATGGGAACGAAACATCATTGAGGATATTGACAATACGAACAGCTCAATGGTTTTCATGTTTGCCAACCCATAAGAATCTTTCAAAGTAAAATAAAGGTTTCTTTGCTCCTTCATTGATGATCGCGACATATGAAAGAAGCTGCGGTGCCATGGGGGTCCATTGTCACCAGCCGGGATCGATGGGGGGCATTTTTAGCACCTCTTACCCGTACTCCGGACTTCCTTTGTCAAGTCACCAGCCTACAACGTCCCCGGGCGGGCACCATCAACGCTAAATACGAATCTTCAGCTGGCCACTTCTCAATGTCGTGGGGCGATCGACGCCCGACGCCTCCAGTATCCGTAGAGAGGTTTCCGGCTTTTTAATGGCTGTCAGGAACACTTGATATATCATTCCGGAGGCAACACAATTGTCAAGATCTCAGTAAGATCAAAAAAAAGGCAAAAAAAGTAAAAAAGCAACAAGATCCAACCAATCCTTTAATTTGATTGATTTTCATGAAGCTTGACCGTGCATGCAATTTCGTCAGGTCCGAACTGTGGCTCCCAGAGGCCATCGCCCTTGTCCAAGTACCACAAGGATCAGCACTTGGCCCCCTCGTGTTCTCGCAGGCATTATCTCGAAGCACGTTGTTGATCTCATCCTCTCTAGCCAGGGGCCATAAGGACTTGCATCTCCGATGATCAGCCAGCGCCAGGCACCTTGCGTGCGATAAGGTCGCATTTCTTGCGAGGATTTGCAAGGGGCTTGACGCTCGATGGCACGCTGAGGGTCCACAGCTTCACGTAATTGGAACTGAAATTTTATCAGTTCAACAACGGAGGAATATACTATTGTGAACAACACTGATGCTCAAGATGCAGGGACCTTATCCACTCGAGATGATTATCATTACAGTAGAGACTCGAACAAAACTCTCCTTTCATCTCGGTTCCCAAGAGAGCACTTTGCAGGAGATAGGGTTGTTACAGTACTCGTGCATACTCATGCCGCGAAGTCGAAGTCTAAAACAGGAACCACGCTCGCCTACTGCAAAAGTGCCCCCGAGTTGCCCTTTGACCACGTTGACATGGCCCTAGTTACAGTCAAGCCTACAGACATGGAGTACCAGCTAAGGGAGAGCCACTCTCCAGTTCTCTCTAGCCGTACTCCGTACGGAGTGTAGTGTGGTTCAAAAATTGGATTCGGGATGGAGGTTGTAAGTGGATCACCGCCTCTCGGGGCCGGATCGTCCAAGTCGCTCACAGCTATGACCTACTGTACAGAGTAAGGTGGCGGGCGAACAATTGGGCCTGTGCTTTTCCTTGCGAATGTATTCTACGCACAGTCAATTGCCGTTGCGGAGCGAACCCTGTCCGTGTTCGACCCAGAGCTCTCAGGGGCAAGCTAGGTAAAAACCACCAACCCTGGTATCGCGTAGTAGAAGTAGTAGCATTTATTGTTGCATGGAAACAAAAGCTGCAGGGAAGTAGAACACACACACACGCGTCTCGTCCCGGTATTTGAGAAAGCTCAGGCCACTGCAAGTCCACAAAGCACTAAAGAGAAGTCGAGGGGAAGAGTGTGAGGCTTCGGCTAGAAAAGGGACCTGGCTTTCTACGTGCATTAGTTAGTCTCTGACAGCTTTGCCCCCTTCATGCAAGCCATGCATATGAGCTAAACAGGGTGTAGATTCAGGCACGCCGGCCCTTTCACAGGATGGTTCCAGGAACCCAGAAGATGGTTCCGTCTCAACCAGGAAATGAATCGTCGTTGGAGGGAAGGGCGGGCGATGAAACTTGGTCCAACTCCCGTACACCGTACACGGTTTGGGAAAATGTGACCGGTCGAAGGTGCAAGGTACAGTACAGTACAGTACTTTCCCACCAGACTTGGGTCTAATAAAACTACTGCAAGGCGTTGTTCTGGATATTCTTCTCGTGGACTTACCTTTGGAGCCCGGATATTTTCCCACGTGTCTGCCACCATTTCTTTCCTTCGCAATCCGAGTTTCTAGAGCGGAACATCCTTGCTTACTCTTTTACTGTAGACGCCACCTTTGCCACGGGCCAAAAAGTAAAAAGGTACTCCGTACAATCAAACAAAAAACACCACCCCAGCCGTATTCCAATTTCGGTTCCGACTTGAACCCAATCACCCTAACCACAGCCATGGCCACCGACAAGCAAATGTACGATGATGTGGCCGGTGACTACGACATCATCTGGGCGACGCCGGCCGTCCGTATCCTGTGGACGTTGCTGGACAGGAACCTCCAGGGGCTCGGCAACTGGAAGGGGACTTCGGTGTTGGACCTGGCCTGCGGCACGGGCATCGGCCTCCGCGAGGCTCGCAAGCTGGGGGCCACCAAGCTGGTCGGCATCGACATCTCGGGCGAGATGATCGAGGTCTGCAAGGCCACCACCAAGGACGTCGATCAGTTCCAACTCCACGTGGCCGACTGTTCCCAGCCGCTCGACCACCTCAAGCCCGGGCTCGAACCCGGCTCCTTCGACCTCATCATCGGCATGTGGTTGCTCAACTACGGCGAGAGTGCGGATCAACTGCAGGCGTTCTGGGCCAACATTGCAAAGTACCTCAAGCCGTCCGGCAAGTTCGTCGGCATCATCCAGAACCAGGAGACCTTCCAGCCCGAGTCGATGAAGACCCTCAGGTACGGGGCCATGGAGTCCAACCTCCAGCCGCTCCCCTCGGGCGACGGCGTCAAGATGCACGTCGAGTTCGACACCCAACCAAAGGTCGAATTCGACACCTACGTCCTCAAGAAGGACATCTTCGAGTCGACCGCGGCAAAAGCCGGCATGAAGATCGAACGGTACGTCCGCCCGGACAAGACCGTGCTCACCGACGAAGAACAGAAGAACATCGCCTGGTGGCAGCAACTCTTGGACGAATACCCGAACCAGCTTGTCATCGCCAAGAGAGCCTGAAAGCCCACACCGCTGCTCCTTAGAGACTGCCGTAGAAATGAAAAAGTGAAGACTTGGCTTGGCCGAGCTCAAGCAAAGCTTTGTATGAAGAAGGAATTAAGCGAGCATTGGAACCACTGGAATGAATGACTTTGTAAATCCCCGCATATATATATATATATAGGAAGGCATTTTGAGCAATTCGTCCCTGTCTACCACTCCGTACGGCGATAGATATAGAGGAAATAAAGAGATCAGCGAGACAACCCCAAATTTTTTCGGTATGGTTTTTCAAATCGATTCCCTAGGTAAGGAAATCCCCGTAATAAATCCTTTCTATATACAGTACTAGGAACATTTTTGATATATGCTGACAATCTTGCTTCTTTTTTTCTCTTTTGTGGGGCGCTTCAAGTCACACAAGGACTCTTGATCGGGCAAAGCCTTTTCTCTGACACTGGAAAAAAAAGGCTTCCTCTTCACATTGAGCTGGGGCTCGGTCAAGAGACACAATAACATATAGAGTTATACATCCAAACCAGAACTTCGAGAGTGGGGCGGAAGACACGAAATTTTCCGTTTAGACATCTCGCTTGACCAAAACAACCGGGGCCACGTATCGGTTCTTGCCCTTGACAAAGTAGTAGACGACGGCGATGATCATGATACCGGCGTTGATGACGATGTTCCAGTTCATGGTCGAGGCCTTGACCGGGGTCGTCTGGGGAAAGAAACAGAAAACCCAGATCCAGGTCGAAAACATCAGGGCGGCGACGTTGATCGGCAAACCGAACATACCCAGGGACCAGCGACGTGGCTGGAGGGGAGGGCCTCGGATGCGGCGGAGGACCAAGCAGCTCAGGGAGATGATGTACGTCGACAGCAAGGCGTTGGTCGCCATGGAGCAAATCGCGTTGAAAGCCACGGTCGAGCCAATGTTGATGAGAGAAAGGAGAGTGGTGCAGAGGAAAGTAAGTAGCACCGCATTGAGGGGGATGTTCCAGCCTGGTTTGATGTGGCCGATGAAGCTGCTGAATGGTAGACCACCATCGCGAGCGAAAGACCACTGTGGGCGGGGAAAACACATGACTGTCAGCGGCAAAGCTAGATGCATATTGTGGAAGGGGAGGAGGAGTCATGAGTGGGGAGAACCAAGAGCTTGAAACGTACAGTTTGTCTCGAAACAGTTGCCAGTGTAGAGATACAACTGCTCGTGGTGTTGACGATGATGATGGCAATCATGACGCTCGTGCCGGCATGGCTTCTGGTCGCGTAGAAGAAGCCGGCAATCACAGGGTAACCAGTTGGCGAGCCAAGAGCTGCAAGAGGATCACCCAATGTGAATGCGTAAGTGATCATCATGATAAACTGTGAAGTAAACCGTCAGTAAACGTATGGCTGCTGCTAACCCGACGCATCGCTCTCGAGGGGACTTACACCACATCCACCGTTGATAAACAGTGCCCACATTGTTGCCCGAGGAAGAACAATACTGGCGTCTCGAATTTCTTCGGCTGCAGCGAAATACGTGTTAGCAAGCCTTTTGTACATTTGACAGACAACAGAAAGAGATGCAGCCCAACGTACACATGTGAACGGCGCTATCAGCTCCGAGCATGCCGTAGACAGTCGTCAGCATCCCGACCATGACCGACAGACCAGTCGAGCTCCACCCGCCCGAATTCACAAAGTTCTCGAAAACAGCGTCCGCCGAGTTTCGGGGGGCAAGGACCCAAAGTGGGATGAGCACACCGAAAAAGCCCAGAATGTGAAGGATCAAAACCAAGCCCTCAACAAGGGGCAGGCGCTTTGCAAGGAACGTGTTGAAGAGAATGGAGAACGCGGTGATGGCGATCACAAGAAGAGTACCGTGCCATCGTTGGAAGACGTAGGATTGGTCGTTCAGTACAATTAGACCCTGGATAAGTGTGCCGGCAATGAAGGCGATCGAGGCGTATCCAGTTTGCCAGCCGAGTCTGCAAGTTCGTCAAAATCATGTTCCCACTAGGAAACACTCATTGAGCTTCTCAATGACACAAAGAACTTACGCGCTGAGCCAGCCAACAATGTAACTAAGGAACTTCTGGCAGCTTTTAGGAGAGAGCTCCGAAACCCAGTGGTCTGCATATTGTCAGAAACGTCGTCGGACCGAGATGGGTGTGCAGGAGTGCTAAAGACTCATGTATGAAGAGAGTTGGTTGTCTTGGTGAGGGGAGAGAGAGTTGCTTACATTGTCCACCAGCAGTTGGCATCCTGTGAAGCAAGATCAGTAAGCGTTTGAATCAACAATTGTCAAGGCCACAATCGAATGACTTACATCGAGGCCAACTCTGCAATGGATGCAAAGACCGTGAAGTAACCGCACCACACAATAAAGTAACCCCATACGAGACCAGATAGACCGCCATTGATAAGTCCAAAGGTACTTGAGGAAAGTGTGATTTCCCACGTGGACATGGCAGTACATGAGAACCCCAGAATGGAGATGAATCTGAAATTTCGCTGTTCACATCGTCAGCGAGACGTCACATATCGCTGCCATTGTTGCAAGATACGGACGTTGAGTTCTTGGACTTTGCCCATCACTTGCATGTCGCGAGCATCCGCATCAGTCCCTCGCATGCTCTGCTTGGAGCCCGGTGTAAGATCATCGTCTGCGTAGGCTTCCGCCTGTTGAGCCTCCTTGATATTCATGGCGACGCTGACGTGTATGTAGCAATGGGAAAGATGAATGTCTCGAGGTTCTTGAACTTGCAATCCTGCCGGTAGGAATGAGTTGGCAGGAATAATATAGAGAAAGGACAGAGATTGAGAAGACAAGAATACAGCGACGGCGAGATTGCCAACGACAAAAAAATTACAAGGCGGGACAGTACTGAGGACCCGGTATGGCCGGCGCAAGTATTCGCTCCTCCAAACCAGCACCCAAAACACCAGTAGCGGCTCGGTTATAGCAGATGGGATAGTTAAAGATGATCCAGAACGAACTCGTGTACACGGGTACGCTCAGGCCCCTTGTCAAAAAGACTCGTGGCGAACGCAGGTAGTGAAACTAATGGGCCGGGGGGTCGCAACACTCTGCGGAGTGATCCCAAGAACAGGATGGCATGCCATCGGTAGCTGACCAGTCTGGAGGAGGGACCACCCGGTCGATGCCCGTGAGGCCGAGTAGTGTGAGGTGGCTTTTGCCTTAGGTAAAGTGCTTCTGTTCGGCACCATGATCCCGCGACGCTTGTTTGGCACTAACCTGCGGTGTGGACCATGCACTTCGAACCGACATCGCAAATGACAGGCCTCGAGTTGCTCCGGCGCTGCACTTCCCGTGTCGGATGGCTGAAGTTTGTGGCGGCCCGGCCAGAGACTTGTTGAGCTGCAAATATTCAGTCACGCTAGAAGCAGTCATGCTACTACTGTATGAGCATACATACAGTATGGCCACCTCCGTAACATCAATCTGTTAGAGACATGTTGCTGTTAGCGAAAGATAGTATGTTGACCCCAAGCATTCCCTTCGGACGCCGGTCGAGCAAGCCTACCGTAAGCGGCCTTGGGTCATCGAGCAGAGTAAAGATTTTGTCGATCAGTGAACTCCTCGAGTCTCACTCGTACCCTTGTGATCCTTGTAAGCGTTCGACCAGGTATTGGCCGACGGGGTGCCGCACTGCAAGCCTGCAGGGCCGTAGCTTATCAGCACTGTTTGTCCGCCACAGCCAAAAAGTCACTTTCTGATTGCTGATCCTTCTCGCTAGCTCGCTGTCTCTCGCTAGTCTAATAAAGTGGTGCTTGGGGTGGTAGTCCACCCATTTGACTCTGCAGGCCGGTCAAATGATAGAACACACACACACAGTTTGATCGACCTTCGTCCCCAATCGCGGAAGCAGTGGCAGTTACATCGGACATGGGCATCCACTGGCATGTGAATCAAGAGGCATAGCAATAATAATCTGTCTTTGACGCTCGCGCGACGCCGTGATGGCTGGGAGTCGAGATGATCCTGTTGATTCGCCGATGCAAGCGTGGTCCGTTCCCATCATCCCCTTGCTGAAAGTGACTTCCCTCTCGTCAAAAGACTTTTCCTTTACGAGAAAATGAAGCTTGCCGGTGGTCCGCTAGGCGTATTTTGTCATTGTAGTGCGGCCAAGGGTCAGCCCCTAGCCCGGAACACTCCGTAACCATCCCAAGTTCAGAGCCCATGTCTTCGGCGAGCTTTTTAGTCGTTTTCGACTGCAGCAAGGGCTTGGGCTCGCCAATACCATTGAAGACCTTTGGGCCCTGAAAGCAACACTGTTCTCGTACCCTCGCTTTCGCTATTCACAAGCGACTTACACCATGTAAATGCGCCTGTCGCATCTAAAAGGAAGACTTCAGCAACGCACTCTGCGTTTTACAGCGTGTAGTTGCCGTTGTCAATTTTCTTCTTTTCTTCTTCTTGTCGTACCGTTGCGCCATGGCCGACCTGCAAATGACGCCGGGGCAGTCGCCGCCTCTTGCTGTAATAACTGACACGGACCAACGAGGAGTTCTGTACATCATAACCGCTCTCGGTCTCGCAACGGTCGCAACCTCCCTGCTCATCAGGTCGTATGTCCGAGTCGAGTTCAGTCACTCGTATGGCATGGATGACATATCTATCGGTGTATCGTCTGTAAGTCGAGAGTCAACAAGTAGCAATACGGAGTCATGCTAACAGCCAAAAGCTACTCTTTGTCATCCAGTCTGCTCTCGTAATAGTCGCTACTAGGGAAGGCATTGGAAGAACCTTGTCAGACGTTACCGACTTGGATGCACTACAGAAGGTAGGCGATGTTCAGAGGCAATCCGATGGACGTTGAGATCAGTACTGACCTTGCAGACCTATTATGCTTCCAATCTTTTCTACATTCTCAGCCTGTGGACGTCGAAAATCTCGAATCTTCTCCTTATCTTTCGATTGAGCGCACAGAGGGCGCACAAACTCACTACTCAAGCAATCATAGCCTTCACCTCATTGCTCGGCGTCGTAAGCTTCCTGCTTGTTGCCCTTGTGTGCGACCTGAGTCACCCTTGGGTCTTCGTAGGACAGAAATGCTCTGGCGTTGGGGCCCGTTGGGAGGCAGTAGCGGCTTTCGATATAATCACCGAGCTTGCGGCATTCGCAGTGATCTTCTATATCCTATGGGACGTTCAAATTGCTCGCAACAAGAAAACGGCCATAATTACTGGCTTTGCGTTCCGTCTGCTGTGAGTTCCCCTTGAGCTTGTCCCCACAGGGTTTCGGGCTGACATGTTCCTTGCAGAATGATAGCACCTTTGGCAGTCCGTCTGGGCTACATCGTCTCCAACCTCGACGCTCAAGACCCCACACTTCGACAGGATAAGGTGGTCGTCAACACCCAGACCGAGCTTGTTGTGGCCCTCGTCGCTGCAACTGTTCCCTGCTTGAGACCGTTCATGGGCGCTGTTGATACTAGCTTTGGAGCTGCTGCTGCTGGAACCTCGTTGGCAGGGTCCGGGTATGCCAAGCGCAGTACAAGATCGGGAAATGCTCGTCAATATAGCAATGAGAGCAAACAAGTCTTGAGCTCCAATGGTTTTCGCATTGGAAGAAAGAAGAAAGGCGTCGACGAATTAGCCAGTCACGATGACATCGCATTGGAACCCATCAGCCGATCTTGGACTGGCAAAGCAGGCTTGGAAGATCAAACCGAAGAGCGACATACCTCGACCACGACCAAACAAAGTGCAGATGACCACCAGAGCGTGGGAAGCCAGGACAGTCAACAGATGATCATCCGCCGTGACGTTGAGTGGAATGTTCGATACGAGTCCCGCCAGGACGAGGCCGAAAATGTCATGGAGAGGATGGAAAGGTACAACACCCAGCCACGCCGATAACGGGCAGTGCGGTGCGTTTTACATGCTCGACATATGCCATGATTGACGACAAACTCTGTTTGGAGTCTAGGAAGGAAATTAAATGGGTAAACACTGCGAAGCCGGGATCTGGATTTTGTTTTTCAGAGGAACAAATATGTAAAAGTAAAGAGGCTAGAACTTGTCAAGATTGAGGAAAAGTTGTATATACGGATACAAAAAGCCTTGTATGGAGTAGATGTTAGGAACTAGGGAAAGGGAAGGCATCTTTGAGCTGGAATATGTGCTGTACTGTACAAAGTAAGGTAGAGACCTGGGTCTCCATGTACCTGTTCCCTATGTCTGGTGCCAAGATATATACACATGTGATCCGAGGAATTGCCGACGAGGCTGACTTTTTGCAAGTATAACTCGGAGGATGCTTCAATACCTACGAGGCACATCGGGCCAATGTACTCCGTACGGGCGACAGTCATGACTGAATGAGCGAAGTCTAGTGCCCAAGTGATACAGGACATTATTCTCATGGATTCGGGGACTTGACTGATACACACAAGACCAAACATACTATCACGTGAGATCACTTCAAGTAAGAGACATTCAAGGGTACCACATCTGTTTAATCTCCTCTGTCTTCTCTCAATTCTTGATCGCGTCTGCAGAGAGTAGTACGCCGAGGGTGTCTCTCTCAATATACAGTTGCACACTGGAATGCCGTGATCTCCACGTGCCACGCCCCGTACACTCTGCCACCCAGAATAGATAACAGTGTGTATTTCTAACCCATTTCGTCTTCGTGTGTGAAGGCCGAGGTCCTTGGATCAAATCTGTTCGTGGGAACCCTACCAGATCTGATACAGGGAACCCTGCTATTGCCATACCAAGCCCCTTCCAACCCAAAGCTCTCAGTACTGATACGCAGCACAGTATACTATCCTGCAGGCACTGCTCGCAAGATCGGTATTCCAGACGACAAACAGCGTGCTCTTGTCGCCGAGCACATCTGGGAAGTGGCCTAGCGACAAGCCGAAGAACTATAGTGTTCGGCCTTGAAGGGCGTCAATATTTCAAGTCTATCTGATGATGAGAACGACGACCCTAGTCAAGATAACACCCTCAACTCAACTGTCTGGATCAATATGTTTAATTGTGTTTTTCTTCGGGTTGTTTGTGATGAAGGACATAGGATAAAGAATTCTTTGACTCGCAACCACCTCGCCATCTATACACTGTTCGCCGAGTATAGCTGGACCGCTACGGCAACACCGATGATGAACCGGATTGGTGATCTTCTGGGCCACCTGAACCTCCTCTGGAAGCCACGGTGGCTGAGTGACATCGCCGAATCCGACGATTACGACTTCCCTGATTGCTCGGACTGGAGGTGCCGACCAGAAAACACTCGACAGCTTTGGCGATAAGTGCCCTTCGTACAAGGACAAGTACGCTGCCTCGTCTATGTTCATCTTCGATCCAAAGGCATTCGCCCTTTTGGATGCGAAGGGTTTGCTAGATGGTGGCACTACTACCAAGCTGGTGCTCAATGCTTCGCTGGACCGCATGCAACTTCGCTGGACAATGGCATCGGAAATCAAGGCCGGCTCCGTTACCATTCGACCTGGTGACGCCGTGCCAATGTGTTGAATCAGTGCTGTCAAGATTGCTCCGAAAGCCATCGAGAAGCACGTGTACAAGGTTATCTGGAGCATATGGGCACATCACTTGTATCAGAGGCGTCATGGTGCTGGGGCAGCTTCAGACAGCGGCGGTACACCAGCGCCTGGAATCAAAGGACTGCGGGACATGGCGATTCATCGAACTTCTTGCTGGTACTCTCGGATGCGTCCATCCTGAGTGAAATATGAATCTTGTAGAGCCACAGGAATCTGGAGATTTCTTTCGTTGTCTTGCTCTTCTTCAGCAGAAGCTTCTCTTTCTTTTGTTGTAGAGAAAAATTGCATACCATAACCATCCCCATCATATCGAAACATATCCTCCCAAAGTGGCCATCATGTTTCGGAGATGTGAATGCTTCCGGACCTTCTGTTAAATGCAGCGTGATCGTATCAACTTCCAGATGCCTCTCCTTCAACTGAAATTGTGTTGCAATCCACTTTCGAAATAAATCAATATCCCCGAGAGTGTGTAGAGGCGGAATCTCTAAGGTTTGCCTAGCTATGAGCGTGTTTTTCTCTGTGTGATGAGGCATATTGTTCCACCACCTCAGGAAGTACTTGGTTTCCGCCTCATAACTACTGTCGCTCACATCTGTACGTGGCTTCTCCCCGTTGCAAATATCGCTCGGCGGTGTCTCCGCTTCGGTAGAGAGTCTCATATGTTCAGGTGCTTCAAGATGGTCGTCCAGGGAGAGGGACTTGTGCATTGCCGCATGAACGTCGGCGTCAACATACTTAGCTTTTCGACACCACTGGAAGACATTTCCACAGCTTCTGCCATCTCGCACCGCTCTCCTGGGAAAGCCTTGCCGCTTGTGACTTATTTTCTCGAGCGTTGGCTGCGAACCAAGTTTCTGAACGACGGCGTAGAATCTCTAGAGAAAGGAGGTCAGGATGAGTCGAGGTGTGACAATATGTATATATATGTGTGTATATGGAATAGAGACAAAGAGCATATCAAAAAGGAAAAGAAGAGCAGGAAGAATCCTCGCGGGGGCGATGTATTTGCACCTTTCCGGGTCACGAAAGCCCAACACTGGGTGAAGTGGTCACGATAGTAAATCAAGTTTCAGTATGTGAACGAGCTTCTAGAGGCAGGGAGGAGGCAAAGTGATTACAATAGTCAATACCTAAGGTTGATTCAGCATGTGAAGTCTCAACGAGGAAAAGAATATTCGGGATCGAAGAGTCACTCGGCTTAGTCATCTCCAATATCTTCCACCTCCGTCACCATTATATTCAAGATATTCATTTTACATTGAACCAGTCAAAAACACTTTTTGCATTGCGCAAGATAACATGACACTTCCTTCCCTCACAAGATATACATTCGAGCTACCGTCCATTCACTAATTTGACGGCACCTTGATGCTGCCTATCCACCAGTGAAAGTGTCATTACTGGTTGAGAGGCTGGTCAACCTGCGTCTCGAGAAGTTGGGAATACAGCACTGGGCCGATTCGAGGATTGACACACACACACACATCATGGCTGTCCCGATATCATCTCTGCTCACCAACGGCTCTCCCACTCCCGCCCGGGATCGTTGGTGAGTTCGCAACACATCTATTTGTATCTCAACAAGGCTAGCTAACCTGGAGCCAAAATACAGGACGTACCTCGACAACCTCCTGTCAACGACCTCACCGTACGCCGGTGAAGAATTTGTCCCCGGTGACGAGACCATCAGCGCCCTCGAAACCTCACGTGTCTTGGTTATCGGTGCTGGCGGATTGGGATGTGAGATTCTCAAGAATCTCGCCCTCTCCGGGTTCAAGGACATCCACGTGATCGACATGGACACGATCGACGTTTCCAACTTGAACCGTCAATTCCTCTTCCGCCAGTCCGACGTCGGCAAGTCAAAGGCCGAGGTTGCCGCTTCGTTCGTCGAGCGCCGCGTCCCGGGAGTCAAAATCACCCCCTACAACGGCAAGATCCAGGACAAGGACGAGGAGTACTACATGCAATTCAAGCTGGTCATCTGCGGCCTGGACAGCATCGAGGCGCGTCGCTGGATCAACGCCACGCTCGTCGACATGGTGGACATGGAGAACCCAGAGTCCCTCAAGCCTCTGGTCGACGGTGGCACCGAAGGGTTCAAGGGCCAAGCTCGTGTCATCCTGCCCTCCCTCACGTCGTGCATCGAATGCCAGCTGTCGATGCACGCCCCGCGCGCCGCGGTGCCTCTCTGCACGCTCGCCACCATCCCCCGCCAACCTCAACACTGCATCGAGTGGGCGCACATCATAGCCTGGGAGGAGCGACGGAAGGGGGAACCCCTCGACACCGACGACCCGGAACACATATCCTGGCTGTACCAGACGGCCCTGGCGCGGGCCAAAGAGTTCGACATCCCCGGCGTGACGTACAGCATGACGCAGGGCGTGGTCAAGAACATCATCCCCGCCATCGCGTCGACGAACGCCATCATAGCGGCGGCTTGCTGCAACGAGGCCCTCAAGATCGCCACGTCGTGCGCCCCCTTTCTGGAAAACTACATGATGTACACGGGCGACTCGAACGATTCCGGACTCTACACGTACACGTTCGCCGCGGAGAAGAAGGACGACTGCCCGGTCTGCGGGAACGTCTCGCAGAACATGACCGTCGACCCCGAATCCACCCTGGAAGAGTTCCTGGCCGGTCTGGCGGAGCGCGCGGAGGCACAGTTGAAGAAGCCGAGCGTCAGGACCGAAGCCAAGACGCTGTACGTGCAGGCGCCCAAGAGTCTGGAGGAACAGACGAGGCCAAACCTTGGGAAAAAAATGAAGGAACTGGTCAGTGACGGCGAAGAGGTTGGCGTGTCCGATCTGGCTTTCCAGATCTCGTTCAAGTTCAGGTTGGTCTTCAAGAAGTGAAAGAAGGGAGGAACTCGCCGGTGGGAAGAATCCAGGGTCACCAAAAAGCAAAAACAAAGACAGCATAGCACTCATTATACGAGAGTAGACAACGAATAATTATGACCATGACTAAAGCCGCATTACGGACACAAACATCAACCTACATCTCACTTTAAATTGGGTGTATGCAGAACTTTTGGGCGTTTATACTGGAATCACAGAAAAAATAGACGGTGCATAGAGAACAATGAGACACCTTGTATATGCGCATAACTTTTTTTTGGACATATCCATCTCAACCAGAGGTATCTTGAGCCATAGAACAAACACCTTGCAAATGCTAAAGACGCCGTGATTCATGCAATACATATCGTAAACCCTCGTTCCAATGCGTTTCACGTCTCCAGGGCATCGACGGCTCGAAGTAATCTCTTTGCCTTGTATTTCAGCACGCTCACGGCGTCTACAAATAGCATGTCACTCGGGAACTGTCCCGTGCTCTCGACATTGAAGATGAAATGGTCTTGGACACGACCCAACTTGACTTTGTTTTTGAATTCGTCATGGCGCAGGCACTCGCGGGAAACTGTGTCTCGCATGGCATCTTTCACAACCGCCTTCTCGTCACCCTCCCGGCCCTTGAAATCGGGATTATCGGAAGCGCCCTCCAGAGGTGTAACTCGTTCGAGACCGATCACGCCTGGCGGGAAGCATTTCTGAAATTTGACGGCATCGGCTCCTAGAATAGGCTTTGTGATCGTGATCGTCGGGAGCAGGCGGTACGTTGCTGTCGCCACCGGACTGAATTTTGCATGGTCGCCTCCTTTACCCAGATGCGCATGGAGGGTCATGTCGAGTTCCTGCCCAGGACGCAACTTGGCGATCAAAATGTCTGGACTGACAGGCTTAACTTCTCCATCCTTGAAACGCTCCTGATGCTGCCCCATTGGTTCCCAAGTGATGTGCCGCGAGTATACACTGCTGTTGATATATTTCTCTTCAGGTTCCGTTGCGTTCTTGTCGGCGTTTGGATTGCGCTCGCATCGCACGTTCAACTTTAGGACAATGGTGTTGTAATCTGACAAGTCCATGCCTTGAATGCCATACTCAGGATTGGCTTGTATGTACCACTTCAGCCATTTCAGACCAGATATGCTGCCTTTCAACGGAATGAGACCCAAACGGTGCGCGAGGACTTCGTCAGCTATTACTGAGGTGTTGTTTGAGACATAGACTTTTTCGATGGCCAAGGTAGGCACCTCGGCGATGAGGATGCGGCGGAAAGCATTTGCGATAGCAGCGTCGACGCCGATCAGGGAGAACGTCGCTTCTGATGCCTCGTTCTGGTGAAATTGGATCTTTAGATTGTTGGCAAACTTGTCAAGGGACCATGAAAGATCTTCGCCCGCATGATGTCCAGGGAAATCGGTAGAGGTAATGTTCGTGACTGTCTCGGCGTTGATACCGACGACCTACAAAGATCAGAATGGTGCTTGGAGGTAGACAACAGTTCCTCGTACCTTCCGCCTATCAAGGCTATCTTGTGAGGGTTGCACAGGTGCCATGAGTGGATTTGTGACCGGGCGATGGGTTTTTGGTAAAAAATGATTGTCTGCAGCACGATTCTCTCTTTCTTTCTCTCGCTCTCTCCAAATGTGAAAATAAAGTGGGGAAACAGAGAGGTTTCCCCTCCAGCCAATCAGAAGCCACTTGATAAATCGCCCGCAGGAGCTGTTGACTTCATTGATTTTGTGAGACTCGCCGCTTTCTTCAATTGAAATCCATCACAGTTGATGCTGTCGACTTCGAGGCATTAGCTCGAGCATCTTCGTCTTCAGCTTTTCACCTGGCCCTGGGCCGACGTCGACAATGGCCGCTTCGTTTGTACGAGCCGCGAGCTGGCACTCCGCCAAACGACTTTGCCTACGACCCAGCTTTCACACCCTCCCGAGACAGTCGCCTCTCCTGTCGCGCGCACTCTCTACAACCCCGAGCCGAAATGCCACCCATGAAGTCCCTGGGAACCCGGAAACCAGCGGGGGACCACTGACGACTACCATCAGCCCGACCGATTCTACCTTTACCGCACACACACAGGAGAACTCGCTCCTCGTGAATAAAACCCCGGATGAGAACCTCGGGGACGAGTTTGAAGCAAGAAAGATTCGACACTACACCGTCAACTTTGGGCCACAGCATCCTGCTGCGCATGGCGTGTTGCGTTTGATTCTTGAGTTGAACGGCGAAGAGATCATTCGAGCAGATCCTCACGTCGGTCTGTTGCACCGCGGCACCGAGAAACTCATCGAGTACAAGACATATCTGCAAGCTTTGCCATACTTTGACCGATTCGACTATGTCTCCATGATGACCAACGAACAAGTCTTTTCCCTGGCTGTCGAGAAACTTCTCAACATCGAAATTCCGGAACGAGCCAAGTACATCCGTACCTTGTTTGGAGAGATCACCCGAATCTTGAATCACTTGATGTCCATTCTCTCTCACGCCATGGACGTTGGCGCCCTGACGCCTTTTTTGTGGGGTTTCGAGGAGCGAGAGAAGCTCATGGTACGTTTGCCGAATCTTCCTCTTGACTCTGTCTAATCATTTACAGGAATTTTATGAACGTGTTTCCGGTGCACGATTGCACGCTGCCTATGTCCGTCCTGGTGGTGTCAAGGCAGATCTCCCCCTTGGCTTGCTCGACGATATTTACGCGTGGGCAACTCAATTTGGTGATCGTATCGACGAAACCGAGGAACTTCTGACCGACAACCGAATCTGGATTGGCCGGACCAAAGGCGTTGGAGTCGTGTCTGCTGCAGATGCACTCAATTACAGTTTCTCTGGTGTCATGCTGCGAGGCTCAGGTGTACCCTGGGACATTCGAAAGAGCCAACCTTATGATGCCTACGACAAAGTTGAGTTTGATATTCCTGTCGGACAAAACGGCGATTGCTACGACCGATATCTGTGTCGCATGGAGGAATTCAGACAATCATTGCGCATCATCCATCAATGCTTGAACCAAATGCCGCCGGGACCTCACAAAGTGGAAGACTACAAGATTGCTCCACCGCCGCGTGCAGCAATGAAGGAGAACATGGAAGCTTTGATTCACCATTTCTTATTGTTCACAAAGGGATACACTGTCCCTCCTGGAGATACCTACACTGCGATAGAAGCACCCAAAGGAGAGATGGGTGTCTATCTGGTCAGTGACGGCAGCGAACGTCCTTACCGATGCAAAGTTCGGGCTCCTGGTTTCGCACACTTGGGATGTTTCGATCAGATCAGTCGTGGCCATCTTCTAGCTGATGCCGTCGCCATCATAGGCACCTGTGATTTGGTCTTTGGTGAAATTGACCGTTGAGTTTGGACGTCGCTTGGCGTCGGCTATTAGTTATTTCATTTTTATTAACTATATTTGCTTCTCATTCTCATTCTCATTTCTTCTTTCTTTTATTATTTCCACTCGCTTCTGTCAATCGTTCATGTCTGTCACATCTAGACAATATGGACCATCCTGACTTTCCCACCGCTATGGCTGACTCAGAAGGCCCTCCTGTCGCCTGTTATAGTCGTACTGCTATCAGAACTCCCACCTCACGCGTCGATATTCAGTGGGTTTCCAATCCAAACTATTACTACGATCCAGATGCGATATCTCGACATCTCGACGATCCAGTGCCATTAAGCCAGGAACAGTACCCCATGAATGAGCGTACTTTGGACTTAGTGACGACAGGAGAGACTCGATATCAATATCGAGTCATGCGTTGTTTGGCTGATATCCTCCATTGCACAGGATATCTGGCCATCACCGTGAGTGTTCCACACGACGATATCGCCAGTGAATGGTCCACCATCAAGACCAACTTCTTTCAAGGTGCTCCTATTGGTACAGACTTGTCATTTCTTCTGTAGCTCTACAGTACTGACTTCTCTGTTTAGGTAATATGATTCGAGTTAGATCGGTTCTTCACAGTCATAGTACAGAGACTATCGATTTTCCTCGTCGCTACTCCATACAGATACAGGTTCATCGTGTCGGCTTCAGACTGGAAAGAGAGGAAGAGGAGCGGGTTATCGCAGAAGGTGGTCTAGAGGCGTATCTTGATCTTCTTGACCAACGCGAGCTTGAACAGAACTCGTGAGGCACGTTTGAATCTGGCGAAAATTGAGTCAGACCACGCTCGAGGGTGATTAGTTCTTCAGAGATCAAATTTGATTCATGGTTCTTCTACATCAAGATTTCTTTCCCAATAATTGAGTCGACACTGCGCCCCTTCGCGAGACGGGCCAACATTATTAACCCATCTCGATTCACTGATACTTCTTCATCTACGCGTCCAACTATGTATATGTATTCTCGTCACCTGAGCGCCCTCAACAGAATATCTGGCTTGGCGCATATTGTCGGTTATCCCAGTATCGTCAGTACCCTCCCCGAGTTTCTATATCTTCTCGATCTCTCTTCCTTTTCTTCTTTCCTCTCCTTTCTTTTATCTGTCTGTCTTACCTCGTCTCGCTCACAACATGCCTCCCACCGTGATCCACATCAGCGGCGTGGTACTCCTTCGATACATCACCTCGAATCTTCACGTCCAGAACTGCGATGTCCAAGCGCACTGGGTTGCCCGAGAGCAGGAGTCTTTTGACCCAAGTCAGTTCGACCTCCTGAGAAACCCCCTTCCGGATGACCTCGGTTTCCGACTACCAGAGATGGCACAGCTTCTGGCGGTCGATCTTCCCACTGCCTACGGTCAAGGTTACACCTTGATGTCCCAGATTCACTATTTTCTGCACCGCAACCACGCAAGAACCATCAGTATCTGGACTCCTACTCCCCATATCGCTCAGTCATGGGCTGTCCTTCTCGGCACCTTCTTCTTGGACACGGAAGACATCGGTAAGCTTTAGGTCCCCTCACGTCAGAATGGCCGAACTAACCTACGATGAAAGCTCGACGAATTCGAATCACGTGGCGCACCGCTTCTGGCGATCAGCAAATTCCGGCACAGTATGATGTCCAAATTCAACTTCATCGAGAAGACTTTTCTGTCGTGCAACAAAGCGTGATGACTCACGATGCGTCGCCAATCGTCAGAAGAGCTATCAGAGGAGATTCGGCCGTCTTAGCCATTCGCTCTTCTCCCTTGGGAAGAGCATGAAAAGTCGGCGCGGCCCCTAGACGCGACTCACACCTGGACGGAAGTCAGAGTCTCTCTTTTCGGCGTTACCACGGGGTTGAAATCTAGATACATTTTGTACTCCACCGTACGTTTGAGCCCTTTCTGGCTCATCAGTACTAAGAAGCTCAATTGAACTCTACCATACCACCATCATGTCTCACTCAATCGACCTGTCTCGTTTGAAACCAATCGGTCTCTGTCGCTTTGACCTCGACATAGTCCCCTTTTGTTGTCCAGGAGGCACATGTGCAATTGGGACCCTGAATGAGTCAAGGCTCACATGTGCCGCCTGGACTTCCCTTGTCCCTCCCTTGCCTTCCCCTCAACTTCATTCAGTGTAACCGTTTCACTTCATTCCAGATCCATACTACCATGTGCCAAACCCCCAATGCTCTTGCTTCCTGACCCATAAAGGCCTGAACAATCTCCTGCAGCTCGATCTCATCGTCCCTATACCACTCCTCAGCACATAAGCATATTTCTCCTTCAATCCTCCAGCCATTCTAGGTTCCTCCATGGCACCCAAGATCAGAACCCACAATCGTTGTCTCTCGTGCAAGGACCTCGAATTCAAACAAACCCGAAGGATGATCGAAACCTTTCAGTTGGAGTAAGCATCTACTGTCGAACGGTCTTGATCTTGTCTCGCCCTCTGGACATGATGACCTTTCTCCTAGCGTCTAGTCGCTCTCGTACCAGGTCCGCCGATCACCTATCCCACCGAGAACAGCTCAGCCATGTATGTGGGCGATCAGCGTTTTCCCGCCACCCAGCAACGTAGACAGAGGATTCCCGAGTCTCCCATCATACGGAGTAACCTTCTAGTCTCCTCAGGACACGAAAGTGGCTCGGTACCAACGCTGGAACGATCTTTGGTATCTCCACGTATGGCACGAGCGGTTACTTCGTACCATGCGTGTGAGAAAGGCTTCTCGCTGGCCGAACCTCGATGGTATCGCCTTCGGGCAGCGTCGAAGGCAGTTCACTGTCTCCTCCTACGGACGATTCGCTCACCACGGAAGACTTTGGACCAAAACTAGAGTCGTGTCCCAGACTCGGTGCTTGATTCGTTCTCGTGCTTCGGCTCAACATCGAGCCACATTACAGGACAGGGATCACACGTAGAGAGTGGACACCGTCAAATCTACTTTACATGTATTACCTGTCCTTCGCCGTCTTCTCTCACCGTCGATATCTCTTATGACAATCGAACATGGAAGATTGATCTCGACGCCGCACATTCAAATGACAACGGATGATTCACAGGTTCAATCTATTCCGTTCGGTCTCGACGAACTTGTCGCCACGGAAAGACCCTCTTCGTAGCAAAACCTTCCTGGTAGTGATGCATGTTGTCACTCCAGTCCGCAGATCTTTAATCCTTCCCGTGAAACAGCTCCCTGTCTTTCAATGCTTCATACAATCAACCGGATAGGCAATGACAGAAACCGATTGTTCGCATAAGAATGTATGTACATCAGCAAGGAGAAAATATCAGAACCTGGCCCTTTCCACTCCACCAAACCATCCACCGCAAAGTAACGTCAGTGTCACCCCAAGTCATTTTTGTTCTACACCTGCAACACCGTATTTGAGTTTATACCACAACTGATATGAATTGATCTCGACCATAGTGGTAACGTCATGCTTGTTCTTCAAATGAGCCTTGTATTGCTTCTCGTCAGCCCAGAACTTTTTGTTGCCTTGACAATCAGAATGCAAGCAGACAGTTCCGTAAAATGGAATAATTTCAAGACCATTGGAATCGTATGTAAGAGGCGAGGAGATATCAATAGTATTGATATTCGGACGTGGGTGTAAGCGAACGGTGTTTGGAGTAGGTAGATATTTTGGATAATTTTCTGGTGTTTGATCATGTTTTCTTTTGAGGTGAGTAGTATAGTCACTGTAATTGGCAAATTCTGTAGTTACTTGACAACCAGGAAATAAACACATGGTTGTCAAGTACGATTTGCTCGTTCCTCGAGGAGCGATAAAGTCGACTTGGATGACCTTGCCAACGTATTCTCTGCATTCAATCGCTGTAAGCATATGATAAGAGGACAGATGACGACGAAAGGCTTCTCGAGACACAAAAAAATGATCTCGAGGCAGTTGACAACCCGAAACATTGCAGGCTGTGTTGGCTGGCCAAGTTTCATCATGATGTAGTTGACGATGGTTCCTCATGAGATGTTTGGTGGCGAATGTCTTGGTAACTCCGCAGATCTCCCTATCCGGACACTGCTTTGGGAAACCCTCGGAAACGTGATGGATGTTCTGAGATTTCCGTTTGCGACTTGTTGGTACGGTGAGAAGATAGTCGTTGTTATCGGGCAAGGCTGTTTGACTGTCAAAAGTATTGATTGATATACCTTGACAATTTGTTTCGTGTTGATCGCGATGAAGAGTAGAATTGAATGTTCTTCTACATCCCTGTTTACGACAAGCGTATAAAAATTTTGAGGGCGGATGTCGGCTATTCCCTGTCTCTGCATCTTTTGGTAGTTCTGAAGTTGCAACACTAATCAGATTGATCGTCGAGAAATAGTCGATGAACTGACGTATAGAAGCTTTGAGAATGTTTGAGTCATCGAGAGGCGGGCGAGATGCCAGTACATGGACGAACTGAAGAGACATTACGTCGATCATAGCTTCTGATGGCTCCTCGCCTTTCATATCATCAGCAAGACCGAGGGCATTGCTCATTTCACTGGTGATGAGGTCCACAGTCTCCTCGGTTATGGCGACATTATGATTCTCTTCATCTGTGTCCGTCGAATGTAGATGCGAAATATTCGTGATATCTTTACGAGACTCACGTGATGATGAAGAAACTGGTGTTGTCTTTGATATAGTCGAGTTCTGCAAAATTTGTCGCTGATGAGTTGCCCATTGATCGCGCTGTATCTTCTCAAGCTCTTGTCTCGCTCTATAACGATCATTGCGATCCGTAGAGTCAAGATTGTTGGATGTGCAAAAATTGTTGATATCCTTGGTATCGATTTTGCGCTTCGTGAATGGCGAGGAAGCCAACTGAATGCCGAATGAATCGTCTCTTTCGTGAGCCGAATGATTGAGGCGCGCCGCCCAATGGTCATCTTTTCTCCGCCCAATATATCTGTCGGTTACTCCATTGCGTACAGAGTCATGTGTATGCCCAAGCGCTCTCCGTACACCTTCGATGTTGGTTGATGGCGATAGCGAGTAGATATCTGCCGCAGCGCCTCGACGCAAATCATGTGACGCAGGAATATCAAGCATTCCGATGAGATTTGCAGCACGCCGAAGAAATCGAGTTTGTTGGTCAACACCTGCCGGCTTGGTAAAATCGAGACGTTCTCCTCTGGTACGTGCAAAGAAGACTGGCCATTGTGGAGTCTGCCAAACAAATCGCTTGCTTGGACGCTCAAAGACTGTAGTAATTAGTTCTTCCCAAGTTGTCTCTTCTACGGCGCCAATACGAAGGGCATATGCCAGAAGTAACTTGGTAACGTCAACTGCATTGTTCTCTTTATTCAGTTGTCCAAGTTCAACTTTCATTGCCTTTCTTGGGTCGTTTCTAAGTAAGAGATCAAGTAGTTAGTATCAACGCTTCAAAAGTTGTTAAGATAGTAAATGAAACTCACTTGTGTGACTTGAGATACAAAAGAGTAATCAACATCGTAAGTCTGGGATCGTCCACGGATGGGCCTTTCGCTATAACCTCAATATCTTTCCATTTCAAGTATTCAGTGCCTGTGTAGTGGGCAGATCTCTTGAAATCACCAGCTCGCGCAGCCAATGCTGCCTGCAATGCAAGTGCAAGGCATCCTGCCAACATTGAATCCCATGATTTTGTACCATTGAGGATAGCGTCAGAAAGTGTGGCTGAAACCATCATCTTCACAATTTGACAAGACAGCCATAGAGCCTCTCGTGCAGGGTCTTTAGTGAGCTGACCATCATTGAGGAGCTGTTGTATAGTGGCATCAAGTCTGAGATTGTCTCGCTTAGACAACTTGAAGTTTTCATCGTGAAAGGTCAGAGAACGAGCGAGCTGTGTCCTAGCCTCTTTCATCACTGTCCAAGCGATTTTGCCATCATTGTGTCTGGATTGTAAATGACTGGGTAATTGGAAGAGGAAGCGAATCATATCATCTCCGGTAGGTGTGACACTAGGAAATAAGTATTAGTCTTTACCTGAACACGACTCACCATTTGAATATGTTCAAGTACTTACTTTGGACGACTGTTAATCTTCAATGAATGCTTAGCAAAGGCCTTAAATAGCTCATACCAGTATCGGCGGTGGATAGCTGTACTGGGAGCATTGGCGACATCTTGGAGCTTCTTCAACTGGATCTTAGAATCAACTCGATCAGTTGTTGAGTTTGCAATGATTGAAGAAATTGCTCGGCTGCCGATTCCTGGGAGCTCTTCTTCGTGCTCGCTGATCTCAATATCTGAGGAGTTGAAGTCGTCCATGACAAATCTGAAAAGAGGGTCGCACCTTGAGGGCGAGACTATGGTAGAACATGGAAAGTCAACTGCAGAGCATGTACAGGACAACGAAAGATCACCAGAACAGAGGAGAGGAGTAGATGAGAAGAAGTGGACGCAAGATGAGGACTGGAGGTGAGAAAGAAGGACTGGAGGTGAGAAAGAAGGACTGGAGGTGAGAAAGAAGGAGATGGGAGGAGTTGTGATGAAGTGAGGTATGGAAGGTGCTATCGAATCATACCACGTGATGACGCCCCAATGCCAGAGAAAATCAATGTTACTGTGTCTACTCAAGGTCTCTTCTACCAGCTCCGCCTTCCAAGTCCTCGCCCTCGGTGAAATATCCTTGTATGTCAGAAGCTTCGATAAGCCCTTCAGGTAGTGGCGAAGCGGTCTTGAAACCAGAAAGTGTATGGGTCGATCAGAGCCCTCTCTTCTACCACTGCCTCGCCAATTCATTCAAGTTTCATGTCTGAGTTTGTCTGATCATGGACTTCTTTAGAAGTCAGAGTCGGAGGAGGAGGATGGCTAATCATCTTCTCCCGGACCGAATGGCTGGTCGAGATCAGAGTCACTAGACGCATAGATTCGGTCCTCGGTGGTTTCATCACCCTCGAGTGTGACGGGGTTTGTCGACCTGCCTTCATCATCGCCGTCCGTGAGCATTCTGGTATACGCAATCCTTGTCCGCCGTGTCAATTCGGCAAGTCTCCTCGAAGCCGGGGGATTAGTGGTGCGGATTTGTTGCGTGGTCAGTCATGATAGTAATGCCGTTGGTTCGCGCCTGAATTGCTGGGGCAGCGCCGAAAGCACCGTGTTCATTAGGAGTGTTCATCTTCTGCGCATTAGATGTGGCGATTGGCGAGAGGGTCGTTAAGTGGTGTAGTTGTTATTTGCTGTAAGCGATGAGGGAAATGGTTTGATTTGAGTTACATAAACAAGCTAGGACTGCTTGCTGTTGTTAAATAGGCAACGAGATGGCTCAAATGCGTAGTGAATTGCACAGCCGGATGGAAGTGAAGTCGAGGCCAGGTCCCGTGTGCCATTTTGCTCACCAAGTTGAAGAATACTGCACACCTGAATGACTGTACAAGCTGAGAGGACTCATAGGAGCACTAGAAAAACTAGTGCCAGGAATAAAGCTCTAACTTCATTCGGCGAGGCTGAGATTCTGTGTGATCAAATCTTAGGAACATACTCCGTACTATCATGCCAATTTCTTCGGTTCACTCAAAATCAACGCTTTGTACGCATCTTAGAGACACACGACGTGAATCAACTTTTTTCAGTGCCATTCAAAATCGGATCTCAAAAATTTGAGCCTTATCAAGAATTCATCAGCTCATAGATGGCTATAGATGCGCGCTAGTCATAATAGACTAGCGTAATATTTCCATTTCCTCATTAAGTATTAAAATTTCACCGAGACTTCACTCAGACTTCATTTAGACTTCAATTAGAATTCATTCTATCATGATAATGTAATTATCTTGGTTTCTTCTTTATATTCTTTACGTCTCTATAACCACTTTATCTCTCTACACAAATTAATTTAAAGTTTACTATTAATCTCTCTACTATGTTAAGTCCGCCTGAGAAAGAATGGTATTAGTGCGTTGGCGGCGTCCAAGTATCACATGTAGAATTAAGATTTTAGGATTCATGGCAGTTATGACCAATTTGTTAACTCTTCGTTGCGAGTCAAGTTCATTAATCAATGTCCCAGGCTCCCAGTCTCATCAGTGTATCATGATCGAAATCGCCTGTCTGATGCATTAGCTTTTGATTAGGTGGTCTATCATGTGTCCATAGACATGGTCATAACCTTAAGCCGTCCGAGTGGTACATGTGGAAACGGGGCCAGTCTATGTAAATTCAATGTCTCTGCTCGTGGTCCCTGTATTACAGGTGGAAACTGGATCAATCTCTTTAAATCCAATTTCTCCGTTTGTCGTCCAAGAATCACATGTGGAGAATGGTCCATGGTCCACTCGACTTGTGACTCCTTCGACTACCCGTAACCCAAGTGATACATGTGTTGCGAAGACACTCTCGGTCGAGAACGAGAGAAGAATGACGACAGGGAGAGCAGAAAAGATGGACGGATGAAAAGGAAGAGAAAGAGAAAAAGAAAAGAAATCGAGAATCCGATGAGGTAATAAACAATGTATCTGCTTCGAATCTCGACCGCCGAGTTATCTCATCATGATAAGGAGGGCCGGACCAACATAAATGAGTCTACTAGACAAGTGTCTAGAAATTTCCACTCAGGGAGAGGATTTACATCTCGAGGTGTGCTCAATCGTCACGGGTAGAACGCGTGAGGAAGACGGGTCATGCGTGGCGAATCTCGCAAGATCAGCTAAGAAGAAATGTATGACACATGATAAGTCATTTTGATTCTGCTTTGATAACCTAAGCTCCAAGAAATACGGCCAAGAAACCACAACATCCGGACCAAGCACCAAGCACCAAGCACCAAGCACCCTAAGCACCCTAAGCACCCTAAGCACCCTAAGCACCCTAAGCACCCTAAGCATGCATTCCAGACCGCGGATCCATGACTCGAAGAAAGAAAGAAGAGAAAAAAACAACTTCAGCACGATAATCCCATGTCAAGTGAAATCATCTGTCGTGATCTTCGAGAGTTCTCGCTAAACCCTGATGAAATGTCTAAATCCCATTCGTGATCGGCCCAAGTGGCACATGTAGCCCCAGGCTCCAGAAGCATCCAGTGATCACTCACTTTCCAGGCGTGAAGAACTCAGGGGCCTTGCGTTGCCGCTTAGATGCTCGAAGGCTTGGGCTCGAGCTGGCCTGCGGCGGGCTAGGGGGAAGAGGAGGGTTAGGTGTTCGAAGGGATGAGTTTGTAGAACTCAGTGGACTGTCGGAACCAAGGTCGAGATCAGGGTCGAGATCAGGGTCGATATCAGGGCTGATGTCACTGTTCTTGGACCCCGACGGCCCGGAGACGTCATTGGTGGCTCGACCTTTCCCCTTGTCCCGCGAGATCACGATAGAGTAGAAAGGAGGGTCTGGAGTCGTCAAAGGGCCGTGTCCCAGAAGACTACTGACAGACGGGCTCACCACGGGGGCGGCGGGAGGGATCGAGGACTGTGGTGACCGCAAATGTGACTGTGCTTCGGCAAGATTCTGGTCGAGAGCGAGGCGGCGCACGGAGTGGTGTTGAGATGACTCTTGGAGTCGAGGAGGGAGGGGGGTTTGTGCTGTTCGATAGGTCAGTGATCAATTCATGGTGTCGTCCTCGAGACACATGTGGAGATCGGCTCTCGGTGAGGCTGTCCAGAGTTCACATGTGGCCCAGGTACGACATGAGAATCAGGGAACACTTAGGGGGCACTTACTGGTGGATGGGGGCGGGGTCGCTCCGTCCTTGCGAGCGAAGGGGGCGTGGGATGCCGAAGCGGAACGGTGTGGCTCGTGCAGGTCCATGGTGCGCCACCCGAGACGGCTGGTGCGCATGCCAAAGAATCGACGGATATACTCCTCGGCGGCCTCGGAAAACTTGCGATTGCGCGAATCTCGGACGTAATCGACACTGACCATGTCGACCACACCTTGGTCCACCGGGGCGGCCTCCAGTGCGGCGCGAAAATCTTGACCGAGACGGTTCAACGGATCGAATTTCAACGTGTCCTCGCCGATTTCGGCACCGGCAAGGACCTGCGCGAGCATCTTCTCCGTATTGTTGGCGTAGAGCCACTGGTCATATGTGTCCAGCACACAGACATACACAATGTCTTGAACGTGCTTCTGCCCGAATCGATGAACCCGGCCGAACGCCTGCACCTCGATGTTCAAACTGTCCGGCGCGTCGAGGATGAGCACCCGGTGGCACGCATTCTGCAAATTGACGCTCTGTGATGACGAACGGAGGTTGGCGATCAAGATGCGGACACGGTCGTCCGGGTCGTTAAAAGCCTTAATCATCTCGTCCTTTTCAGCCGTCTTGAGGCTTGTGGTCAAGGAGTAGTTCGAGATACCGAGGTTGTTCAGGAAACACTCCGTCAGCCACTGTGTTTGAGGCCAATTGACGTAGACGAGCAGCTTATCGTCGTGATCGTAGTTGGCTTCGAGAATCTGTGCACAAAGATATCGAAGCTTGATGGACTCTTCGCAACAGTACATTGCCACCCCAATCCGCTCAAACGGCGGTGCCTGGTGTGGTGTGGGTTTGGTTAGGTGATAATATTGACTGAAGCCACCGTCCCCGCCGATCTCCCGCCACGTGGCCACGTGTTGAGCTTTGTCTTCATCCTTGACGAGGCCCAACGTGTGGAGGTGCAGGTCGAAGGTGGAGTGGCACAGGTGCCGGTGGATCCCCATGGCTCGCCCGCCGCGGGCGCCCAGGATGGCTCGACCCGACGTGGTGGCGCCGACCTCGCCCGTGTAGCCCTTCTGGCTGAGGAAGGGCGCGAACGTCTTCCAGATTTCGTTGTACCGAGCTTGCTCGTACGGAGATTGTTGCAACTCGACCCCCGTGATGCGATACCGAGGAACACTGTCTCCGGCGCTGATTTCCTGATCTCCGAGGAGAAATCTGGTCCCCATGGTCGCCTTCACCTGGATGCGAGACAGGATGGGCCGAAGGATGCGAAAGGCGCCTTCGCCTTTGATCAAGCCTCGATCGAACATGCGAGCATATCGCCTCGGGTTGAACAGGTACGGGTGGAGATCACCGTATTTCTCCATGTAGTTCGGACAATGGGACTCGACGTCCGAGGCCGTCTCTGACGAATAGGTGCCGATGTCATCCGCCTCAACCTCGTAGTCGTCCAGGGCCGCGAGGTCTTCGTCGAACGAGTCGTCCCAAAACAGATTGAGTGCCCCCACCAGGTCCCCGGCGTTATTGTGAAGTGTCGTGGCCGTGACGTACCACTTGACAGGCGCATGCATGAGGTACACCGATTTGAACATCTTCGTGCGAGCGTTTTTGATTCGATGCGCTTCGTCACAGACCACGCGGTGGTAGAGACCCACAAAGTAGGAGACGTGGTACGTGCCTTCGCTCGACGTCGCCGCGTCGGCCGCCTCAGCCTCTTCGAGTTCGTGGTCTTCGGATGGCTCTTTGTCTTGATGGGGGTCACCCTGCATGACGGACTCCATCCATTGGAGATGTGTCTTCATCAAAGGATTGTCTGATCGCGGTTGGGGAACTTCTTCGAGGATGCCTAAAGACTGGTCAGTGAGGGTTCAACGAATGGGGGGGGGGAAAGGTCCATGGAACACATGTGAGAAGAGGAACGGAGTCGATCCGGAATCCACATGTGACCCGAAGATCCCGAGGGGCATGCTACGTACTGGAAACCTTTTCCGCCTTCTCTTTCGGAGCCTCGAGAAGGGTACGGTGCGCCATCGTATCATACGAGTGAATCACGACGCCAAAGGCGCTCATGGGGTTGTCGGGGGGAAACGCTTTCTCGATTTCCTCGCGGGCCGCCAGCGGGTTCGTTGGCAAGAGTCGGGATTTCATGTCGAGGTCGCGAGAGTCGTGCTGTCGGCCATAGAAGACCTTCCATTTCAGGGCGTTGGAAAAGTACTTCAGCAACTCGTCATGCCACACTCGCACCGTGGGCGGCGTGCCGACGATGGCGGTCGGTCGAAAATCCAAGTCCTTCTCCCCCGCGAGGTGGCGGCGGAGTTTCTTCAGCCCCGACACATAGATCCCCAGGAGCTGAATGATGGTTTTACCCATGCCGCAGTCGAGGCCGTTGATGCCTCCCTTGAGGGGGCCTTCCTCCATTCGCAGCTCCCATGCCGCCACGATGTGCTGCCAGACCTTCGGTCGGAGTGGGCTCCCGCTGCACGCGGGGTCGATGCCGGTAGGGTGGTCGAGACTGGGTCGAAAGACTTTCTCAGAGTCCAACGTGTCCAGCTGGTCGTCAAAGGTCAACTCCCGAAGCGCCTCTTGAATGGTCGGAAGTTGAACGGTCACGGTGCTGAGTGAATTACGGACGTCCCAGAAGGCCTTGTTCTTCATGCGTTCGACAAAATCTTCATTGTTCTCCGTGGGGAGACGGTTCGCGGCGGAGATCGCTTCGTCGGCGACATCGTCATTTTCATCGGATGGTCGGTCGTGGAGAATGTTCGCTCGCGAGGCCATGGTTTGCAGGACAAATTTGATCGTCTCGGCGTCCAGCGGAGGGAGTTTGGGGCCAGAATAGTCCTGTCGAAATGTTAGCGAGTCCGGAATGATTGGACGGGCCCTGCCCAGGTACCACATGTGGAAAGTGGGCGGCGAGACGTGGCCAGTCTCTACATGTGGTACCCGGAGGGGGGGGGGTTACTTACGTGCTTGCCAGAGAGCCCGGCGGTGGTGTCGTCGAGCGTGTCGCCCGTCTGACCGATCTCGTTGACGAGGTGCTCGGTGGCCGCGGTCGTGTCGAGGTGGACTGGCGCATTCCACTCAGCAAACTGTTCGTAAAGCAGCTGCGCCTGTGCCTTGGCGGTAGTGATGGGAGCCCGTAAATCGCGCACGTTGGCAGCTTTGGTGGCAGCTTGGATTTCCTCGTATTCGAGGTAGTTTATCCGTGTACTTTTCACGTCGATTGCATTGTACGCTCCTTTCTGCTTGGCGCCACGGACAAAGTCGTAGTGTCTGACAAATTTGAGAGCCCGGTAACAGTCTTCGGGAGCTAGCTCATCGAGCCACTGGTCGTTGGCGTCGGCGAGGCGAGTGAATGACTCTCGAAAGACTTTGGGATCGGCGCGGATGACGTGGATAACAATGGCCACCCAGCAGGCCCGAGCGAAACTCGTGTCGGTCTTGAGGTCATCCCACGTGGGACAAGATTCGGTGGCCAGGTTGCCGGTCTTCAACTTGAGCAGATCGTACCAACGGTCACCCGGGATCGCGCCACGCATGTGCTCCATGATGGCATAATCGGCAATGGTGCTGGTGGGTTTCCAGTCTGGAATCTGAAAACAGTCATCCCGAGCGTCGAAGAACGGTGCTAGGCTGGCGTCATGTCGGTCAATCATATCAGAAAGACCCTGAGTGGTGTCAAAACCGAGATATCCAGCGAGCTCTCTCTGTTTGCGATGCAGTTGCGACTTGTCGGCTATGACGTTGATGCCAGGAATGTAAGTCTTCAGCACCACCTCTTTCCACTTCTCTAGGTCTTTGATGCTCTCCGCAGGCGCCTTTCGTCGAGCTAGATTCTTCTTTCGGCGACGTTCCAATACCTTGTCATCTTGGTCAGTCTTCTGCTTCTTGGCAGCTTGCTGGGACTCCGACGGTTGCTTTCGTTTCGCTGGCGCAGTGCTGGCTTCGGCGAGTGGCGTGTGTGGTTGGTCCGTGGTGGGCGAGGACCGATCATCTTCCACGGTGGACGGATCTGGTTGAACGATGGCAGATGACGATTGGTGAAGCCCGTCGGACTGGGCGTCGCTTTGAGTAACCCGATCTTGACTAGTCACCTTCTTCTTGACTGCCTTTTTCTTGGCCGCAGCCTTGCTCTTCTTTTGAGGTGCCATGGTGAAATTAGGCCCAAGAAGGCAGGGAACACATGTGGAGCTTGGACACCCAATTCCAGGCCCACCGATCTGAATTCTGGCTCACCGTTGGCTAAGTTTCACGGGATCTCTGTTCGCGCGCGCTCGCGGCGAGGCAGAAGGGTGCTGAAGGTTGACTCTATTTGACTGCTAGAGTTCTAGAGACTGCCGAGAGCCGGGAAGGTTGAATGGGTGCTGATAGAGAGGGTTGAAGATGATGATGTTGGTACAGGGCTGGGAGGAGGTGTGGGAGAAGGAAAAGGTTGGATCGCCAGGTGAGAGAAAGGTGAGGCAGTAAACACAGGCGGCGAGCGCCATGCTCATTGTTGAATATGAGCAGTGAATACAAAGCCATCGGTGAATATGGGAGGTGAACATAAAGCCATGTGCCATATCTACATGTGGTACTTGGACAAAAGAACCTAGAGCCTTTGGTTGTGTGGCTCAAATCTACATGTAGTCCCTGTTCACTTGCTCATGTAACAATTCATTTTGATGGAGTGGTGTGACAATGAAAGGACACTCTTTGTCTCACCGTATTGACGCGAGGAGGCAATCCAGAGACTACCATCGCACATTGAGACAATGACAAGTATTTGCTCGGTTGAAGGCGGGCTGTAAGTTGGGATTCGTGTCGATGAGTGTTCGTAGGAATCGTTGTGGGAACCGTTGAAAGATTCGTAGCAGGAAGCCATTTCACAGACAGCATTACAGGAAGCCCCGCCGAAGTCAGGTTTCATAGTGGTGACAAAGGTCTATATTGAATAATACCAACGGCCTGACTCGAATGCTGTAATAGCAGTTTCGAAGACCTGTATCTTGTTTGGTGCAGGAAACCCGTTTGTCCAGCAAACGCAAATTCCGACTCACGCTTGCGAATCGGAACGAATCCGCTGTGTAATCTTTGAAATACCGGTGCGAGACAGTTATGTAAACATGGACTGAAACATGACCGATGATTGGTATTGCCTGAGAACTGGAACAGAGAGAAGACTGAGATGTTGGAGAGACTCGGTTGGAAAGGTAGAGAGTCTAATTTGCGGTGGACTCGAGTGATTAAATAAAGAAAAGGAGTTGAGTGACGGTTTGAAGAAATGAATCTGAACTGAAGCCTAAGTGACTTGATTGTGAAGTATGCATGAAGTTGACTACGTGGTAAAGCTATGTAACGACCGTATATATATAGTCTGCTTGTTGGCGTCTCAGTCACGTGCGAGCCAAAGCACGTGCTAATGATCTTGGCACCTCGCAACCACTACCTCATCGCACTTTGCCTGTTTTTCATTTTACGTCGCATCCTTCATAGAGAATATCATCTAGTCATTCAAGTACGCTCGTTCATCAGTGCTCAGTGCCGATCGGTGTTGCTCAGTGCTGCTCAGTCTGTTCACTACTGATCATAACTGAGCATACCCGAGGACCTCTGATCATATCACGTGACCCTTGACTAATCTTCTCAGCACTCTCGGCACTCCTTCCATACCCGGTCAGTGGCTGTCGTCACAGCTTGGTACGCGGCCTGCTGGTCAGGCCTGTTCGTAACACTTTCCTAACTTCACGCGTTGTCCTTAATGTACATAAGGTGAGCGTGTCCCCGTCGGAGGTTGTCTTCTTTCTCGTGGCTAACAATGCCTCAGTATCGAGTTTCGAAAGCTAGTCGCTCTTCTACTTCCCGTCGCCATACCGCCGTCTCCCGAATTGAGGCTCTGGGTCGCTAGAAGTTCGCCCTGGGCCGTTGTACCCCTTGTCAGAACTCGAACTCCTTGTGTTTCATGTTGGATGGTTATTCAAAATGTTCGTTTTGCACCCAAAAAGACGTAAAAGAGTGTGACGAACATTTTTCGCTGAGGAATTTGACGCGCTAACTGCGCAGCGAAATCGACTGGCTGAAGCCGCTCGCCGGAAGAGCAAGGATATTTAAAGAATGTTAGTAGAGGCTACTCGCATGCAGCTTGCTCTTTCCGATGCCAACGCTGAATGGAAGCGGTTACCCCGTGAGGCTAATACCTTATTAGATAAGCAGAAGAAATGGTTGAAGAACTAGAACTGTTGGATAAATTGGACCATGTGGATTCTCCCCTAATCATCTTGTCCACCTTTTTCGTGGGTTTAGATGATGCTTATTTGAAGCAGATATTTGAGCTAGAGCTGGGCTCCATGTCGTCGTTTCTTGGTTCTATTTCAATTTTTAGTCTTCGGCGAGGTAGATCGGTAAGCCCAGCGAGAGACAAACATGTACGAATTGAGAGAGGACAGAGGAGATTAAATAGATATGGTGCCACTGAATGTCTCTTTAGAAAGACCTCACGTGATAGTATATTTAGTCTTGTGTGTATTAAACAAGCTCTCAAATGCATCGAAATAACGTCGTATATCACTTGATTACTAGGCTTGACTTATTCGATTATAGCTATCGCCGATTTTTTGACCCGATGTGTCCAGATATTAAAGTATCCTTCGAGTTATGCTTGCAAAAACTCAGCCTCGCCGGTAATTCCTTGGATCATACCCCGTACGTATCAATATATCTTGGCACTAGATATAGGGAATAGGTACGGAGTACGTCCTCCATTCTTAATCTTCTCTATTTTCTCTCAATTCTCGTCTGTTTGTCTGTCGTTGATTGCATATGATATTTTGCTGTCTGTTTATGTTCCAACTATAGTCCTGCTCTTATGCAGCTACTATCTTGTCAGTTTCACAATGGATAATTTTCAACTCGTCTGATGTTGAGGTCCGCGAGAACGAAGCAGAGCCGCCACAAGAATTGGTCGCCGAGCAGTCTCCTCGATCATTGAGAATGAAGCCGGTGAACGAGTTCAACCCACCCGAGATGTCGCCAATGCTCTCGGTACCACAGTCAATCGTCGCTATCGGTATGAGTTATTCCGACAGTCCGCGAGATATACACCTAAAAAATCCACTCTCGTATCGACCAAGTACTTGAGCATATCCAACAAGTGACACATTGGATCGGAAAGCCTTCGAGTTGGATGCGTCGAGAGGTAAGAGAAAGCAGAGCAGCATTTCACCGAAGAGACTGACATGGGAGGGATGACTTGAGTTTTCATAGCCAAATAAATAATATCTGACATGTCCTACTTCACACCCTGTACCACGAGAACGGTGCCGCCCTCTCTCAGCAAGGGGCGATAGATTCGTAGGTCCATGACGGGGTTTTCCGTCAAACGGTCCAAAATGGTCACAACGGTGGCGGGGCGCACAAAGCACCGACGTCGAGAGAGCACAAAAGGGAAAGTGGAAGAACAGCCATTACTACCGACTTGGGTACTCTGGGATACGGACAAAGTATTGACTCACTCACTCTCCTAGACCCCAAGGTTGGCAGCATGTGTCAGGATTACTCCGTAAGTAATGAATGAGTCTTGATGCCCGTTTTTTTTGCCTGGAAACACAGATCTTGGATGTCGTCATTGGCCGAGCTTGCGGATTAATTTTACGGGTCCAACACACATCTTTAAGGTACTATTGTATGTAAGAGTGACTCGCCGTACAGTACTCCGTATTAGTGATTAATATATTATGGGACTCACTGTGCAAAAAGACTCACACACTTTGCTTTGCCCTTCAGACTAGATCTACGAGTTACCATTACGACTTGCCAATTCCTCAATCGTCCACAAAAACGTCTCACTTGCTTTACCTTCCCACAGACTATAAGTTAATTAATATCCCATCAAATCCTCCTTCTCCTCCTCCTCGTCAATACCTACCACCGACTGCCCTCGGACGCAAAAAACCTTGCCCCTCCTCGGAACCCTCCCCCCCTCACGATCTCGAAGTCTTGGTTGCACCTTTTTTGTGTTTGCGAAAAAACAAAACATTTTCCAGAAGAACTTGACGAGCGCCGAATAAATCATGGCTGTCCGAGCACAGGTAAGAACAACAACGTCTCTCTCTCTCCGAGACCGTCGCCCCCCTCCCCCCCCGGCTTGATCGATTAGGGCCCTCCGTACTGACTTGTCGTAGTTTGAAAACTCCAACGAAGTCGGTGTCTTTGCGAACCTCACAAACTCCTACTGCCTCGTGGCCATCGGGGCCTCGGAAAACTTTTACTCCATCTTCGAATCCGAACTGGCCGACCTCATCCCCATCGCCCACTGCACCATCGCAGGCACGAGGATCGTGGGTCGTCTGACGTCTGGGAACAAGAATGGCCTGTTGGTGCCGACCTCGACGACGGACCAAGAGTTGCAACACTTGCGAAACACGTTACCGGACACGGTGAAGATTGAGAGGATAGAGGAAAGGTTGTCGGCCTTGGGGAATGTCGTGGCCGCGAATGACCAGTTCGTTCTTTTACCCCCCCCCCTCCTCCCCCCCTCCCTCAACCGCCCAAATTTTACCTCGCCCCGTCTCTGTCAAGCGGCTATTTGTCATTTGTCAGGATATGGTCGTCACGTCGTCGTGCAGTCTTTCTGACAGAAACTTCCATCTCATAGTGTCGCCCTCGTCCACCCCGACATTGAACGAGAAACCGAGGAGATCATCGCAGATGTCCTGGGAGTCGAGGTCTTCAGACAGACCATCGCCGGCAATGTCCTGACGGGTTCCTACATGGCCCTATCGAACCAGGGCGGCATCGTCCACCCAAAGACGTCGATCCAAGACCAAGACGAACTGAGTTCCTTGCTGCAGGTGCCGCTCGTGGCGGGCAGTGTCAACCGCGGAAGTTCCGTCGTCGGTGCGGGCATGGTCGTCAACGACTGGCTCGCGGTCACGGGCATGGACACCACGGCCACGGAACTGAGTGTCATTGAAAGCGTCTTCAGACTTGGAGAGGGTGGTCCAGGTGGCGTGGACGCAAGAATGAACGCGAACAAGGAGAGCATTGTCGAGAGTTTCTACTAGGAATCGCATTGCTTGCATTGCTTTGCATCACGGCTTCTTCTCTACCTGCCTGCCAACCAGAGGGGTCTTCTCTCCAATTGTTGCCCCAAAGCATCTGTTTACTAGAATCACACATTCCTCGCATCACGGCCTCTACCGCCCGTCCACCAGAGGGGTTTCTCCATTGTTGCCCAAGGCATCTGTCATTGGCACATCTCCCCCCTCATCATCCTCGGCCTGCGCTTGGGCAAGGACATCGGCCATGCTTCTGCCTTTGAAGTTGGTGTCGCCGTGGATATCTGTGTCCAGTTCCATCTCCCCTTCGCCCTCGTGTCGACCCTCGCCTTCACCATCTCGCGGCGTACTGGCTGGTGGTGTTTCGACCGGTGGCGCAGGCGGTGGCGGTGGCGGAGGTGGCGTGTCCGAGTCAGGTTTGAGGTTGGCCTTCTTGGAAGGTGAGCCTATCGACTCGGACTCGTGGTCATCTCTAGCAAGCGAAGCGGTTTCATCCTCGGGGCGCTTGCGCTTAAGCGTGCCGTTGGCGGTTTCTTCAGAAGGTGTCTCGATATCTGGCGACGGTGGAACGTTGTCGTCCTCAGCATCAGACATCTTGACATCTTCTAAACTCGGCTCGTCCAGCTTGGGCGATTCTGTCGGCGAAGAGGCCGCTCCGGCTGCCTTCTTTCGCTTATCGCGAGCAGCCTTTTCGGCTTCGTGCTTCTTGTGTTTTTGATAGGCCTTTTCAAAGAATTGTTTACAAAATTCTTTGACTTTCTTCTGTTGCCGCTCGTCAATCTTGGTCGGGTCATTCACCCGGCCAGCCTTGTAATCGGACGCGACGAGCTTTTTAGAGATTTCTTTGCCGAAGCGCTTCAGGTCTTCTTTGGGGATCTTGTGCTTGTACCTGCTCATCACATGCGAGATGTGCGGGAAGAGCTGTGGCCAAAAAAATGTCAGCAATGAGTATCTAGATACGCAAGGAGAGACAGCTGAAGGAGGTCCTCCAAAATGTTTTAGAACAAAAACAAAGATTCCACTTACGGTATTTTCGTACAATTTCATCTGCTTCTCTTCATTGTACGACTTCCACCGCTCTTCCTTCTTGACCTTTGTCGCGGGCTCCGGGGTCTCAGGGGTCGCCGTGGTCTTTGTTTCCTTCTCGCGGGACGTGACGATGTTGTCGATGATACTCCTGAGGACGTCTTGTTCCGAGGGCTGCTTGGGTTGACTCGGGGGTTGGTCAGCCGGTGCCGTTGGCCTCACCCACGTCGTCTGTCCGGTGGCCGAGTAGTAGTACGTCCGTCCGCTGTCCTGAGCCGCGAACCAACCCCTGGGGAGCGCGGGAGGTCCCCGATTGAAGGGGGGGCCGCCGCCGCCGTGCCGAGAGCCAAACTGGCCCGGCCTCTGCAGCGACCGCGGCCCCGAAGGCACCGACGACGACGACGACGTGTTGTTGGTGTTGTTGTTGGACGGGCCCCGCGGAGGGGGAGGGCTACGCGGCGACGGTGATCTGGACTCGGAGCGTTTCCGCTGCTGGGCGGATTCCCTTCTTTCGAAGGCGGTGTAGGACTCGGTCTTGACCTGTGCCGAAGAAGCGTCCTCGTTCTTCTTCTTCCGCGGTATGCGGTACCCCAGTTCCAGTTTCGACCAGGCATCGAGCAGGGACGACGCCTGCGAAGCCACCCGTTCGTCAGAGTGCTCGACGAGGGATTTCATGGTCGTGTCGATCTTGGCGTCGACGATCTTGTTTCGGGTGAGTCGAGGTAGGTGGTCGAGGACGTCGAGAATCTGGAGGATTATGTTCTCATCGTCTCTCCAGGCAGAAAGCTGCGAGTTTAGTATCTGATAGCCGTGGAACCGGACCACTCTGTGCCACGCCTGGTCGTCCGTACACCTCTGTATGCGCTGCAGCAGCTTCACGGCGATCCACTTCTCTTTGCACTGCATCAGTGCAGCCATGACTTTTGTCACGCCGTCAACGTCCAACGACCTCGCCTCGAGGCTGTCGACGTATTCTTCATCGTCCTCTGATGTCTTCTTCTTGCGGGGACGTCTCGCCACGGTAGTGTCCCACGTGTCGGCATCTTCAATACCAAGTGCCTCGATGACCGCCGTCGACAACTTGGTGGCTCTTTCGGTCTGAGTCTTGCCACCGATGTAACCCGTGCAGTTGGACTCTCCGCAGTAGCATGGTTGTGGATTCGCACCGTAACGATCGACGTTGTAATTGAACACCAGCTCTTCACCGGCTTTGATGTTTCGTTCAGCGAAGATGCCCATGCGGAGTTTGTCTCCAACCACCCATTTGTCGACGTAACAATTCGGGTTGCAAGAGTGGTTGCAGAAGCGGCCGAGGTTGCCCTTCTTTGTAGCATCGATGAATTCGCCTCTGCTCAAAGACATGAAGTAGAAATGTTTGATGCCCTCATCGTCATATTGCACCATCCGCTTTCGAAACGTAGATTCGGGAATCGTCTCTCCGATGTACTCAAAAATGAAGTCGTGGGGCCGGAGGTCGACGTTGGTACGGAGGCCATACCCTTTCTTCTCCGTCTGGATGACAGAGACGTCGGCAAAGAGATGGCGGAGAAACCGTTGATTCTGACAGTTGGTTCCGCAGCTACAGTCGTTGGCACATTCCATTTTACAGGCACGATTGATACAGTCGGAATCCTCGCCGCAGGCGAGGTTTTGTTTGGTGGAAGGATCTAAAGTCCAGTCAGTGCGGCAACTTTGATGAAGAAAGGATCAAAACTCACCCCATTCTTCCACACAGTCGCAGTCGAGGGCATGTTCGCTGAATCCAAGATATTTATTTTGATAGGTACAGGCGTCGAGGAGGGAAAACGTAGAGGTCGCTTCTTGAGTGGCGTCGGGAAGGTGATCAAAGAGCGGCGCGATGCGAGGAGGAAGTTTTGATGATGTTCGGGACGATTTCGCGGGTTTCGAGGGCTCCTTGGGTTCGGGCTTGACAGGCGAGGTGGAGGATGAAATGAGGCCACTGGCATCCCTAGGCTCGTTCTTGGCGACTAAATCTGCCGCCGAAGGTGGTTTGGAGGTCGATGACGAGGTCGACGACGAGCGAGAGGATTTGATCTTCGCAGTCGGCGAAGATGTCGATTCTGATGGACTAGCTGCTTCCTCTTGCTTAATGGCCGCTACGCGGGCGTTACTGGGCTCGTCGGGCATTTCGCCATCCGCCGACTCCTCGCGTTTGAGCTCGGGGGTGGCCCCTTCATCGCTGGGTTCAAGCCGAGACGACGTTCTGCTTAAGCGACCCATGTTTACGATGACTTCGACCTATGTGAGGTCCTGAGCGCTGGAGTATGCCTTATCACAGGGGCATGGATGAGGTGGTGAAAACGTCCCACAGGTGCTCACGACCATCAGCAGCTATGAGACCAGCGAAGCTCCACCTCAAACTCAGGTCAGAAATCTCCAAAAAGCGCCTTTAAAGTGTCGGTGAACACGGTCTCAAAGCTTGAGCCGTTGATTTGGCGTTATTTGGACGGTAGAGATCGGAGTTGACTGGCACACCGGGACACGTTGTCGATCAAGAGAACCTTGGACAAACGAGGGGCACCTTGATGTCCGTGTGAGAACGGACGACTGGCAGTGATTTTTAAGATGAATCGATGGCACCGGTGGCTTTTGTAGCAGACAACGTGTGTAAATCGCAGCAAGGGCGATCAAGAAGGAGTGAAGGTTGATTATTCAAAATGGCAGCATGGGATGTCGGTGACTATCGATCGATGCCTTCATTTTCCGCCACACCGGGGATATTGTGCAGCTCGTAATTCTTCCAAGGCCGATCACTCTCACGCGAGCCACATGCACCAGATCCAGCTCGCCAGTGCAAAGATGAAGAAAAAGGGAGAGTAGGAGAAGAAGAAAAAAAGACGTGGCAGATTGCGAGTGTAGTCTGCAAAAGCAGAAGCAGGCCTCATCAACTTTTGACAGCCGGTGAGACCAACTTGCCAAGACCAGCCAAACAGAAGATCCGATTCCGTCTTTCCAGCTCTTCGTCGCTTTTCGCTTCCCATTCCCAATCGTTCCCATACTTGATTGTTGCCTATGCCTATGACTGTTTCCCGCCATCTCCCCTTCCATCACCTTTCCTCGTGCCTCGTATTTGACACTTTCGCCCCGGCAAAAAACCACCGGCCATACGCAGATATCGCAATAACAACGGCATGAATAGTGGCCTTCGTTGTCGTTTGGCTTTCTCCTTGCCGCCGCTTCCACTCGTATGTCCTGCCATGGCAATTCCGCGAAGAGCATGGTCCTTGGTAGAGCCTATCTAGAATCGCCCCTAGTCCCCTATAGCTATAGTCTGTGAATCTGCGAACAAATCCATGTCACTCGAAGCTTGAAGCACCTTGTGTGGTATGCAAAGCCCTATGCGTCCATCTGCACGTGTCGAGAAAGCAACGGGTGACGACTCTGTGATGGTTAGCTGAGCTTGAAGACCCTATGCATAAAAATGTCCAGGCATTCCACGGGTAGGAGTTGGCAGTCTGTGCAGGTGCTCAAGCCAGGCGTTCGTCTCCAAATCAACTTTCCTCATTGCCCGACCGGGTTCGTTTGCTCTTGACCATATCCACAAAGCCACGTATCGAGGTTTTGGCTTGTCGGCCAGCGTCTACCGCCATGCCTCGCCATTGTGAAGGCGGCCTCCCGGGAGACCAGGGGCTGCTTGGACCGGACGGTTCTACATTTCCTCCGGCTGTGGGAGGTGAGCTGGGAGTTGATGGATTCGACTTCTCTTGTGCTTCTTCCTGCCTTTTCGCCTTCTCTGCTGCAATGAAATCCCTTCGCTCCTGTTTCCTACGTTCGTACTCCTCCCTCGCAGCTTGTCGCAGTGCTCGGCTGACCTCGGTCACTCGAGCTTTTCGGGTTGAGAATTGAGTGTAATCCTTAAGGTGATTTTTCGCTTCCTCTCCCACAGCGGCCCATTTACCTGCCAGACCGCTAATGGCCAGTAATTTCGCATCTACGCGGCGAGTCAAGTAGACATGTGGTTCTTTGTTCTCTTCCTTGGCTTTAGCCATGATCCGTTCAATCTCATCGCGGTACGCTGTTTCGTATATGTCCACATCCGCGGCCCCTGGACTCTCGCTAACGATCGGTACATCGTCATCGTCTCGGATAAATGACTCGTCATCATCGTGCTGAGAACTGAATCCAGAAAACGTAGAGGGTCCAATATACAAGTACAATTGGTCCTCGAGAGGATCATGCGCCTGACCCCGCCGACCTACCTCATCTGTCGTACGTGAATGTGGTCTCAAGGAGCGGAATGGAGGCAGCTTCTCGGCATCTAGGCTCTCAATTTCGGCCATGTTTGGAGCTTGAGGGATATCATCTGAATCTGTACTGACGTCGCTCGCTATTGCAGGCGGTATGTTCGGAGATGCCACATTTTGCTTACTTTTGTCGGACAGAGTGGTATCGTCTACACTCAGTGTAGGTACAGGGCGCAAGTTCAAGTTCCTCATGCCGGCCTGTATTTCTCCACCCTCAGCAGGCGCCCGTTGAGCATTGCCACCTGCTCGAGCCATTGGATCTTTCCTCATGGATGCAGGGGGGTACGAGAAATGTGTGTCACTTTGATCTCCAAGGATCGAGGTCATCGGGTGAGCCTTATTCTTGTCGAGGAGCGACTTAAACTTATTCACCGCTTTCACCTAGAAGAACGATCAACCGATGTTCCAGCTGGCTTCTATTGAGCATAACATACCACTGTCAACAAATCCCTCATATTGATTGTAATTGCAGAATTCATCTCGGCTTCTGTCGGTGGTTCCACGAGATCGGAGGTGTTCTCCTCCTCCGATAGTAGCTGATCGGCGCCACGAAGGGTGACCCAGGGATGTTCCTGGGGAATGTCAGCTTCATGAAACAAGAATTCTCTGACACCTACCCTGAGCTCTTGCATTTTGATGCGCTTTTGAGGATCCTTCTCCAACAACTTGGTCATCAAATCTCGGAAATCTTCGTCTTCATCTGAAGGCATAGTTGGGTCTTCGGCTTTGATCGCATCATACAGTTCAAAGATACCGGTCTTCTCGAAGGGAATACGTCCGTATTTGAGGCAGAACAATGTGACACCCATAGACCAGATATCAGCCGCTCGCCCGGACACGTTACCATGTTGAGCGACACAGAGTTCCGGAGGAAGAAACGCGGGACTTCCTGCGGACTTCGCGGTCAGCATCTCGGAATCTTTTGCAAACATCTCCGATACTCCAAAGTCAACGACCTTGAGCACATCATCCTCAGTGATCAGACAGTTGTCTGGTTTTATGTCGCGGTGCAGGACGCCTTGCGCATGCAAATATTCGATCCCCAAGATCAAGTCTCGGAACCAATATCTGCAGACATGGTCAGGGTATGCATCAGCCCTTTCGTCAAGTCCCACTTTCATCACTACTCCCTTTTTGCACATCTCCATGACCATGTATAGAGAATCTTCGGTAGGGTCGTCCAACACTTCAATCAGGGAGACAAGATTGGGGTGATTCAATTTTTTCATGATAGCAATCTCCTCTTTGATAAGCTCGATGGCGTTTGTTTGGTGCTTCCCATCTTCTCCCAGGTTTCTGTGTAGAGGAGAGTTGAAACCTTGCAACGCACCACGGCGTCGTTGACTGAGAGGTTTGCGGAGGATATGGGATTGGGCGCGCTTGCGGAGTCGTGCTTTGGAAAATTCTTTGACGGCCTAGTAGCATTCAGCGGATGTTCAATGACGCTCTACTACAAGCCTCACATATTCAGTGCCGTACTGATCAACTGCCAAATGGACAGCTCCGAATGATCCCCGCCCAATTTCTTGCTTGATGATATACTGGTTTATACGATGTTCTGCAACTCCGTCGTCCTGGCTTGTAACGTACTCTGATCGAGCATTGAGGGATTCCTGCAGGATTTGAGTGAAAGGGCCTCTTTGCAATCAGGGAATATCAGGTACCTTGACCTGCTTCGGCGCAGAGGGTGTTCGACGGTGATGTCGGAGAGGACTCGGGTAGTCGGGACTGGTCCTTGACAAAGGTTAGCTGGGAAGTGTATAGCGATCATCAGTAGCCCTACAAATGCTGTCTCGGTGGTGGTGTCTTCAGAATGGGTTCATGGTTGTTGTTGCTCTCGAGGCCAACCGCAGGTGATTCTGATCGGGATTGAGATTGGCGGGGTTGGGTTAGGCTGCGAGCCGCGAGAAAGTCAACAGCTTCCTCCGCCGACGTGGACGTAGGGGACGAAACGATGTCCATGAGGTCGTCGACATTACATGGGGCCGTGACAAAATGGCGGATATGGTTGTTGCAATCTTGACGGAAATGTTACATGATAAGTGGTGGTGCAATGACGAGAGGTGGTGTACTCCGTTCGCATTGTGAGGGACAAAGCGTCCACCGCACGTCTTCTCCAGCACCTCACTTTCTGTCTCCAATTCTAGTCGATATTGCTGCGCCTTTAACTCAACCACAGGGATTGTCAACACCCGCTGACACCGACTGGTACCATATCTTCTCGAGTATGCTCATGTGTCCGTGGCTGGATTGCCGGTAGTTATACTTGCCTGTAATTGGGACAGTCGAGCCTCTAAGGCAGCTCATCGGACTGTGGTCGGTATGGTTGTTTACTCCTTCTATATATTTGACCGCCATGGTAAGTAGCGCCGTGAGACTCTATGTTGGTGGAGCAGACACTGACGTCTGCCTGTGTAGCGGAGTGTATCTACAAGAGAAACTGGATGCCAGCATACATGTCTTCCACGGGCAAGTCATCGAGACCATCGTCACAGGCCTACGTCAACGGTAGCACCCAGGGACGTGCTGGTTTGAGTGCAGACGACGATGCCAAACTGATCTTTGGCACTGTCTTTTCATTGCGGAACATGGTTCGAAAGCTGGGTGGTGAGGACGACAGGTGAGATAACACACGGGCGTAACGATGGTGGCTAACACAAGGGCGCAGCTTCCTCTCCTACCGAACATCCCAATACAAGCTCCATTACTACGAGACACCAACGAACACCAAATTCGTTATGCTTACCGACACCAAGTCTGGTTCCATGCGCATAGCCTTACAACAAATATACGTGAATTGCTATGTTGAATATGTGGTGAAGAACCCCTTGTCGCCCGTCGAGCACCCTGGGGGCATAGGCGTAGACAATGAGCTTTTCGAAGCAAGTCTGGAACAATTTGTGGTATGTGGACCATTCCATGTGATCTATTATCAAAGTAACGAGCCTATTCAGGATCGGGTATTGAACGCCTCGTGAATGCATGCAATTTGATCAGACACAGATGTGCATCGTGAACGAAACCATTGCTGGAATTACCTGGAAGATTCCCGTCTGTTCAGGGATGACACGTCTCGCATTGAACTCTAGGCCACGGCCACTACTTGTCCACTCGTATCCGAACGGTTGCGACAAGCGGTGGTCATGCATTAGGGAGATTTGAGAGGGGAAGGACAAGCTTAATAAAAGCATGGTCATCCCTGGATGCTGGTTTGCTAACTGAGACCTCACACATGGACTCGTCGTCGAAGCGCGGACATCTTGATCACGATGAGGTCAAAATGATCCAATTGACAGACGATCCCATCCAGGAAGACACGACGGCGATGGCCTCAGCCACTGCAATTGGTTCTCGAAGACTACGAGAAGTGCAGGGGCGCGGCAAAGCGAGACATGGCCTGGGAGTACCATGACAAACAGCGTGTCCAGATGCAGCCCCGGATCTAGAACGGACAGAGACGCGGAACCGGATTTCCAGGATCATCAAGGATATGATCCGTCTGGTAAAAACCAATATAAAGACAGAAATGAATCTCTGGTGTCTGATTGGACAATGAGCCATCGACGCCGTCTCAACCTAGAGGAGGCTCTACATAATGGTTCTGGCGAATTAGAAATTCGGGCCGCAAAATTCCCAGAATCTGCAGCCAGTGATGACCTGAGGTCAATGAATAAAATCACGCTGTCACGTACTGTACCGCTCGGCGACCGTTTCTCATTTGTTAACGATTATAATGGCTGGAATTTGGATGGAATTTGGCTTGAAGTTTGACGCCCGTGCTGAAATCCCGATTGAAGGCGGCAAAGCGGAAAAGTTGTTGAGATGAAAATACATTACCTGAAGTTGGTCCGCTATTGGACGCGTTTACAAAAGAAACGCCTAGAGTCGTCGAGGACTGGAAGGTCATACTGTACATCATCCCGATCACCTAATTGCAGGCTGTAGAAGGTTTCGCCCCAGGGAGGATCTTCAAGATCATAGTGTACTTCGGATACTCCGTACGAGTCGGGGCCAAAAGCTTGCGCTTCCCACAACCCTGCCAATCCACGTGTTTGCTTCCCTGCCTTGTGGTTTCCTGGCTCGACGGCTTGCCGACGTCTTGACCGCAGCAAGTAGACGAATTTTGTGAGTAAGTTTTGGCCCTTGCTGCTCTTACGCCCAACGTAATTGCTTGAGACGAGGTTGTTGGTCACATCGCTGGAAGGTATTTGCGTCCTTTTGTGACACATTGATCGATATGCAAATTAGTCAAGGTCGATGAGTCTGTCTCGTATTAACACTGCCGGGCCATCCCAAATTGATACGCATGATGTGTGGCGAAAGGCATGTATGCTCGCAAATACTGTACAGTAGGCTGATCTCAGTGTACAAGTGCAGGGCGACACACAAGTGAAACCGTGTCTGTGGTATGTGCTACCGCCACTTCTGCTTTGGGTTTTACCATACCAATGTCGTGTTCCTCTGGCATTTGTTTGGTCTTTTTAGGCGCCACAAGTGACATCTTTGAGGGAAGCTGAATTGAGTGATAGGCGGCGATGCTAGTGGTACCTGGTCAAGGCCATGCACGGCATGCTAGGACAGGTAGGGCAATGCAAGACCTAGATCGGAACAAGCGGCCAACGTTAGGTAGCGATATTCGCTTGAACGCAGGCAAGAGCTGATGGGAGATTGACCATTCGACAGTCCAAGGTCGGACGGTGGTCGCCTCAACGGTCAGGAGGACAGCTGGCTGGCTGGCTATTGCTGCTGGCATTGATCGACTGACAGATGTGGGGGATTCGGATCGGCCCAGCAGATGATTTGGCCCCTTGACAGAAGACTCAATATAAGGCAGGATTTGGCGATTCAAGAGGCTGAAAAAAAGTGTCAGGTACGTCGGATCTTGCAGAGACAATGTTGTCATTGTTGAGAAGTTCACATATTGTTGTGGTTGCATTGATAGTCTTCCATACAAGGCCACTTTTACTCGTAGAAGCAGGTCGGTTTACTCATCATCCAAGCCATGGAGCCCCAAAAGTGTTCTTTCTGTCTTCTGGAAATTGAAGGGCCAAAGAACTGTTTAGGGCACTTTGTGCTGGGTGACATCGATAAGTTGCGGCCTCGGGCGACACAGGCACCGAAGCCCTGGGCTTGACGATGGCGATGTCCACCACCACCACCATCATCATCCCTTTAATTACGGAATACCGTACAGTGATTTTCGATAATTCTTCTCATCGTGATGACAATACCTATGCAACTCGTTTCCCGTCGCCCAAAGCACTGATACTATTGCTCCTAGTGACTCGAACTATTCACTGTTTTCCGCGGAAGACGGAGTGTAACTTGCTAAGGTGCCTGGGTACGGTAACTAGCGGCGCAACACTCTCCTTTGGTGTTGGCTTGATGAAAGTCGCTTGTCCTCATTCTCCAGTGCCCGACGTCAGACCAAAAATGAATTAAAAGAAAAAGAATGGAAAAAGAATGCTGACCCGAAGCGTGGGAAGAGAATCCACAGTGCAAGTCATTGCCTCTCATGGCGACTTTTCTTTCCGGCCTCTTCCCCCTGGTCTTTGCTAGGCACTGCGGGCTAGAATCACTTGTATTCTCCTAGGCTTAGTGCCCTGCAAGAGTACCCCCTGGTCGTTACTTTAACCCCTGGTCCCTGTCTCTCCCCTGATACACTAAGCTACTGGACCTTAACGCGTCGTCGTCGAAGAAAATAACACCCAAAGGCGTGAGGTCTGAGGTCGTATTCTCCATCCAATCCTACGCCATTGTTCACATCCTCGTTCGCAATTTGCTCGTCCACCGCATCCTGCACCGTTACTTCACATCCAGCCGTTGGTCGCCCTCGCATTTGCCATCTGCAACCGCACCCTGGTCGACCAGGTCTCGACTGCGCAATTCCGTGTTTGGTTGTCATTGGCGAAAATGCATGGCAGAAGGATTGCCTGGTGGGAAAACAGATGGCGCCACGTTGAATGCTCACGCGCACATGAATCATCTCGCTGCTCGCCGTCTTCCTCATCATTCTGAGTCTAATAAGCCCTGTCCATTGGGTCCTGTTGGTGTCTCGCTCTGACAGAGTGGTGGGTACTGCGTATCTTCGTGCGAGTACTCCGTACCTGGCATCAATTTACTCCACCATCGTTTCCAGCGTCGAACCCACTGCCACGACTTGCTACTTGGAGTGAACTACAGAGTGCTATCATCGTCTTTTCTGCGCCGTGGGACGGAGTGTGCCTTTGCCCACCACCCAAGACCGAGCCTCGCTAAACGACCTTCCAGACTCCAGGTATCTGTACCACCGGGCGTCGAAAGAGTCTACTGTACCATATCCACTCTGACTTCCAGCAAGCCATCATCCACCACCCCCGCCATACCCTCGTTCTGGTCACTTCATGATCATGGGTAGTCCCTGACACACTTTCTTCCTCAAGAAGCCAGACTCCTGCCCTTTCGTTTGTCTCGATCCTTCTGCCACTCACATTGTTCAAGGACATCGGGAGCCCTCCATTATATCATCCTACCCACCCCTCCGTCCCATCCTCCTTCACACCCTCTCTGTCCTTGACGTCCGACTTGAGCTGGCCCCGAATATCACACTACTCGACCCGCGGTCATGAGAAGATAGACTCACTAACCAGGCGAGCGCCCAACAACTACTTCCCATGGCCTCGTCCTCTGACCTCCGGGGCTTGTGCCCGCCTCCCTTTTTCGCCGAAAGTTCCTTTCCAGGGACAGGTGGATGTAAGTACCCGTGCTTTCAACTCGGCTATCCGACAACAGACACTGACCGGTCCAGTCGTCTCCGGGCGCTTTTGTATGCCTATAACCGGCAATTACACATGTTGTCTACCCTGTCCGACCACTGACTGGACTTATGGAGATGGTATGTCATGGTACATGAATCGGTGAGCGACGACTGCTGATCTTCATGTTAGGATTTGAGAGTCGAACCGAGATCGCAAATTGGGTCAATGTAGCAGCATTTGTTTTATCGATATATCTTATGCTCTCATTCCTGGTTCTTCCTGTGAAATTCACACATCGACATTATCTTAGTGTCTGCTTGTCACTTGCAGTCATCTTCATCGAGGTTCGTGGCACCCGAGGCAGCTTTACAGCCAAGGCTGACGATATTCGCAGCTAGCGTTCATTATTCCACTGGCAGGAAAACCTGATCAATGCTTCAATGAGATCACACCCAACGATATGCACACTAGCGGCGTCTGCGCAATCAGCGGCGCCTTCCTGATGTTCGGCGGCTGGGCTGTCATCATCTGGGTCTTCTGCCGTGCACTTGCGCTTCATCTTCAAATCTGCTGGGAACTGGTACCTGGCGACAAATTCTTCTACGGGGCTCTCGCGTTTGGCTGGCTGATCCCTCTAATCGGTATGGCCCTGACGTTGGGCTTGACCGGAGTCTCCTTCCGGTTTGGGATCGTTTGCCATGTCAACCACAAGGATTCTTTGCAGGACTTTTGGGGGCCGTTACTAGCTTTTGCTGCGCTGGCCATGGTACTTCAATTCATCACCATTGGGTACTGCGTACATGTCTACATCCGAAGTCTCCTCGATGACAAGACGACGACCACCAACAGCTCACAAGCTCCTACATATTCGGGCAGTATCAAGACACTATCCGCGCGACGGGCTTTTCGCCGAGTCAAGCGGGTCATTGAACTTCAATGGCGCGGCGCGTTCCTGGTTATTGTCATCATTGCCGAGGTCGTTTTCTTCTCCGTGGTCTTTGTGTCAATGGACAACAGCACTCAAGTCAACGAAGCACTGATTAAAAGAGCCCAGCCATGGCTCACCTGTTTAATCGCCAGTCAGGGCGACAAGAACCAGTGTCTATCTAAAGCGGGAGAATTGGTGCAGTCTGAGGGTGTAGTTATGGCTGTGCTCATTATCCTCGGGGTAGGTCTACTTTCCCAACGATTATGGCAACATGGCTAATCATATGATAGTTGAGCGGCTTCTGGTGCCTGATGTTCCTGGGCCGATGGTCCATGCTTCAAGGCTGGGTCGAACTTTTCAAGTCGCAGTTTAAACGCAAGAACGAATTCGTCTCGGCTGATGCCAGACGGTTTTCGAACGACGCTCGTACGTACGAAATGCTAAGCGGAACGGGGCATCAACTGAACATCACATCCCCAGATCGAGTTCTAAGCCCTACCTCGCGCGGAGGAATCATGTCCCCAGAGCCTGATTCGAAGCAAGATTACGCAGGAGGCGCACGAACTTATGTCAACCCGGTGACGAGTTACTCCTATCCACGACCGCCTAGTCAACACAAGGACTGGGACCCTAGAGCAACACATGCCAGGCCCGATGTCGCATATGATATGCAGACATTCAAAGGGTGAACATTGCCCACACTGGGCCACAACACACGACCTTTCCTTTGAACCACCACCCGTGTACCTATATCCTTTTCGGCAGCCACCAAGGGTTGAATTTTCTCAATGACTTGGTAACAAACAGCAGACCTGCACGCTACCCACGGAGAATGGTTCGAAGCAGACATTCTTTTATCCCCATTTATATCTCATATTAACATCGAGCGGCATCATTCATGATTTGATTGTACAGAGCCAGTGGAGTCTAGGACTGAGACGGCCCTTTTTTGGGGGGCAGGGACTTGTCAATAGAACAAGAGCAAACGTATCGGTTCGCGCCGAAAAGAGGGACCAAGGTACAAAAGCAAGCATTTCGGGGAAGAAAAATGACCGACAGTATTCTCGATCATTGTCATTCTACAAGAGAGAGAATGAGACGCAATGTACAAAGAAAAAGGAAAGCGAAAACGAAGTGTAGGAAGAGACGGATATACCCTTTGCAGATCTTGCAGATTTCATGTCTTTGGATGAGAGAGCGAAGGAGCCAGCACCTGACATTTTTTTGGATGATTATTGTTTTTGGAAGACTACTCGTTTTGTATAGGACGAGACTGGACAAGTGGTGATGGTGGTGGTGGATGGGTTGATGGATGCATCGCAGGTGGGTTTTTTGTGGTCAGCACATCTTTTGATGCTGCTATATACCTATGTACTCGTATCTCGTCATTTGTCTTGTAGTACTTTGAGCGGATAGAAATGTTGTTGGAGAGGGAGAGAGAGACAAAAACCAGATTAAAAATGTTGTCTTCTGATCGTGAAAGTGGTGAACATGACTTTTTCGCTCATGTTACGGTCCATGAGTACAACGGTAACACCACATCTGAGGTTCGGTCCATCTCGTGAGAGTTCTACTAGTCTTGGAGAGTTTTCCCAAGGGTCACGATCCTTTCAATCTTTTTCCCACAAACCCGGTAGGAGGTAAGACCAAAGATGTCCTTGGGCCGGGGGTTTGTCTCCCTCGAACCTTGTGGTCCCCGTCCCGTGTACCCGGGTAGGTAGTTACGACGCAAAAAGAAAGGCAAAAGGACGATTTTCCAAATCAAGATCATGCTCCGTAGGTATCCCGGGTACTCAAAAGAGGCTCACAGTAACACTCTCTTGACGGAGTAAAATTCTCCTCCCCCGGTCCCCGGGATGGTGCTTCCCCTTCCCCCCCATCATTGTCACATTGTTGCCAGTTTGTTTTCCAAGTTGTTTCTTTTTTTGAGGCGAGATTGTTCCACCCTCGGTAAAAGTTCTCCGTAAGAAGGGTGACGTGATTTGCATGCCCTTCGGTAATCGTGAACCGAGCGAGAGGATTGTACAATATCATGAAAGGGGCCGAAACCCAACAAAGAAGAAAAAAAGGGTGGCCCGATCTTTTTGCAAGGGTTGTTTGGAGAAGGTAGTAAGGGAAAAAAAAGAGAATGTGACGTTGTCCCTTGTACCCTGGCTCATCACCTACCTACATGAGGTTGAGTGGCATTTTGGTTGTTCTCTTCAAAGTCCCGCTCCCCGGTAAGGACAAAGGGAGAAAATGACAAAGGGCTTCGTACTTTTCTCTCGTGGAAATGGGAAAGTAAATGGTACCTGTCCAAGGTACGTGGGTAGGAAGGTAATTTGGAACCAACCTTTTGATAACTTTGTACTGTACAGGATTCACTAGTACAGGGGACTTGCTATGTCCGCCTTCGACAACTACTTGATCGAAGATTTCAGACATCCATTTTCTTTTTGGCACATGTGAAAGTTTGGTTGGAATTTTTGCCTCGGGTGTTGTCGAGAAGAATCTTCTTTTTCTTTTCCTGTACTTACCAGTTCTGTAATACCCTAGGTACATTGGTAAGTTCGGAGGAATATTCTATTTTGGCTTAAATGGTTTGTTGAAGAGTAAGTGAGTAATAAACTCTATCAGTACCGACCTTTTACCTCTTTTATTCCTTGTCTCCGTAGTGTTCCATCTCAGATCCCCATCCCATCGTGTCATTTTTTGAGGGGTTCATGGATTGACATTCAAGTGTACTATAGATTGAATTACCTGGGGGGAGGAGAGAGAGAGAGAAAGAGACGAAGGATGAAGTTTGATGTCTTTGAAAAAAGACAAAAATAAAAGGTGACCAAGAGCGGCCCAATCGTTCCCACAAGTGTTCCCGCGTTTTTCGCGTTTTACTACTCTGTAGAAAAGCCTCGACATGCCTATGAAGCGAAGTACAAAAACTCTGATGAATCAGACGAGCGATCAGGACCATGGTGGTGATCATGGTGGTGGTAAGTGAGTCAGTCGTCTCAAACAATGAATGATGTAACAGTCCAATTCTCTGATAATATCCGTACGGTAAATGTGTTTGAGAATCTGCATGTCAGCGGGATGAGGAAAGATGTTGACGTCGACTGCGTCATAAACTGCCCTAGTGTAAGAGTGTGAGAGTTCATCTGAAGTTCTAGGTAGGTAAACAGTCTACAGTCTACACAATACTCACTTCTCGTATTACTCACTAACTCTTACTCCGTAGTCAACATCATCATCATCATCACCATCACATTACGAATCTCAACTCTTCCGGGTCAAACATGAGCGAAGTCGCAAGCTTGTGACATTGTCTGTTTTGCGACTCTTTTCACACCCTTCAGGATCTTCGTACAGTAAAGTTCGTCATCTTCACGGAAACAGACTAATATAGAAACGAGTCTAGAAACACAAACCCCCGGAGAGTAATGAAAGAGACCCCATTTATCATTCTAGGTTACCTACAATAGGTACACCATGAAAAAAAGAGAACTTCGTTTGGACAATACCCACGAGTTCATCTTCCCGATTCATCATGTTGAAACATGGCCGAACGAGAAGAAGAGAAAAAAAAGAGAAAACCCACCTACCTACTTCCCTTTACGAGTACGATGAAACAACCGAAGTAGGTACTCCGTACAAAACGGTTAGCTTTTAGCATCGAGCACTTTGCAAGGGTTTTTGATGCATCTGATGTTTCGTCGGCCTGCTCTCTCTCTCACCGATTGCGTCTTCTTCTTCGCCTCACGAGTACGAGGAGGAATAAGTTCCGTCGTCGATGACGCTCCCTACGACGACCTTTTGATGCAACGATACTACATGTACTTTGTTTACGGAATATCGCAAGTCATTGACGTGGCTCCAGCCGAGTGTCGATCAAGGAACGGGTTGCGTCAGGAAAAAAACACCGAACGATGTCAGCGATCAACATGACATGACATTTTTTTGAAGATCTCTTTCTGATCCTGTACAAGTTATGACCTACAGTACAAGTAACCCTAGGGTTGAAAGTGGTCGATCATCTCATGCACGAGCGTTTTAACCTTGTACTGGTAGAGAACTGGTCGTCGCGATACGAGCACCTTGAACACCGACTCGCCCTCCTGGGAACTCCATACTTTGTTATCCGTATCGAGTCAGCAAATCTCATTCCTGCCTCCATATCCTCCTTGGTACCTCATACTGTACTCGCTCAATCAATAAATCAGTATTTTCTGATAAAAGGATCGTTTCTCACGTCCAAGTCCAAATTGCGCCTCGACTAACAACTGTACAGGACCCGGCACAATACCATGTATGTACTAGTTCGCCAATCTACACAAAGTACTCCCACTCGAAGACCCCCCCCCGGTGTAATAAAGGCTAGTGATTTCGATGACTACTATACCACAACGGGAATCTTCTCCTAGCGTCGCCGCGTCTTTTGGGTGGTCCGGTGTCATCGTTTAAAAGCTTCTATTGTCCGCGGATGCAGGCATCATGCATACCGGTTGTTTCAGAACTTTCTTCACGATTACTTTTGTACACAACTCCTCCGACGGTGGCTTTTCTTTTGGTCGTTCGAGAATTCTTTCTATGGAGTAGTACTGGTGCGCAGATCAAATTTGTCTTTTTACGTGAAGTCTTAGTTCGCGAGTTCTAAAGAGTATGGGTGTGCGAGGTCACAATGCTGAATCCCCCCCGCCATTTGTTTCAGCCTATATGCGCATACACCTTACTATACCTACAGAAGTTGGTTCTGTCTACGTACTGATGTCACCCTATGGGGCATCTACAAGTCCATGTCCTTGAAGTGTGAAAACAAAAGTGGTTGGGAAACAAATTGTCGCACCATCACGAAAAAACGATGTGCAGAGGACCGTGCCGATACTAACTACTACTACTACTACTTACCACCACCGCTTCCAGACACATGGTAAACTCATCAATATCCGTTAAAATACCATGTGAATTTTGTTGTTATTACACGCCTCAAAAGGTGCGGTTGCGACGTATTCGGTACCGAGTACAGTAGAGGTATTCCGTACACGCACCGTAGGGAATACCTAGCTACAGTACAGCAGGTAGGCCCAAAAATGGGCTTATTAGTCCTTTCCCTTTCCCTGAGTGCCCACCACCACCACCCTGCTCCCCTCCCTCGGCAACTGGTGCTACAATGCTATGTACAGGAGGGTTTCTTCGCTTGGAGCAATACTTCGCTTGCGCCACCGGCTTGGGTTGTTTCGCCATGGCAATGATGGTACCCTCGTACTCGTACGAAGTGATGAATGATTCTGTACCCGACAATCCGTAATTCTTGGACTAGGACTCCTCTTTGTAGGCTTTCAGTCAAAGATCGACGAAGCGGTTTGGGTCCCACAAGGCTCACTACTCGGAACGACGAGGGTGGGACTAATAATTCTTTTGCTGGGCATCTGCACGTGGACGTAAAAGGAAACCCAAGAAGAAAAAAGAGAGAGACAGGGGGGTGCTTTTGGTAATAACCCTTCTCCGTTGGAAGCGTTGCAAGATATCTTTTCAAATGACAAAATGCATTTTTATTTCACACACCCAAGTCGACAAAAAGCCCACCCTCGACTACGGAGAGTACCTGCAAGGGCGAGCATGACTCGTACAACGTTTTGGGGTCGTGGCGTTCGATGGTCGATCACTCATCATGCTGGAAGCGAAATAACATGGATTCGACCACAAGACACAAACACACACAAGACACACCAAACAGACCATGGGAGAAATTGGGTTCCTTTGGGCCATTGGAGTGGAATGATGTGCGTCGAGAGAGTATGGGAGGCTGCCTCGGCGGGGGATCTGACTCGATCCTGTCGTGCAAGACACGCGTGCGCCCGCAAGGTCTCGCAAAGGTAGGTAGGCACCCCTCTCCCACACATCAATGCTCTCTCTCGTGGGCCCTTTTGGGGGGCCAACAAAACGTCGCTTGCGTCTTGAGAAGTTGGTCGCACCGGGTGAAACTCAACATTCTAAAACGTCGGTTCGTCGTGAGAGGGAAGAGAGAGATGCAACTCCCCGATAAAGTTGCACACAAACTGCCACAAAATCCGCCAACCGAGTAAACGGCAAAAGTCATGCGTGTCCCCTCCCGTCCATGCACCAACCTCCACTGGTTGTTGAGAAGGTAAGTGTTTGGTAATTGGGAGGAGGCTTCTTCCAAAGGAGAAAAGAGTTGATATAGGCACGATAGAAATATATTCTCCTTCAGACATCGCGCATTGAGAAGATAGGCACGACGCTGTACACACAAATGCCATTTCACGTATTGGGAATCCACACGACACATGGAAAAGTTGTAGGGGTACTTACCCTTTGCACCATCGTAACCCAGAGCGAAAAGAAAATTCGGCCTGGTTGGTATCGCACCGGCGCGAGAAAAACAACGGAAACAGGGGACAAACGGAGTTGAGGACTGAGATCGAACAGGGAGAGACAACTGTCTTTTTTTTGGAGATGCGCTCTTGTCTTTTTGGTCCTTTCTGGATGAAGCAGAAATTTCGACAACCCGAACCCAAAAAAGGCGAGCTCTATTTTCGATTTCGTCGATATCCTTTTTTTTGTGTGGTCGATGATGGGGCATCGTTTATTTTTCGCTCTGATCGCACATCGTAGAACCTTCCGCCCATGGTTCAGGGTCGTAAAGCCACACACTTTTTGTTGGAAAGCGCTCTCTCGTTGTTCGTCTCGATCGGGGAAACCGTAACCACAAACTCATGTTGACATTCTCACCGACCCCCATTCCTCTCTCCAATTATCTATACGGCATCTCTCTTTCCCTCCTTGACCTCCTTGAGAGCCTTCATGGTTCCGTGCAGAGCATGTCTGTGGTTTCTTCGGAACTTGGGATCGGTGCCCTTGAGGGACGGATATCTGTGGGTCTTTGGCTTCTTGATACTGTTGTTTCACACACATCTGTCAGTCCATGTTTTCCCTTTCCTGGCCGTGGCTGCTGGAGCGCTGGCAGCGTGGGGGAGAACGTCCGTACCCGTTTCGGTGAGCCTTCTTGGCCTGGTTGTGCTGAGACGAGTTCTTTGACTCTGGACGACAACTGTTAGAACGAGACTTCTTTACCGGTCCCCAGAAACCACAAGGCTACTTACTGGCCATCTCGACGGTATTGGTGACCTGAGAATGATGCGCGGCTTGTGTTTGTCGAGAAATCAGTACGATTGACGTCGCGGGAATCTTGAGGTTGCTGAATTTACAAAATGTGGGTGTCCTTTCTGGGAATGTTTGCCGCAGGCTTGGCATAATTTTGGGGTGCGGTCATTGAATTTCTAAAGCGGCATGTAACGTTCATGAGCACGAGTAGGGAGCAAACCTGAAGTGAACATACTTACCCAAGGTATACAGACACATCAAATGCATTAAATCAATCAATTTTCTAAAAGGTATCTTTGATGCTAGCGCTTTGGCCGTCATGAGTCTTTCCATTACACATATAAAAATTGTCTTTGGTATCATCATATGCAGGTCGTTCGTTGCTCCATCACCAAATACTTTTTCCCTCGTTTCACAACTGTCCTCCCTGTGCAATGAATTTGGCGAAGAAAGCCTTGAAGCCCTTGGGCTCCATGGTTGCCAGTTTCTGCAAGTAATCGGAGATCATGCTATCATTCATACCCATCGTTCGCAATTCATTTTCCTGAAGCCAAGAAAGGTATTGTTGGCCAGTCTTTAGATAAATCGTCTTTTGTAAACCTGCCGCTTCAGAAAGTGCTTGACGGGCTTGGGCATCCTTGCTGTTGAATGCCGGGTTAGTCGGCAAAGCCCAGCACAATGGCGAGAACCTAGTTATCATGAACTGGTCGAAGCCTGGAAGTGCCGGCTGAGGTGCGGCTCCGTTGCCAGTCACCTGACCAGTTGCGGAGACCACGTCCGGTCCGCCCCAGACGGTACACATTCTTGACAGGACAATGAATGCCATTTTGGCAGTAGGAAAATCGTCGACATCTCGGGCGAGTTGTTCAATCGAACTGATGACAGATTCAAAAACAGGTTGATTGGTCGCGCTGACTAGAACGGCGCCAAGATCGTTTCCAAGAATGATCATCAGGAAGTTGAGGTACTCTCGCTTCAATTCAGCCAGTTCAATCTCATCATCTGTTCCCGAAGTACCTGCAGACATTCCAGCAAAGACTCTTTGCAGGAGGCCCGAAAACAGGCGATCAAGGAAATTGGAAATGTCATTCTTGAAACTGTAAATGACTTGGTCGAGTAGTCGAAGGAACAATGCCATCTCATCTCTCGTTGACGATTCGGTCAAAAGACCTTCCACCCATTGAGGCAGCTGTTGCATCATTTGAGTGCCCACAATGCCAACCAGGCGTGAAAAGGCAAACCTTGCAGCCGTCCTAATCTGGAACGATGACTTCAGTGCAGTCAGAGTGACCAATGTTGCTTCTGCAACCTGTGCGAAAGCTTGCTTGGCCTGTGAAGCGGGCTCAGATCCAGCAGGCCGTGCGGCGGCACCTAGGGTGAAATCGGAATAACCCCGAGCTATCGTACCGAGCGCCATGATTGAGTGGTGTATCTGGAGGTTGGCCAGTTCGTTCCCTGTCCTTGCAGACTCGAGGTTGCGTTCGATCTCAGAGAACAATGGTTGCATGACGACTTGCACGTATTGCGCTTGTTTATCGGGCCCGGCTGATGTCGCACCACATATACATCCCACGGCTTCGAACAGATAGAGCTGGCTTTGAAATGTCGAGTCTGCACTTGACTCATTGTCTGATGACATGTCATCCCCCTCGGACTCCTTGGGAATCTCCGCTCGGACGACGAGAATGTCCTGTAAGCTGTGAACTACCACTTCGGTTGCATCTCCAAGGTGAGTTCGCAACTGGCGGATCAGACGCTGTGTAAGATACCAAGCTCGGGCTTTCACCTTCAAGCTTGGATGATGTGCAAGCTGAAGGAAAGCCTGTAGGACCGGTTGTATATACTCGGTCTGCTTCTCGAAGAAGGTACTGTGTCTGACACATATTTCCATGAATTGAAGCTGAATCGCAGGATGACCAAAAGAGCCAACGTCTGATATACGTTAGTATGAATATAAAAGGAATTCAAAGGCATAGTCTTACTTGACTGAACCATCTCCAGCATCATCTGAGTCAAATTTTCGGCTGCTGGAGTATTTGGCTTAATCTTCTGGAGTCCTCCACCCTTTCCGACGAGATCACCTAAAAGATACACCTCGTGGAGAGCCAGATCTAGATCGCGCCAGTCGAGCTGTGAACCTTGAGTTCTGAGTCTCTGAAATGTCTCATGGACTAGTGTTGAGATGGCTTGGACATAGAGCTGCTCGTCTGCACCAGCAATCGTCGCTTGAAGAGACGCCAATCTCTTTCGCAGATCCTGAAATTCCGCTTCGTCGGTCTGCTCGTCCTCTTGGTTCCAATCTGCTGTATCATCGTATCTCATTTTTGTGAAAATGGCTTTAAGTATTGGCAGAAGCATAGCTGCGCACTGATCGGATCCGGAATTGGCGCTAGTCCGTCGAAGAAAAGCGAGAACATCATTCATCGCGGTGAGGACAGTGGAACAGACTTCATCAAAGATATCAGAAAAGAAACGTAGAAGGTGCGGTAGGAAAGCCTCCAGCAACTGTTCAGCTTTGATCCACGTTTGGGAGCCCTGAATTTCAGTATCCAAAATCTTGACAAGGTCTGCCACTGTAGTATTGACAAGCTTGGCCACCGTTTCAGCAAGATCGACATCGTAATTTGAAGCTCTACTGTCACGCAAAGGTGGACAAGTCACCAGCTTGGAAACCACTGTTTCGAGGTCCAAAAAGGTAATCATGTTGATCTTGTCAGCCGCGGGCATACCCTTCGCGACCGTCTCGGTGAAGACGTCGACGGCAGCATCACGAGCCATTTCCTCGCCGGGTCGAGGATTGACTTTCTGAGCGCGCTCCAACTGATGGAACAATAATTCAAGCATCTGCTGGTTCACCACCAGAGAGATATCGATCCAGCTAACCCACTTTGCAACAGCCTTGAGGCAGAGCTCGGCCACAACATCATTCGAACTTCTCCATTGCGACAATATCTCCTCCCAAGATCGTGCAATTTTCTGTACATCACGCTCTCGGACGAGGTCTTTCAGAGTGCTTGCGCGCTCCTGCTCGTCAGGAGATCTTGACAATAAAACGTCTCCAATTTCATCATGGATAGAGTTGAGTGCCGTCAAGTAGAAAACAACACCCGGATAGTTGTATCTCGTGCCAGTCTCTTTTGAAGTCAAAGCAAGTAGGTCATCAAAACATGTCTCCCATCCCGAGCCGTAGAATGCCGCAAAGAGGAGTGTGATTGTCTGGGCGAATTTGTTGAGAATTGTTCCCGGGTCGGGTATTTCTTCTTCTGTAGATGATCCGTAGAATTTATGCAGATAGGCCATCAGTTGGTCTTTAATGACCTTCAACCCCGCCTGATCCACCAGTCCTGCCTGTAAGGCATTGTTGACGATCTCCAGGCAGAATATCCGAATCACCATAGGCTGACGAGGGACCTGGAGGGATATGGACAGGCACGGCTGCCATGCGGAAGGCTCTTGCCGGAGTTGGTTGACATAGTCGAATGCCTGCCGCTTGAGGGTAGGGTCCGAGGTAGGACTGTAAGCGATCTGAATCGCTGAGATGATCTGGAATCGCAGTCAGACGAGTAAAGGGGTGTGGACTGCACGCCATAGATCGAACTAACCTGGTCATCCATCAGGTAATGCCAGTGTTCCTCACCCACCTGGTCAAATCCGGAACACTGGTCGAATGGTATAGTCACCGCATGGGGGGTGAAACTAAAGTGGAAGCACGTGCTTCCTGGACTATTCCATGGCGATGACGGCAAATAGATCTTCTTGTAATAGATGGCTCTGGTATTTCTTGTATCTCGTAGCGAGGACGACCGATTTCTCCAGCAAAATATGGCTTGCAGACAGGCAGTTGTTGTAGTTGTGGCCGGCCCACTTCAAATTCACTGGACTCGGGGCCAGTTTGAGGCTGCCCGCCCGCTGTGAAATCATCCCGGCCTTGGCATCTTGCCGTGCTGCTTTAAGACTCGCCTGTGCCGTACTAAGAAGGTGCATGTTGCCTTCCTTTTGTAGTTACACCTCATCTCGCTCTAAATGCGTGATATAAGCTGGATATCCGACATGGCCGAACGGGTCTCTCTGTTATACCCGGAACACAGCTACTCCTGTGTTGATCATGCTGCTGCATCGGACCAATCGAGCAATAGTTTACGGCCGAAGGAGAACCCCAGACGCTTACTTGGGTTCTGTGATGCGGACCCGCAGCTCGAAGCGAATGTCGAGATTATTAATGGAGAATATCTAGGAGAGTATAAGAGTCTTCATCAGTACTCAGTAGGGGGGTAAGTTGATGTCTTCTGTACTCTGTCCCTTACCAAACTACTTGGATGGCTCCATTATCTACACTCTTGCGTCTCAGATAAATCGGCACAATCAACCCAAGACTTCCAGCATCTCTACTACCTGTTCGGAACACCTACTGTACGAGCATAACACACCATATACTTCATAATGTCTCTGTCCAAACTTCTGAAAGGCTTCTCCATCTTTGCGTTAGTCGTCGGCACCGGAGATGCCCTTGGTGGAACGAGTGTGCTTGAGAAGGCAAGCGGTGATGCGTTCACCTCCACCAATTCCTCCCTCATAGCGCTCACCGACAGCCAACTTCGCTTCCTTGGAACTTACTGGGCAGGCTATGGAGCAATGTTATGGTGGGCTAGTAACGACCTGACTACACGACGCGTGCCATTGGCTATATTGGGAGCTACCCTGTTTGCTTCCGGCATCGGGAGGTCGATCTCTGCAATGATACATGGATTTCCTTCAGGTGTGATCATTGCAGCAACTGGAGTTGAACTATTGATGCCGCCTGCTATTTGGCTGCTGGGACAGTGGTGACGTTCGAGACATCACGACGAAAACATCCTGAAAGATGTGTGCTCCTCATAAGACGGACAGGCGACATGGCTTACTTGTGGCGGAGGTGTAAATATATTACTTCATATTTCAAGGTTCGGTCTACCCAGCTTGTACCTGCCAGCCGGGTTCTATGAACCATGTCCAGTCCATCAGTCCACTCAAATCTATTGCCACTTGATTGTGGTGTACCGAAATGTTCCGTTTCACTGAACTTAGTTGCATGGCGGCATTTGCTTTGTCTAGCCTTAACAAAGTTTCATCATGTGCTTTTATTGGTTCCCTGTCCACCTTTCCTCCGACAAATCCATGCAGTTCTCGTATCTGGCTCTATCCAGACATAGGCCAAAAGAAGCAATCATGATATGTTGGGCATGGCACACTTCAAATTCATCAGCGCTGAACATAGCCGGAGACGCGAGATCATCGGTATCATCCTTGAAGCTTGTATGTGACAACTGACGGGTTTCGCTAGATACCTGGTTGATAGGAAAACGCAAGAGGGAAGACGAGGAAAAGAAAAGTCATGACATCGTATCAAAGGAATCTGAAGCGTATCGAACTGCTCTGCGAACTCGGTCGGCCTTCTTTCGAACTTGACCTTGAGCTGGCGACGTAGGTGGAACTCGTTCTGCTCGAGCCCGATGAATAACGGGACCTGCCAGCTGGTGTTGGAAAACTAGTCGGCGGCAGCTTCTTCACCAGGTTATCGTATTCCTGACGGCAAGTGTCTCTCTCATTTCGGTAACGGTCCCGATCTACCCTCACCCTTCTCAGATCCCTACCCAAACTCTGCACTTGGCTTTCCAAGACGTCACATTCGTGGTCTAGTTCATCAATGGTTTTGCTTTGTTCTTCAGTCTCGTTTTGCAGCCTTTGGCACTCGTGTTCGATCCTTTCCACACGAGCCGACATTTTCCTGAGCTCGGCCATGTCACGCTCGTGCTGCTGCTCGAACGATGCCCTTAGCTCCGCAATGGTATTTTCATCTGCTTGGCGTTGGCTTTCCAACTGCGCGATACGGCGTTGCAACCCATCAAAATATGACCTGATATCTCTGTCGTCGCGTCGCCAAGCTTGAGGCTGAGGAGGTCGATTCGCGGGCCTAGTCCATTGCCTCGCGAGAATGTCAAAGGGACTCGCGCGCCCAGAGGGTCCTTGTGGAAGGGGTTCAAGCCATTCGGTAGCTATGACGCGAGACTCGGGGTCCCGGCTTTCCAGTTCTGCCACCGTCTGCCTTGCCCGTCTCTGTTCATCGACAAGAAATACTTCATCATCGACCTGAAACCGGCGATCACCCTGTGGCGTTCCGATTTCAGAATGCCTTTATCCATGTCAGCCAGTGGTGAGAATGCTGGGCCTTTGGAATGCTTGAACTTGCCTTATCACGCCCAGGATCACATTCAAGGTTGTCGTGGCAAAGTAAAGCTCGCTCCTCTGGGTCGCTATTGTGTCCCTTTTCAAGAACTTTCGGAGCCGTTGTTGTCGCTGTTCTTTGGGAGAGGTGCGAATGCGCAGGATCTTGTGCTGCCTGGTCAAGGTATACTTCCTCTCATCGACGGCACTGAAATCTTCCACGGTCTGGCGCAGGTCCTCGAGGACGATACGGGTGTCGCGGATCATGAGACGGAGACTATTGACCAGGGATTCGGTCAAGACGACCCGGGGATTCTGTACGCATCTCTGGACATGTCCCCAGAGGGTCGCGAAGGTGGTGACTTCCCGGTGGAAGTTCTCGAACTCTCTCGTGGCGAGTTCCACACCGTCGTACAAATTGTAAAGGGATTCACCGACACAGAACGCAAGGCGAACAAGGCCGACGATACTTAAAGGATCCATGCCATGGCAGGTACTCCGTAGGTACGATGGAGACCGAACAAAGAAATGCGCAACCGGTGAAGACGGTCGTTACAAAAAGTCCGAGGTCGATCAAAGCAGGGCTGGGTGGGAGCGAAGGCGTCCCGGGACCTTCTTCCCTCCCCCAACCTCCACGGCCACGATCAGCGATACCATGCGCAGGGCTTCGGCCAGGACCATGAGCATGCATGGTACAAGGTTGCAGGAGGCCCAAGATATGTGACGATGCACGTCGACTGCAGTTTCACAGGTGGGGAAATGAAGAGTATTGGATGTTGAGGCACCGAGCCCTGTCTACGCATGGTTGCCTCGTCCGTATTGGGAATAGTGTGCGGTCTTATGCCAGACCCCAGCCTTGCGCCTTGAAACAGTGTGTGACTTTTTAGACTGTCACGCTGCCTACGACATGGTTGATCGTAAGTACATTTTGAAGAGAAACGAAAGAAGAAGTCCGATTTATCGTTCTTATCTATTCTACTCCGTAAAGAACCTCACGGCAACGTGGTTGCTTCACGTATGGTGGGCTAAAGCCACCTATGATCACATACATCGTTCCCTTGCTGTCGACTAGAAAAGAACTGCTACAAGCGGCAGCCCCCTTCGTCTAGTTCTTCTCCCTCTTCGCCATCTCCACTCGTGCTCGAGTCACCGCCTCTGTAAACTCCAGGATTCTCCTTCTGCGAGTGGTGGGAGACAGAGACGTGATTGACTTCTGGCCTTGCTCTGTCGGAGTTGTCGTCGTCGTTGTTATTCTTGGAGTGACGGTGTCCGTGCCGACCCCAACGTCAACGCCTCCCTTCTTCTCGTCACCACCAGTCCTCGTGGCACGTCGTTCGTCATTATCCTTATCACCGACGGTGGTAGTAGTAGTAGTAGTGGCCGCCGAGGTCGTTGTTGTCGCCCGAACCAATCTGGAATCTCGAGATTTCCTCGAGAGACCGATCGCATCCGAACGGACGGCGGCAGGGAACTCATCGGTGGCGACGGTGGCGACGGGTTGGGCGACGTGTCGTCCCAAGAATCTCATGATGGCGTAACGAGCTTCCCTGTGCGCTTGCTCAAGCCTCTCCGTCTGCGCATCGTCCCGGCCGTAGTGGTGGTGGTTGTTATGGGCGACTCTTGGAGCGGGCAACCGACAATCTGGTGGTGGTTGTCTCTTCTCGCCGACCGCGCCAAAAAAGTTGCTGGCCTGGGTGGTGGTGGTGAAGTGACTGTGTGGTGGTGGTGGGTATTGTTCTCGCGGATCACCGATCTCAGTTGAATCCGCAACAAGTCCGGCAATCGAAATGTGTCGGTCCTCCTCCTGACCTTTGTTCGTCTTGTTCTTGTAATGGTTGTTGTCGTCATGGTCGAGATCCATCTTGGCTTTCTCGTTTGGAAGGGGAAAGGAAAATCAACAACACTTTGTTGCTTCTTGTTCCTGCGCACGTTCGGTTTCAGAGTTTTATGCTTTGCGTGCTTTGCTTGAAGAAAAGAGGAGAGGAGAGAACTGTCAGCCACATGGATGATAGATATATATATATATCGTAGAGACAGCAGCACTGTGAGTAGGGAAGCATTCGACGCAAGTGCCAGTTGGACTTGACCAGGAACAAGAAAAATACTCCCCCCGGTCGGTCGACAAAATCAAGTGAATGTGAGGGTGAAATCCATCACGCAACCCCTACAGCACAGCCCCTACAGCACAAGGTACCCGTAGCCAGATAGGTAGGTGGAGGGAGAGCCTCCAAATGGGAGATGGTGGTGATCCTGCTGCTGCTGCTGGACATACGCCCTGCCGTTATTTTGTGATCGCACAATATATGACAAAGTTAGAGATCGAAGTAAGCTGCATGGGTGATAATCAATACTCTTCACAACTTTGCGGTCTTTCATCTGCCATTGTTTCGCCCAATGGAGGATAACGGGGTTGTCATTGTGATCAAATGGTATCGATAGAAAACGGCAGACTGGGGACATTGCAAGTCCAGGCAATGGCTCCCCTTCCTGCCATCCCTTCGAGATCGTTTGGTGCTGCATCTGTATCGATCTAGATTTCTTTCATGAAGAGCCATGCTGTGAGCATCATCACGAACCTTGACTAGACTCAGCTGTGTGAATAATGACGAGGTCGGCTCCCCTCCGACATGGACTGCAATACATTCTATCGTAGTTTGTGACTTATCTCTCTTTGTCCTTATGGCTATTGAGGACTGGTGGTGTACTTCACACAATGCAGTGACTTGTCAACTTTGGCGGGGTGTTAATACTGGCTCGTGAAGAAAACTGAAAGCAGCAACAACAAATCGTCACGTGAGAACAAAAGAAGCCTTGGTAAGATATACCAGCTAGAAAGGGGAGAAGATAAAGTGTTTGATTCAAGATTCAAGGAAGAACTCAATCATATCATAGTCTTTGTTCCTTTTTCTTTCCACTTTCTATCCATGTCAGTTTTTATGTACATGTTATCTTCCATGTTTGACGTACTACGCAAACAAGTGCTTTGCGGCGTGATCAATGTGATCGTCAGCAAAAGATGCCATGGTGTAGTAACTGTGGTCGTAGTCTGGCTGGAATCGAACGTTGAGTCCTTTCTCCTGTCCTATTTCTTTTGCTGCGGCAATGAAGTTCTCGGGGAGCAATTGGCCTTGCTTGTAGAAGTTGTCGCCGGTACCCTAGAAGAATAACATCGATTAGGTTTTGTTGGAGAACGCAAAGGGTTCGGTGGGCAAAAAGAAACGTACCACATCCACCAGGATATCCAGGTCACCTCCTTTCCATTGCTTCAGAAGTTCTGTAGAATCATGCTCCGCACCTTTCTTTTGCCAATCGCTCTCACCAAAGTAACCCTTGAAGGCCTTTTCTCCCCAAGGGCATTTGAGGGGATTGGCAATCGGGGCAAATGCGCTGACACTCTTGTATTTGCCGGGGTTCTTCAAGTATAACGACAGTGCACCATGTCCACCCATGCTGTGTCCACTGATGCTCACCCGGCTCGAATCGATCTGGTCGGCGTAGGCAGCAAAGACGGTCTCGGGAAGTTCCTTGGTGATGTATGTGTACATCTTGTAGTTCTTGGACCAAGGGTCGGCGGTGGCATCGACGTAAAAACCGGCTCCTGAGCCGAAATCATAGGCATCATCTTCTCCCTTGATGCCGATTCCCCCTACGATGAGGTTAGATCAGAACAGAAATCAATACACCTTGTGACTTCGGACATACTTGGGCTGGTGTCTGGGTAGAGGACTGCGATTCCTTTCTTGCTCGCTCCGTGTTGGAAGAATCCCTTTTCCGAGCAATTGTCACCGGTACAGGTCAGTCCGGACAGCCAGATGAGCAATGGGACCTTGTGTAGTGAGTTCTGAGTGTTCTGTGGAGGGAGGTAGAGGTTGAATTTCATCTCGCACCCAAGGGTGGAGGATTGATGGGCGAGCTTCAAGAGCTTGCCTCCAAAGGAAGCTATGGTTGCTTGCGTGGTAACAGACATTTTCTGGCCGTCGGTCTGGATGAGTGCTCGATCCTTGGGGGATGTGTATGAGGAGGACGAGGAGCAAATGCCAATGGATAAGAACGAGTGAAAGAAAAAGAGTCAATGTTTTTCTCCGAGTAGACACCAACAAGTTGTTTTGGAAAATGACGTGGGGAGTGGGAGAGGGAGGGGGAAGATAGCCCGAATATGGCCCCGCAAAGTCACACCCTTTACCTACAGTACCATTACATTCTTTCAAGCATCGCAGGGACAGATCATCACAAGGGTCTTTTCGGGACCTTGGAACGAAAAGGATCCCCCTTATCGAAGCTGGGTTCAATGCGCCCAGAATGTGGGTGAAAGAAGAAGCGGAAGAGGGGCAGCACGAATACGAGTATCCGGTCTCACCCCCCGCCGCCCGGAAAATGCTTCGTCACAAGCCGGGATACTCTTGCCCAATTGAACCCGGGGCGTTTTTTATACCCCAATTAGCAATGTATACCGAAGAAGGTGGAACTCCCATTTCATGTCTGGAGTACGAGTATGAATATCATGGCCGTCGAGATATGATAAGGCTGGCACTTGAGACCCTAGATAGCAATGTTTGGACGTGTTTCTGGCCTTTGTTTGGTGGAAATCAAGCTAAGCCAGAAACGAGTATGTCCGGTAAAACCTCGGGAGTATCCTCTTCGCGGCGGACGGGATTAATTCATTTCCATTGTTGAAGGGTTTCTTGATCGTAAACAATACCAACATCTTCAGAAGTCCCTTTTTAATCATTAAACAAACGCAATTGATCTGGCACTCCTCTGATCTACTGTCTTTCGATTCTCTTTCGTTTTGCGCCAAACAAAAATGGCTTCAATAGCGGCCGAAAGCACCCCAGCGGCCGCCGCAGTCGAATCCATGGCAAAGACCACGACGAGTCCCTCTGCTACTGCGACAACAACAACAACAACCACAACGACCACCACCCCGACGTACAACTTCAGCTTCACTCCGTTCCTTCGATCCAACGGGATCGCCGCCCTCGCCTCCGAGGTCCCCGTCTGTCCGGACTACGCCGCGACGGGCCACTGCCCGCGAGGGCGCAGGTGCGCCGACCGCCACCCGACACCTTCGCAACAGCCGACGTACCACTACGGCCGCCAGAACGACAACTACGTGTGCAAGCACTGGCTCAAAGGCCTGTGCAAGAAGGGGGACGCGTGCGACTACCTCCACGAGTACAACCTGCGGAAGATGAGCGAGTGCCAGTTCTACAACCAGCACGGCTACTGCCAGAACGGCGACGAGTGCCTCTACGTCCACGTCAAGGAGGAGTCGAGGTTGCCCCCGTGCGAGGACTACAACAGAGGCTTCTGCGAGAAGGGCCCGAGGTGCGGGAAGCGTCACGTCAGGAGACGGCTCTGCGAGTTCTACATGGCCGGCTTCTGCCCCGACGGACCGAATTGCAAGTTTGGAGTTCACCTGAAGGGTAGCAAACCCGCCGCCGTCGACAATTTCGGCATCAACAACGGCAACGTCGTGGGCGGCGGCGGCGGCGACCTTCAGAAACGGGGCGGCGATAGGGTGGCGGATTTGGAGAGGAGAGAGGAAGATGCGCGAAAGGACTTTGGTTGGAGAGGCGGTAGAGGCAAAGGTGGACGATGGAGGAATAAACGTGAACGAAGGGGTTGAGTGGGGGAAAGACAAACGTGACGGAGAATCAAGAAGAACAAGATCAATGGACACGGAAAGGGAGCTTTGTACTACGGTCTACCTTGGACGAACTGCCACCGAGACAAGTCACATTTCTCCTATTTTTTTTCTGAATCCCAACAACAACAACAAAAAAACGAGGAATCAATCGTGGGCTTCTGCGACGTTGAATTTGTTATAGGATGATGGAAACCTTATGTCCTCTCGGAACGACCAGATTACAGCAGGTTGCGGTCGTCAACGTCTCCCCACCGGTCAGCGCCGTCATTTTACTGCGAGGCTGCCGGCAGGGCACACACTGAAGTGAAAGTGAAAGGTTCGTGGCACCACGAACATGGCACGGAGAACAGTCGAGGTATCCCTCGGTCGTTTGCAGACCGTGGATGGGCAGGATACCACCGCCCGACAAGATAGCCCCCTTGGAGCGTGACGAATCAAGTCTGCATCGTCCAAAATCTCTTGGGAATGATGGACCATAGGTATGGGACGATCATCATCATCATCATCATCACCATCATCATCATCACCATCATCATCATCACCATCATCATCATCA